TCAGTGGTCGGTGGTCGGTGGTCGGTGGTCAGTGGTAAGTGGTTAGTGGTCACGGTCCGTGCAGTACAGTTGCAGTTGCAGTGCTCTGCAGTTGCAGTCCGCTGCAGTTGCAGCAGTTGCAGCGCTCGTTTTTTCTTCACGCCCGTCGTCATCGTGCATTCCCCGAGCTCGAGCGCGACCGGAGCCTCGGGGACTCGGGGGTTAGTTATGACCTACTACTGACTGGCAATGACGATAGGCGTCCCTTGGGCCTTAAACCTTCCGCCGCGCGCACCGTCGTCGCACCGTCGCACCGTCGTCGGAGAAAAATGCGGGGCTCGCTCCCAGCACCCAATGCCCAGTGCCCGCTGCAGTGCCCAGTCCAGTGCCCAGGCTTCCCTCCTCCACCCTCCTCCTCCACCCTCCTCCTCCACCCTCCTCCTCCACCCCCGGTCCGTTTCGTGCGTGCGTAAAAATAAAAATAAAAACGTAGAAACACAGATGCGAAACAAACGTTTGCATACATGACAAACGTCGCTCCCCGGTCCTTGCTCTCCCGCCGACGAGACGAGACGAGATGGCGGGATCGCGGCGGGATCGCTCCTTCCCTCCCTCCCTCCTTCCCTCCCTCCCGCGCGCGCCCGCAGAAAGTGTGGTCACGAGCGCTCCAGGGCCTGGACAGATAGACAGACAGATGGGAATTTCGAGTGACGGGAGGGAGGGGGTTGCACGTGCGTGTGTGTGTAAAAAGGTACGGGGCGGAATAGTTGGGCTAGGCTGTGGGATGTGGGCACTGGGCATGCGGTCGAAAGAAGGATTGTCTGTCGAAAAGGCTATCCCCTTAGGCCCAGTTTGGGTGTCAACTGCATTTCGAATCGGGATAGATACCATAGTTATCTACACACAAAAAGTGAGATGCAGTTTTCGAACCATCAGTTTCCGGGCAAAATGGGTGACCGTTTGGCACCCCACCCCAAGCTAACAATTGGAGAAACTGCACATTGTCGACTGAGCCACAGTGCAAATAAACTCTACGGACAACCACCAGTATGTGGTACATACAGGCCAGCATCGCCCCCGTATACAGTCAACCCAGCCATCGTCCGCTTCTTCATTACGCCTACGATGTCCGACACCGGCCACGTTCTGCGGTTCCTCTGTTGTGACTGTGGATAGGGGGAGTCACTTGCTGGGACGGCGGAGAGGAGCCACCGTTGTGAGATCGGAGAGGAGCCACCGTTGTGAGATAGGAGAGGTCATTTATGTAGTTGTGGTTTCTGGCGTAACTAGCCTCGAGATCAGTAAGAAGAGTGGCGTGCTGTCGAACATTTAGGTTGCCAAACGGGTCATGAGGGGAATTGAGAGTTTGCAGCTGCAGCTTGGGTAACCTCTAACCCGTCAAAATCGCGTAGACTAGATATTTCGAAAATGCAGTTGACACCCAAACCGAGCCTTAAAACATATTAGGGCCCGTTTGGATGGCCTCGGTTTTCAGTTTCAGTTTTGGAGCCAAATTCAGTTCCCCGCCGGGACACCGAATACTGCTCAGTTTCAGTTTCCGGAAAAACCGTGAGGTGAACAGAGTGTTTGGCAGTTCTCAGTATACTCAGCCATAAGTCTGAATAATAGGCTTCACCAGAGCTCTAATAGTGGACACATTGTAGCCCCGAATTTTTCTCTTCCCCTTGCCTCTGTGAAGACACCGGCCCAGTACCAGGGGGTTTTCGCAGGCATGGACCTCTTGGACATACTGTCTCCCGGAAAGAGTAGAGGTACGCATCGGAATTTCTCCGGAACTCGTGGTATATACTAGTACTGCTTGGCCGGCCAGCTGTGCAATGTGTCTCATCAGGTGAGGGGAGAATATATTGCGGTGGTTGGTGAAATTTTCATCGTCGGAAGGGGAGTCCATGGTTGAAGTTAAAATCCGGTACTGAGTGGTGGTGAAGAAAAGACCTCCAGAGATCAGTTCCCGTTTCATCGCCGGAGCCGCACATCATTTTATTTCTCGGTTTTTGTGCCATCCAAACGGGCCCCTAGTAGTATATATCCGTTTCCACGGTAATGTGCTAGCGCCCGATCCGGAGTTAAATAGTTTGTGTCTACCACGAAACCGTGAAACTCTATCCTCACGCCGACAACAGCCAAAACCACCCATTCCGCACGGAATCACGGGATCGCACAACTTCACCATCTCAGCCGTCGGCGGCATGGCTCCTCCATCTCCATCAGCCGCTTCCGCACGCTTGCGAGAAGGGGGAGCTTACATCGAGAACCATGTGTACATACGATATCGATGGTCACTCTCAAGTCGCCCCTTCCGTGGCCGCAGAAGGGATTGGGAACCAGTACCGTCCTGGCATCCTGAATTGCATTGCTTGTTTGAGCATCTCAGGACCGGCGAGCAGCTTGGCAGGCGGCTCCGCACGTTGCATCGCCACGAGCTGCGAGCAACACGTTACACCTCTGCTCTCTGAGGCTTCTGCTTCTGCTCCACCTCGAGATTACCTAAGCTCAACCGATTTCATCGCTTCCACGAGCACAATCTCCGCACTTCCATCTCTCGATCCGCACCTTCCCTCTCAGCGCCGTATAACCCGTAACCCGTAACGCCATAACCCCGCCCCCTCCCACCTAGGTACATAGCAAGCATGGGCGGCAACCTCTCTATACCGGTGGATCTTCCGCCCGTGGACGAGATCAAAGACTGGGACCCCAACAAGCTATTCGAGTTCCTGGCGTCGCTTAACTTCATCTTCTACGCGGCGAAGTCCCGGACGGCATTCCAGGCCAGCGAGGTCGACGGCCACTGTTTCATGCGCTCCGGCGGGGACCACACGTTCTGGCTGCAGTGCGGCTTGCCGGTCGGCCCGGCTTATCGCCTTGAGGAGTTGGTGCAGGAGATCAGACATAGTATGTAATGCGAATCGGACGATGAGTGGCCGGCTGACATGCTTATAGGGAGCAGCTTACTGCCAAAGACGGATGGCAAGTCGAAGACCCCGTCTGTAGCCTCACCCAGCATTGAGGCGGCTTTTCGGCCGGGCAAGCAGGATTGGTACTGAACGATTCAGCGGGTAGCTTAACGTTCCGCGAGAAGGCTCTATATTATGCTCTGTGTTTGCTTTGCTATGTACTTGGATTATGGTATAAACGCCCTGTACCGCAGGTGGCGCAGGTGTCGTCCATGTTTTGCTTTCCTTTGCATCACTGTTTGGATTATGATACTCTATACCTCTCATCTATAGACGCTCTGTAGTTGACACAGGTGCCGGTGCAGTTTGTGTTGTGTTGTGTTTTGCATTGCTCCAATGTTCATTGCCTGCTTAACTACCTACCTCGGTACTTGGGTATGATATTTACTTATGTATGTACGCGCCTCCAAGGCTCCAACTATGTATCTTGAAATTTCTCCTGCGGCTTCTGCGGCTTCGAATTCAAGCTTGATGGCCCAAGGGTTTCTCAGGTCCCTCCGCCCCAGGTCCCTCCGCCCCGAAGGCTGGAGGCTGGGCTCCCGTGTTCGGTGTTCGGTGTTCGGTGTTCGGGCCGGTGTTACCCCCAGGTCCCCAGGTCCCCAGGTACTAACTATAGTTATATATCGGCGACCCTGCCGGAGACGGAGCCGGGCCGCTGAGGTAGGTACGAAAAGAGAAGAGAAGAGTACCTGGTACCTGGTACCTGGTACCTGGGGCCTGCAGCCTGGGTATGATAAATTGATACATAGTACACACCCGTGGCCCAGTCCGAACTCCGAACTCCGAACTGGAGGAAGTGGCGGCTCGCGTGGGTGCGTGCGTGGGGCGGTGGGGCGGTGGGGTATGTTCCTGGGAAGGTAGCTGGTAGGTATTCGAGAATCAGACATTCCGAGAATCCGATATTCCGAGAATCGTACGGTAGCCACTGGCGACGTGCACCGGGCGTGGCCCCAACTATGCAGGTACCTACAGGCTATGAGCAAGTATGATACCTACGGTAGGTCCCAATGGCCAGAGACCGGATCCGCTCCTAGCCTGCTCCGGATCCGTTCCGCTCCCATTTTCCACTTGTACGCACTACACCGGGACCTTCCTTGCGGGATCTCGGGATCTCAGGATCTTGAGACCGGGCTAGCTACCAGTTAGTAGCTACTGGCACAGCCCGCTCGGGATCCTCCCGGGATTCTCCCGGCTCCCGGCTCCCGGCTCGCAGCCGGAGTAGGTAGAGTAGCGTGCCGCGGATCTAGAGCCGTACCGCATTCATCCCGCCGTTTTGCCGTTTCGCCGTTTCGCCGTGCTCGGGAGCAGGGACGGGAGAAGGGACAGGGACAGGGACAGGGACAGGGAGCGCGGAGATCGGCGGGAACGGGAGCCAATGTTTCCTGCATACCGGTATATAGAGCTACGATTTGTACGATTTGTAGTTGTTTGGCCCGGTCAAGGAGTTGGTATCCGCACTGCGCAGTGAACGTTTTATGTACGATGTAGCATTGTTACACTGCTCGAATCACGGTGGAGAGTCTAGACAGCTGTCGTTGACGCACGTTTACATACCGGTAGCAAGTGTTGACGTGACAGACAGTATGCGTTCAAGGGAAATCCACGTCCCATCGTGACTCTACCTACATTACCAGTATCATACCACCGTTCATTAAGGATCCTCCCCCAACCGTCCGTTACCATACAACAGGCAGATAGATTACGGTATAGTACTTTACATAAGTACATTGTTATACAACCGCATGTAGTTACAATACAATACATTACCGCCCGCAATGCAAAAACATAAACCCATGAGCGGAGAAACCACAAATGCACGGGCTGATCCGAGCCGGCATCGCCAAAATAACGACGGAAACGACGAGAACGGGGACGGGGACAGAGGTAGAGACAGAAAATCCACGTACAATTACATCGATTCCAACCCCCGTCAGCCACCCCCATCCTCCCTACTTATACATATATCGCCATACCGCTGTATGTATAGGGAGAAACTCAAAACAACACCAACTCATTTCTTACGGTCCGTCTAAAACAAGACAGGTTCTAAGATGATCAAGAAGAAAAATGAAAAGACTAGAGGGAAAAGGAAAAGGAAAACGCCATGCATCCAAGCTCCGCAAGTGGGATGTTCGCTCGCTCGGCTCGATCAATCGTCATCCTTGCTCTTTGACTTCTTAGACTCCTTCGACTCCTGGAGCTGCTTCTTCCACAGCGTTGCCGCTTTTTCCTTGTCGAGGTTATGGAACGCCAAGTCGAAAACCTCCGAGTACCAGCTAGCCGGTCTTCCATCCAAGCCTTCTTTGATGTTCTACGACACAGCAGCAGCGTTAGCAAATCAGCGACCACCGAATAGAGCGAATGCCACGCGACGATAATACTCTACGCACCTCAGGCAGTTCCAGCCAATCAGACATGTTGTCGGCCGGGAAGATAATTGTCTTCGCTCCAGACCTACGGGCAGCGACCGCCTTCTCGCGGAGTCCACCTATCCGAAGGACCTTTCCAGTGACGGTCAGTTCGCCAGTCATGGCGATTGTGGCGTCGACCTTGTGGTCCAAGGCTAGCGAAAGCAGCGAGGTAGCCATAGTAACACCGGCGGACGGTCCTGCGAAAAAGAAAAAAAAAAGACGAGCAGTGTTAGCCTTGTTGCTCCCTTGTTCGGAGCCAAAATGGGGGCTATCGCGATGCGATGCGCGAGATGCCATGTCGCTGAAATGCGCGCCAGAAAGAGAAATGTAGGGGGGGTTGTAAGTGCTTACCATCCTTAGGCACTGCACCTTCGGGGCAATGCAGGTGAACACGTGCATGCTCAAAGAAGCGGTTCTTGGGGAACTCCCTAGCCATGAGTCCTTTGACGAATGAATAGGCCACGACTGCTGACTCCTTCATGACGTCCTTCAAGCTACCCGTCCTCTCTAGCCCCGGTCGACCCGACGATGCCAAAACAGTATCCAGGATGGACTCAACATATAGTGCTGCTCCCCCCATACGTGTCCAGGCTAATCCCATGACTACTCCAGACGGTGGCACATCGTACAACCGATCCGATGTGAACACCGGAGGCCCAACATAGTCCTTAAGATTTTCCCTGGTGATGTCGACGTGGACTGTTGAGGGAACACGCAGAGACACCCTGGGCTTTTCGGTAGTTTGCGACTCCATGTTCGGCTCCATCTTCTTCGCGTCCTCCGAGCCCTCGATTCTCGCCTTCTCCTTTTCCGCGTTCTCGAGGGCGATCTTGCCTTCCTCGGTGATGGCTTTCTCCTCGGGCAATCCCTGCTCGCCTAGATCTTGCACGATCTTGAGAGCCGACTTGCGGAACACCTTTTCGATCTGTTTCTTGAGATTACGAACTCCGCTCTCGCGACAGTACGATTTGATCAGCTCCTCAATAGCGTCGGGCTTCAATTGAACATTGACGTCCTTCAGACCGCTCATCTCCTTCGCTTGTGGAGCAAGATATGTTTCGGCGATCGCCATCTTCTCGTCGGCCACATACCCAGACAGCTCAATCATCTCCATACGATCCAATAGCGGCCGCGGGATTGTGTCCGTCATATTGGCTGTGCAGACGAACAGCACCTTCGAGAGGTCGACGGGCACATCAAGGTAATGGTCCAAGAAGGATGAGTTTTGTTCCGGGTCCAAAAGCTCGAGCAGTGCCGACGCCGGGTCACCCTGATGACCGCGTCCAATCTTGTCAATCTCATCTATCAACACTAGCGGGTTCTCCGTCTGGCATTTCTTCAGAGCTTGGATGATTCGACCCGGAAGCGCGCCGACATATGTACGACGGTGTCCCTTGATCTCCGCAACGTCAGTCAGACCACCAACGCTAAACCGGTAGAACTGCCGATTGAGCGCCCTGGCAATCGATTTGCCGATAGAGGTCTTGCCGACACCTGTCCAAGAAAGTTATTAGATGGAATTCTTCACGTGAACATGATGAGGATACATACCCGGAGGACCGACGAAGCAGATGATTTTGCCTTCCACAGTTCCCCGTAGTTTTCCGACAGCAATGAATTCCAAAATACGATCCTTGACGTCCTTGAGGCCATAATGATCCTCCTCGAGCACTTTCATCGCGTGACCGATCGAGTAATTCTCTGTGGATCGTTGTCCCCAAGGAATCTGTGTGAGCCAATCGAGATAGTTCCGAGTGACATTAAATTCAGAAGCTGCGGGTTCCAAGTGACCGAGTTTGTTAAGTTCCTACAGTGACATCATCAGAAAGTTACTCGACGGAAGCTATGAGGTGTTTGACTCACTTCATCAAACACCTTCTTGACAGCTTCTGGCATCGACAGCTTCTCCGCCTTCTCCTTGAACCTCTCCACGAGCTTATCTTTACCGTCGCTCTCGATTCCGAGCTCCCTCTTGATGCCCTTCATTTGTTCCATGAGCCAGTATTCCCGCTGTCGCTTTTGGATTTTAGCCTCGACGTCTTTACTGATCTTGCTCTGTAGTTGAGCATTCATCAACTCCTTCTTAAGCACGACGAGCGCCTTCTGAAGTCTCTCCTCCACCGACAAAGCCTCCAGAACCTCCTGCAGCTCCTTCACTTCACCGGACGAAACAGCGGCGGCAAAGTCGGCCAATTTGGCGGGCTCATCGATGACGTTTCCGGTGGACTGCGACATCGAGAAAGTGGAGATTTGATCCCTGAATAAAGGGTTCAGGTTGGCAACTTCTTTGAAGACATTAACGATCTCCGAGGTTACCGCGCGGATTATCGGCTCCTTCTTGTCGTGAGGCTCCTCGACAAGGTTCTCGACATCGACGACGCTGACGTTATACTTCTTCAAGAATGACGTAGCGTATTCTCCGGCTGCCGTCCGTCTGTCCGTCTCCATCGGCTCCTCAAAGCTGGCCACAACATCCCCCTTATCACTCCGCTCCTCGTACTCCTCGGTCACTTCGTCAATCTCCGGAGCGGGAGGCGCGACACCGTCTTGTTTCTCTACCGCTTCGGCACCCCGTGCGTGTAGACCAGTGATCTTGATACGCCGATGGGGGTAGAGCACAGCAGTTAGACCTCCATCCTCTCCGTTTACGGGAAATGCACTCGTGATCTGAGCGAACACTCCGACGTCGTGCACTTCGTCCAAACTCTCGATCGTGTCCCCGTCCACGTCTTCGTCCTTGAAAAGGAATGCTCCAATGTACGGTTGGCCCCGCTTCATCATCTCCTGAATTGCCGCGGCGACATTGGGGTCCTTAATGGTAACGGCCTTGTAGAATCCTGGGAACAGCGGTCGCTTGGCGATCGGCAATGCCATCACTTGTGGGTAGATGTCCGGCACCATCGGTTTCTGCAGGGCACGGTCGGGAGTCAACGATTTCTTGTAGGCAGCCGCAGCAGCGGTGCCACTGCTGGCGTCCCCATTCTTGCCACCCGCACCTCCTGCTGCTCCTCCCGCAGCTCCTCCCTTGAGGACTTCGCCCGGCGACTGGGCACCCCCCTCTCCATCGCCCTGCTTCGCACTTGCCTCAACCTTCGTGGTCTCCTCTTTCGCAGCCGCCTCCTGCTTCTTCTCCTTCAGCTCCTTCTCCTTCCGCTTGAGCTCCTCGTCAACCTCCTCATCGATGATATCCTTCTCTCCGGGGGGACGGCTCTTGAGTCGCAGAGCAGTTGTCGTGAACCCTCGGTGTTGTTGTTGTAGTAGCTCGGGTAATCGCGTGTCGAAGCGGGATGGAATGGAAGACGCGGTTGCCGTCGTTCGCGATGAAGCCCGGGTGCTCAGACGGCCTGTGTAGCTCTGGACCGCCGTCGTCGCCACCGTTCGAGAGGAAGACGCCCGTAGTCGGCCTTGGGAGACGCGAATTGCAGATCGCCAGGGAAGGTTATGGCCATACGCCATCATGATTGATTCTCGAAGGGAGCGATGTGGGTGATGTAGAATATATTTCGAGCCGTGACCGGCGCCGAGGGTTGTGAAGCACGAGACAACGACGTCGACGGAAAAGGCGGGGGAGGGAGGGGGGGCGGCGGTGGGGGATCCGGAGTAATCGGTAGTTATCAACCAAAGCACTCAATGCAGCTTAGGACGGGCGTGGTAGGTATTAACAACGACGCGGCGACGACGATAATGTACAAAGCGGGGGAGGAGGGGCGGGGAGAAAGTGAGGATAGATTGAGATGTAGGTGATGGCGGTACCGACGGTACGGTTGGCACGGTGATGGAGGTTTGCGTAGAAAGCGATCATTCGTCTTCCCACTTCTATGCGTTTCGGTTGGGCTGCGCCGAGCGGGTGGTGACGCAAAATTGTCCGCACGATTTGTCATTGCCGAAAATTACGGAAACGTCCGAACTGAAGTTAGGTTACCCATGTCAATTGCACAGATTATCACTACTGCTCTACACGGTCCGGTGCACGGATTCTCGCTCGGGATTAACTATTTCTTTAGCATATTCGTGTCAAAAATCTTCCGCCATGAGGAGAGGTTCGGAGCAACAACGGTCTACGAGAGCACAGACCACCCATCCCGAGATCGTTAGCCAACATGAAAAGAGGGGCCTCGGAAACGAATGGCGGAAGGCGAAAGAGTGGGGGGCACGGCGCGTCAGCAGAAAGGAATAGATATCTCCCCCCAACAACGCAAGGACAATGCCAGACCGCAGCAAATACGAGAAAAAGGCTGGCGGCGAGATACTACCAGCTGAAGATAGGCCACGCCCTCACCGCACAATACCTTACGGGGACAAAGAACCGACCCACGGCACGATTCTGGTAGTGCCAGCACAAGACACAGGCGCGGGGGACACCTTTTCAAGAAGTTAGAACTACCCACAGCGGAAGACCCAATAAAAGACTTCCGCTGTGGGAGAGGGTAAGGGAAGAGACCTGACGAGGCAAAGGCCGCCACAAAATTACGGAACTCCTTTCAGATCAGAGATGCAGCGAGGAGGCAATCCTCCTCTTCCTAGTCACAGCGGACTTAGACTGGCTGGTACCCCCCCACCCCCCCCCCCCCCCCCCCCCCGAGGACCGGAAGATAGGTAGTTATACGGGAACCTCCTAACCAGACCTCCGAGAATGCAGCACTGGAGAGGGACCCTACATGCCCTATCAACGGACAGGAGAGAGAGACGGGGCCAGAGCAGACATGGTACGACGCACGGAGAAGCTCCTGATCCCAGGAGGCATCGACCACGAGGAGAAAGGAGACCCGCTCTTTCTCCCAACGACGACAGCAACAGACCACCAACAAGCCTCAGGCCCGTCCATAGACTGGGTTGCTGTTGGAGCCAGCGCCAGAGCATAGCTGAAAAAGCAGACGGAACGAGGAATCGAGATTCCAGAGGAGACGGAGAGGGACAAGGACCTGGACGATATGGTCACGATGGGCGGAGGAGGGAGTGGCCGGGTTGGATTGATGCGTTTGAGCAATCCCTTTACATTTATTCCCCTTGGTGCACATAACAAGAGGACGGGGCGGGGAGAGTAGTGAGACGTCGAGCTGGTAGCCAGCGGTCGGAGACATTGGCGTAGAACACGATATGTATTTGCCATGATCGAATAAGGCCGAATGCAATGACGATTAAACAAAAAAACCCCTTTCCATCATGAAAGAGCACTCTGGGGGTTGAGTTCTGCAGGCATTCCATCGTACTTAGTGTAAATAATCTGGGTATCATTCCTCCCTCCCCCATCTCCGTCTCCCTTTCCCTCTCTCTCCTCCTCAGGCCTCGCGAGTCCCTCCTTCAAAAAAAAACCAAAAACCAAAAACCAAAAAACGCACCAGATCCAAAGTCTAGTTATCACTTCACCTTACACCTTACAACATGCCCCATACAACATGCCCATACAACATGCCCATACATATGCATATACTTTCAGTGCGATCAAGGTTAGGTACCTGGTACATAAGATATACATAAGTTTTCCATCGCACCTCCCCCCTCCCCTCCATTCAGAAACCGAAGCAAAAAGAGAAAGAAAAACACATATGGGAATTCATATTTCCTTTCCACGACCTCGCAGCAGGATAGTTACAAGCGGACAAACAGAAAGCCATCCCATCCCCGAAAACAAAACGAAAGGTATATGATACGATATATATAAAACAACAAGATGCTCATCTCATCAACTCTCACACTTCACCCTCACACTTCACATTCACACTCTCTCGCCCGCCTACCCGCCTGCCCGCCCATCCACCCACCATACCATGCTATAAAACACCAGTTCAATCAACCAATCAAGCAAAGGAACCACCCACCCACCCACCCACATCACATCACGAAATAAATAAAACAATAAAACAAAGACCTCCGACCCGACTATCACCCGATTCCCCCCACTTAACTTAGCTTAACTTAACTGTCCACCGCCCGGCACGACTCACGACTAGGTAGGTATGTGTTTCTCAGATGCAGAACAAGACAAGACAAGACAAGGACAAGAGACAAGAGACAAATGAACCGTTAAACCCCCACCACATGCATGCTAAAGAACAAAAGGAAGAAATGGAAATAAGAAGAAGAAGAAGAAGAAGAAGAAGAAGAAGAAGGAAAAACAAAACAAAATATACTTGCCGATGGGTAAGTAAGTAAGTACACAAGTAAATAGGTATCCTCGATGTAGAAAAGAAAACAAAAAGACAGACAGGAAAAAACGCGGAAACAGAAAACAAAACAAAACAAAAAGTTGCAGGAGGAGATGATGATGATGATGATGATGATGATGATGATGATGATGATGATGATGATGATGATGGCTTCCTTCCTTCCTAGTTCGATATGTCTCCCGTGGTGATGTTGATGCAGTTCTTGAGCAGCCGCGCTGCCTCGATCAGCAGTTCCCACCGACACTGCACAAACATCTCCTGTAGCGTCACTAGCAAGCCTAAGCACGCGTTCTTATTCAGCATACCGCCGAGCTCCGTCGGCGACTTCAGGAGCCCCGCCGCCTTCAGGAAAGTCCGCATGGAGGCGAAGGCCTCTTGCTGATTGGCCGGCATGCGAACCGGTTGTTCGAGCGACCCTTCGAGAGCATACCCGTACGACCAGACGACCAGACAGGCAACATACAGAACCCACGGCCGGTTGAGGAGATGGTCGTCGCGCGCAGAGTACACTGGCACCCCGGTGGTGCTACCGGCAACGCTCATGGTTCGCGAGTTCGGCGTTGGCGGCTGGTCGTCGTTGTCGTCGTACTGCATATCCGCCCGTTCTTCCGGCAGCAACACCTTGCTGAGGAACTGAAGCGCGTAGAAAGCGGCATCTCGTGCTTGAGCCGTCGGCGCCCATTGCTTGACCTTTTTCCGCGTGTTTTCGGCATCATGGCGGGTAATCGATCGGCCAAGGAGTCGGCGGGCTCCCGCGTAGATTTGAAGGTCGACGATGTCGACGTGCATGGACATGTGGGCGAGGTGATGCAGCACGATGCGGCTCTCAAAGATGTTCTCGTGCTCGATATCCCCGGTCGCATAGTAGACACCGCCAATGTTCTGGTGCCGGAGTTTGTCCAACGAGGTGTCAAAATCCTTCTTCCAATGGTCGAACGACTGTGTTAGGGTAGCACGCCATCTCTCCTTGCCGCCGAGTTGCTGTACCACACCTAGCGAAGATATCTGCACATCTCGCTGATTGAGGTGCCATCCAACGCTCAACAAGCCGGACATGAGAATCGTACGGCCGAATGCATTTGTCGAGACATGCTCCCCACGCAACGTTTTGCGCAGACCTTCCAGGAAAGTGGGGGTGTGGACGTTGTTCTGCAGCAGCGACTGTTGAATGCTGAAGACCTCCGAAGCGTTGTTCGCGGCCCACAGCGTTTCATCGCACGGCAGCTGGAGTCTCATCTCGTGTGCAACCATGACCGCCGAGTGACCGAACATGGTGGCATGGGTGGCATCAATCACAAACGCCGCAAACGCCACGCGTTTCGTCGCCTCCTGCATGATCCACCGATTCCAAGCCTCGTCGCTACTGTTCCCCGTCCCGCCTCCCGGTTGTCCACTGAAGGTGATGCTGCTTCCATCGCTGCCGGATTTTGCGTCTCGGCCACTCTGCGGCGAATCGAATGCGCCGGAGCGCCCGGTAAGCGAGGAACCACGCCTCATCAGTGTCAACGTTGTCGCGTGGTGGATGTGCGCTCGTTCGTGAAGCCTCCTGTCAGCATACATCTTCTCGAACGTCTCGAGAAGAAGCAACGCCTGAAATACCCAAAGTTTAGCTGGGGGCCGGAAATCCTCCTCGCCGAATATTGTCCAGCGCATGTTGCGGGACACCAGGTTGGCCATATCCATCGCCACGAGCGCCATATCCGGCTCGTGCTTGATGTCTATGCAAGCAGCCCCGATGATGATGACGCACAGGAGCAACACATCCGGCGTCTTTTCGGTCGAGAATGTTGGACGATGCAGTATCGGAAGCTGGGGATGAAAGTGTGCCCAATAGAGCGAGATGTACGTTTGCATCATGGAGAGGCTGAGGGGGTGTCTCTCGTCCTCGGCCGACGATCCCGACAGGATCCCTTCGGGGAAGTTGGATTGGACGTCTGCGAATCCATCCACCATGTACAGCACCTGCTGCCGCTTGTTGTCGGAAAGAAGCGATTCCTGCGGCGGGCTCGGTGGTGCGATGGTATTTATGTTCATCGGATGCGTGTTGAGAGACGTACTGAAGAAAGTGTGTTGATAGTCCTGCACACCATAGATGTCCTGGGGAATGCCTTGGATGTCCAGGTTGTAGGGGTTGCCCATGGCCATCTGATTGCCGCCGGGATCAGCGCCCATCAGCATGTCCAGCCAATCTCCGGCCATTCCAGCGACATGTCCCCATTGCGGCGATCGGCTGTAGCCGGATTCGCCAAACACGGGGATGGTGTACTGCAGAGACATGGGATCCAACGGATCCATCGACTGGGTCGTCGCGGCTGCGATCGACTGCTCCATCGAGATCGTTGTGGCTCCGGGGGGGATGTAGCTGTGTCCCGAAACGGTCGTAGCCGGGTGACTGAGGCTTGGATATGCCGGTTGCGGGAGTGCGAATGGCTGGTATCCCGGCTGGTTCGCGAATTGGGCGCCCGAACTCTGAGCTGGCGCCGATGCCGGCTGAGCCGGAGCCGGAGCGTTGTTGCCCAAGCTGGAGCTGAACGACGTCGCCGAGGAGGGTGCTGGTGACGCTGTATACGGCGACTGGAGGGACAGTCCGTGCATGTTCGTCGTAGGAGTGGTGACGGCCTGGAGGGTTGGGCGGCTGAGCCCGGGCTTGTTCGAAACCACGTTCAGACCCGGTGGCTGGACGCGCGGACTGCGTCGCGCGCTGAACATCACCTCAGGACCGCTATTGTCGACCGATGCACTCACCGAGTTTTTGTCGCTAAACATGTGTTGAACGCTGGCCTCACTCGCCCGTCGCTGGGAGGGCGCGGAATCTGCCGTTATCCTGCGGTACTTGGCACGGTCTTCCCCTTCCAGGGACACTATCCCACCCATCATGGTTCCCACCGGCGCCGAATTCTTCCGTCTGGGGACCATTCCCCCGCCAGGATGAGGCGGCTGCGATGGGCTCTGAGCCTCTCTTTTAATCAGCATCGGCGCCGTCGGCGATTCGGGTGACAGCGAATACTTGCTGGGCAAGGTACTCTTCGGGTCGTTCATGCTTTTGATATGTAGGCTTGTCCGCTCCAGGTTGTCCTTGCGTTGCAGATGCGAGCCTCGATTTGTATGTCGCTCTCGATGCCGCGTGCATAGGTCTTGCCGAACGAACGATCGCTTGCACTGGGGGAAATCGCAGAAATAAATCTGCTTGGGCTGATCTAGACCGGAGGAGTTAGCTGTTCCATTGCTCCTTGAGTATTCCGACCATCCCCCTAAGTCAAAGACCGGCGACCTCCCAGCCCGCCGCCACCGCGCAGTTGCCCAGTCCCCAGTGCCCACTTCCAAGTGCCCACTCCCCACCACCACCTAACCCCACAACCCCCCATATCATCCATGTTACACCCCCCGCCTCCCAAGCCTTCGGTCGGATCACATGATGAAGGATGTCTTACGGTTCAATTGATGTCGGTACAGGTGCTCAGCGCGCGAGTACGACTTCCCGCAGCCGGGATAGGGACACTCGAACTTCTTGTCCAGGCCTTTCCGACTCCTCCGTCTCTTCCGCGTGGTCGGAGTTTCCGCACCGATCTGCCCACTCCCGGAGGTCTCGCTCCCCTCCATCATATCCCCGCCGGGCCCGTCACGACTCCGTTCCCGTCCCCGCGGGGCCTCCTCCATGTCATCCTGATAGCTTTCCGTGCTCTCGGCCGAGTGGTTTGCCGAATCGTGGTGGGATGCCATCTGCTCGCCGAGGTTCTGCGCCTGTGCTTGTAGCTGCTGCTGCATTCGCTGGTCCTCCGGCGACTGGGAGTGCTGATGTGGTAACAATTGCTGTTGCTGCTGCTGTTGCTGCTGCTGTTGCTGCTGCTGCTGCTGCTGTTGCTGCTGGTCAGCGTGAAGGCCGCCAGCCGATCTTGGTGCTTGCATTCCCGAAACTCCGCTCACAGTGCCCGCCGCAATTTGAGACCCATTGACGTCCAATCCGATATGCATGTGAACCTCAAGCCTTTACTCCTTACTTCCTCAGCCGGCCACAACACGTGCGCCTCGCTAAGAGCAGTCCGGAGAGCTTGCTTTCTTTCTTGCTTTCCTTCTTTCTTTCCTTTCTTTCTTTCCTTTCTTTCTTTCTCTTTCGACGTACAGCTCTTCCTTCCTTCTTTATCGTCTGCTTCGTTCCCTTCCCACCACTTCGCACTCGCTCACACACACTCACACACGTACACACACGCACACACTCTTACCGTACGTGAAATGACGAGGTATCTATTCCGGCGGTGCGACTAGTTCTCGCAGTATGTATTCCGGTTGGACGGAAAAGGGAAGAGCAACCGCCCGAAGCGAAACGACGTGAAGAAACCAGGTACCGGGGGTCGGCACTCGGAGGTGTCTCCTCCGCGATCTGGTTTTTTTTCCGGCGCAGGCTGGCTTGTGAAGAATGGTTCAATCGACCCGAGGCGACAGCGGCGGTGGCGGGGCGACGGGCGACGGTGGAGGAGGACGACGCGAAGGGCGGGTGGTGAAGGGTGGGAGTGGGGGGGGTGGGGGATCTTGACACAGCGCAGATGGGGATAAAAAAATATGGAACGGAAACGGAATGGGTAGAAACAAAACAGCTGGGTTGATTGCGATTGCGACTGGGACTGGGACTTGGACTTGGACTCGGACTGGGCGCAAGGACGAAACAGCTATTGTGGATGGATGTGCGTGATGGGAGGGGGGGTGAGTGTGGGTGGGTGGGTGGATGTATGTATGGGTGTGTGCGTGTGTGTGTGGGTATGCAAGGATCGCTTATTTGCAAACACTCAGCAGCAGGTTCGAAGCAGCAGCAGCAATGAGAGGAAACGTTTTCCGGCCGGCGGCGAACGAAATCGGCGAGGTTTGGACGGGGGAGGGGGTGGGGATTGTAGATGACAGTGAGCGGCGCAAGCTACGGGGATGTATACGTAGAATGAGGAGAGGGGGAGGAGGGGGAGAGGAGGAGGAGGAGGAGGTGGTGGTGGATGAGCAGGAGGTGGGTGAGGAAGAGGACGTGGAGGTGGAGGAGATGCGGTGGTGGTGGGTTGGTTCCTGGAGAAGAGCCGGGGGGCTATTCGAATCGGCGAAGAATGGATGGATGCTGACTGAAGGCTGGTGAGAGGAGGGGTCCCGGTTGTCTTGTCGACGTCTTGCCTTCCCTGACTGGCACGTTTTCGCGAGCGCTCTTAAGAGATAAACTAGGCAGTGGCAGCACACTGGAGTACGAGGCAAAGTACTCTACTTGATAGTGGACCCTTTTCCTGCGAGGTGGGTTGTGTAGTGTAGTGGTGGGGCGTGGATAGAGGAAGGAGGGTGGTGGTGGAGGTTTTGTTGTGGTGGTAGTGGTGGTGGAGGAGGTGTTGGTGGTGGTGGAGTTGGTGGTGGTGGTGGTAGTCTTTTTCTCCTTCTTCGGTAGAGAGCGAGAGACCGAGTCGATTATTGGCCATGGGTGCTTTTGGGGATGGTTCGGTGGTGCTGATCGGAAAAAGACCTTGCAACAGAGACGAGGTCGTTAGAGTGGTTACCGAGAGTCCATAGGTGCGCTACGAGGCTATAGACTGTATGTATCTATCCACGAACGACTCGGTAAGTATCAGTTGCAGTCGCTGTGGCTGTGGCCGAGAAACCTTCAAATACATACGAATGACGATAGTCTCGGCGGAGAATCGAGATGCCTATGCGCATCCCCAGAGTACCGGTAGTAGAGTAGCCATCTCACTGCGGATAGATCACATGGAGCCTACTCCAACTACTCCAGACTCCAGAGTACGATGCATATTTCTCCAGCCCCAAGCCCCATCCTCCGCCTTTCGTTCGTTCGTTTGACTTCTCACTTACCTACAAACCTCCTTGCCAGGTATGTACCATACCCATCCCGCCAGGACCGACTTTATGTACTCGCAATTGTCCTGCTGCTGTCTGGCTGCTGGTTTACAGTACAGTATGTAGCCAACTAGAGTAGTGCAGGCGTAGTTACCTGTACTCCTACATAGTGACACAAACCCAAAGTGAGAGCGTGACTCTAGAGTCTGGGAGTCTGGATGGTAGTTAACGCTGATTTGAGCTTGGGGCGGAAGGGAAGGGGAGGGGGGCTGTGGAAGCGACAAAGTTATTACGCAATCGTAATGCGACGTCCGTCCGTCTGTCCAGTCCACGAACTCTTCTCCCCGAGGGCAAAATACACACACACACTCACATGAGTAGGGGGGTATGCTGCTGCTGGCTGCTGGCTGCTGGCTGCTGGCTGCTAGTAGGTAGGCGTGAGAGGGATGGACTGGACGGGCATGGACTGGACGGGCATGGCACTCCCCCCCACCCACCCGCCAATGCCCGGGCACATGTCCACGACGGTGCAAGTGGAACTTGAACAACGACGACGACGACGATGGGCGTGGGAGTGGGAGTGGGCGGGCGGATAAGGCTCGAGACGGAGCCTGGAGGGAATGGAAGGCAGGCAGGCAGAGGATGGGGCTCGTTCAGTTGCTGCGTTTGTGATATGTACAGTTGTATGCACTGTATGTAACTGGTGGTCATGCTATATACAACGGCGGGATTGGACTGGTGGGGAAATCGCGAGGACAGCAACAGCAACAGCAGCCCTTTTTTCTTTCTTTCTTTCTTTCTTTACGAAATCGTCACCGATTGAAGAAAGAAAAAATGAAGCGGTCGTGGATACTGGTACCAGCGCTGTGCTGCTGTTTCTTCTTCTTCTTCTCGAACAGCGAGCTCGAGAGTCGAGGATCAGAAACGCAACTACAGTACCTAACTGCAGTAACCTCATACGAGCGGCCACTCGCCCCGCTCGCTCCCCACATCGCGGCGGAGCCAAGATCTCGAGGCCGGAGGATCTCACAGCGTCACTACCGGTAGGCATGTACCACTATATAGTCACATAGAGTAGGAGGCACCTAGGTGAAGCAGCAAAGATCTAGCCCAGCCCATCTCGCAGAGCGGAGAATTCAAACTGCGGAGAAGAAGAAGAAGAAGAAGAAGAAGGAGAAGGAGAAGAAGAACATAGGTATCATACAAACGTAAGCACCATAAGCACCGTAAGCACCGTATGTACCGTATGTATGTGTGTATGTACGCACCCAAGTACCGTAATATCCCCACAAAAACTCGAAGCACTCTACTATGATCCCATCTGCAGAGTTTAACGGCGGAGGTACCGCGCGCGCACTCTATCCCTGGTGGTGGAGTAGAGTACTCTACCTACTCTACTCTAGGTACTCTATGGTATGATAGTAGATCCCCTGACGTCTCGACTCTCCGCAATATGAAATTTCGCTGATCGCCTGCAGACACACCACACACACGTAACTACTGGCGCCCCTCATTCGCGGGCCCCACAGAAGCAAAAAATGGTGCCAGGTGCCAGGTGCTGTCCGGCTGGCTGGCTGGCTGGCTGGCTGACACGCCTAGATCGCACCAGCACCCGTTTTTTTCTCTCTTTCGATCTGCTCCAGCCAATTGCGCAGCGCTGACAGGAGAAAAAATTCTTTCAGGTTGCAGGCTGCTGCTGCTGCACTGCACAACTCACGAGATGACGAAGGATGGAACTGCGACTGGCATGCAGTTGCTGTGGGGAAGAAAAGTGCAGGCTGCAGCTTGGTAACTAATAGAGTACCGTATGTATGTAGCATGCTTGGATGGCACAGCAAACCCTAATGGATGCCTCGCCGCCGGCAGGGTAATTGCCAGCAGCCAAAGAGTTGATTCGATCATTCGAGGGGAAAGAGTGCTCGCTCTTGCGCGAATAGTATGTATCATACATACATGACTCGAGTAAGCGGCCATCACTCGCTACTGACATGTCACTGTGAGGCGCAGATACGGATTCGCCGGCTACTCTGGGTACATAGCTGGGGTGCTGACTACTACTCTAGGTATAGGCAGCAGAACGGCGACTATCATCCGCTCTCTCTCATACATACCGCCTCATTGCCCCGCCTCGAATGGGACGCGAGCAGGGCAGCCTTACCCGACGAGACGAGACGAGACGAGGCCGATCGCAACAGCACATATGTATCTAGCAACCAGGACCTTGCCGCTGCTGCTGCTGTGAAATGAACCCCGCAAAAGCGTAGCCAGTAGCCAGTTCGCCGTTGTATGTAGCGTAGTGTACCTATTGTACTACGACTGTGCCGTCGATCAATTCAATGGCAACAACCCCGCACAGGACCGCACAGGGACCGCACAGGGACCACGATTGGACCCATGGATGGGCATGTAGGGGAAAACGAAGCCCAGCGGCCCAGCCCGACAACGGCGAACGAGAGGTCTCCGGACTTGGCGCCCGCACAAGCAATAATGGCTATTGGCGGCTCCGTGCGCGCATGGCATCGCCTAGGGCCGGCCGCGGGCGTGCTGCAGCCGCAAGTAGGTAGGCCAGAGCTACGGTACTCTACTCTACTCACCTATAGCCAGGCCACGGGGTGTCTGTTCCGTATGTAACTGCTGCTCCACTGTGCTCCAGAGTATGTACCGCGGACCGCAGTAGGGTGGTTAGCGTAGGTATTGTATGGTACATACAGTACTCTACAGCTCCAGCTCCAGCTCCCAGCGGCAATTAGTCACCTCAAAAAAACAATGACAACTTGGCAACTGATGTAGCAAGAAACATGCAGAATCCAATTGCATCCTAGTTTTCTGCAGCGCATACCACGATCCATCGTTCGATCCCTCCAATTACCGTATTCTCCACAGAGTGCCAGCCGTGATGTCCGCCCTTCGATACCTAAGTACCTACCCCACACCTAAAGGCTGAACCCGTGGGGTAGGAGCATTAGTAGAGTACACATCTTGCTGGTATGTAACACACTCCGTTTGACACTCTTTTCTCTTTTCTTTTTTGCTTCTAGCAGGTTGGCAGGTTGGCAGGTTGGCAGGTTGGCAGGTTGACAGGTTGGCAGGTTGCAAGTTGCAAGTTGCAAGTTGCAACTCCTCTACCGAACCCATCCACGGAATCTTGCTCATGCTGCTTCTCCTCACAGAAACGTTTGTCGAACGCACACACATACATACACACATACCTACTCCCGGGGTCATTTCCTTTTCCGTGTGGCCACTGGCCACTGGCAGAATCGATGTCCCACTCGCTCGTAGCGCACGATTTGTAAGTAACTTTTCTGGCATCCCCGTGGTGCCTATACTACCTGACTACTATATAGATAGTCCTATGAGTACGTTACTCTGTGATACTACATACCGTGACCTTACTCCAACTACATACCTTACTCCAGCTGCATACATACCCAGAGGCTAGCTCCCCCCACCAGCAGAAATTCCAAGCAGCCAGGCAGCGGGCAGTGGGCAGCGGACCGGGCCCGCTGCCCGCACACTCGACTGGCCGACTGGCCGACTGGCTGGCTGGATGCATGGAAGATTCCATCGGAAGCCAAGTTCCAAGATCCAACGACAGTTAACGACAGCCCCAACGACTCCTCAAAGCTGACTCCTTCAAAAGAACCGCGGCCAGTTTCGTTCCGCTTCGCACGCTCGCTCGCACACTCGCCCACCGGCCGTCATTTTGACTCCCGAGCACACCATCCATCCATCCATTCACGGGTGTTGGTGTATTGTACATACCGATATGTAAAAAGTTATGCAGAGTGCGTCCGTACTACGAGTCTACGACCATACCTACGGTAGTGGGTATGTGATGGATTTCGAACATCGCCCTGGAATTCATAGGTACCGCGGGGGATGTGGAGTACATACCGGTTCTCTGCGAGCCGCACCGCCGTCGCACCGGTTGCTGTTGCGAAGGTTATTCCTGTTTGGTTCTTGCTCCGTGTTCCAGACTGGAATTCCAGTTCGGAAGGTTCAAGGACTCAACGACTCAAGGGGAGAAGGAAGGAGCGGAAGAAAGAAGAAAGAAGATAAAGAAGGAGGAGACAAAAAGGAAAGGAAAGGACGACAGAAGTGACAGCAAGGCTGGCTGGAAGGAAGAAAAGAAACAGGCCTGACCCACAGCCAGTGAGCCACTGCGTTTCTTTCTTCCTTTTTCTACAGCAAAAGTGCAACCCGACGTCAACGACAACCTGTCCCAATCCCCGACTCCCCACGTGCTGTTGCTGTGTTGCTGTTCGGGGCAGGCAGGAGAAAAAGAAGCAGGTTGTCCACATTTGATGACTCGATGTTTGAGATCGCATTGCAGGCCGATATGTATGCGCCATGACCGTGACCACGACTGCACGCACGCAGTCTATGGCAACAAGCAATACCTACCTACTCTACATAACTTTCAGAAAACAAAAACAAACAGAGATGACGATGACGAGCTCGTCGTCGACAGAGCCACGGCCACGAGATTCTACCTGCCTGCAGAGCGCACATATTCTACAGGAGTGCAGCACCAAGAGCTGCCACCACAATCCGCACGCAGAGCACACGCAACACGTGCATGAACGGTTGAAATTTCTATCATATGTGCCCAAGTACAATACATAATTCTTACCCTGTGTACCGTACGGTATGCTGCATCCTCGTCGCTGCGGCCGGCCTTTCACCATTGGGGGGGAGGGGGAGTCTGGGATGGGGCGTCACATCGCACAACAGTAGCAGCAGCAGAATTTTTTTTCCACGAATGCGGGGAAAAAGACGCTTGAGATGAAAGCAAAGCGACATGTGAAACATGGCGAATGAGATGTTGGCTAGGTAGGTAGCCGCACGGAGGAGTCCGCACCAGAGATTGGGCTGTAACTTGCTTCTTCGTAGGTAGCCTGTAGGCCTTCTCCGAGGGTGTGTGATTCGTGCATACCTTGATACACGCTTCTTACTTACTACTTGGTTACATACACCATACACACAATGGACGGATGGACAGCCGTTCTTTTCTACAGACTCTCAGCCTTCTGCCGAGTACATACCGTATGATGGTATCTACCTAGGTTTGCTCCAGTACCTATGCGGCAGCGACGAAAAGCTCTCTGCCAACTCCTCAGAATTCGCGCATCCAAGCAAGCTACCAAAGCATCCAAGTACCCAAGTATCATAGTACCCAGGTGCCCATAGGCCATGGATCGTGGACCGTGCAGCGCTGTCCGTTCAGCCAGCCCGCGGAAACCCCACCAGGAGGAGGAGAAAGCACGCACGTACCCACCTATGTATCCACCTACCCGCCCGTTGCCCTCCCGTTGCCCCCTCCCCCCTCCCCACCCCATCAACTCGCGACTAGCTACCACAGGTACAATACATACCCATCGCATGCGCGATGCAGGAGCTTGTCGCGCGTCCGAGTAGGCAAAGGAAGGAAAGTCTTACATAGGAACCACAGTGTGGAGCCTGGAGTGGAGGGAGTGACGTTCGTGCTACACAGGGGTGGGGGGTTGGTTCGGCCCACCCCCCAACCACGCGGTTGAGTGGAGCCCGGCGGATTAAACGCCAGCCCGGGGCTGCACAGGCTCGTGGAGCTTGGAGGTGGTGGTGCTCGGCTGCTATGCGAGTAAGGCCTACTCTACTATACTCTAGTACTACAAGTGCCTGCCTATCATCACTTCGGTTCACTACCCCGCTGGCTAAAGGGATTGCATACATAGAGGGATGAGAGTATGCACTCTGCATATATATGCAGGGGACCGTCGACGTCGACGAACTTACATATCATGCATATGTACACTACCTTGTTTACGCCGGTCTTGTTGAGCCCGGACTAGACTGCAGATGCTACATATCATAGGTACATATATCACTGGTCGAGAAGTGCCATACTCTATGTACATACAAAGGTAGGATTTCTGCATGTCAACTGGGAGATGGCAGGCAGATAAGCCCGTACGTACCGTACATACACATGATACCGATACTCCAAGGTCGAGGCTTTTTACTCGTACACATGTAGAGTACATACATAGAGTAGAGTACGTGCCGTCCGCGAACAAAGCGTGCAAATAGGTACCGTATAGTCGTCACACCTGGAACCATTGACGCAGAGTGAGTACATACACATCTAGATACCGTAGAGTACTCACTCTACTCTACCCAGAGTAACAGGTAATATAGCATCAGGGGTTCGGACCGGCACGATTCGTCGAACACACCTATTAACAGGACGAGATTCTTCGGAAACCCCCTAGCCGATAACTAGCGATTATAATTGGGTCGATAGATACTCGATAGTTACTCTGTGTACTCGACCTAAACCCATCGCTGTAGAACTCCGAGGAAAAGCTCCAAAAATTCACAGATCCCAAGAAAAGGAGTGCATGCCAACTTCCAAGCATAGGCAGATCACTAGAGTACCTAGGAGGATAATTAGTCCGGCCGGGCCAGGCCAGCCGCACAGGTGTTTTTTTTGGTTTTTTGTGCTGGTGTCAGTGGTCTGTCTCGGAGGGATTAACCCTAACCTGCGTTCGGCGACACGGCTAGAGTCTGTATGTAGAGTAGGTACTCGGCTCTATTGGAGCACATGTTGTTCGATCGAGGTGTTCACGGCCTAGGTATTCTACAGACCACGGCTCCGCCATGTATAAATGTGGAATACTACCTAGGTATATAGGTAGTAGTAAGTCTCAAAGGCATATGTTATGTGGGTACCTTTACGTCCTAGGTAGCCAAGAGGATCACCCTTCCCCCTCCCCTGCCGTGCGTCTGAAGGGCGACGGGCTTCCTCACAACTTGATGTCCCCACCCCTCCCACCGGTGCGCCCTTTCGCGAGGCGTCTATATGGTTCCCCACCACCACCACCACCACCACCACCACTGGAGCAGTGCCCTTGCCATACCCTATCATAGGAGCTTCAGATGGATGGCCTACATACCGGGAAATCCTTGGGGTGGGTCTGGGTGGGTCTGGGTATGGCAGGAGCTCGTTACCAGGAACCTAATGTGGCTCAGCCTTGTAGGAACTGGGGGGTAGAGCCCGGGGGGACTGCCGCGGAGAAAGCCCACAGGTTCCAGGTGGATCGGAGATAGCAGAACCACATTTAGGTCGCCGGGAAAGTGGTGTCTGGGAAGCTGAACCATGTTGCGAGGTACGGTGGAGTACCTGGCCCGACCATCTATGTACGGTACATAGCTATGTATTCCGCACAAACCATATACATACTCCGGTAGAGTAGAATAGTAAAGAGACCATAGCCATCGGCATCAGCACCATTTCTATTCGCCCACTTGGAAGGCTCATCAAACCCACCCAACACAAGGTATCCCCGAAAATCGGCATCAGCATCAGCACTTCCATTCGCCGGTTGAATTTGGAAAAGCTCATCAAGCTCACCCAATAAAAGATATCCTCCGAAATCTGCACTTCCGAGGAGGAGAAAAGCCACGCCGAATTGACGACGTCTCGGAGAGACCGGAAGAAAGAAAGAAAGCAAGAAAGAAAAAAAACGCGTCGTCCGAGTGGGTTGTTGGCTTGTCTCGCATTGGGCCGCGAAGGTGGCCATCTCGGGATCAATGAGCCCTTTATGGACGGTCGAGCAATACCGTACGGTAGGTAGGTACATACGTTGGCTCGAATCCCAGCTCTAGATGTCCACCCCGTCGGATTTCAATAACAGCTGGGTCAAGATTGCCAGATTGAGAGTCCGAAGTACCTATATGTACCATAGTACACATCTAGGAGGGGAGGCCGGGCACCGTGCGCACGGGCCAGCGCTTAGGCAGAAGCCAATGGTGTAGAGTACCTGTGTACTCCAGAGTGCGTTGGTGATGTTTTGTGCTGGGGAGGGGGGGGGGAAGGTTGCAGTCGCCTGTTTGTTTAGTCGCGTGAGGTGCATTTCCAGTTAGTTAGTGGATGGTCTGTGCACGAGGTCGCAGTTCGTATGACGTTTCGTGTAACGGGCCATGTTCATCTTATCTAATCTCATCATCGAATTACGAAAACCCCCACACCGCTGACAGTGATTCTTCAACGACAGGCGTCCCCCCACGCATGCAACCCCCACGACACTTCGACTCGACAGTACGGTATGTGGGTATGTACTACCCCCGTGGCCTGCCATCGATGAGTTAATTGGGGGTCACTTCTCCTGAAGAAGGCGACATCCGATGCTGCTACTCTACGTAGTGTTTCGTGGCTGTTCGCTGTTATGGACCTACATACCCGAACGAACTCACCGGATCTTCCTGCCTGAAGCTGTACACTCCATTCGCCCTCCTCCCCCCCATCACCTGCATTTCGCCTTACCCCGCGCTACCAATTTCCCCAGGAGAGGTTACACATTTACACACGGCATGGTCCCCGCGAGATCGGCTGTGTCTGCGCCTATGGTGTAAAGTAGAATAGTACTCTGGGTAAGGGCGAAAGGATTAAAAAAAAAGCACGGTTCGGCGACTTCGGGATCCAGTCCGCTTGCATGGTTTCATCTCAACATACATACACACACAGAGAGACACCACACCCTCACGTCAACGGGTGATGACGAACGGAGATGCTGTTGACTGGACTGGCAATTGAAACCTGTCGATCATCATCCATCTCCGTCACCCGCCTTTTTGTCAGCGAGTCAACGGCGACCGACTGCTACTATAGATACAAAGTAGGTAGATATGGGGCGAAGGGATGTGATGGGTAGCTAATATTGGGTCGTTTATCTGTGCCTCCCGCCCGCCCAACCCCGTGGGCAATGGCTGACTGACTGGCTGGATGACTGGCCGGCGCTGGACGCATCAACTGGGTGGTATCATACATACTTTTTGTGCGACTAAAAGATGCAGACGGTATTCTGCCGTCGGATCCGATCCACAAAAGAAAGCAAGAGCACATTACTAGCCCGCCAACTATTCCAACTACCTCTCAACTCGGGTTGGGACAAGCACAAGCTGCACCGTGCAAAAAATTTCAACTTACCCGGGAGATCTGAGACTGGGGTACAGCTTCGATCTTCTCCCCCACTCGATGGAAAGTGGCATCAACGAGGCGGCGGTGGTGTTGTTTGGGAAACAGTGGGGTCTACTAGTACCGTCGTTAGTTACAAGCCACCACAACAACAAGCCCACGCTTACCCCACCAACCCATGTATTCGTACCTACCTGAATACTTTACCTATGCATCCTGCCAGAAAGATGGAGATGTACGGCCTGCCAGGAGGAAACGTACCTGGCGTATTCAGGAACGCCCGTGCGTTAGTTTCGGTGGTGGGGACGGGAATGAGGTTGTGCTGGTGACTCCTGAGTGAATGACAAGCTATGAAGAATTCGGTGTGAACCGTCGGGTTTTTACTCTGGCTCTATCGAAGTGAACACTTCCGAGGAGGCATGGAGGATCTCGGGGAAGGTACACGCATTCGATATCGAATTTTCCTACATACCTTGAACCGAGAGACCGAGTAACTGTTGTGGATATAAGGGCGGCAGCGCTCTCCAATAGCCAGTCCACCCAGGGGGAAGGGGGGAGGGCATCCATCCTTAGTATGTACCATACTTTAATATCAACATCCATGTCGGTCTGACACCCAGTCCCCGGTCCCAAAAAAAACGCTGAGATTGAGGGGCAGCATTGCTTTGCTTTGCGGACGGCGTATCTGCCTTTAAATGAACCGTTCGTTATCACATCCGAACAACCACCGCTCCTTACCCCTCTCCCCCGATGTTGATATCTCCAGCCGATGGATGAGCCCATATAGTGCCGTAGTTTTGACGATTCAGAATCGGCCATGCACCGTTAGGGATCCATCGACCGGCCGTTCCCTCCCTCGCTCCCTCCCTGCTTTGGCTGCCGCAGCTGACGCGTGAGAATACCGTCGTATATACATACAGGTAGGTACATGAATAAGAATGAATGCACCATATGTTTCCATCTGGAAACTTTCGCGGGAAAAAACAATACGGAGTGGGGCTGTCTCGCTTCTCCTGGTACCGAAATAACGGGCAAGGTATGGCCTCCTGATCCTGATCCTGATTCGCTTTTACCGCCAGCAGCGGCGGATGGGTTCTGTTCCGTCAACTTGGAATCAGTACCTACATAGGCAACGACCTACATACCCAGTCAACCCAACACCAGGTACATACAAAGGGTGCTTGCTTGGCTGCCGGATCTTGCTTACTTCAGACCCACGACCCATGGGTGATGGATTACCTACTACATACAACCGCTCTGCATGTGTTGGCAAAAAGCAGAAAAAATGAGTATCTATTCCACCTGAATTCCGCGCAGACGGACCAGGAAGAAGAAGAAAGAGAAGAAGAAGAGATAGACAATAAACCGCATCCCCTCCTCCTCCTCATTGCGAGATTCGTCACCAAGGCAGTGGTTGTATGTAGGGAGGGGACCGCGATGAATGGTCACAAGCAACAGATCGAGGCCAAAAAAGCAAAGATGCTACTGGTGAATGTGTGTGTGTGCGTGCGCGTCTGTGGGTGTCTATGGGTGTCTATGGGTGTGACTGATAACGTCGCCGGGACTGGTTTGCGACGGAGGCATTCTTCTGTGCTGTCTGCTGTCTGCTCAGTCTGTCAGCGTTGCTTCCAGCTGGCTGTCGACGACATATCATCATATCTGTTGGTACATCACTGGTCCGAAAGCATTGGATTGTGGATGGATGGATGGATGGGTGGATGGATGGATGGATGGATGGGTGGATGGATGGATGGATGATGCGTGTGGATCTATCACTGTATGTATGTACAACCGAACCGTGAAGATGGCCCCAATCCTACCTATGATCTCCGTATCACTTGACTACCGTATTGCTCGAGGTGTTGATCACCGGTGCACCGACACCGAGTGCGAGTGATGCCAGCGCAAACCGCCCAACTACCTACCTAGAGTCCTAGACCCATCGAGATCGAAGGGAGATTTGATTGTCCGTGCAAAAAAAAGAAGGCATGTGGACCGGACTGGTCTTACTACGGTTATGTACGTTGTATTAAACGCACCTACATATACCCTCGACATGATACATATGTACCTAAGTAAATGCCTAGTTGTTCGTCTACATACCTGTAGGTCGGAATAAATCTGCACCGTCCATGTCGACCATCGGATTCAATTGCAGAATGCACACAACGCAGTAGTAAATCTCTGGAGACTAACTATGCCTATCGGGATTGTTTTACCCAGGGTTGCATCTGATGCAATCTATGGACTCCTATCTTCGGCTTCAGCGGTCGGGAAGTGCGGGGGGAGAGGTGGGTCGGAGGGGGAGAGGATTTGGAGGGGGGATTTCTGTGTTACGTTTTACTGTTCCCAGAGTGCCTATGAAGAGAAAAAGAAAAAGTCATCTGGCCATGGATCTTGCAATATTTACACCACTAATAGGACAATACCTTACCTACAAGTAACTATTGGCTGACCATAGCGAGTAGGAAAGTAAGTAGGCTACCGTTTCCCAATGGAGCAAAGACATGCAGCTGTACATATGTACATATGTACCTTGTGCGTGGGAAACGTAACGGGCTGAGGAACGAACTGGGGGTCCTGGGTTAGGCCGTTTGATTCCTGGTCACGAACTCGGAACCCCTGATGATGGCGGGGCAGTGCCACAGTGGGTGGCGAGGAAGATCGGTCTGTCTAGAGCACCTACGACCCATCTGGTCCGGATCCCGAAGGTTTACCGTGATCACCTGATGGGTGGTGGTAATCTACGTGAAGGACCAGCAACATTGGAGGCAGTTGCCTAGCTTCTGAGCAAAATGATAGTTGTTGCGTAAGAGGGTACGCTAGTTTGATACGTCAGTACTACTATATACCGTTGTGTACCCGAAACCTATCAATCTGGGAGAGACTTGTGGCTGGTCTTCTATGGTATATTAGTAGTTTAAAGTATGTACTCTCGTTAGAGGTGTGCTCGGGTCAAACGGCTGCGGGCCGCTAAAGTTGACCAGTGAGATAGTTAACGGCGGCAGTCATTGGTGTCAGAGGAGACAAGCCTGGCCACGGATCGACGACTACGCAGCCAGCAATTACAACCTCAACACCAGTGCTCATCTTCATGTGTGTATGTACCTATCATACATACCCTCTCACCATCTCATCCATCTCGTAAGTGCGTCCACAGTTTGTCATAACAAACGGGCCACGTGCAATACAGTACACCGATCTCCGTGTACAGAAGCCTGTTTTTGAAACACCCAATGACTTCTCGCCAGCCGATGCATGATCGCCCCATTTCATCACTCATATCTGAGGGCCAATAGACTGGTACATATCAGGCAATAGTGGTTACCCCATCTGTTCGTCTTCCTGCCTGCCGTCCATGAATCCCGAATCCATGCATCATCAAATGTATAAAGTATCGGGTGATCGTCGATGATGCAGTCATACTCGCACAATCGTGTCGACCGGTTTGCCGTCTCGAGCCATGAGATGTAGCCAATCACTACAACTGGAAGTGAATATCCCTCGCCCGCTGCTCTCTCCTCGTTGTCGACTTCTCGTCCATCTGAACCGGAATGCTCAACTTGAGTTTTGACGAGCAATTACGCTATACATCGAGTATGTACATATGTAGAAGAAGTCGTGTCTACTCGAGGAAGCCCTCATTGAGAGAGAGAGAACATCAATTTATTGTCGCATGCAGCCTTACTAGACTATGGCGACTACCAACTTCCCAACCTTTCCTGCCAAAGAAAGCCCTCATTGTACATACATACATACATGCAAATTGGATTGGATTGGATTGGATTGGATGGGATGGGATGGGATTGGAGTGGACTGAACAGGGGGACTGGAGTCTGGGTCGGTGATTTGGTGATTTGGTGATTTGGTGAAGTACATATGCGGATCGTTGGAGGCGGGATATGGGAGGAGGTGGGAAGAGGGGGGACATGTAAATAAGAAGTAAGTATGTATGTAAGTAATGGATATGCCGTGCGGTTAGAACTTAGAACTTGGGGATTGTCGTTCCGAATAGTAAATGCTAGTATTTGACCAGGTCACCAAGGAAGTTCGTGTGAAATCGAAGGTGTAAAATCGAAGGTGTAAAATCGAAGGTGCTGGCGGGGCTCTGGGGAATACCTTCTCTACACAGGTAGGTATTATACCAATGGCCAGAACACCTAGGCCGGATACCTACCATAACTACCGTACTGCTGGCGAACCGCCGAAAAAACATCTTCATCGAATCACCGTAAAGTCTAGTTACTTACTTACCTAATGTACTCCAGTGGAATAGGTACCGCTAGGTATGACTCGGCCAGTCGGAGGCTGGCCACTTCCCGTCTTTTCTCGCCTCGTCTGGTTTCGTTTCGTTTCGTGCTTTTCGTGCAACGTTAAGCTGAGAACGCGGGTGATACTTCATGCAGTACTGAGCCTGTCGGGACTCGGCATGGCCATGGAGCGCCGGCTGTACTCGGTCGTAGTTAACCAACCTCGAGCTCCGATAATGCCCCACCACCTTCAGACGCATGGTCATTACGATAGCCGGTATGTAGCAGGTGTCTTCCATGCCGGCATCTAGAAACGCGCAATTGTACATGTATAGCCGCGGGAAGAGGGATCCACTCTACTCTAGCTGGAGGGCGTATGCATTCCCAACTATACGTCCATCGCGGCAGGTGGGAGATAATCCGCTTAGATAGATACTGGTGTTTGCATCGATCCATCCCACCTGCAGGCATAATAATCCGAGGCATTGTTTCGCTAGTGCATGGTGGGGTGCATTTCGACAGCCGAGGCACGCGGGGCAGGTTTTGCGGGTGCGTGTATGCTCGTACAACGGCCGCGCCGGCTACGGGCTGCGATTGCGATGCCATGGTGAGGACAATCGCAATACAGTGCGGAGTTGGGACCCCGCTAGAAGGGAGAGGAGCGGATGGGGGATCTGCGTATGTATAAGCTGCCCGTCCGACCCGTGCCAGGTCGGTTGAAGTGGTGCAAGTCCGTAACCACGTCCCCTTCATCCTCCCCACACATCATATCGCTCCAGACGTACCGTCGCCGGACCATCTCCCCAAACCCCAGGTTCAGATACGCTCGCCAATTGCAGGAAATAGAAACAGAACGGAACGCACACAGGCACGATGACTATCCAGGAGTGGACCGCAAAGGTGTGTTCGTACGTTCGTTGGGATCGCCAGCTGGCTAGCTAGGTGCGGCGCGACTGACGTGTGTGTGGCGGGGAACGGATAGATCAAGAATAAGGACCTGTTCATCTCGTCCGCCTTCATCGATGGGGGATGGGTATCCGCGCAGGGCGGGGCAACGTTCGATGTTTATGGTCTGTCCCCGCTGTGTCCAGTGTCCATATCTCTGGTTGTGTATGTATGTGAGCTGATGAGTGGTGACGTATGTAGAACCATCGACTGAGGAGGTCCTTGGAAAGGTCGCCAATCTTAACCGCGACGACATCAAGCGGGCAATCGTGAGTGCGGACGCGGCGCAACGGGAGTTCTACAAGACCTCCACGGCTGCGGGGCGGAGTCTCCTCCTCCGGAAATGGAACGATGCGATTCTTGCCAATGCCGATGACTGTGAGTTTCAAATGAGATGGAGTGGTTTTTTCTGGCGCCAGGATTGACGGGATGGATGAATATAGTGGCCACAATATTATGTCTCGAAAACGGCAAGACCTTCCTTGAAGCCAAAGGCGAGATCACATACGCCGCCAGCTTCGTCTCCTGGTTCTCGGAGGAGGCCACACGCGCTTACGGCGAGACCATTCCCTCATCCTACGCCAACACCACCGTCCTCACGCTCAAGCAGCCCGTCGGCACGTGCGCCATCATCACACCATGGAACTTCCCAGCCGCCATGATCACGCGCAAAGTTGCGCCTGCTCTAGCAGTCGGCTGTTCGGTCGTCATCAAGCCTCCGTCCGAGACCCCGTTCACCTGTCTTGCGCTCACGAAGCTGGCCGTCGACGTGGGCATCCCCGCCGGGGTCATCCAGGTGGTCCCTACGAAGGACCGGGAAGCGGCGACGGAGCTCGCGACGAACCCGTTGATCCGGAAGCTTAGCTTCACGGGGTCCACCGGCGTCGGAAAGATGCTCACGAAACTGGCCGCGGGCACGATGAAGAAAGTTAGCATGGAGCTCGGTGGCAACGCGCCGTTCATCGTCTTTGAAGATGCCGATTTGGATCTTGCCGCTGAAGCGGCCATGTTCTGCAAATTCCGGTGTTCCGGTCAAACTTGCGTCTGGTTTGCCACCCCCACCCCCACACGCATCCCCACTATCAATCCTCCCCCGCTAATGACCCCACCACAGTGCGAACCGTCTCTTGGTGCACAAATCCATCGCACCGGCGTTCACCGCCAAACTGGTCAAGCTAGTCAACGCGCTCAAGCTCGGCAGCGGCATGAACCCTTCCACAACCATCGGGCCACTCGTGAACCGGTCGGGCGTGACCAAAGTCGCCAAGCACATCCGAGACGCCGTCGCCAAAGGCGCCAAGATCGAAGCCGGCGGCAAGGAACCTTCGGGCCCCGGCTTCTTCCACGAGCCCACGGTGCTCTCCGGCGTTACCGCCGATGCGCTCGTCGCCATTGACGAGACGTTCGGCCCGCTCGCGCCCATCTTCGAGTTCGAGTCCGAAGACGAGGCGGTGACCATGGCTAATGCGACAGAGTTTGGGTTGGCTGGGTACTTCTTTTCCCGCGATATCGGCCGCGTGCTGAGAGTCGCTGCGGCTCTGGAGTGCGGCATGGTCGGCATCAATACCGGGAAGATCTCGGCGGCCGAGGCCCCGTTCGGTGGCATCAAGGAGAGTGGCGTCGGCCGCGAAGGAAGTCTGTACGGTATGGCTGAGTACCAGATTATCAAGAGCGTCACTATCGGGAATACGCATCTTTAGGCATGTGTATGTTTTGTCTTTTTGGTTTTTTTTGTATAATTATGAGATCTACGAATGAACGCTGGTTTTGGATGCGCGTTCGCATATGTACTCACTCGATGTGACGTTTATGCACGGGGTTTGGAGGGCAACGCTACGTAGCTTTGACAGCTATCGGCTAGGGACAGCTAACATATGTACTCCACATACATACATCGCTGGGGCCATCTCGATTCTCGAGACCACCGTGTTCCTGGTGATGGGGACCGTGGGGTTGGGTGGGGTTCAGTGTGGGGTACATACATCCACGGCTATCTACATAGAGCCGGCCGATCATGTACCATCACTCCGGTCATTATATTTAACCGGATTCCTGACCGTGTGGGTACGTGTTCGGAAAACAACTGGGACCGCAGTAGTGGCAACAAGCTGTCGGCACTTCAAGTCTTCACCCATCGTAGCCGGTTGTCTGGGGCGAAGATCCCCCGCTAAAATCCGCTAGAAGGGAGCGACAGACAAGATCGTAGGTATGCTTCCTCGGGCGGCGTGGTTGTATTGGATGGAACAGTATTGTTGGGTGGAGCTACGTCAATGGTTATAACTCCAGAGATAATCATATATCCGTATTCGCCATGGAATTGGATTATGAGATGGATATAACCAGCCATGTGTGGACTGTGGACTTTAGAAAGTGAGTTGAGCCGTTGACGCTGATTCATGTTCACTCTCGGTGCACCTCACATGACGCCCACACACAATTCAACGATATGATGCCATTCGAAGAAGCTAAAGTTCGGCTGGTTGGCTCGGTGCTGTCGGAAGTGGTTAAAGAGAAGAGCGAATAAATCGCGTACATACTGTCTCTGCAAGAACAAAAGAGCGAGAGCCGTGTATGGTGAGGTACTCTACATCGGCGGCGGTGACGGCGGCGGGATCTCGAAATCACGACGCTTGGAACATCGGCACTATATATGGTGAGCGGATTAATAGGTAAATTAGTTGCATGAAAAAAACCTTACCTTATGATGATGATCCGACATTCTTCCAACTTCAATCGCAGCTCGAGGCTCTACTGCATGCAGGTGATTAGCCTGAGCTTAACCCTACTTCCGTTACACACATCAATCGTAGGTACAATCATCTCTGGTCTACAGCAGACTTATTTTCTCCTGCGTCGAAACGAAAGGGTGCAGGTCGGGAAGGGTGGAAGTCCATACGGTAGAGAAAATGCTAGTATCGGGTGGTATGTACATAAAAGGCGCCGTGGACTCAGGTCAGCGTCCTCATTACTCTGAAGCAGCTCTTGGAAGCCGCGCCAAAGTTTCATGCAGAGTGAGGATACACATTCGTTGGTCGAAACGAATGGGAGCTTCAGAACTCACCACCGCAGCGAGTGACTGAGAATGATTGCTTTACGTGCAGATCACGTGTTGGTTGATTGTAAATACACAAACACTAATCCCATTGACTTTTATCTCACTCAGCGATCGACAATAAAGTGTTTCGGCGCCGGTTAGGTTAATCGGGTGCATTGTTGCTCGCGTGTCTGCAGCAGGCTGCTGTGGCCATTGCGATTGGCATGAAGCACCCCAGCCGAGTTACCTTCGAGCACAGGACTCACTAAAAGTGTGAAGTAGCTTTAACACGCAACCACCCACCCCCACCTAACGCCATCATCACCACCTCCATCTCCATTACTCTACCGCAAACCAAAATTGCCACATGTCGTCTTCCAACAGCAGTAGCATTACTCCTCCACCATCGCTAGACCAGCTATCCGACGCGCAACGGCAGGCGCTGGAACAAGTCACCTCGATAACAGCCCAAGAGCCGACACAAGCTATCCCCTTACTACACCTCTCGCAATGGAACGCCCAGGTAAGCAGCCTCTCCTTCCCGCCCCTTTCCTTCTCGAGTATTGATCTCCTTGCTCCTAGATCGCAATATCCCGGTTTTTCGACGGTGAGACCGCCGACTCTGTTGCGGAAGCTCTTCAAGCCGAAGAGTACGCTCGCGCACAAGCCGCACCTCCGCCGCCGCCGCTACAAACACCCACCGCCGTCCCCCGACGCATCAACACGGCAGTCCTTTCTCCTGCACCTCGGATAGTCCCACAACGCGATGCGGCCGCGCGACGGCCACCGTTCCTGATTTCAATACTCCTCTTCCCTTTCTCGCTGGTGTGGCGGATCGCAAATGGAACGATTGGCCTTATCTACCTCATTTTTCCGTTCCTACCGCGTTTCCGCGCGCTCCAACAGACACCGACGCCTACAACGAAGCGTTCGCTAAACCCGCGAGACACGGCGGCGCGCTTCATTCGCTCGTTCGAAGAGGAATATGGTTCCACATCTGGCCTTACCTGGTTCGATGGCGGCTACGCGCAGGCACTGGATCTCGCTAAGAAGGAGCTCCGATTCCTGCTGGTAGTACTGCAAAGCGACGAACACGACGACACGTCCGCATTCAATCGGCACACATTGACGTCCCCCGAAGTGGTTTCGTTCGTCAAGACGCACAACATCATCCTCTGGGGCGGATCCGTGCAGGAGAGCGAGGGCTTCCAAGTAGCCACCGCACTGGGCTGCACTAAGTTCCCCTTCGTCGCGCTGATCACACACGCACCCAACACTCCGCCCAGCGCCAGCTCGCAGGGCATGAGCGTGGTTTCGCGCGTTGCCGGCGTCGTCACCCCCGCCGCCTTCACCCAGAAGCTCCTAAACGCCCTCAACACCCACTCCCCCGCGCTCGAACGCATCCGCGCTCAACGTGCCGTACAGGCTGCGGATCGCCAGATCCGCGATATGCAGAACAGCGCGTACGAAGCTTCGCTAGCGCGTGATCGGCAGCGGGCACGTGAGCGCAGGGAAGCGGAGGAGGCGGCTCGTCGTGCACAAGAGCAAGAGGAGCGTCGGGTTGTCGCGGCCACTACGCTTGCCAGGAATCAAGAGCAATGGCGAAAGTGGCGCGCCTCGAATATGCCGCCGGAGCCCAAGGAGGGTGCTGTTGCTAGAGTATCCATCCGCACCACGGACGGAGAGCGTGTGGTGCGCCGTTTCGAGAAGACCACGACTATGGAGGAGATCTATGCATTTGTTGATTGCTTGGGCGTGGAGTGTGAAGGAGGGGAGGCGAAGCCTGTCGACTACGAGCATGAGTACTCTTTCCGCCTTGTCAGCCCCATGCCTCGGAAGGTGTTCCTGCCCGACGGGACGACGGTGGGGCAAGAGCTTTGGCCGAATGGGAACCTGGTGGTCGAGAGCCTGGTGGATGATGATGAGGACGACGAGGAGTGATTCCGAGTGCTTTAGTTTTCAACTTTTCATTCTCGGTTTCATTGCGGTCTTTTCCTTCCCGTAGAAGTGGAGCGGGCGCGGTTGTGTCCTGCTTTTCTAGCGGGCCATGTTTTGGGTTGGGCTCCCTCTTGCACAATAATTTCATTTGAATTTAGTATAATGCCTTGCGCCGTAGTAGATGAACGGAATTATGTATCATTAGAGCTCATCCAATGCGTGACGCTGTAGGCTTTAGCCTATGCCTCCAACCGCTGCAATTGTGACTTGACCTATTGTCACTGCCCCGCACTCGCCCCTTATCGTTCACGTAACCTTCGTACATACGGCAACGACGACTATTCCTTCGCACGATAGGATGGATGTACAGTAGCAGAAGAACAGTGGCTGTCGCCCTCCGCTTCATGTCAAACAATGGACTCGTTCACTCCGTCATATCTCAGGCACACACGACAGCATTGCGCTCGACTCTGATGATGGCATTGACCGAACGAATGGAAACTAGTAGAGATCACAACTGTAATACACGTAGGTTAGGTACTACGCTAACCGACAACAGAGGTAGCAGAGTTGAAGCACAACAAATGTGGATGGGATGTCTAGCAAGACCAATGCCTGCCAAGTTGCCATTCACTTCTCGCCCTTTCGTCTCTACGGTATCCTCGGCCAGACTTTTCCATCATCTTTTCGAAGTAGCTACCCTCGAAGTATATAGCTATCGATAAACGAACGAGCAGGTAGATATGATATCTGCAATCACTGGCACCGTGCTCACTCTGTGCTCACTCGGTGTCGCTCAGATTCTAGGATCGACGTGAGGTGTGAGATGGCAGGATTCCGACTCGGCATGATCACGGTGCATGGTAATTGACCACTGCGACTACCTACGTCTGTGGATCTATAGAGCTAATCCAAGTGCAAGACTGAGTTCCGTGCGTCTAGTATGTATTGTACATATGCGGTGCCTCGGCGGAAGAGACAATGTGCGCCCACTCCTGAGTCTCAACGAACGTTTACGAGTGCCTGAGGTGTCCTCCGGTGCCCAAGGTATCCTCCGGACTGCGGAGCTATCGGACGTCTAGATTTGACAGCTCTTCCCTGGCAAAGTCTACAATCACGGCGAGTTCCTGGTTACGTGGTTAGGAACGGATAATCCTGTAGTACTCCGGACAGGAGCAGGGGCTGGCCACGCGATCTCACGCGGCACGCGGCGAGTGATAAAATAATAACCCGTTCCGAACCGTGGTTTAAATCGCGGCCCCCAAAAACAAAACAAAAACCTTCACCACCCCCGGTGGGGTGGCTTGGAAACCCCGATAGATGGAACACTGTCCATGCTAACTCCGCCGGGTGCGTGACCACTAGGCCACGCGGGTTTTTTCCGTACAGGAAGACTGTTGATTCCGTTAATAACCACGTCGCGCCAACATGAGCAACAGGCTTATCGACCACGCCAGGTGTGTCCACCCCCACTGCCCAAGTTCGGCCCGATGTGAGTTACCTACGGCCAGAATACACCGCCATTGTCTCGACTCTCACTTCTGGACACAGGGGGCGAGTGCTGATATGTGAACTGCTTGAGAATACGATCTTCTACCATATACTCGAACCAAACACTTGATGTGTATCCTTCTCCATATCTACTGCTCAACTAACGCGTAGGCCCGCAAGAGAGAGAGAGAGAGAGAGAGAGAGAGAGAGAGCGCATCAATTTATTGTCGCATGCGGTCTTTAATAGACTATGGCAACCACCAAGCGTAGACCCACAATACATATAAGAAATATTCCGGATCATAGTTATTCGAGTGACATGTCATGACCACGCACGTGCAAGCCAAGCCAAACTTGCCCCGCTACTTGGTTAGTTATCGCGAGCCCGGGGGGTGTGGCGAGGCGGCGGGAGGGGCATATGACGCTATAGGTATCACGAACATCAGAGTCGCGCCTCACCCACACCGCCGCCGCCACCGATCCCGATCCCGAAGGCACCTTTTGCCAGCCCGCGCCGCACACGACATGCACGAGATAGTCACGCTCCAGCTGGGTCACCAGGCCAACTACGTCGGGACGCACTTCTGGAACACGCAGGTATGCGGCGCACACGAGCACACATCTTTGGCATGTTGTGCTGGGGCACGGGGTAGCTGACGGCGCGTTAGGAATCGTATTTCACCTACGGCGACGATGAGGGGCCGAGCCCCATCAACCACGATGTGCACTTCCGCTCCGGCCTCGGCGCCGACGGCACAGAGACGTTTATGCCGCGCGCACTGATCTACGACTTGAAGGGTTGAGCCACCAACCGTGATCGAGTGGGTAGGTGCGGGTAAGGAAGAGCTGGGCTGATGTGTGGTGACTGCTACGCCATGGGGAATAGGCGGCTTCGGTACCTTGAGGAAGATCAATGCTCTCTACGAGGTTGGGGAGGCGGCCGGTAATCCACCGAAGGGGTCTTGGTACGGTGCTCTTCTGCTCCACTGGATATCACTCTGCTTTTTGACGTGATGACGGTTTGTCTGATTTTCCGGGTGCTTGCTGGCGTGAAGGGATCATGAGACCACTACACAACGGCAGGAGCAGATCGAGGCTATCCAGTACCAGAAGGATCTCGAAGCAGTAAGGATGCCTGTCCTGTCCTGTCTGTAGTCGTCTTAATACCAAGCTTATCGGCAATCTGTGTTCTGCATAGGGAGTTTTCCCGCCTGCCGCGCTGACCACAGATGCGGTGCGATACTGGAGCGATTACAATCGAGTGTACTACCACCCCAGATCATCGGTCCAGATCAATGAGTACGAACTGAACTCGGGGATCCAACCGTTCGAAGGATACGGACTGGGGCAAGAGCTGTTCAAAGACTTGAACCGTGAACATGATATCATTGACCGTGACTTCCGGCTGTTCGCGGAAGAGTGCGATCAGATGCAAGGGATACAGCTCTTGACCTCTACAGATGATGCCTGGGCCGGCTTCGCTGGAGAATATCTCGCCGAGCTCCGAGATGAGTACGGCAAGGTCGGCATTTGCACATGGGGACTGGAGAGAACGGACCGGGTTGTCAGAGTGAGTCCTAGTGGTGCTGTGCATATCTTCTGGCCAGCCAGCCTCCTTCTTTTTTTTTCTTTGCCTTCTTCGTCTTCGCCCTTCACTCTGCTATTGCAGTCGAAGTATAGGGGAGCAAATCAAGCTCCCGACTTCCGGGACATCCGGTGGGATAACTGCCAGTTTATATTACCTCTCGCCACACTGCATAGTGGCTATTTTTGTTATATTATCGCACACAGTTGAGCTCGTCAGTCATAGTGATAGCAGAACTGACGTGGATACTGGGGGTGTGATCGACACAGGACAAACAAGTCACCCGAACGATTGCGCTCGCGATGGCCTTGTCGAACATTGCGTCGCTTTCATCCGTATACATCCCGTTATTGAACCCACCTCTGCCCAGTGCGCTTCCAGGCTATCTGAGTGTCGATCGGACTTCGGAATGGCATACGAGCGCTCTGCTCTCTGCCGCGATGGAGACTAGCACGCTTCCCACACGGCTGCACGACGGTGCTGGCAGGCTAGGGAGAATGGACGACTTGGCGTCTTTCCTGAACGTCAATGGAGGCCAGAAGATTGCGATGCTGTCCATGTTCGTTAGCGGGCCCGAAGAATCCCCCAACGCCAACGATGGCTCGTATGACGATGGGCGTGTCCCGCACCCTCCGAGATTGGAAATGATCAAAAAGGCTGGCAGAATCAATTGCTCGTGGGGACAGCAGGAGACTAAATCGTGGAGAACTGTAAAGGAGGACCATGTCTTTGCCGAAGCGAATGTTGCTAGAGGCTTCGATGATGACGATCCGGAAGAACCGGTGCAACCGGAGCGCACCGGAGATCGACACGAACCTATTATTAGCAGGTGGGGGCACCCCGGCAAGATCACGTTGTCGGCACACCCACAAACTCGCACCGAGAGTGGGAGGCTGGGTTGAGGCTGCGGGATTTTTGTCCTACCGCCTCACTCACCACTGCCGACGTCGCTCGCTATCCCCACTTTTTTCTTCGTGGCTCGGTTGCAGTGCTAATTCGTATTATCTGTGGCACAGCATCACCAGCCCGCTGGCCTTCCCACTGGTCGACAGCTTCCCGTCGATCTTCCCTGTCGCACCAGCCACAACAGCGCACGGCAATACACACGCAGCGATCCACACACGCCTAGCCTCGAGCTCCGCCGTGATTGCAAGAGTCAAGGGTGTCAGGGAGGTCGTGGGATTCCGTGTCGGCGTCGAAGAGAGGGAGGTGCTCATGAACGATCTGGACGAGATTGTGGACGGATTCGCCCACGGTTGGATGAGTGATGATGATGATGATGAGGATTGATCTGTATGTACATAATGTAACTTACATAACGGTCCGCTAACGAATTAAACCGTTTGTCGGGCATCTACTTGCATGACGAGCCCCGTGCTTCACTTTTCTTTACAATCCGGGGCCCTGCACCGACGAAAGGACGACCGATGGCCTTAGGCGTAATATGCGTGGCGGCGTCTGTATAGAGTTACCTACTGCGTCTGAGGCGTGTACTCCACATATCTTACTTGTGCGTACCTGACGCTGCCGTGCTTAGCGGGCCTTCCGTATCCATTCCATCGTGGCGTTTTAAGCTATTTACCCAGCCCGCCGCCTAGCTCCAGTGCTCCACCGCCTAGAGTAGCTTCTACCATCACCGCCAAACAACTTCGAGACCTTCTCTCTACCCCACCTTCCCATCTCTCCGCCACACAGTCCACCATAGCCCCAAGATCTCCCGATGCATTGGGGAGGTCGGAATCGACAGGACCGGCCGACACGTCCCTGATGGGAGCTGGCGGAAGCTGTGATTGCTACACGCTGTCTCCCGCTGTCTCCCGCTGTCTCCCACCAGGACTGTCTGGCGGCAGTGACTGCAACGCTGCTGCTCGGGAAGGGATGGTTTATTGCCACCATGTGTCAGGCATTGAAAAGCGGCATTTTCTCCTCGGATCCTTACTCCCACTACATGGCGTCGACGGCCTGGAGTCTATTCCTGCATCATAGACCCTTGACTTTGAATTCGACTGCGCGGGCACTGGGAATCGCTGAATCCCGACATCCTACTGCCTACGTATAGATCCCCGGAAAGCCTCGGACCCCTCCAGTCAGGCCCCGACCTCGCAAGCTTTGTCTCCGAGTCCGTCCCGGAGCGGGCCGTATCCAATTCACTCTTTACGCGGCTGGCGGGGGTAACTGCATTGGGTCGTCGTCCAAAGCTCAATCCGGAGCTGATGGTATTCGTTTCATGCTTGAGAGCTTTGGTTGGAACTCAATCCAACCCGCCCGTCAATGAGTGTTTGATTGAAGAGCTTGCGTTTCTAGTGGACGGATTCGAATTTCGAATTTCGGGCTGAGGATTGGGGATTGGTCGGTGGTTTTGCTTTCTCCGTTTCGGTGGTTTTGCTGGTTTTCAATTAGGTATGATACCTAAATAACCGGACAATGGAATTGTACACCGCAGTGTGTATCATTACATACAGGAACCGAAATGGGGCTCTCAGCCACGGTCACGGTCAATTCCCCGAGATGTGATACCTATACATACCGGTAGGCATGTGCTCGTGCAAAGACATACCGTACTATGTACTGAAAACCCCTTGTGACCTTGTCCGTGCGGTCCCCGCAAATACATACATCGCGAACATCAATTCCGCCGCATGAGACTCACTGCCTCATAGTGCTGCAGGATCGAAGCGGGGACGAAAGCTTGTACGGGAGAGCCATGTACCTACGGCTAAGGGCCGGTAAACCGGGCCACATTTACATATACCTCTGGCGGGGCCACACCACACGCTCGCCAACACACACACCGAGTGCGGCGTCATAGGATCATAGGGAGCATGATAGGTACCGTAACGGCTTAACCAACCATCCATCTGCCATCTACCATCCATGACATCCGGATGCAGGGTTGGGATATACCTAGTTAAATATGGTGTCTTTTCGGTGCTCCGATATGGTATGAGCTCCTCCACAGCGTGTCGGGAGAGCATGGTACCTACCTACCTACCTATTTACCTCCCCATGTATGTATCTAGGTACCTAGATATGCGTCGGGTATCCATGATATGCCCACCGGTGGGTACATAGGTAGGTATGTACTATGATAGCGTTATCGACGTTGGCAGAATGTCCACAACAAGAAGCCGAAGCTTCAAGCGGGAAGTCATGGGCCATGCTGCCATGGTGACATGGTGACATGGAACAACTTTCCGGATTGCCCTTGTCCTTGCCCTTGTCCAACGCTTTGCCAATGTCCATGGCTGCCGGGGTTGGGGGATTCAGATAACAGCACCGGAGAGCGATAGATATGTAGACAGATAGATATCCCCAGTGGCAGCATGCCGTGCTGCAAATTGGGCTTGCTCGCCTTTGGCCTACCCAGGTACACATGTGGGGCGGCCGGTTCGTGGGGCACTAGGTACTAGATCTAATGCTCTTGTCGGTGTGATTATGTTATCGGGAGTAAAATACGGTAGGGAGTAGGTACTTCTCAGGTATGTACGGTATGTACGGTATGTACCTACCTCTTGCTTATCCACAGAGAGCATGTGAAAGTGAAGCTTTTTTTCTTTCTCTTTTTCTCCGGATTCCCCTGCGTATGTAAAGGATGCAAGAATCATGTAGATGGCTTCGCTCGATGAAACGGTCGTGTGCATATTTTTCTCTTCTCTTCCTTTTTTTCCTTTTGTTCGTCCTCTGTGGCGGCGAGAAAAGCGGCTCCCCCTTTTTACCGCTTTTCCCGTGGGCGATGAGCATGATGATGATGACGGTGCCTGTTACTCTACTCTGGTTACTGCCGATGAATTGTTAGTTAGTCAAGTACTTTGTTACCGCAGTTTTGCGGTTCGGGTGCAGCCTCGCCTGCAGTGGGATATCAGCACTAACCCACTTGTGAGCCGCTCTCCCCTCTCGACACTGTACTGTGCGGGGGGGAGGGTGGTCTTTTCCTCTCTGGCAATCGTGACGAGAGCCGTCACTGGTGCGTAAAAACGGTTGCGGATATCTACTATTGTCCGTATCCGTGTCCCTCTCTCTCCTTTTTCCGTCCGCAACTCCCGGAAAAGGGATGGCTGGCCGGCTGTCTGGCTGTCTGGCTGGGTGGCCGATTGCGGAGAATTCTCCTGCGAGGATGGACTTTCGTTGCTCTTCTTTTCTTCTTTTCTTTGCGACACTGACACTACGATTGTCTCTCGCATGCTGCCTGCTCTATTCAGGTACCAGTACCTATAGTACAGCCTCGTGCCGTAGTTAGTCAGGTACATAAGTAAGAAGTACCTATTTGCGGTGCGGCTGAAGTCGAAGGGATGTATTTGGTTCCTGACAGGATGTAACTATTTGGTTCCTGACTCGATGTATCTGGTTCCTGACGTGAAGGTACATCTTTAGGTAAGTACTGTACATAGCTATTCCAGAATCCGCCACTCCACTCAGGCCTCCCAGATACGGTATGTAGTAGGGCTGAGCGCTCTCGCACCCGGCAACACCAGCCCGATTGCTACTGCCATTCCGGGCATCTATGTACCCAAGTGGGGAGTCAATTAGTAATAAGTATGAAAGTAGTTACTTGGGTAGATACCTCACTCCGAGTGGAGTGTTGCTTGGTGGAGTGGGGTGGCTCGTGCTCGCGTGTAGTTAGAGGTACCGGATTCACTCGGATACCTAGCGGCGATTCGAGAGCCTTTCCTCGCTTTGGGGCTCAACCAACGGAATGGGCCGATGCCGGGGGACCGTTCGTTACTGGCCGGCTCCTTGTCCGTTTGTTGCTTCCTTCTGGAACTCATGCTGTTGGTATGTTCGTGGACATCAACCGCGCGCTGGTGCTGGATGCATATTGTATGCGCCGCAACAACAACAATAACAACAACGACGTCAGCAACAACGGATGACAATGGGTACATACCGGGGATGGCGTCGGTACATGGCGGAGTGGTCATCGATACATATTCTACTCTGCAGCGCCAAAGTGCCCAGCGCAGTCCGCAGTGTCCACACCACAAAAGTTAGGTACGCATGAAACATGCAGATTGGGCTAAGCTATCTGGGAACGGGAGACGCGGGAACGAGGAGGAAGAGCCAGAAGGAAGCTGTCGGCAAGGCGTGGATGCTGCTGATCCCCCTGCGCCCCTCCATCCATCCCACCACGATGCTTAGTCGAGGATGATCGGTCACCCACCCCAAATCGGGCAACAGTGTTTTGCTGGGGCCCACATCTAAGCATGTTTTGTGGTGCTATCCGAGGAGAGAAAAAACCTGAGCGAGCATGCTGAGCACATACGGGTGCGAAGGGGGATATAAACTCGGCTGCCCATCCCACTCTTCCTCTTCTTCTGTTACTCTGCACCAATCCTACCTTCATTCGCTTCAAGGGGATTCCGTCTTTCACAACAACCTTCGTTGAATAATATATCCTGATACCACTCACCTGCAATCATTCGCTTGGCTGGTGCTGTTGGACATATCTACATACTATTTCTCGGTAGGTCTTCATCTTCTCTCCAGCTGTGGCGTGATGGATCCGTGGCTAACATCTCCTCAGGATATATAACATAAAAAGGAAAATATCAGACCCTTCATAGCAAACATGAAGAACTCATTCGCTGCCATCCTGTCCCTCGCCCTGGCGAGCGTGGCTGTCGCTGAGGCCGGTGACTACGGTAACTACGACTACACCCCCGAGGCTCCGGTTTACACAACCGAGAAGCCGTCGTACAACACTCCGGTGTACACGCCTGAGGAGCCCGAGTACACCAAGCCTGCGTACACCAAGCCAGCATACACTAGCCCGGCCTACACTCCCGAGGAGCCCGAGTACACCAAGCCGGCGTACACTCCTGAAGAGCCCGAGTACACCAAGCCTGCGTACACCAAGCCGGCATACACCAGCCCGGCCTACACTCCCGAGGAGCCCGAGTACACCAAGCCGGCGTACACTCCTGAGGAGCCCGAGTACACCAAGCCGTCTTATACCAAGCCGGCGTACTCCATCCCGGCGTACACGCCCGAGGAGCCCGAGTACACCAAGCCGTCTTACACCAAGCCGGCCTACACTACCCCGGCCTACACTCCTGAGGAGCCCGAGTACACCAAGCCGTCTTACACCAAGCCGGCGTACTCCATTCCGGCGTACACCCCCGAGGAGCCCGAGTACACCAAGCCATCGTACACAAAGCCGTCGTACACCACCCCGGCTTACACTCCCGAGGAGCCCGAGTACACCAAGCCTGCGTACACTCCCGAAGAGCCCGAGTACACCAAGCCGTCGTACACCAAGCCCTCGCACACCAAGCCGGCGTACACCACCCCGGCTTACACCCCCGAGGAGCCAGAGTACACCAAACCTTCGCACACCAAGCCGGCTTACACCACCCCGGCCTACACTCCCGAGGAGCCCGAGTACACCAAGCCGTCATACACCCCCGAGGAGCCCGAGTACACCAAGCCGTCTCACACCAAGCCGGCGTACACCACGCCGGTGTACACCACCGAGACTCCCGTGTACCCCACTTACACCACCACCTACGAGACCTGTATCACGTTCCCGACCACCTACAGCTCGGACAGCACCACCTACACCACCTACACCAGCACCACCGCGACCATTACTACCACCACTTGCGAGACCACCGAGTACCCCACCGAGTACCCGACCACCGAGTACCCTACTCCCACTGAGTACCCGACCACCGAGTACCCTAGCGAGTACCCCGAGGAAGAGACCACGTCTTGCACTACCACCGAGACGACTGAGTACCCCACCACTACTCCTGAGTACCCGGAGGAGACTACGTCTTGCACCACCACCGAGACCACGGAAACCACCGAGTACCCTACTACTACTCCCGAGTACCCCGAGGAGACCACGTCTTGCACGACCACTGAGACCACCGAGACTACCGAGTACCCCACCACTACTCCCTACTACCCGGAGGAGACTACGTCTTGCACTACTACCGAGACCACGGAAACCACCGAGTACCCCACCACTACTCCCTACTACCCGGAGGAGACCACGTCGTGCACTACCACCGAGACCACCGAGTACCCCACTCCCGAGGAGACCACTGAGTACCCCAGTACTACTCCCGAGTACCCTACTCCCGAGACCACGTCGTGCACTACCACCGAGACCACCGAGTACCCCACTCACGAGACCACTGAGTACCCCACTCCCGAGGAGACCACGTCTTGCACGACCACCGAGTACTTGCCTACCACTCCCCCGTACGTGACGACCACGACGACCTACGAGACGACCCTCACCAGCTGCCTGACGTACCCGACTACCTACGTCACTGACAGCACCACCTACACCTCGTACGTCGAGACTACCGACTACATCACCTCCACCGTGTGCGAGACCTCCTCGTACCCCGTGTACGTGACCGTCCCCGTGACCTACACTCCCCCGGCCGAGACCACGACCTACATCGTTCCACCGGTCACCTACACTCCTCCTGCCGAGACCTACACTCCTCCCGCCGAGACCTACACTCCTCCCGCCGAGACCACCACTCCTCCCGCCGAGACCTACACTCCTCCCGCCGAGACCACCACTCCTCCCGCCGAGACCTACAGCACCGGCAGTGTGACTCCTCCCGTCGCCAACGAGACTTCGTACACGTCGCCTCCCGCCGCCGCCACTAGCGAGGTCCTGACCGGCGCCGGTAACGTGGTCCGCGCCTCGTCTGCCCTGGTTGCCTTCGGTGTCGCTGCTGTCTTCGCCATGTTCTAAGCTATTTTCTAATATTTAATGTTTGCTTTTCCTTTTCTTTCTGGGTTGGTTTATGGATTTTGTATATTTAGACGATGAGGGGGACATTCTTTGGGATTGTGGGGGATTGGGATGCATGGATGAGAAAACACTCTTTATGATCTATGGATATTGGTCGATGATGGCATGGAATGGAATGGAATGGAATGGAATGGAAAAGGATGATGGGACGAGCCTCGGGAGGATGGATGGGGTTAATTTTAGTGTTTGTGTTAGTAATTGATGCGTATTTATGGGCAATACCAAGTATGGATTTGAACCATGAAGAATTGTTCGGTCTGCGTGATCGCGGTGTGATAGATGTGATGTGGTGGGATGTGATTTCAACTCTATTAGAACATGATGTAAATACGTTATCAGCGGTAGAAGCGAATGGTAGTTGTCGATATGATCTTGGGACCGCAGTGGGCTACCATAATAAGTTCTGTGTCATAAAATAATGCCGAGTTGCTACCAGACCAGATCATCACCATGGTCGATAACCGTGAGGGTTTTGGTAGTTTTTACTATTGGCAGAGCCGAAGCAGCCCTACCACCGCATACGGTAGATAGAGTAGGTAGAGTAGAGTATTGTACTCGGGTGGAGGGAAAGCCGTGCACCATCACCACTACCAAATGGTACTTAATGGGGTGCACCATTTAACCTTACACCCGAGTACATTCCCTATCGTCCAACACCACAAGCCGAAGTTCCAAGCCCAAGTTCCAAGCCCAAGTTCCAAGTTCCAAGTTCCAACAACCAGGCAACCGGACAACCGCCAACATCTACAGACACACACACACGCACACACAGAAAGAGAGAGATCCAACCCTGAGCGCGCGCGTCTCTCCTCTGCGCCTCCGCGGCTGCATCCTCACTGCATTCCCACTGCATCCCGACTGCATCCTCATTGCATACCGTAGGCAGCTTCAGCCTTCAGGTGCATAACCCCGTAAACTGCGCCGTAGAAAGTTCCTATCTATCTATGTAGATTCTAGAATGCACGTACGTACCTGCATCCTTCAGGGGAATTCCGTTAGGGATGGGGGTGGGTGATGAGCACCCATCCGCACAAAAAACCACGCAGCCGCATATGTATGGCTGAAACGACGGCTTATGCACATACACACCGTATGTACATATGTAGCGGAGCTACTCTCGCCGCTCGGTGCATCTGTTTCAAGCTTCACGTTTCAGCTTTTCGAATTTTCTAGCTGGCTTACGGGTGGCTTACAGGTGGCTTGCAGCTGGCTTGAATGCATGCGGGCAGCGGAGGTGCCGAGTAATGAGTGCTGAGTACCGAGTACTTACAAGTTATGTACCTATCGTTAGCCGGCAGGATGTTGCTCCGCTGCCCGCTGCGACGGTGAGGGGCGGTGACTCGGTGTGGGGTGCTGCGGCTGGGCGGGGCTGAAGAATTTGCCGTGGCGGCGTGGGGGCGGAGCATGAATATCACTCGGCGTGGGTATCACTCGGCGTGCGGATGGGATTGGATGGTTGGCTGCTGGGGCTTGAATGGCCGGCGGTGCTGGTACCCACCTACCTAAAGTACGGGTGTAAGGGTAAGTGGTGCACCCCCTTAAGCGCCATGGCTGGGTGGGTGGCCGGGTTGATGATTTAATGGTGACGTTCTCGTTCTCGAATATTTGGCTTGTAAGACGAACTTAAGACCGCCACCCACGATCGTCGAGCGAATTCAGTCGTTGTGAAGTCTATTGTTCGAGCATTCGGCCGTTATACGAAGTCTATCGCAGCACGAAAGCATGAAGCAAAAAGGTGTCCGCGATCCGGTACCGGAAGGTGTCAGTCATAGAGAAACGACTCGGGACAAACGACTACAGATCATTGCGCTACGCGAGAAAGCGGGATGGAGCTAGAGGCAAATCGCAAAGGAACTCAAGATCGACAAAAGCACGGCCTCGAGAATTTATCAGCGTTATCGCCAGTACGGCACTCCTTCGAATCGAAAACGACCCGGCAGACCCCCGATTTTCGACGCCGCAGAGAAAGCCCGTCTCGAAGCCTTTGTTGCCCGCGATTCCCGTACTCGACGTCTCAGCTGGGAAGCTATCTGTATCGAAATGGGTTATGCCTGCGACCCTAAGACAGTTCGAGATGCGATGAAGTCTATGGGATATCACAAATGGCTCCCGAGAAAGAAGTTCGATGTCGAACCTGACAACAGATCGAAGCGGGTTGCATTGTGTCAGGCCAGGCTACATTAGACTAAGGGGGAATGGAAAAGAGTTATCTGGACCCATGCATCCTGCTTCTCGACTGCAGGATTTGGTCACCATCCATGGGTGATTCGAAAAGATGGCGAGGAGGATCACCCTGACTGTGTTGATACACAATTCGATTCCGGACGCCAATCGACGATGGCCTGGGGAGCATTCTGCGGTACAACGAAATCCAATCTTGTCTTTGTACCTGGCAAGGCGAAGATCGATTTAGCGACCTTTGTACGAAAGATTATGGAGCCTGCACTGGTACATTTTTGGCATCAGTGTTGCGAGGAGTATGGATGGACAATTGTTCAGGAAGACAACGCTCCAGGGCATAAAGGAGATGCCAAAAGCTATAGGGAATGGAATGGAATGGAGGTTTTAGAGTGGCCAGCAGATTCTCCAGATCTGAATCTGATCGAAGCATGTTGGGAGGATATGGAGACTGAATTGGGAGAGACTTAGGAACGAGTGTCGGATGTGGAGGTGTTGGAAACTATGTTACGTAATGCTTGGGGTGATATTAAAGAGGAAAGGTTGGAAAGATTGGTAGAAGGTATGCCTGCAAGGTTGCAGGCGGTGATTGATGCTGGAGGAGCACCGACAGCATATTGATGGTTGGGTGGGAAGGGGTGGTGCACTATGTACTTTTTCCGACTCATACAAATACATCACAGCCGATCACTCGTTTTTCTCTATCTAGTCTACATAGTGCCATATATTTTTTACGGCGTTTAGAATTTCGTAGTGGTGGTGGTGCACCACTTTCCCTCACACCCAAGTACATACTAAGTATGTGTGGGGGTTGAGTGACCGAGGCCTTGGAAAGGGTTTCTTTTCGCTGGACGTTCACGAGGGGTCACTCAGGATGCGCATGCGCATGAGTAGCGAGCAACTGGGAAGCGGTAAATTTCAATCTCATCTCGATCGGTCGTTGGCTCAAGGTAGCTCATCGTCTCCACGAGTCTAGCTAGCTATCAATACCAGTATGAAAACACCTTGGAGAAACGTAGACTCGATATAGTAGACTCAAAGTTCATTCTCGCACTGACACTGGGTGGTAGAGAACAGAAATTGAGATCATGCTCGTTGAAAACCGAGAGCGTACAGTAGAGTATATTCCCCCCATGAACACCAAACAAGTGATTACATTTTAAAAACAATCCCATATCCTCCATGACTATTAGAAAAAACAATCTTTCCCATCACCCCCCCTGTGCCTCCGCGACCAACCCTCGCGACCATCTCCAGCCGTCTTTGGCTTTTTCTTCGCAGTGTTGGTGCGTGCCTGGCCAGAGCCTTATTTCTTGTCAGCTATGGACGTCGATCTGGGGGGGGGTATGTAGATAGCTAACCTTTGGGGGACACCCTTTCAACTGGCATCTTCGTATGATCCGGGGACCGCCGGGGTTTTCTGGTTGCGAGTTAGCTACCTAGACTTCTGAAAGGATATGGATTATGGGATTTCTCATCTTTGTGCTCAATCATCCAGACTCCTCTAGTGCAGCACCTTCTCGAGCTTCCTAATGATCCTGACAACAATGCCCTTCTTCTTCGGCGCCGGCTTTGTGCCGATGTAGTAGTCCTTGCCGTAGACGTCGTCGAAGTGGTTCGCCTGCCCGCCCTTGACGGATTGGAACAGCCACTCGTGCGGATCCGAGGAGTACGCGAGGTCGCTGACGCTTTCGACGCTGCTGACTGGCGAGCGGATGGGAGCGGAGGTGGAAGGCATTGTGCTGAGTGATCGGTGGTGATAGCGGTGGTGGTGGTGGTAGAAGATCGAAGCTGGAATGGAGATAGATGTGTCGAGAAAGCGAGCAGGTGAAGATAGGGAACCAGAGGAAATGGGGAGGGGAAGGGGAGGAGAAGGGGTTTTTAATCCTCTACGAAGGGAGCAGTAAAGTTCGCAGTGATCTGGCTCCTCCTGGTGCATTACGCAAGACTCTCCTGGTCGACTCGGAATAAACTCTGAGTTCGAGATCGAGGAGTTTGTACGGCTGATTCCAGCAGGATCCAGACCAGACTCGTCCGAGATGCTGCCCCTATGACCTATCGCACAGTATCCCTCGGAACATGGTTTGGTGGACGTAAATAAGCTTAAATAAACTCCAATCTATAATCTATTCTCCCGCGATACTTTCAACGTAACACTTTTGCATACGAGGTCACGTAATGGCTTTCCCACTTAGCTAAAAACCTCGTGAGCCACCGAATGTAATGGTGTCTTCTCGAGCCTGTGGGGTCTAGATGCGTTTAGTATTTGGAATTGCCTTTCCCCAAGGATAGAATCACAGCCTGTTTACACTTTGTAATCGACCGAATGACAAGAAATCACTGTTGCTCGATATAGTATGAGCTCCAGGACTTGGACGAGAAGTCATGAGGGCTGGCTTTGCTGTTTGGCTTGAAAGACTATCTATCGAGGGCGGGTTAAGCGTTGGGTAGTGGCCGGAAATTCTGGTACCGTGACATACATGACGGTAAATTACGGTATTGTATGGTACGTGACCACTCTATTTTTACCAAAAGATGAGTACCTACCAAAGGTTATTGTCCATGGTGTAGAGGACGAACTCTCTCACTGGTAGCGGTAGTTACATGGTCAGAAACTGCCCCCGAAGAATCTTCTGGAAGCGGAACCCTTTTCAAAGCTTCTGGAGAAAGCACGAGATCCTTCTGTAAGGCGAAGAAGCAGTGCACCACACTGCGGGGATATCAAGAGAAAGTTTATGACACTTGGAAGGCGTTCATCAGAATTCTGGAATGGAGTCATGCACTTCTGAGGCTGATTAGCTGGCGTCAGATTTCTCCAGAAGTCAGAACGGCTGCTGGAAGTTGAGAAGGAAGTGAGCGAAGGGGATCCTATCTGGTTTGACTAACTGGCACGGGAGAGAGAGAGAGAGGGCAGAATGAGGGTGGGGAAAGGGTTAAAGAAAACAGCAACGTCAATAGGTACCTGGCCAGACCTGTATTCACTTGTTTACTTAGGAATAGAGAGAGAGAAATACGAACCGGCAGCACTGGGCGAGTGAGCGAATGTGACAGGCAGCAGTAGCGAGCGCATCAATCGACCTCACCGGCGCCATTGAGTCTGTCATTCGCGGTAGTTGTTCCAGCCTCGAATAATGTTCCAAGCCCGGCGGTTTTACAACTCAATTTTTAGTCCTCCTAGGAAGAGTCTCAGCTCTCCATTCACGGCCGACCTGAATATCAGACTCCAGAGTCCGTGAGCTCTGGAAGCCTGACGGAGCCATTGCCGGGAAATGTACCACTAGACCGCGGGCCTAGCTTTCAGCCTTGTACCTCAGCCTTCAAGCACCATACATACCTGAGCTCAGCCTTCCCTAGTAGCTCACACCCCACCACACCCCTCCATTCACCGCACCCCTGCCCCTAGCTACCTACCTTACCCACTCCACCATGTCCCCCACCCCACCCGCCACCTCGAAGACCTCGAAGCTGGACGACCTAACGTACACCTACCTCAGCACGCTCGACGAGTACCAAACGCAGCAATCGCAGCTCAACACCGACCTAACACGAGCGTTCATATCTCTCGCGCACGCCAATGTCGTCGCGCCGCCGGCTGGCGGAAGGTACGGGCGCGAGCAGTTCGAAGTCGGCGGACGCGTTATAACCGCCACGAGGGGGGTGCTGATCTCCGAAGAGGAGGAGGGGGAAGTAAGGTGGGAGTATATTAAGTTGCCGGAGCAAGAGGAGGATGTGGTGAAGGAGGAGGAGGAGAAGGAGGAGAAGGCCGAGGAGGGGGGACTACGCCATCGGAAGCCCGCGTCCACCGCGACCTCATCCAAGCCCTCGCACCCCTCCGCCCCCTCCGCCCCCTCCGCCCCCTCCGCCACCGCCGACTCCTCCCCGCCAACCCCGACCCCGAAGCCGCGATCCGACCCAACGCGCCTCTTCCACGCGCTCCCGCCAGTCTCGCTCCGCGCGTCCGCCGCGGAGTTCACACTCGCTTTGCCCCGCATCAGCGCGCTCGCCACGACGGTGCACAAGCTGCAGCAACTAGTCTCTCAGATCTCGCACCACCAGCGTGTAAAGAGTGTCTACAAAATCCTTGTTTCGCCGCCGGCGTGGCCGCTGGAGGTGTCGCCGCTGGATCGCGAGAGTGGATTTGTACATCTGTGTACCGCCGAACAGACCGTGGGCGTGCTTTGTAGGTTTATGGGTGGCGTGGAGAAGGTGTGGGTTTTGAAGGTGGGGTATAGAGGGATTGCGGAGGACACGAGGTGGGAGGGCGCCGAGGATGCGCCCGGCGAGGAGTTTCCGCATCTATATGGGGCGTTGGAGGAGGGGACGGTGGAGGGGACGGCGGAGCTGGAGAGGGGTGATGGGTGGGAGAGCGTCGACTTGGAGCACGTGGAGTGGAGGTGATAAGTCAACGATTGCTTAATGTACAAGAATTACTTTCTCTTCCGGTCTATAGTTTTGCCCCAGCCAGCTTGCGGCTGTGATTTACGACACCGTCACGGGGGGCTCCTCCTTGGTCGTGGCTTCGTATCTCTTGCCGCGGAACGACCATACTCCCCAATTACCCTGCGAGAGATCCGTGGGGTCGGCACTGTTGCGTATTGTAAGCAGTCTACCATGGGAGTGTAGTGGAAGTCAAACTCACTCATTGATATCCCACCGCTGACTCTTGAACGCATTCTCTCCCGGCTCCAGCAAGATATCGAACTCGCCCTTACACTTATCATGGACCCACTCGACATCACGGACCATATCGGTCTCGGTGTATCCAGTGCACACGATGGGAAGTTTAGTCTCCAGCAGTTTCGGCAGGGTGTACTCCCACTCTGCCGCACTACCGGGGTGTCCGAGTCCAGGATGGAACAGGACGAAGCAGTCGAAGTACGGGTCGTAGGGAGCGAACGCGCCAGCGTCGTGAAGCGTGTGGAAGTACTCGACGAATGTCGAGATCTTCATGTGGTAGGATATGCGCTCAGATAGTGCGCCAAAGGGGTTGGAGGAAGTGCGGTCCGGGAGGGGGTACTCGGCTTCCCTGCCTTTCATGGACTCCGGACCGATGAAGATCAGGTGGAAGGTGGAGCGCGGGAACATGTAGGCTAGCTGGTACCAGACGTCACGGGGGAGCGAGGACTCGGCGCGTGCTCCAAGGATAAACAGGCGGACGGGGGGAGGGGTGGTGCGGATGTTTTTGACGTCCTGACCAGCACCGGTTGCGGGCGGGTGGAGGGTGTAGCGGAGTGCTGGCGGTGGGTGTTATTAGTGAGGTGATTGCGTCATGGGGAAATTGCCATACCCGAAAAACTGCGCAGTCCCTCGTTCGTCATCCTGTGCCTGAGCGAGTATGGCGAGAGCTCATGGACGACACTGGCAATGGTGGTGGGGTAGGTAAGTAGCTTCGTAGCCTGGCGTAGCTGGCGGTCCTCGTCGATTGCCAGCGCCCCGCGCGTGTACAGGAACGTATCCCAATTAGTCATGTTCACCAGCTGCTCTTCGATCTGCTCGCCAGGATGCTCAAACTCCGGGAAGAACCGGCCGGAACGGAGATCGTGCTCGTCCTCATTCGCTTCCTTGAGGGTGTCGCAGATGAGCAAGTGGTTCTCATAGTCCTCCGCCCAGTGCTCCTCCGAGCAGTACGTGGGAATACCGCAATCCGGACAAGTGAAGTTGATGTGCTTCGGCTCTGCGACATGAAGATGCTCCGCATGCGGGCAGTAAGCATTCGCTTTGATCCTCGCAGCACGTTCCCGGATCGCGGCGGATGGAGACTTGTCCCAGGCATGGAAGAGGTTGTTCTGGCGGAGTAAAACCCGCGTGTTGTCGTCGCCCTCGAGCACTCCCGGTCCGATCTCGCGGGGGATCCTGTACGCAGGAGGGACGGGTGGGGGAACACCGCCGGCTGGTGGAGTTGGCGATGTATTGTCTCTCGGAGATTCGCCGACTGTCACGGAGCTTTGGTGTCGGCGAGCGAAGGCGGGATACAACCGGTTGCTCGGGAGTGTCCGGCGCGCGGCTGGCCGCAGGAGATCAGATGGACGGAGGTGGGCTAGGCATCGTTGGGACGTAGCCCGGATTGACGCCATGATTCAGATATCGGATGGAGGTGAGTTTTCTGGAGGAGGTTGCTGTTGCTCACTTCGTCGTCTGGATGGGGGGACGTCGTAGTGGGGTGAGCTGTTGTCTGCTTCTCGCTATGATGTAGTCCGTCATAGGTGGAAGGTGGGATGATGATGTCGAGAGCCCGGCTGAGGGTTTAGGGTCATCCGAAGCGAGATGACTAAAAAAGCCGAAAACTTTTTTGCATTCACCTTCGTCTTCTCCGGATCAACTTCTCATCCTCACCATCACCATCATCACCACAGTCGCCAAACACCCCAGGACCACCGCCCATTGCACGCCGGCGAGCAATCGACCACTCGACGCGGCGCTCTCTGCCAGCACCCATCCAGTGCCGTGTGTCTCGCTGTAGGATAAACAGTCTCTTGCCTCGCTCGATCGATTTTCTCCCATGAATTGATCTTGAGCTGGATACCTGCAATTGCCAATATTGAATTCGTTCATCAGGCTTTGCACGAGTATGGGACGAGAGTGAACCCGACGCTTTTTGAGTACGGCCGTCTCTGGGAATTTCCCGATGTGGGACGATCGTAATTGTCGTTGGAACATGCACTACGAATACACACTTTTTTTCTCTCGTTATGTTTGAATGATTCCTTGTTGGCCGTGACGATGACTATCCCCACCACCGCGAACAGTTCCAACTCTAATTCAATTCAATTGAGAGTTAACTTATTCCTGCTTCCTGTAAATAAACGCATCGCTGTGACTAAGACGTGAATGGTTGAGATGAGACATCTCTCGCCTCAGCAACCGTGAGCGTCTTGGCCCTGCAATCTGGCCTTTTTGGTGAGCATGGGCATCTAACTGCTTTAATTGTTGTTTTTACGTTTCCCGTCACAGAAACCAGCCAGACAGCTCCCAAGTGAAAGGAAAGAACAGCTGGCACCTTCACAACCCGCTTGAAATATTATTCCCCTGAGGTCGTGAACTCTTTTTGACTTCCTTCCACTTCCCCGCAGCTTCCGCAACCTTCATTTCAACCACCCCAAAGAACACAAAGAGCTGCGTTCCTTCTACAAGCATCCACCGCCACCACCTCCGGGAGTCCCGTTACAGCAACACAACCTCACACCGCCATGCGGTCAAAAATATCCAACGTAGCCTTGACAAGCTTGTTCATCCTGCTCGTCACGCAATACGCCTCCGCCGCCAGCGCAATCCTCGGAATCGACATTGGCCAGGAGTTCATCAAGGCAGCTCTGGTGAAGCCAGGAATCCCTCTCGAGATCGTGCTCACCAAAGACACCAAGCGCAAGGAAGCGTCCGCGATCGGCTTCAAGCCCGCCAACATCCCCGCGGCAGAGGGCGAGTTCGCTTTCCCAGAGCGCCTCTACGGCGCCGACGCGATCAATCTCGCCGGCCGCTTCCCGAATGATGTCTACCCCAACCTCAAACAGCTGCTGGGGAAGATGGCAATCGACGATGCGGTAGCTGCCTACTCGGGGCACCACCCGTCACTAGAGATCCTCCCGTCGCCGGAACAGAACACCGTCGCGTTCAAGAGCAAGAGCTCGCCCAAAAACGGAGTGTTCACGGTCGAGCAGTTGTTGGCGATGCAGTTGAAGGCGATTGTTGCGCAGGCGCAGGCTATGGCCGGGACGGGAGCGGCTCCCATCAAGGACGTGGTGTTTACGGTTCCGACTTTCTTTTTGGCCGAGGAGAAATATGCGCTCACGCTTGCCGCGGAGCTAGCGAAATTGAATGTTATGGGGTTCGTCTCGGACGGTTTGGCGGTCGGCCTCAACTATGCTACTTCACGGACCTTTGACGAGAAGACTCCGGAATACCATATCGTCTACGATATGGGCGCTGGATCAACAACGGCTTCGGTGCTGCGCTTCCAGGCAAAGACTGTAAAGGACGGTCGGTTCAAGAAGACTGTGCAGGAGGTGTCGGTGTTGGGTGTCGGATTTGACCGGACTCTGGGAGGTGACCTGTTCAACGAGAAGATGGTGGACCTCCTGGCAGCGGACTTTGTTGGGAGCAAGAAGGGCCAGAAGGCACTTGCGTCGGCGGAAGACCCCAATAGGACCCTTCGCCTGAATGGACGGGCAGCAGCCAAGCTCTGGCGTGAAGCTACTCGTTCCCGTCAGATCCTTTCGGCGAATACAGAGACATTTTCCTCAGTGGAGTCGCTGTACGAGGACGTTGACTTCCGCTCGGGGAAGCTCACGCGTGCTCAATTCGAGGACGCTATCAAGGAGTACGAGCCACGTATTACGAGGCCCATTTTGGATGCCCTCGACAAGGCGGGTATCTCGCTGGACATGGTCAACACCATCATCTTGCACGGTGGTGCTGTCCGCACACCATTCGTGGGGAAGAAGCTCGAGGAGATCGTCGGAGGGCCCGAGAGGATCAGCAAGAACGTCAACCCCGATGAATCCGCCGTTTTTGGAGCCACCTTTAAGGGTGCCGGTGAAAGCGGAAGCTTCAAGGTCAAGGATATCGAGACTCACGATATCAACCCCTACGGTGTAAGCGTCAACTACCTCAAGTCCGAGAAGGCTGCCAAGGAAACGAAACAAACCATCTTCGCTCCTGGATCAGTAATAGGCAAGGAGAAGATCATTCAGTTCCCACATAAGCAGGATTTCGAGTTCGAAGTTGTCCATAACTTGCCACCCCGTCCCACTGACCCCAGGCAGCTCGTCGGCCTCGAAATGCTGTGGGATGTCAAGAGCACCAATGTCACCGATTCCGTCAAGAAGCTTCAGGATGATTTTAAGTGCACTGAGAAGGCTATCTCCACTCATTTCGCCATCACCATTGCAAAGAAGGACGGCATCCCCATTGTCTCCAAGGGTTGGGTCGAGTGCGAGGTTGAAGTTCCCGAGGAGAAGAAGGGCATCGTAGATGGTGTCAAGAAGGCGTTTGGCTTCGGAAAGGATAAGGACTCATCATCCTCCTCATCGTCATCCTCGTCGTCCTCGTCCACATCCTCCTCCTCCAGCACCAGCACTACAACCACCGGAGCCGCTTCCACAACCCCCGAAGCCGCTCCCAAGCTGATTAAGAAGACGCAACGCATCCCGGTCGCATTCACCACCAACAAGGCGGGCATTCCCTTCCTCTCGCCCGCCGCCAAGACCGCGCTCAAGGGCGAAATCACCTCCTTCGACACCTACGACAAGAACCGGCGCGCGATTGAGGAAGCCCGCAACGAGCTCGAAGCCTTCACGTACAAGACGCGCGAGCTCCTGTACAACGACGCGTTTGTCCTCTCATCGACTGAGGAGATCCGCACGAAGCTCACCACGCTCCTCGACGAAGCGGGCGACTGGCTCTACGGCGACGGCGCACAAGCCCCTCTCGCCGACGTCCGTGCCAAGCTCCAGAGCCTCAAGGACATCGAGGCGCCCATCTCCGTGCGCAAGAACGAACACGAAGTCCGTCCCGCCCTCGTCAAGCTGATGCGCAAGAGTCTCGACCAGGGCCGTGTTCTCCTCGGTGCCCTCCGCAGCGTCCCCGCTGAGGATGAGTCCCTGAAGTACACCGATGAGGAGATCGCGGAGCTCACTAAGCAGCATGATGATGCCGAGACTTGGCTCAACGACATGGAGAAGAAGCAGGAGGCCCTGGCGGGACATGAGGAGCCCGTGCTCACTATCAAGGAGCTGAACGCGCGTACGGATAAGTTGGAGAAAGTGGTCATGGAGGCGATCCAGGCCAAGAGCCGTGCCACCGAGGAGCTGAAAAAGAGGAAGGCAAAGGAGGAGCGCGAGAGGAAGAAGAAGGAGAAGGAGGAGGAGAAGAAGAAGGCTGAGGAGGAGAAGAAGAGTGAGGACGAGAAGGCTGAGACCGAGACTGGCAAGCCAGAGGTTAAGGATGAGTTGTAGATGGTGGAGGTGACACTTGTACGCTAGATTTACGGTTTGGTTTTATGTTGGCGCTTTTGCTATTGATCTGATTTTTACACTACATATATGCGAGACAGATGGAGACATCAGATCATGTTCCTTGAGTGACATCGTGTGCAATCCGTAGTACCTGGTCGTCCGTCGAAGTGCACATGCCCAGGCTAATCAACCCGCTCGGCCCGAAAGAGAGGGAGGAAAGGTGACCATAGGTAATGCCCGCAATCCGGAGCCCGGAGTTTCACATGCGGAGTTCCGGGCTGTGCCTTCGGGATCCGGGTGTGGTACGGAGCAGAGTGGTCTGAGGTAGGTCACTCAGCCTGGAGTCTGAGCCTGGCTTCGCTTCCCCCGGCGTCCTGTAGACGAAGAAAGCTCGTATCTAGGAGATAGAGTACACTGTAGTTACAACTTAGAGTCATGACGTGGGTCGACATGAGGGAAGGATGAACTCATTGCGATAGTAGGCGTGGTTTTGTTTCTAAGCTGTATCGAGAGTTTGTGAATGGCTTGGGCGGTTTGGCTTTGGCTTTTTTAGTCTGTGGGGAGAGTTGTGGTGTCATGAATGGCCACTTGAGATGTGTTCCTATGTAAACATGTACTCGGTATGTTTTGTCTCGATCGACAATAGGTAATTGCCAATTGAGGCCCATCTCCGTCTCCATCTCCAGCGACCAATACGGTACGAGCACACTGGGTACGCCCTGCCGAGCCACGACCCTCGGCACAACGTCTGCAGGTGAGATCAGCACGCCAAACTTCCCCACCATCCACCGGCGCAAGCTGCAAGCCTACATGGCCGGGGAGGGCGGCTGTGGGGTGATCATCCACATGCGGTAACTGCCTCGGCCCCCCCTTCGCTCCACAAGCCTCCCTCACCTGTGACGGGTACCGTACTACCGTGTCCCGTACTATTGCCGGATTGATAACGATGGGGAATCCCCCGGATCCTCTCCTCTCGTCAAAATACACACCTGCATCATACACACACGAAGAAAGAAAGAAGCAGAAAAAAAGAAAGAAATTATAATGTCGCTGCTTAACATCCCGCCGCTCGTTGCCGATAAGATCTCGCCGTATGCGAAGGAGCTGCTGCAGAAGGTGCGCGCGCGCAGTGCGAACTCCGGGATGGAATGGGACGCGGATGATGTTGATGATGACGACGATGCTGATGATGTGTGCGGCTATAGGTCGAGGCGTTTATCGAGGAAGAATGTAACTATTCACAAAGCTGGGCTCGAGAGGCAACTGCTGACGAACCGTCCGTCCTCCAGGTCAGCCGGCCGAGAAGATCCTCGATGCGCAGATGCCCAGCGACCCGCGTCAACGGTTCCTGAACACATACCCGAAGATCATCGACACGCTCAAGACGAAAGCGAAGGCTTGGGGACTATGGAATCTTTTCCTGTCGAACATCCACTACCGCGAGGGTGTTGCTCTCTCGAATCTCGAGTATGCACTCATGGCGGAGATGCTGGGGCGCTGCCACATCGCCTCCGAGGCGATGAACTGCTCTGCACCTGATACCGGGAACATGGAGACGATCGCGAAATACGGAAATGACGCGCAGAAGAAGCAGTGGTTGACGCCGCTGCTGAATGGCGACATCCGCTCGGCGTTCGTGATGACCGAGCGCTTCGCCGCCTCGTCCGATGCGAAGAACATCAACCTCGAGATCAGGCGCGACGGGAATGAATACATCCTCAACGGCACGAAGTGGTGGTCGTCTGGGGCTGGGGACCCCAGATGTAAACTATACCTCGTCATGGGGAAATCCGACGCACAGAACGCAGACCCGTACAAACAACAGTCCGTCGTCCTCGTCCCCCACGATACCCCCGGCGTCACCGTTGAGCGTGCGCTCAGCGTCTTCGGCTACGACGATGCCCCACACGGCCACTGCGAAATCAGCTTCAAGAACGTTCGCGTCCCGGTCTCCAACATCCTGCTCGGCGAGGGCCGCGGATTCGAGATCATCCAGGGACGTCTAGGCCCCGGCCGAATCCACCACTGCATGCGCTCCATCGGTGTGGCGTCTGTCGCCCTCGACCTCATGATCCTCCGCATCAGTGATCCCTCGCGGATGACGTTTGGAAAGGTCCTTTCGCAGCACGGCACAATCCTGGACTGGGTTGCGAAGTCGCGCCTCGAGATCGATGCTGGCCGTCTGTTGGTGCTTAATGCGGCCGACCAGATCGACCGCACCGACGCAAAGGGCGCAATGAAGGATATCTCCATGGCGAAGATCTATGTGCCCTCAATGGCCCTCGGTGTTATCGATAGAGCCATTCAGGCCCATGGTGCCGCCGGTGTCTGTCAGGACTTTCCCCTGGCGAGGATGTGGGCACATATGAGGACCATTAGGATCGCGGATGGACCTGATGAGGTCCACCTTAACCAGCTGGGTAGGGTGGAGATGAAGAGAGTTGCAGAGCTGTTAGTATTCACTTATCCCGCAATTGTTTGGCTACATGACTGACGAGATTTTGCAGGCGGGAGACATTCGAGCTGAGGGCGAAGAGGACGGAGAAGCTGATGACCGAGCTCGGGGTTAAGGCGCGTGATCACCTGGACCTCACGTCGAAGTTGTAGGCGCATGTTTTCGTCCGTGTATTTTGTTATGATATCATGTTTTCCTTCTGGGTGGTCAATTCATCAATGAATTTATCAGAGCTATGTAGAAAAGTCACTGGTGATTTCGCTTGATCTCAGTCCTGTTGTCGGCCAACCATGAATCAAGCCTAGCTCAATTCAGAGTCGCGAAAGCACGTGGCACCTTGATGTCCCACGTCTCCCACCGAGTCCCATTCCAAGGAACTCCCACCCCTCGGCTCCCAGCACCCCAACTTCCCAACCCCACCACACACCACCACCACAACTTAAACACACTTCACCCCACCACAACAACTGTCTTCATCCTTCAGCAAAATAACCCAAAAACACGCCCACAATGGCCCAAACCACGCCCCGCAAGCGCCAAAACCTCTCCACCAACCAAGCGTCGATCACAACCTTCTTCAAGCCGGCGCACACCGGGCTGAGCGGCGCCCCGCTGTCCGACACCATCCAGTCCGGCCTGCTCTCGGTCGGCATGCGTATCCGCAAGTCCGTTCCCGAGGGCTACAAGTCCGGCACCTACGCCTTCAATAAGCACCTCCCGTCGACGGGCATTCTTACCCCGCCGTCGTCGCAGGAGTCGGTCTCGTCCGTCTCCACCTCCACCTCCACCGGCTCGCCGAGGAAGAAGCGCGCTTTGGAGGCCGACGAGAGAAGGAAGCCAATGCCCCCCGTCAGCAGCATCAATGCCTGGGCCCGCTCCGTCAAGGTCCCGACTGGTCCCGCCGGAAAGAAGAAGGGCTCCTCCAGCTTCTATCAGGCCGTCGAGCGCAAGGATATCATGTTGAAGGGCGAGGAGGATTTTGACGAGGCGGAGTTTTTGAAGCCCGTCGATGAGATGGAGGAGTAACTAGGCCACTTTTTTCTTTTTCTTTTTCGCGGCTGTGTTTACGGATTGTTACCACGGCAACGATGATGCGAACGGACAAATTTTCCTTTTCCTTTCTTTCTCTTTTTTTTTGTGTGGAGGGGCATGGGGGGATGGAATATGAAAGGCTTGATCATGTTGACAGGCTGGCTTGTTATCATCGAGTTGATTTACTTCGAGCTGTACTGTAGTTTCTGACGAGTTTGTGTGGTGTTCTGCTTTCTTTTTGTCTTTTTTCGCTACGGTTATTGGGGTCTTTTGACAATACCGGTTTTTTTGAGTTTCGCTTTCGCGCATGGGAATGTGGATTTGAGGACAGCTTTTCCTTTGTATTCGACGATTTGCGAGTACGTTGGCATGATCTGTACTCTAATCACTGCAATCCAAATCCATACTGGCGCCGTGTGGTTAATTTTTCGCAATGTTCTTCGTTCGCAGAGAAGCTTCAATTTTCTGACGATAATGAAAACTCAAATTTTTGTAGGATTCCGCGATGTTCGGGAAGGGATGGAGGAATGTCTATGGGAGTGATGGAACAGTTGTAGATACTCGCGGACTCTTCAGCCATAGTAGAGTTCGGAACGAACACGATTGTGAATGCGTCGCACGGGATATCACCGACGCGGCTTAGTTTAGCGTGTGTTGCACGGCGTTTTTAGTTTAACTTCTCGAGAATTTTCCGCCTCATCCCACCCTCCGCCATATCACGACCACCGACATTCTTGGAACTCGGTATCAATCCAACACCATGGCGTCCTCCCTCGCTTCGCAGCTGCAGCGCATCGCTGCAGCATCGACGAACACCCTTAATACCCGCAAACTCAAGGCGATCCACAGCACCTCGTTGATCTTTGAGCCCGCCCATGCCGCAACACAGGATCTCGACACTATCTACTCGATTGCGCTCGAGGGCTTCAGGGAGCTGTGTGCGCTCGATGCGAGATTCTTTGTATTTGAGAGGGGTCTGTTTAGCGAGAGCAGTAAGGAGGTCGATCGGTTGCTCCTCACGAAGCCGGAGGTGCAGGACCTCAATGCTAGTATCGAGGCGTTTCTGGAGTTGGTCAGTGGACGGCTGCTGCTCAGGCCCGCGCTGAAGGCGGTGGAGTGGCTGGTTAGGCGGTTTAGGTACTGTTCCCGTATCCAGGACTGTCTGCGATCGAGGCTGACGGAAGCGCAGAGTCCAAGATCAGAACACTACAGCGCTGCTCCTGGCCTTCCTCCCCTACCATGCGCACGCCACCCTCTTCCCCCAAGTTCTCTCGATCATCAATCCCAAAGACCTCTCGGCAGAGCTGAAGTTCCTCCGACCGTACCTCAAGCCCCCGGCGGCCCTGCCACGGCATGTAATCACACATACGCTGTCTCATCGACGGGAAACGCTCGATCTCCTAGTCGCACACGTCACCTCCGTCGTGCAATCCCGGCGCGAAAGCCACCAGCTACTTGCATTCTTTGCCGCGGTCGTGGTGGAGGCGGTTTCGCTCATGTGTGATGCTGCTCGGTCTCCCACTAGTTCTGGGATCACCGAGGAGACGGTACTGCAGAAGGCGTTGCCACTGCTGGAGGAGACCTTCAAGGCAAAAAAGACGCCGGAGTTCCAGGTCGGTGGGTACATGTTGGCTACGGTTGTTGTGTCGAAAATTCCCATGAAAGACGAGGTGCTGCTGGCGCTCATGGGCGCGATTGTCGGAGGCTGGAGTGCGGAGAGCGTGACGCCTGCTCTGGCATGTCTCGCGTTGATTGCGCAGGCCAGGACTGGACCGAGCGCCGGAAGGCTGCAGGATGCGGTCACTGCGGGGTTGCTGGCGATTGAGGATATCGTCCAGCGGCTTCAGGAGATGGGGAAGAAGTACAGAGTCGACAACCTCGTCACCGGCCTCTGCAACGGGATACTGGAGAAGATCGGAAAGTCGTACGGTTCCAAGGAGTTGGAATACGTTGTCGAACTCCTGGAGGAGGCGAAGCTCGGCCCCAAGGGAAGGAAGGCTGTTCTTTCGCGCTTCGTGGATGTTGCGCAGAAACTTCAAGGATTCGAGGATCGCCCCGAGGACGAAGATGATGTGCGGGATGCCCTGGCGACTTCGCTTGTTAAGTGGTCCGAGCAAGGAAACAAGAAGCTGGGGAAGACACTACAGCTCGTATTCGAGGAAAACAAGGTCGACATTGAAATGCTTGAGCTTGCGCTCAGGACGGTTATTGAACGCCCTGCTCTTCCCGCGCCAAAGTCGGAGAAACCAAAGGCCATCAAGGCGGCACCGGCAAAGGAGGCAGTCACCCTTGAACAGCTGCTGGAGACAATTCCTGATGCTGGCTTGACAGTGTCTTTCCTCGAGCCGCGAAAGACGGAGAACAAGAAGTTGTTTGAACACCTCCAGCAGATGTTCCTTCTCGCCATCAGGAAGCCCGACGGTGTCCAGACCATCTTTGCACACGATATATTTACAAACAAGAATAACACCGTTGCCTTTACCATCTCGCTGCTCGCTAGGATTTGGACGTTCACGGCGAACCCCGTAATCGCCCGCGCTATCGCTTTACAGCATGCTGTTAAGATCATTAAGGCGAACGCGAAGGCAAAGGTTGATTACCAGGCGCTTATCCCGTTTGCTCTGGCCGCCCTTGCGGACCCGGCGGAACGTGTTCGTCGCGAAACGACTCATCTGGTCACTGCGTTGTTGGAAATCTACCAGCAGCTTGACGAGGCGGGTGCGGTAACCAAGAAGAAGAGGAAGTCGAAGGGAGGTGATCTGATGGTCTACTGGGGACTGGACACTGTCTACGGCGCCGGATCAGAAACCGACAACGTCAAGGTACTGGATGCAGCCGATGCTCGTAAGTTCTTGGAGGTTGTTCTCGCCAAGGGTCTGCAAGAGTGTGTTCTGGACTCTGCATACATCACCAGTGTCATCGAGAACGGGCTCGGAGCCACGAAGAAGGACCAGACAGATGGAAAGCTGAAGTCTTCCGTTAAGACTAACGTCCTGTCGTTCCTTTGCAGCCACGCCGTCAATGTCCCCAGCTTGTCGATCCAGCTTCGATTGCTCACTATGCTCAACCGCGTTGCGAATGGTCCCAGCTCGAGAACTGAGTTCCTCCTTCCCTCACTGCAGAAGTGGATTGCCCGCCCTCTGGAGGAGAATGTCAAATATTGCGAGGAGGAACGTGTGGATATTCGCGAGTTTGAGGAGCAGGTGGTCTCCGTGGTTGAGGCGCAGGACGGCACCAGTGAGCTGGTATCGATCCTGAGCACTGATGTCGGCGGCGAAGGCCTGGTCTCAGCTGCTGCGAAGCGGATTATTACCGTGTGGGGCTCGCTTGAGGAGGGAGCGAAGGTGGCGACCGCCACCAAGCTTCTCAAACTCAACCTTAACGACTCGGAGCAGAAGTACTCTGGAAGTTCAGAAGCTCTGGACATCTTGCGCGCCGTCAAGTTGCCGACCGAGGCGTTCCAGCAGTTCCTTGAGGAAGCCAGAATAGACTTGAAGTCGACCTTGGGATTGAACACTGCTGCCCAGCCAAAGAGGCGCAGAGTCTCTGCACCCGGTGTTGTTAATGCGGATAAGGAGGAGCAGATCGCAGCCGCCGTCCGTCGGATCACCATCGTCGCAGAAATCTTGGATGGCCAGGAACCGAGGAATCACGCGTCGGTCTTGGCTACTCTTTTCAGTGTACTCGGAGACCTCGGAAGTGTTGAGTTCTCCGGAATCACATACCTGCAGAGTATCTTGCTCTCGTGCGCGAGAGATATCATCAAGGGCTATAAGGCTACTAACACGGACCTCAACTCCTCGAGTGTCCGTGCCGACGTCCTCGTCTCTTGCATCCGCTCCACGACTTCACCTCAGGTGCAGAACAGCGCTCTCCTCCTACTCTCCGACCTTGCCGATATCTCCCCCGACACCGTCAAGCATAGTGTGATGCCAATATTCACCTTCATGGGCGCCAACACTCTCCGCCAGGACGATGAATACTCAGCCCATGTCATCGAGCAAACCGTGCAACGTGTTATTCCGCCGCTCGTCAAGTCGCTGCAAGAGCAGGGTGGAAGCCTTATCACCGCAGGAGCAGAGCTGATCTCGACGTTTGTCGCCAGCTACAAGCATGTTCCGGTGCACCGAAGATTGCGGCTGTTCCAGTCACTGACCGAGACTCTCGGCCCCACGGAATTCTTGTTCGCCATTGTTGCAAAATTGGCGGGCAAATATGCTGTCGGTGAGGGCGAGGGCGAGGTCAAGGAATTCGTCTCGATGCTTTCTGGCGGATTCACCGCTGAGGTCCAGATGGGCAGTGTTGTCAAGTACCTCAGCACCATCAAGGATGTGTTGAAGCCCCAGCCTCAAGGTGGCGCGAGCATTCTCTTCGCTTCCGAGGAAGATGGCCGTGATGTGCCAGCGCAGGAGATGGCTAGGCGCCTTTTGGCGGTTCTCAAGGCCTTCCTGGGCTCAGAGCGCCTGAAGGCTAGAGTCGCAAAGAGTCTCAAGACCAGTCGCGAGGACGCTTCTAGCCTGCGTGGATTCTTCTCGCAGGCGATGGAGCAGACAATGGCCCTTGGAGACGAATACGCCTTCAACAAGGCCATCGCTACCGAAGCCGCCGAGGTCATGTCCCAGCTTCTCGAGCTTCTTTCGGTCATCGAGTTCGTGAAGGTCATCGAAAGTCTCATCTCGCAGGTCGACTCGCCGTTCCGTAGCTCCGCCCTCACGACTTTCAAGAACCGTGTTGTTTCCGAGTACAGGACCGACGCGACTTCGAGGAATGCCATTCTCGACTTGGCTCCCAAGATTGCCGCCATCATCACTGCCCAGGACTCACCGAAGGAACTTAAGGCCGATGCACTGCTGTGTATCCTTGCCGTTACACAGAAGTTCGGAAAGCAAGAGCAGACTGCTGTTTCTGCACTCACCGAGGCTGTGGCTAGCATTGGCGCACTCAGAAGCCCCGATAGCGGTCTCCGCGTGCTGGCGCTGGTGTGTTTGACCCATATGACTACTGTCCTCGGTGGCCGCATCATTCCTATCCTGCCGAAGACCGTACCGATTGCTATCGAGTACCTTCAGGCTGCCGTTCGCAGCGAGGACTCGTCGGTCGAGGTCTCGATGGTTCACAATGCCGTTTTCAAGTACCTCGAGGAGCTTGTCAAGAACGTGCCCAGTTTCATGACCAGCTATCTCACCAAGGTACTGCCTCTTGCTGCTGCCGCATGGGATCAGGACGATCTCGATGAGGGCCTTCCTTACGACGTCAGACGTAACTTCCTCGTGGCTGTTGCGTCCAGAATGGAATTGAGGACTGTCATCGGCGCCATCACCAAGGCGTGGAAGCCATCGTGTGCCCACGGCAGCGACCCGATCAGGGATCTGGTCGAAATGGTGCAGAAGGGTATACAGGTTGCGCCTAAGGCTAGTGTGCAGAAGTGTAGCCAGGTGCTCTTGCAGTTCTTTATTACTGCACTCGATGCCAGACGTGAGCCCGAGGTTGAGGATGTCGCCCCGCTTGAGGATCTCATCATGAAGGTGTGCTTGGACATGGTCTACAAACTTAACGACTCTATCTTCAAGCCCATGTTCTTGCGTCTTGTGGAGTGGGGCACTGAGGATTTGAGGTCGAGTGACGATGAGGAGGGCAAGTGGACGCGCATTGGCGTGATATGGAAGCTCATGGAGGCGCTCAGCGGCAATCTCAAGGTCTGCTCTCTCCTTCCTGGCTCCAGTGGTTGAGCTGTGCTGATGAAAATGAATAGTCACTGGTCACCGACTACCACACGCCGCTCCTTCCTTCCGCCATCTCCACACTCACATCCCCGACACCGCACACCTTCGCCACGACCAGCGTTCTCCGCGCGCTGCACCAAGGCATGCTGAACGATTCGTCGGACTTCTGGCAATCACCGACGCACTTTGACCCTCTGCTCCCGGCCCTGCTGGCGATCCTCCCGACATTCTCAGAGCTCGCCATTCCCTGCCTCACCGAGCTCGCCGCGGCCGCACAGAGCGAGGAACACAGCAAGAGCATCAACACCGGCGTCCTGGCACTGATGCGCGACGAGAGCGAAGTCACCCGTCTCGCCGCCGTGCGCGCAATGATGGGATTGTATGCCCGTCTCGGTGAGGACTGGTTGGGGCTCCTGCCCGAGACGGTGCCGTTCATTGCGGAGCTCATGGAGGATGACGATGAGACCGTTGAGAGAGAGACGCAGAGACTCATTAAGCGCATTGAGGAGTATCTGGGCGACGGTGAGTTGCAGGGTATGTTGACGTAAAAAGTTGGATGCGAGAGGGAAGGGAAGGGGAAAAGTTGGTTTTGATAGGCGGCATTTGATTTGTTGGGTTTTTTGTAATTATACCTACCTACCTCGGGGGCGGAATGAGGATGTATGTCCGAACGGTTACTACTTGGTTGCGAAGTACGGAGGCTATGTACAGACACTCGTCGTTCCACGAACCAGCCGGACTTGCAGTTAATCGCCCCAAACTGCCACCTTTCGCGAGTAAACCCGCCGTGGAAATTTGGTACTCTGTATGATACCATATAGCGCTGCTTATTATCCTCAAGCGATCGGCTGTGACAACGAGCAACAAACACAACCCCATCACTCTACACCAGTGTTCGACATAGTCCGGTCGGGATTGCAGTCCGGACCGGACGGACTGCCGAGATCTGTTCGGACGGACTGCCTAAAAGTAGTCCGTCCCATCCATGGATTCCGAAGACTGGAGGGGACTGCAGTCGACTGCAGTCCGTCCTGACCTCAAAATCTTCTGGATTAGTCCGTCCGAACTCCGCTCCCGGACGGACTGACAAGATACAGTTTGGGTAGTCTGGTCTGGGGCCCAGGACGGACGGACTGGACTATGTACCTAGCTATGTCGAACACTGCTCTACACTCTCACTCGAGATCCGTGAAGGACGGCTTCTAGGCAGAGGGTCTAGAAACTAGCAGTACGGAAACACAACTCGTGGACTGGGACTACAGAGCTGGGTGTAATGTAGTGTTTGTAGTGACTTGTATCTTCCTCTTCGTAGATTATGAGGCTTCGTTGACACCATTCAGCTAGCCATCGACCGGCAAAACTCTCCATCTGCAACTCCTCAAGCCCACACTTCCTGCCTGCTCGCCCACCTTGTCTGAAGTGCCGCGGCCGCGCTGCCCGCGCAATTCCTTATACATACACACATGTGTCCGACTGGACTGGATATGTAGGTACTATAGCGGGCCCCCTGGTCCCTGGATCCCGAGAACGTGCACTGTGCAGGACCTGGTGCAGTCTGCAGAAGTTCAGCCCTCTGATGGTCTAGACTAGCGGAAGCTCATCAGAGTCTGCAGAATCTGCCCATCTCGTTACGATGGAAGCGACATATTCGCTCATCCAGCACTGAGGCGAACAGTTGGACGCCACAGCCATGTCAGCCACTGAGCCACACACCATCTCAGTCGGCAGCGATCGCCATCGGCCACTCCGAATTTTCACATATGTAGCCTGAGGGATTCCACACCTACATACTATAGGCATCTCCAGCTGACTCCGTCTGCTTCGTTCATGGTGAAGACGGGATCTTTGTCCGGGGTTTTTGTATCGACGACGATTCTTATGTACCCAAGTAGCTGAAGATGTGGTGTGGTGTGGTTTTGTGGCTTGTGATTTAGCGTTGCTCGCTTCGTTGCTGGACGAGTCACGAGCGAGTATGTACCGATATATGTAGCGAAAATATGTGGCTCCGGCAGCGCCACCAACATCCTCAGCTGAAGTTGAAGCTGGAGCCGAACCGAAATCCGCCTTCAGCTGTTCTACATGCTCAATCGGGAGGCGATTCTATGACCTGGATGCTGCGGGAAGTATGTACCTTTTGCTCGAATGCGCCGAGTGCATAAAAGTACCTACTCCAATATCTACCAAGGTCCAATGTCTACCAAGGCACTATGTGGCGATTTTCCTTTTTTTTCGGGCCTTCCGGCTTCGGGGACGGGCTTTCTCAGGTGTTGTCCAAGGAATTTGTGTCCATAGTTGCGATAATCTAGATATATCTACCTACGTAGATCGGGATGAGTCCAACTGTTTACTTGAGGAAACATCAGGAAGCTGTAGGGCAGTAAGACTCTACTAATTGGCGCTAGTGCTGAGTTGTGTAGGAAACACCATGTATCTTGGCGTTTTCCGGTATTCGAGTACCTGACAGTGGGCACGTTCGAGTACATGACGCCTGACACCGTCTGTATCTATACATTAGTTACCGCTGGTAACTAGTATCTTTGAGTTATCCAGCTGAAAGACGAGTCCTGTTCTGTATCTATGCACTGCTACTACGTACATAGAAACTATCTTTCAGTCAACTATCCAGCTGAAAGACGGGTTGCCCTCTGTACCTATGCATTACTAGTCTACTACATACTAGCAAGTACATATCCATGAGTTATCCAGCTGAAAGACAGGGTTGCCTTTCTGTATCGATGTACTCGTACATACTGCTACCAGTATCGTCAAGTTCTCCAGCTGAAAGCCACAGTGTATCGTGCACCTCCAGCTGGTGAACGTCGACGATGCCGTCCTCGAGGACACCGTCTACTCCAGACTTTGGAATCCGTATGCTCCCGCCTTCCTCTTCTGTCGTCTCCGCATGCACCATGTAAGGCTGAAAGCGGAGCGGTGGCGATATCCCCACGAGCGTTACGCGAGAGCATCACGAGAACTGGTTCGGCGCAGAGGTGGAACGATGTGGGGGAGGTAGTTGAGCGGCATTGGTAGTACGTAAACCGAACGTTCGTGAAATGTGCATAAGAAGAGGAGCATCCGCCCTCTCGTTGTGGTGAGGCAGACCAAAGCATTCCATCCATTCTTCCCTGAGCATAGCAGCAGCACCGAGCATTCGACCCGACACTTTACGATCTATACGCCCAGAATCCCGAAATCGCAGTATCGCGAAATCCTAGAATCCCAGAAATCACACAATCATGCCTGTCGGAACCATGAGCTTCCCGCTTCATCTCGGCAAAATTCCAGAGGGCATGACGTTCACGGTGACAGGAGTCAAGCCCGTCGTCCCGGCTGGCGACTGGTACGCATACACGGTTCGATCGCCCTTCCCTATCAGGCTTATTTTCGATGGGTGATGTTGACAAGATTTCTGCTTTAGAACCTGGCGAAATTCCCCCACGTCGTGGACACCAGCGGGCCGAACCCTCTAATCGGCGGATTCTCCCTGAGCACGACGGGGATCACGCAGCACGGCTCTGGGCCGTACTTCGAAGTGAGCTTCACTGTGTCCGGCAAGAGCCCCAACGGCGTTGAGAGTTCTCGCGACGGGCACCTTACGATCTCGACCTCGGACTGGGGCTTCATTGAGCGGCCGGACCAGGGGATCATAACGTTCGGGTTCGATGGGTCTGCGGCACACACGCACATGTTTGATACTCCCACGCTGAGGTACCTCAACGATGTGCACCTCCTCGTAGAGTACTTCCCTTCCGAGACCGCTGTGGGAATGACGGTCACCTCCGATGCGACTATGATCTCGAAAATATGTGATGTGGCCCTCGGTGGGATCTTCTTGGCGCATGAAAAGGCTGCTTCTTGGGCCGTGGGTAAGGTGTGGTAGTGGAGCGGTTCGGAATGGTGAGTTCATATCCCTATCGCATTGCGATTGTGTCTCATTCGATCGGAGGATGTTGACTTGGGTCAGGTCTTGTTCGCTTCCCTCGGGGGATCCAACAGAGGGGGCGGCGGTGGCGGGCGGACGGTCACTTATTTTCATTATTCGTTCGTTATTTTGATTTTCTGTGGAGCGTCAGGCGGTTTTTTTTCTCGCTGTCTTGTGGTTCGTTTTTCGGGCAAACATACACAAATGCCATCATTTTCACTCATCTACTGAAATGCAATCGTTTCCACTCTTCCGCCAGAATGCCGTCGGTACGTCGAATGGGTAGGCAAGTGAAGTGAGGTACATTGATAGGTAGGTAAATACGAGATCTATCTTGGAATAATGGTTCCGCCATCGTTCCAAGAAAACTGCCTATGCCGGTCACGAGAATTAATCACGAGTGAGAGTTGGAGAAGTTGCACTTCGAGAAAAATTGCTATTGGTGGTCGAACTTCCACGCTTAGCCGAATCCGCGCATTGATCCGTGAAATTGCTATGCCGCTCGTGAAGACCATTCATATATAGGATCTCTGTGGAAGTTCAATTTTCAACCGCCCGCGGTTCCTAAACACCACATCCTGAGCTCGAGACCTAGCAGCGACCACTAACCTACACATCTGATACCAATGAACCCTCCCATAAACTACTGCAATTGCAATCAAGCTTTCGATTGGCCGATCGAGCGTGCCATCGTCTTCTCTCCCGAGCAAAATGCCACTGCACATGCCCCCCGCTAGAGATATCTGTGGTGAGTGCTAATTTATGCCCACTACCAACGCAACCCAACATCGCATACATTAAACGCGGCAAAATCAAGTAAACAAACAAACCTCAAGCACGAACATCACACCGCAAACGCAAATCTACATGCCCCCAAGCCTCCCATAAGAATACCCACCCGTACCACCCCGCACCTACCCGCACTCAACTCCACAGCATCGTAACCTCCCCTTCTCGACCTCCACCTCGCGTCCCCACCAGCGCACAACAATCTCCTTCAGCATCTCAACGTCGGCCTCCGAGTACCGATCCAGACCCATTCTTTCTACTTCATCGAGGCTTACAACGGTGGTTTTGTCGTCCACCAGCTCCTCTCCGTCATCATCATCATCCCCCTCTTCCCTCTCATCGTCTTCGTCAAGACGGTCTGCCAGCCCGGAAAAGATCCGTTGAGTCATCCGGTGGAAGTAGGCGATTACATCCATCTCCTCACTACCGACGCCCTCTTGTCGCAAGTTGGTGCTGCGCCGGCGGAGTAGGCTGCCTCTACGTGGTCTACGGCGTGCTACCGGCTCCGGTGAGGCGGAGGAGGACGTAGTCGCTTGCAACGGCTCCGTATCACTATCATCCGTCTGTTGGTTTTGCTGCTGAGCATAGTCTGGTGCTGTGGTGGGCGTGTACGCGAACTGCGAGTCCATGAGCAGCCTCCCGTCCTCGGCTTCTGCATCGGAGCGCTGCTGCTCTCCCGCCGACGCCCACCAAATAAAGCTCGAGTATGCAATTTCCCGCCAGGTGAGTTTCTCGCACAGCTCCTCGATATTGTTCGGTTCATGGTCGTCATCGTCGTCGACGTCTCCGGGTGCACGGATGATCGGATTTCCCGCGTCGTCGTCCTCATCGTCCAGGAACAGCGACTGTTTCCGACGATACCGGTTCTTGAGACTCTTCGTGAGGGCGCGGTAGCGACGGAGATCGCGTTGTGTAGCGAGCAGCGGCACGCCGGAGCTGTGTTCGGCTGTAGGCCACACTTTCTCTTTCGCGTACTTTGCGTGCTGTGGCGGAAGCCGGATCACGACGTCCCATAGGTTGCGCTTGATACATAAAACCTCGTCCGTGGTGCATGCGACCCACGCACCGTGCTCGCCCTCGACGACGTCGGGATTTAACGGACCGGCACGCGTCTTCGCCTCGTGCTCCAGCAGTGGAATGTCGTGGACTCCCACATTGAACAGCGGCTTCAGCCGCGCTGGGCCGACTGACAGTAAATCCACCACGGACAGCGGGATGTTACTCAGTATCGATATATCGTAGACGAAGTTACACGCCATTTCAACGGGCGCATGGGTGACGAGTAGTATCCTCTTCCTTGCGAGCGCAGCTCTGTAGATGGGAAACACCAGCGGGCCGAAAGTATCCATGAACTCACCCAACGACAGCGCCGGATGAAACTGGCTCAGCGTTTGTCCCGGCACCAGGACGGCCCCAGTCTCGGATATCGAGCGGGAGCGCGTATGTCTTGGGTGTAGTCGCTGCGGCGATCTCAGTGTAGGCAAGTCGTCAACCAGCAGCGACGGCTCGGTATCTCTGATCTTGTGGCGTTCGTAATATTCCTCGAACACGGTATGCGACGAGGTGTCCTCCGTAAACTTCCTATCAAACAATCAGACTTTCCTGCCGCCCCTCGTATTCATTCCCATGACGAAGAGGGAGCCCACCTAGCAAGCCGCTTCAACCCCTCCGCATGTCTCCAGCTTCGGCCGAGGCGTCCGTAGCTCAGCGGGACTAGTAGTCCTGCGCTGATCATGAGCGCGCCCCGCTCCTCTTCGCCTGCATCGACATGCAGGAACGCGCTCAGACCCGCATACGCGCCGTGGACGAAGTACACCAGGTCCTCCGAGAGGTTATGGAGACCGGAGGGCAAACTCTTGAATTCGACGCCGTCAAGATCCACTGCGCAGGATTAGTAGGAGAACGACGGGCGAGGAGGAAGGAGGGCGAGGAGGAGGAGGGGAACGAGCCGTCAGGAGACGCAGTCTGGTGCCATTCGATCGTGTAGCCCTTTTTCGTGTCGAAGTGGATGAGGAACAGAGCTGCGAGGGGTGGCAGCTCGTCGTCAACGTGGAGATGGGAGAGCGGTGTTGACTTCATTTGATCCGTTCTGTGGGTTGTGGTCGTCGTGGTCGTCGTGATCGGTCGGAAGCGTGATGAGTGCGATGTCGTCCGATCGGATCTCCCGACGAGAGCTTGGGCTTGAGGAAAGTGGTTTGATTGGCCGTTCGGGGTTGAACCGTGCCGACGGGCTGATAGCCAGCTTGGGGCCTGGCTAGATAGGTACCTGTGCCAGCTAGGTACCAGAGTATAGCCGCGCAACGGAACGGCCTGGGTACGAGTACGAGTATGCGAGAAGCTAGACAAGTGGCCGCGTAAGTAGCAATCAATCTGGCGATTTTATGATGGACACAATTCCTGGAGTGCACACCCTTACATGCGCGAAAAAGAGTAGATGCACGAGCCATTCAGCGCGAAATTCTCACCGAACGGAACACACATTTCAGTTGCATGCCTAAGCAAGTAGTACGGAAGTAGACGAACCGTTTAAAAACAGTGACATTTTAAGAGACGAACTGTCTGAAAACAGCAACATTCTACAGCAATTTCGAACCCCTAGGCACGCGTCCGGGGAATCATCCCTTGATACCGGCCCAGTGCGTGTACTAGGAATAGTTGACTCGAGAGATCAAATTTATTGAGTCGATACGTAAGGTTGTTGACTATGTAAACATATCAAAAAGTCCATAGAATCGACACACCCAATTGAACAACGCCGCGCTCGTTTTGCTACATATCAGCTATCAGAACTGTCCTCGGAAAACAACTAAAAACATAGAAATGATCGTGTAACTGTCCTGTCAGGAGAACCCCCCTCTGTATAACACCACGATCCGAGACGTTTCACTGCACAGTTTCTGTCTTACGCGTCCAAGGTTGGGAGTGCACACAATAGGTATTGACTCGGAGAGACCGAACTCATTGAGCTCACAATCAATTTCCAACCCGTGTGTTTACCGGTGCACGTTAGGTTCCGCTCTCCGTAGCCTCAGGACCACCGTGACCATATCGATGCCGCCGGACGACGAGCACTGTCGGACCAGACGACAGGAGGGTACCACCAGAGATCAGAGGTGCCATATTCACTCTCAGCACCATAGCCGAGCCTACCCAAGCCCAGTGAGAAGGTTAATCGCCGTTGCTGTTCCACGAGTTCTTCGAAATAAGGGATGTTGGATGGACAAAGTGTAAATAATTTTTGTACTGTTTCAACCCTCGCTACCACAAAATCTCGGCGACGTGAGATTGGGTGGAGTACTGACTCTCAAAGTTTCACCAGAGTATTTACGAGACCTTTGGTACACACTGGTGACTGCCCGATATCTGCCGTATCGAAATTAATGCTGGACGCAAGAGAGAGCGATTTCTTAAACGGGCTTTCATGCCGCGTATGCCTCGCCGGCTACTACCGGCATTGTGCCGGATTGCGTACACCCTCGGCTCCAAAGCGAAAATTCGAGTGATACAAAACTGTTCTGTAGCCACACCAACCACACGGTACACTTCTCTGTTCGGTGGGGTGTACAAAAAAGCTGTTTTTTCTTTTCTTCTTTTCTTCAACCGTCAGTTGCCACGATGTTGCGCCGCAGCGACTCAGCGCGTTCTATTGATTGCCGCGATTCTGTGTAGATAGGCGCTAAAATGGGCATCATGGCAACGAGTCACGACCTATTGTAGCGCACTAGGTGGGATGAATGGGACCACCAGACACATCCAGTCAGTTCAATAGGCGCGCAAGAGCAATGACTAGGCTTTATTGATAATTGTATGCAGTAAGATGAGTGAGTGGTAATGAAGTAATTGTACTATGGAAAAAAAGTCGTGGCCATCTCATTCGTCTCAATCTGAAACCTATGGTGTTGGTTGCTTCCAGCGTCAATGACAGCTTAAACCTTTGCACCTTTATCTTCACTTCCACCACCACTGACGATGGATGTGATGAAGACGACGACCTCTTCACTTTCCACTCTTTCGGGGGACTTCTGTGATACCCTCATGCCTTCTCATTCCAAGGCTGCCGCCGAATAGAAAGCGACGAAAGAGGAAATGGGTCGAGAGGCTATTCAAAACTGGCTGGTCCACTGCCAATAGGATTTCTGCTGTCAGGGACATACATTAGGTAATGTAGGGTAGGCGATACATCACTCGATGCAGGAACACAAGATTGAGAATAATGCTCTGGTCTTCATGAGTGGTGACGCGGAAGCCTAATTTATTTGCTCCCTCACCTACGGGAGACTGACGGGTACTACTCTAGGTAGTGGAACGTACGGCGGCACATCTCATTGCCGCTCACCGCGAACGCTCCGGAGGACTGCATGCCGGCCAGCACATACCGTAGGTACTAGCGCTTCTACTCGGGGCAGCACTCGAAGCAGTGCTCCCGCGCCCGGGTCGTATTCCGATACCGACACCGTCCACACGGGGGAAAAGCTCAGTGACGTGGTAACTAAATGCATCTCCATCTCTGACCCCCCCCCCCCCCCCTCATGCTCAAGATATGGCAGCCAATACTAAGATTTCCATCATTGAACATTGAGCAGTGAAGTTGCCGCTCGGTGACTCGCTCAATCGGGAATGATCCGACGATGAGCCCGTAATCCTCGAGTACCGTACTATACATACCAGCCACACCTTTCGACTGTGGTGTTACAAAACGGATGTTCGAGACCACACGTTGTCCAATCCAGACCTCTCGTTCTATATGTGTGTGGGGGGGGTGGGGTATGACACATGCAGTCCTACTTGCACGTCTAGCCCGGGCTGGGAGCCTGGGACTGGCGGCCTGAATTGCCGTTTAGGTTGGCCGATTAGTTATCCGTCATGACGACAGACACTTGGTAAATATTGAAATATCTGCACGCTCATATGTACAGGCACAGAACGCCGACTTGTAAGCTTGCAGCCGATGACGATGAGTTGATGACTGAGAATGGTCGAAACGAGATTGATGCGAGAGGCGATAGCTGTGATAGCTGTGATGGAAGCTGTGCAGAGGCATGTATGCGTAGATAGCGAATATCGGGACTGGAGCTCGAGTATACAGCTATGATTCATCGGCGAAGCAAACGTTCCTCTCCCTCTTGTCCAGCGGTTGCGGAGTACCATAGGTAGTAGGTAACCAACTCGGAACACTCCTTATGCCTTAAGGCTGCAACCCAACTGGATAGCTTCAACGTTCTTGTCGTATGCATATCTACAGGCTACAGATCGATCTGTCCTACATATATAGGTAAGTCCTTAGGTAACGACATGCAGACTGCCATCAGGCAGGCAGGCGGGCGGGGTAGGATAACACGCCCCTCCCGACGCCTCTTGCCGTAGATTACTGGCATGGATTCATGCTTAATCCCACCTCCTCCTCCTCCGCGCCCCCATTCAGTGCACCGGCACGTTTCAAACACTCCAGCCCTGCGGCCCCGCCCGGTGGGTGGGGTGGCGCACGCCCAACGCACGTCCAACGCCACCGGCCGATAGGTACTACTCTAGGTAGTCGAGTTGTTTCACGTTTCAACTCTATTGCAAATACTCCTTCTGAAAATGGGCGATTGCCGAGTAGGTGGAGCGTGCGGTACTGTAGGCTGTAGGCTGTAGTGCACTCTAGTTATCCACTCTGCAGGGGACATAGGTAGTAAGCGCATACGCCGGGGGTCCAGTCGGTTACCAAGCTGTGCGCCTAATTTATAAAGTAAGTAAGCACAGAGCCGGGCGACGGGCGACGGGCGTACCTAGATGTGGCTAAGATGAGATGGTGAGGTATCTTTAGATTGACGGCGGAGTAGACTGGTGGTAGATTTGGAATTTGCAGTGGAGATGGAGGATGCGACGGAAAGTCATCGGGTATCCGGTGGGATTCACTGGAGGAGTTAAATACACGCTTGGTATCCACAATATGGTGCTCTTTTCCCCGATATCAGCATCTTCGTCTTCAGCATCTTCAGCATCTTTAGCATCTTCAGCAGCTTTACCGTCTTCTGCATTTTCACCAACTTCACCGTCAACACCGCCAACACCTTCCAGAGTTCCATCTCCATTTCCAGTCCATCTTCAGCTTTCTCTCCAGCCTAGTTCGACTCGACGTCCAACATGAAGCTCTCCTTCGTAACCATCGCCCTCTTCTCTGCCGCCGTCTCCGCCCTGCCAAACATGAACTGGCACAACGACTGGTCCAGCCACACAACCAAGACCACTTCCACCCCGGCAGCCATCCCGAAGACCAAAACCGAGACCACCACCACGACCGTCACAGCTTACAAGACCATCACCGCCTGTTCCTCGGGGCCAACCCCCAGCGGCGAGAAGTGGGGTAAGAAGGCGCCCAAGACGCATACCGTAAAGGTCGGCGGCCGCGACGGTGCCACTGCAATCCTGAAGTACGATCCGCCCACGGTAGATGCACACATCGGTGACACCATTGTCTTCGACTTCCTCTTCAGGAATCACACCGTCACCGAGTCGAGTTTCGACAATCCATGTGAGAAGCTGGATGGCGGGTTTGCGTCCGGGTTTCTGCCCAACTTGGTATGTTCATCGTCCACATGATATGATCGAATGGAGAGCAAAGGATGCTAACCTCGCACAGGAGAACATCCCCGGCACCGTAAACTTCACGTACTCGGTCGTCGACACCAAGCCTCACTGGGTCTACTGTGGGCAGAAGCAGCCGCAGCCGCACTGCCAGCAGGGAATGGTCTTCACGATCAACGCGCCCAAGACCGGCAACACCTTCGAAGCGTTCCTCTCTGCGGCCAAGGCGGCCCCGACCATTCCCAGCACACCATCAGCGCCCGTCCCCGCGCAACCCAAGAAAACGCACGCAGTCGTCGTAGGCGGCAAGCCGAGTCCCTCTGCCGCGCCCGTGCTCCGCTACTCCCCCGAGACGGTCGAAGCCGCCGCGGGCGATGTAGTCGAGTTCAACTTCCGCGCCAACGCGCACACCGTGACCCAGAGCAGCTTTGAGAACCCGTGCACGGGCATCGACGGCGGCTTCAAGACCGGCCTGCAGAACAACACCATGGACGTCGATCGCGCCATCCTCAGGGAGTTTGTCGTCCCCAAGACTGATGCCCCGTTGTGGTTCTACTGCGGCGCCCCGACCCATTGCCAAAAGGGTATGGTCTTTGCTATCAATGCGCCCACAGAGGGTGAGAGGACCTTTGAGAAGTTTCAGAAGGCGGCTATGGCGAGTGCTTAGGAGGGGGGCGAGTCTGTTTTTTTGTTTTGTTTTGTTTGTTTGGTTAGCGGCGATGGGTTTACGGTATAGAATGTATGATTAACGGTTGCGGATGCATACTGTATGGCGGTGTTTGAGTAACTATAGATTTATCTGAAGGCATATATAATGTTTTGGACTCGGGACTCGGGACTCGAGACGCCGCAAGGCGCATGTTGTGATTCGTGACACCGAATACCGTAGTCGGGCTGTTGCACACAGGGCTGACTACCGATCCGAAACCCGTGACTCTGAGCGAACCACGCTTCTGCTTCCGATTCGTGAGGCCCCGATACCTAGGTCGGAGAGTGATTGGGGTTGACATCACCCATGCCGAACGGCCTGCTGACCAGCCCATTTCTTGGAAAGCCAAAAGTCAAAACGAACGTAAAACAATCTACAAATATACGTAACCATGGCAGGTAAACTTTAGGAGAAGTCGCTACTTACGCAAGCCACCGACGAACCAACTTCCGGCCGGTGGATATAATGGCAAGGTCGGCAGCACCGGGTGGCGTAGGGGAATCGGGATTCTGGGATCGGCTTCAGCGTGGAAGCCGTGAAGCAGGAGATAGGTACCGGCTTAGAGTATCGTTCCGAGTGCCCCGGAACACCGGAGCGACTTCTCGAACACACGAGGATGATCCCGAGTAGGGTAGAACCGGCCAGAAGCCTCTGGGGAAGGCAGACGCTACGGCCTGCGGGCAGGGGGGAGTGGGCTCCGGCATGCTGGAAAGTTCGCGAGTGACATCTCGTGTCAGTCCGTCGATCTGACGACAGACAGTGATAGCCGCCGTCCAACATCGCTCCCATGTCGAACGAGGCGGAGTGGTTGTTTTGGTTGGGTCGCGTTGCGTGCACACGAATAGGATCGTCGCAGTGTGACGTAACCGCAATCCTCACGGGTACACTAACCGTATATGGATTAGCGCTAGAATGTACCAGGTGCTTCGAGAGCTTTCAAGAATGACCGCGGGGCTGCGAGAAAACAGTGAACACACTCGGCAAGACCCACAGCCAGCCAGTTCGAAAGTCTCCACGAAACCCACACAGAAACAGTATATTTAAGTTCGTCTTCCCATCTCTCTCTTCCCCTCCTTCTTCCATCTAACATACAACTCACGAAACGAAGATACGAACGATACGATAAACGACACTCATCACGACATACCAACCTACCTTTTACCCATACATACCTAATCGCACACGAATAATTCACATCAACCATCATGTCCGGCAGCATGCAACTCACCGACAAGGCTCAGAAGGCGATTTCTGATGCTCTGGATGTCGCCACCAATTACGCCCATCCTCAACTACTCCCCATCCATCTAGCACACTCCCTCCTCACCGGACCGCAAACGGAGGAAGCGACAGCGGGAGCACCAGCTGCATCAGGCCCACCACTATTCCGACAAGTCGTCGAGAAGGCGAACGGCGACGTCCAGACCCTCGACCGCGCCTTCAAGAAAGCCCTCGTCCGACTACCCTCGCAAGACCCCCCACCCGACAACGTCTCGTTCGCTCCGAGTCTGAGTAAAGTCCTGCGCGAAGCCCAGAAGCTACAGAAGACACAGCGCGACTCGTTCGTGGCGCAGGACCATCTCATCAGCGCTCTCGCTCAGGACTCGGGCATCCAGAAGCTCCTCGCCGAGGCCGGAATCCCGAAGGTTTCGGTTCTCGATAGCGCCGTTCAGAGTTTGCGGGGAACGAAGCGGATCGAGAGTGCAAACGAAGAGGCCGTCGAGAGCGAGGCTTTGGGCAAGTACTGTATCGACCTGACGGAAAAGGCTCGCTCCGGCGCTCTCGACCCCGTCATCGGCAGAGATCAGGAAGTCTTAAGAGTCATTCGGATTCTGTCTCGGAGAACCAAGAACAACCCCGTCCTGATTGGTGAGCCCGGTGTCGGCAAGACCGCCGTCGTTGAGTGCCTTGCTCAGCGAATCGTCAACGCCGATGTCCCGGCTCATCTTGCGCAGTGCAAGCTGCTCAGCTTGGACGTTGGCGCTCTGGTGGCCGGCAGTAAGTACCGTGGAGAGTTTGAGGAACGAATGAAGGCTGTTCTGAAGGAGATTGAAGACAGCAAGGAAATGATTCTTCTCTTTGTGGATGAGATGCACCTACTCATGGGGGCTGGCAGTACCGGCGAAGGAGGAATGGACTCGGCCAATATGCTCAAGCCGGCACTTGCGAGAGGACAGCTCCACTGTATCGGAGCCACTACGTTGGCCGAGTACCGGAAGTACATCGAGAAGGATGCCGCTTTCGAGCGTCGATTTCAGCAAGTCTTGGTCAAGGAACCGACCGTCCCCGAGACCATCTCCATCCTTCGTGGTCTGAAGGAGCGTTACGAGGTCCATCACGGAGTCACCATTTCGGATAGTGCCATTGTTGCAGCCGCGACCCTCGCATCTCGCTATCTTACCGCCCGCAAACTTCCCGATTCGGCTATCGATCTCGTCGACGAAGCGGCCTCGGCTGTCCGTGTCACTCGCGAATCGGCCCCCGAAGCTGTCGATACCCTGGAACGCAAGCACCGGCAGCTGTTGATCGAAATCCACGCCCTCGAGCGCGAGAAGGACGATGCTTCCAAGACTCGTCTCGCCGAAGCCAAGAGGGAAGCTGCAAACATCATGGAAGAGCTGCAGCCCCTTCGCGAGCGCTACGAGGCTGAGAAGCGCCGGTCCAATGATATCCAGGAGGCGAAGAAGAAATTGGACCAGCTCACTGCGAAGGCCGAGCAAGCTGAGCGCACTGGCGATCTCATGACCGCTTCCGATCTGAAGTACTACGCCATGCCGGACCTCAGGAGACACATCAAAAAGTTGGAAGCCGAGAAGGCGGCTGGTGATGCTGAAGCCAACAGACGAGCATTGGCGACCGGCGAGACTGCCATGCTCACGGACCTTGTCGGCCCCGACCAGATTAACGAGATTGTCGCGCGCTGGACCGGGATCCCAGTCACCAGGCTTCGCACCACCGAGAAGGAGAAGCTTCTCAACATGGAGAAGTATCTTACCAAGTCTGTTGTAGGACAGCGCGAAGCCGTTCGTGCCGTCGCCAATGCCATCCGTCTATCTCGCAGTGGCCTCGCGAACCCGAACCAGCCGATCGCTTCATTCTTGTTCTGTGGTCCCTCGGGTACCGGTAAGACGCTTCTCACGAAGACTCTTGCCGAATTCCTGTTCGACGACCCCAAATCCATGATCCGCTTCGATATGAGCGAGTACATGGAGAAGCACTCCGTCTCCCGTCTCATCGGCGCCCCGCCTGGCTACGTCGGACACGACGCCGGTGGACAGCTCACCGAGGCCCTCCGTCGGCGCCCCTTTTCGATCCTGCTGTTCGACGAGGTCGAGAAAGCCGCCAAGGAAGTCCTGACCGTCATGCTCCAACTCATGGACGAAGGCCGCATCACCGACTCCACCGGCCGCGTCGTCGACGGCAAGAACACTGTGATCATCATGACCTCCAACCTGGGCTCGCAGTACATAACCCAGCGCTCCAGCTCCACAGACGGGCGCATCGATCCCACCACCAAGGAAATGGTCATGAACGCGATCCGCGGCCACTTCCTGCCGGAGTTCCTGAACCGAGTCTCGAGCGTGGTCATCTTCAACCGGCTCGCTAAGCGCGAGATCCGTACGATAGTTGACCTGCGCCTCAAGGAGATCCAGCAGCGTCTCACCTCCAACGGCCGCAACATCCAGCTCGAGGTCGACGACCGCACAAAGGACTTTATGGGCGAGGCTGGCTACTCCCCGCAGTACGGTGCTAGACCGCTGCAGAGGGTGCTTGAGCGTGAGGTCCTCAACAAGCTTGCTGTCCTGCTGCTGCGCGGAAGCATCAAGGACGGTGAGAGGGCTCGCGTCACTCTCGACGAGGCCGGACGGGTCATTGTACTTCCTAATCACCGTGTAGAGGAACTGGAGGATGATGAGATGGATTATGATGACTACGATGAAGTCGATAGTGGAGAAATGGAAGTTGAGGAGCTTTACGATTGAAGGGCGAAGAAGAAGCGGAGGTTGATGTAAGGGCGGGAGGGGGGGAGAAAGTGGAAGTTGACGTAAAGGAGGCTGGATGACTTGAGGTTTTCTTTTCTTTTCTTTTCTCTACTGTTGTTTTTACAGGATAAAGGTCGTCTTTCCTTTCTTTTTCTACAGTTCTTGTACATTGCATGGTCTTTGGTTTGGGGTGCTTTTGTAGTCTGTTATTTGTAGTCTGTTGTGTGTTCCTTCTCAACTGGTTGAGTGGGGTTTGGACTCTGCCTTTGTAGCAGGTCCGATTTCGTTTCTGAGTGGTTTGACTTGTTCTGTTTCGTGAATAAAAGCATGGTGCGCTTTAGAATGAATACTACTATACGCGCTTTACTCGATATCACTCGTGTTCTGTGATCATATCTCACTCTCGAATCTCTGTCATGACCGGACCCGGCCGAATCAATGGAACAAGAACCGGTAAGTACATAAGCTCGCATAAGTGAGTTGAAGTTGAATGATTTTATTTTTTATGATTTTCGCAAGCCAGAGTCGCTTGCGCAGTATGTAATCAGTTTACATTCCATCGGGGCACGCAACGCGGGGATGGGATTGCGTTTCCGAGAAGCGGCGATTTAGCGATAAAGCCTCCTCGTTTGTCAAACCGACACCTGAAATCTGAGGGGCGCCGGGGGGGCCAGGTTGAAGGAACCGCCCGGCCGGGGGTTACATGCGCCGGGGGTACGCGGGGGTACGCGATATCGCAATCGCGGGGATGGCCGTCATCGAGCTACCAGGTATCTATCTACCCCGCCAAACGGCTAGTAGCTAGAGGTGGCATAGCTGTCATAAGTAGAGCACAGCACCCGCCTGCATCCCCCGCTTCCAACTCAATTCCTCAATCCAATCAATCCAATCTATAAACTCAATCCATCCATCTACGAACTCTACATCTCTATATCGAATATGACAGCCCAAAGAATCGACATCGACAAAGTCCAGTCGACATTCAGCGGGATATGCATCGGCGGGCCCCCTCCCCCTCCCCCCCCCCCCCTTCCCCCTTATTCTAACCACCTTGCAGACCTAATCAGCGCCTCCCTCGGCGGCTCAATCGTGTCCTTCTCAGACGAATTCTTCGCATCAGCCTCCAACCTCATCACTCCCACCGCACCCATCCAGCGGGCCGGACACTTCATTGCGTCAGGGGCCTGGTACGACGGGTGGGAGACGCGGCGTCACAACCCGTCGACTGCAGACTGGGTCGTGATAAAGCTGGGCGTTCCCTCCGGCGTCGTGCACGGCGTCGAGATCGACACGGCGTTCTTTTCCGGGAACCACGCGCCCGCGGTCAGTGTGCAGGGCGTGTTCCTCCCCGGTGGAATGCCGGATGAGACTACCGAGGGGAGGTGGGAAACCATTCTGGATACCCAGGAGACGGGGCCGAATCAAAGGCATGTCTGGCGCCTCGAGAGACCGGCGGAAAAGCCGGTTAGTCATGTCAGGCTGAATATGTACCCTGACGGGGGAATTGCGAGGTTTCGCTTGCTGGGTACCGTCGTCCCAGTGTGGCCGGATGATAGCGAGGCCATCGTGGATTTGGCGCATGTGGCGAATGGAGGGTTCGCGGTGAGCTGCAGCGATCAGCACTACAGCGTCAAGGATAACCTCCTACTCCCCGGGCGTGGAGAGAATATGGGCGATGGATGGGAGACGAAGAGGAGTCGCCAGCCGGAGCACGTCGACTGGGTGGTTGTTAAACTAGTATTCCCCCCTCCTCCTCCCCCCCGCTCCCCCAACTATTAAGCCCCCAACGCTGACACCCATCCCAGGGCGCCAAAGGCTACCTCGAGGAGATAATCGTGGACACGCTACACTTCCGGGGCAACTTCCCACAGGCGGTGGAGGTATACGGGCTGAACGCGGAGACGCACGACGTGGCAGCCGACGATGCGCGCTGGGAGCTGGTGGTGCCCAAGAGCAAGTGCGCCAAGGATACCGAGCACGCGTTCTCGTCCACCATGATGCAGAATGTCGACGGCAAGGTCGTGAGCCATGTCAAGATGGTCATCATTCCTGATGGCGGCGTTAAGAGGCTTAGGGTCTTTGGGAAGCGCGTTGTGGGGGCTTGAGGTCTTGTGTGTACTAGATAGTCTACGCGGGAAATGGAGTCACTGTCATCGATCAACTAGGAATGAATCCGCATCCACCACAGTCAATCAAATATATCTTCGTCGCCGTCGCGGTGGAAGATAATACCGTAGGTAATGTCGCCTTATGTAACCCCATCAAAGCGCCCATATGCAGACAGACACAACACAGCACAAGTGACTCTGATCTGATCATCAAAATCCAAAAATCCAAATCGAAGCAGCACCCAATCAATCACCGATCCGAAGCAAAAAACAGTAGACAGTAGAGCCGTAGAGTACGCATGTCGTCGTCGTCGTCGTCGCATATGATATCCAAACCAGGCGCACAAGTAAGTACTCGAGTAAAGAGAATACATACGGTGAAAGAAGAAAGAAGAAAGAAGAAAAAGAAAAAGAAAAGAACAGCAAAGTTGAGATGAAATGGGCAGCCAAAAGAACAAAACAAAAAAAAAAGAGGCACACCCTCACACGCCATAACACCGGTCTAATCCCAACCCAACCTAGCCTAGCCCCAACCCCAAACCCAACCCCAAATTTTCAAATCATGCCTCACAGATATGATGGTGCTCGTCCCCAATCATCAACGGATCTTCAACGGCCTGTGAGCCTGCGTTGCTACAGGAGCAGCAGCGGGCGCGGGCGCAATCTTCCTCTCACTTCCGCTCGCACGGGTAGTGGGACGGCGGCCCTTTGCCTTTCCGTCTTCATCTTCTTCTTCCCCTTCGTCCGCCTGCTCGGTGTCTTCGTCCTCGTCGTCATCTTTGATCGAGATGACCTCGTCCTCGACCCAATCGGCATCGCTGTAGTCTTCCTCCTCATCTTCTTCCGGGACCGGAAGAGCTCCGTCCCTGATGAGCCACCAGTACTCCGTCTCGTTGGGGTTGAGGAACGTCTGCCCATTGTGGCTGTGTATGAGGAGTGCGTGATCGCACACGTAGTCTTTGGTCTTGGGGTTCTGACGATCGAACGTCGTCGCCACCCAAACGCGGACGTGTGGCTTGTTGCAGATCAGTTTTCTCAACGTGTAGTACAGACCGTCGACCTCAGCAGCGATCGAATTGTACTCCCGATCATGCGGATCCGGGAAATGGTCCTGGCACAGGCCAGGCCAGTTGTTGACGAAGTAGAGATCCAGGTTCTGTAGTCTCGTAAACGCCATTGGCTCGAGCGTGGAGCAGATGGCGACGTTGCGGAACGACAGGGACTCAAGCGTGTCCTTGTGGTAGAGCAAACGTGGGCAAAGGTGCTGCGTCTCGGGGGAGTGACGGTAGAGATTCTCAAACCGTTCTTCAAAGGGGCGCACAAAACCCATTGGATGGTGCACTTCAAGGTGGAGCTTAGTGATCCTTTCGTGATTCGGGATCGTTGCGTTTAAAGCATCGGCCAGCAGCGCTGCGAAATAAATAGATATACATCAGCCGGGGCGCAAGGAGAAGAGGGGAGCAGGCAAACCACTACTAACCTTGCTGTGCCGCGAGAAGACCCAGCCTCTCGACCTTCAGGTCTTCGAGATCGTAACGCATGCAGTCCAAGATATACCAACGCGGCCATCTCTGGCCAATCTCGGAATTATCCTGCCTCCACGGTAGGTTCGTCATCCAGCAAACGGCCTCTCGCGTATCTATAGACGCCGAGTTCTTGGTGCGAACTCTCTTGGGAAGTCCATCGTTGCTTGGCTGATAGCTGCCATACCACGCGTTGCGGGGCACTAGGGGGCGAATCACCGTCTTGCCCGGGATGTCGTACTCGTTTCCCGCCAACGCGCTTAGCTCGCGCGCACTGACAACGATCCGGGGTCCGCGCGCAATCATCGGCGCGATGGTTGCGCGCCAGAACGAGTTGACGGTCGATAGCTTGGTCAGGACTCGGTAACGATGCAGGAGCATGAGCATGGGCTGGTTCATGTAACGGGGGTCCTGTTGGGTGGACGCATAGTCGGGGATTTCCTCGAGCGGTGTCACCGTCAGCGCGACCAAGTCGGTGATGATGTGTTTCTGGAGTTCCGGCGAGAGCGAGTTGAAGTTTGCGCGCGGCTTGGGGAGTTGGTAGGGGGCGGCAGGCGACTCGGGGACGGGCGATGCATGGGATGAGTGTGGAGGCGTCAAGGGTGCAGGCGAGGGAGTTCGCGACGATCCATTGTCGATTCGCTGACGTTTGCGTTGATGGGATGACGATTCCGACGCAACCGACGGGCTCTTTGATGATTGCAATGACGGTGCCGGCGATACGTACGACGGCAATGGCGATTTCGACGGCTCCTTCTCTGTGGTCGGCGACGGAGTGCTTCTGGGAGTTGGGGGATGCATGTTGTGCGATGTGTATGTAGTTGCAGATGATTGAACGATAATCGATGACGCGGCACGACTGGCGCGGTGCCTACTAGTAGGATGAGTGGGCGATGACGCTGTAAGTGGCTATCCTCGATTCCTTTTTTTTCCGACGAATATTGCTGAGTTGGGATAGATGCGAACTGGGGGTAGTGGAGAGGAGGGATTGGGTGGGTCGATGTAAGGATCAAGATGGATTGGATTTGTGCGGAAGTTAGAGGTAGGTAACTATCTCGGTGCTGGTACTGGGGAGGGAGATGAGAGCGTGTGTGTTGTGCGCGTGTTCGTGTGTCGTCGTGTTGTGTTGTGTCGTGTCGTGATGGTGTCGTGTCTTGTGCTATCTGTATCGCGACTCGCTTGTTAGGATGATTTGCCTGATGAATCGCACAGCAGGTAGCCACAGCGGCGGACGGGACAGGGCAAGCCAGCAGCAGCAGTCGATAAGGTAGGGTGAATGTGTGCTGACAGGGGACGCGTGGTAAGGTGAGCAAGCTGGGGGGGAGAGCAGTCCGGGCTGCGACGGGGAAAGAAGCAAGTGGGCAGAAGCAGGCAGAGTCACGCATACGTATCCTCACTGATCACTCACATTCCCGTTTTGTAGCTTCGCTTTCGCTTTCAGGTAAGATTCCACCCGGGAATGCGCTCGAGCAGAGTGTGCGGCGGCGAATAAAGTGATCGATATATTATTCTTGGGCCCGGTCGCTAAGGGACTAAAGCTTGGTGGCGGTGGTGGTGGGAAACGCTTGTCTTAGTGCTCTCGGTAAGTGAAGTGGTGGAGGGGTGATGATGATGGTGGTGGTGGGAGGCGGACAGGCGGCAGTGGTTGGTCGAGGGGAGGGGATCTTCTTATTAAGATGAGGCACCAGCCACCTGTGGCAGTGCATGCTGCGACAGAGACTGCCAACCCCAGAGTCCGGCATGGTACATACTCTACATCATACGTGATAACCCCGACTGATAATCCTCCGACAAACCGGTTCGCACATCAGGGATACTGACATGCGAGTCGATCACGGCGTTGTTTCGGTCTGCCGCCTTCGCCCATGCTGTGTACAACGACAACCTTCGAGTACAAGGTACATACTGGTTTGCAATGGCCTGAGTTCCTGCGCACTCCATCGCTTTACGTTGCTGATTGTTTTTGGTCATAATCATGACTATGGCGGCGTATCTGGAGTATTGCTGATTGCTTTTTCCTGTTCAACGCGACAGCCTATACCATACACGGGTGATTTCCTGTGAAGTTTGCCGTGTTACGGAGTGCGGCAGCAATCATGCGACCGACTTCTACGCTCCGGGGTGGGCCATATCTTGCTGTTTGCGTTGGGCGAGGTGTACGATGATTATCGCGGCACGGTGTTTGCTGCCTATCCAATCTCAATGGGTCGTTGTACCTAGATCTCACTCGCAGTTTCGGTTTACATCTGCTGGCATGAAAGCGGTTTCTTGGAGACCTGGCCATGGCCATGGCGGCTTGGAGGCATTGACTCGGCTCCGGACTGAGCGCTGGAGGTCAGAAAGGCCTTGCCTATAGACAACACGATCGTCCGCATGTTGCTGAATTCCGGACGCACGCACGAATCACGATCCATGTTTACGCCAAAACAACCACCGCCTTGGAATAGGTAGGACCGATCGTCCATCCGCGTAGAGTAACTATCTGTCGGACGCAATCTAGTTGTCTAGCCAATAATAGGGATTGCAGATTACCTACATACTCAGCAGCCTAGTAATCAGTGCAGGCAATAGCCCGAAAGCCCATGGGCTGATCTGGCAGCCGCGCGGGAGCCGTTGAGCATGCAGCCCAGCTCAGCCCGCCGGCGTTGGGTGGGCTGAATCCTAGAGTTTTGTAGAGTAAGGTTACGAGGGTGAGACGAAGGACAGAAGAAAGAATAGAGAATGTAGATGTGTAGAAAACAGATCCACGCCGGCAGCGCCCTCAAGAAACATACATGAATATCTCTTCGCTAAAGTGTATGTGACAGGATACAAGTGTTGGTGAAGATATGGAGAAGGAAGGAGAGTGTGCGATGATATAGTGGTTGTCTGGCACACGTCTTCCACGTTCGCACAGGGGGGGGAGCACCGTTCAGCAATCTTCTACGAATCCGAGGGGTTCTCTGCTTATGGCGGTGGGTTGTACTTGTACATTTCTTATGAGTGGTGGGTTCTCGTCGCCTTGCGGGTTCAAAATTTCGCGAGCAGCGAAAAACACTAGGCAGTGATGATAGCTCAGTTGGAGCGAATTTCCCAGGTGGTGCAAGGTCCATCAGCTGTACAAGGATAGCAACCGTGGGGAGGACGCTCTTTTGCGGCCGTTCAATACGGGGCTCGGTTTGTTTCTTTTTTGAGATTCTGCGGTACTGTATGGTTGCTCAGTCGAGTGATTGTTTTGTTGGCGAGCGTGGAACCGTCGATATATGTGGCACTGATGATGGACCATGACGGCCAGTAATGCAATGCACAGCTGTCCGCATAAGTACTAGCCTCTCTCTCCTCCTCCTCCCCCAAAGTTCCGTGGAGTTTGATCCATCTCACTCGCTTCCATCTACACTCCGCACCACTCTCCGCACCACTCTTTACTCTCATCCCCCGTCCTCACGACGACCGCCCCGCTTTCACTGCCGATGGCGATAACGTTCTGACCCGCCTAAACCTTGCGCTCGAAATCTCGCTTCTTCAGGCGGCGATTCTGGGAATCTGGGGTGCATACATGATACCTACGCGAAATCACCGGGATCCATGAAGTCAATCGAGCAGCGGATTGTTTACTTTTATTTGCTTATGATACATAAGCAAGCCTCGGCCCCCCTAGGCGGGACCGACAAAAGACATGAGGATATGTACGGACAGAGGGCGGAAAAGTATTGTTTACAGTGAGAATTGAAGGCCACTCAAGTGGGCTGGCTGGGCGGAAGAGAATGCAGTGTGTACAATACTATACACGCGCACCGCGGAGCAGATGCTCAACTACCGGCACTGATTCCTCGGAGCAAAAAGAAACGATCAAAAAGCCTCCGGGCTCATTACCAAAAAACCATCCTCCCCATGGACAACAAATACAATTAAAGTACAGGATATAGGGTATCATCAATGACAGCACACCACATAAAAATATACTCAGATACGTCGAAGAATTAAAGGAAGAGAATGAGAAGGATCGTTTCCAGCAGACATGACACAAGAAAAGACAAACATAGCAAACCAAAAAAACACAAAAAAAACACCACACGCCAATATCGTTCTCGTCTCAAAACATCAATCCATCAAAGTGTGCGCTGAAGAGGGGGGGTATTTCAGGCAAAACAAACTAGAGCAAGAAGAGAAATGACACCAACCAAAATCATCAGGAGGGGCGATTACTCGAATGAGGCGCTGAACGCTACGGCGATCGAGGCTATCAGGCCGAGGACGAGCGTGGATAGCCCGATTGAGCTAGCGGACGACGCAAGATTGTCGTCGAGGGGGATGTTGGGGGACGTTCGAGTGCCGTTCGTACCGGTTGCGCTTGCTGCGTAACTGCCGCCCGTAGCAGACGCTTCATAACTGAGCTTTGAGGTCGTGTAAAACGAGGTACTCGGCTTCTTACTCTCGTGATAGGAGTCCGACGATGAGGTCTCTTCCGAGTCTGAGGACGATGTCGAGGTTTCCGAGTCGGTGCTAGTGGCGGTTGCAGAGCTGGATGACGAAGATGTGGGCTTGGGTGATGCCAAAGAAGTTTCGGATGGGGCAACATACGACGAAGATTTATCTGGGATCTCCTTCTCATCATCCCCTCCAGCTTCCTTGTCGTCGGCCTTGGAGTACACCTCAACCTCAACCTCAACCTCCTCTTTGTCTTCTTCTTCCTCCTCCTCTTCCTCCTCCTGCTCTGGCTCCTCATCCTCCTCCTCCTCCTCCTCCTCATCGTCTTTCGGAGAAGCGACTGGGACATCTTCAGATTTTCCGTCCTTGCTGAACACAACGATGGTTGCTGTTGAGCCCTTGGGAACACCGACGACACAGAAGTTGGCACCACCAGCTCCTGGTGGGTTATTCTGGGAAACCTCGTTGACGCCGTGCTTGCTGGGGTCGATTTCACAGGGGAGGCCATTGCAGTCGCCGTCGCACTAAAATACAAGTCAGACAAATGTTAAATGATAGGGGAGGGAGTGTGGGATCAGTGAATCAAACCTCAATGCGGACACCATAATTTGGCATCTCATCACGGAAGGCGACATCAGGCTCGATGTAGATGGGGTTCCATCCGACGGTCACGAAAGTCTCTCCATCATCCATAGCATTGGCACCAGCAACATAGGGAGCCCACTAAAACACATGTCAGTATTCAACCAGCAAATCTTGATCATCAGCGTTTGTACTGACATTTCCAACCGGCTTATCCTTGGTGCCCCAGACACAGCCTTCTGTGGTGCTAACTCCAGGAGGGTTGACATAGTAGTGTGCAGCGGTCTTGGCCCAGTAATCGGTACCGGGAACGGCAAGAATGGCCTCGCCATCGACGTTGGTTGGGATCAGCATGGCCTCATTCCCAGGCAGGACAGTCTGGCAAATGGCAACCGATGCACCAGCTGTGTTCTTGCACTGGACTGTTCCAACACCATCATAGCAATATGGCTTATTGGGGAACGGCTTGGAGACATTTCCATCCTCGTCACAGTACAGCCCACCATCCTAAAGACGGAACGAAGTTAGCACGAGTGACGGACTATGATTCGCATTGCACTTACCATTGACTGAGGGTACTTGTATTCTGTTGCATCCGGATTCCATTGTGCCATGAGCTGACCACTGTCACGCACCATTAGTTCGTCTGCGCACAACCATTGTACCATCACGGCGTTACTTACGGTGGGCATGCGTATGGGCAGTACATTCCACTATTTCTCCATCAGCATACGGATAGATTTTCTCGCGTCATGGGGATATACGTACGGCTTGCAAGGTTGATCTGGGGACATGGCCCATCCGCCGTTCATTCCTTTCGGCGCAACCTCAACCATTCCCTCTCCCTTGGGGAACTCGCAAGTCGACCTCTTGGTAATACCGGATCCGGCGACGTTAAAAACGGGCAAAGCATCTTTCTTGTGGAGCTTGTGATGTGTATGCCTCCGCTCGAACTGCGTGCGATGATCGATAGCAAGGGCTTGGCCGGCGACGAGAAGCCACACGGCGGCGAAAGTGATTGAACGCATCCCGAAAGAAGGTGTGTGGATGAATCCGACGATAAAATTATGCTTGTTAAAAAGCTGGCTGCGATTATTGCTTTGCGCAAAGAATGAGTGTTGCGGGTATTCTATCTACAGGATCCCGTTTGTTGCTGAAAAGAGCGTGGAGAGTACAAGGACTCGATTGACGACAAGGAGCGATTGACTGGGCCGGTAGGAAGTGAGGAAGCAGAAGAGAAGAAGAAGAGGAAGAGAATTATGGGAACACTTCGCATGATAACCCGAGACGCGCCTCCGGGGGGGCATCACTACAGGCAGCCAGGCCATGTCGTCAAATGAGATACGGTGCCACAAACTTGTGATGCCCACACACCGACACACCCACACCGACACACCCACACCACACACAACACACCACATACAACACACCACACACAAAATGCTGCCCTCTTCCTCGGTTCCTCTTCTCCAGGCGCTGGTACTGCATGCCCAGGCTGGAGACAGTCCCTGATTGGTGCAGAAACCATCTAGGCGCCTTTATTGGTGCTTCTGGCGACGGCTCTATCCCGATATGGGCGCAAACTTACTCACTGGGGAAATGAGCTGTACGATTTCGCCCCTCACCCGCCAACGAGGGTGGGGAGGTGGTGGTGGTGCACGGTGAGTTGATGGTTCAGGGGTTGGCTTACATGGAGCCGAACCGAAGAGCTGTTGGTTCCTGACATGGACCAGACAACCAAGCATTAGTTACCTATGGTGGTTTAATAAAAACCGTTCGCAATTGATGGCGTAATTTAGCAGTCGTCGTCGCGCGAGCTCTAGAAGTTCATTCTACAGTAACAGAGTACTACCTATGGTAGATGCTCTGTGGGCGGCCTCTCTTTGGGGGTCCCGACAGTCAAATTCCGACTCCTGAGCCATCATCGATCGCGGCCCTAATCGACCTACATACATAGCGGCTCAGTGACCAGTCTCGCCCTCTCCTGGCCCTGCATTCGCCGTGGCGTTCGGGTTGTTTGGTGCCTGCCAAGTCCCCGGGGTAGAGCCCCGGTGGAGGACGACACATGCACATCAGGAAGGCGTGTATTCGCTTCTGCTCTCTGGCCCGACGGCACAGATGCGGTGTATGTGGTGTGATGGATGATGGATGTGAGTGACAAACGCCTTGTCAGTTGCAATTGAGTTTTACTTGCCTCTTCTATCGCGCGTCTATGAGGATATCTACAGTACGGCATGGTGAATTACGTTACTCTCCATGCGGTGCCCGTCACAATCTGTCTGGACAATGATATCCGCCAGAGATTCACATCCCCCTCCCCCCCAGATAAAAATTTCCCTCATCCTTTCAGCAACGGCAATGGGCCCACGGTCCGCGCCCCTAACGAGCGAGGAGCCAATCACTCTAAATTGACAACCGACGGCGGCGCCTCAATCAATGCCCTCCCCCTCCCCCCTCCCCCTCCCCCTCCGGCGAAGAGGGCGGGATGTTTGTCGTGTGCAAGTAGAGTAAGCAAGCAAGCATCATCCGCTGATCCCCCACCGAAAACGAACAACTGGTCCAGTATATAGAGTATCTAACCACCGATCGCTTGTCTCGTCTTGTATTTTATCCAACCGCTGCGACGATCAAATTTGACGAACGGGGGGAATTTCTGTGGGGAAGGCAGGCAGGCAAGCAATCGGGTCGGCGAATCCACTTCCCTACATAACTACTGTAACTAACTAGGGCCGCCTGTGCGTGCGCGGAGTTGATTGAAAATCGTTCAAAAAGATGCGAGCGAGCTCGCACGGACTGGGGAGGGATGGGGGATGGGAGATGGGGGATCACCGAACTACTGGAGAGGATACATCGTCTGTGTTCAGGGACTCCGAGTCATCGCACGCTCGACCGACGACCGGCGTCGGTATCTACTAGTTATCTAGTGGTTACTCTACACAGGTAGGCCGGTGTCGGTATATTTTGGACGGTCTCACCGAGCCGAAAGTCAACACAGTTTGTCGTTGGCGGCTGTCAGCGGCAGCACGGAGGGTGGACACTGCTTATATATACTTCTATAATTCTATTCTTCTGATAGATATCTATAGGTCTTTACGCGCCCCCCATGCCAGAAAAACATAAACTCAAAATCCGTACTTGCATAGGTATCTACGGGTACATATGTACTCGGGTATGAATTCTGGCGGCGATCGGCAGAAAGCCGGTGGGCGATCTCACATAATCTCTACATATCTACCTACCTCTGTGCGTGTCAGAACTGGAGATGGCCGAGCTTCGTCTTCAGAATCTGCCTGAATGCGGGTAGATGAGAGAGATGGAGATGGAGATGGAGAGTGTGATAACGGAAAATGGTGGATGACGGTCTCCCCCCTGATAGTGTAGGTAGAGTAGGTATTAAAACGGTTTTCTCGTCCAATGTTTTCGAAACAAGGGGCCAGCCTTAGATTTGGGGGGATATCTACCCAGGTACTCTGCCCCATCTCCTACAGAACCATACAATGCGAGGCAATTCGCCCTAGGTATTGTATCATACAACCCTATCCACCTATCCAGCACCGGTGTTAGATGACGTTGACGTCGATTGTAAGGAAACGAAACGATAAAAAGGAAAGAAAAAAAATGAACCCACACAACGTGTGGGAACAGCTGACATCTCCCCCTCGCACGGCCTCATTTCTCCTTGGGGAAGTTATGATGTCTTTACCTGTTTACCGGGCTGCCTGATACGGACGATTGGCGAGATTGCGCCCCGGACGAGGTCGGGGAGAGCTCCGTTGAGTCTTGACGCGACTTGGCCCCGGTAGAGTAGTAGAAGATATGTATCGCCTCGGAGGCTGGACCGCATGCACTTGCGCTCTGGGGGAGGGGGACTCTCCGGTCCAGAGGCATCCTGCAGTGTAAAAGAGGCGTCCAACAACACGAAATTAACTCATGCAGTTGGAATGGCATCGCATCGCAACTCCTCGTAAAATCCGAGACATCGAGTGATGCGCAATGAATGTCGGCAGCACGTGGGCGACTGCCCCTGGACATGCCATTCCGAACGTCATCTGGCTAACTAACTGCTCTAGAGTAACTAGCTTCAACTCACTTCACCCCCGCAGCAGCAGGTGCGCGACGAAGCTTCCCCACGGTGCGCTCGGAACAACGAAACGAAACTATGAACCCCCTTCGTCTGCCAACGCCAAATGCAACACCGCGTATCCCGACCCTCGGCGCCCAGCGACTTCGCAATATAGCCAGCAGCTCCAGCGCGGAAACAAAAGACAGCAAGGACCGCACCGTGCAGCAAACCGATCAAGACGCATCGCAGTCGCGGTTGTCCGCCGTGGACACCGGCTACCTCCACGATGACTTTGCGAAAGCCTTCTGCCAGCAGAGGGGAACGCGGAAGTTCCCCCTGATCAACCGAGGTTAGCTCTTTTTTTTTCTCTCTTTCTCGGACAAACAATGTGGCGTCGATTGTGTTGACGGAGCGTGTGACGGGTGGGCAGGAACCTTTGTGCGCACCACGGCGCTGGACCGTCTAGTCAATATATTCCTTCTCAGCACGCCACCCACGCAGCGGAAGCAGATCATCTCGTTCGGCGCGGGCAGCGACACGCGCTACTTCCGCCTGCGGCAGTCACTCCCCGCAGATGTGCTGCGCAACCTGGTCTACCACGAAATCGACTTCGCCGCTGTCACGACGCCGAAGATCGCCTCGATCCTGCGCAACAAACTACTACCCTCGCAGGAGATCACCGCGGTCGACGAGGCCGCCGGGTCACTGGCCGCGGACGGCAGCTACTACATCCACCCGCTGGACCTGCGGTCGCTGCGCCCCGGGTGCGAACCTCCCACCGGCGTCGAGCTAAAAGATATCCCCACGCTGTTCTTGTCCGAGTGCTGTCTGATATACCTCTCGCCCGAGGAGGCCGATGACATTGTGAGGTGGACAACGACGGACTTTTCGGCGAGCGTGGGTATGGCAGTGTATGAGCCCATCGGCGGCGAGGATGCCTTCGGGAAGGTGATGATACAGAATCTGGCGGCGCGCGGGATCGTGCTCAAGACGTTGAAGAGATACTCGACGCTGGAGCGGCAGCGGTTGCGGTTCCGGACGCTGGGGTATACGACCAGGCAGGAGGCGGCGGATGTATACTACATCAGCGAGAATTGGGTGGCTGACGAGGAGAAGGAGAGGATTGCGAGATTGGAGATGCTGGATGAGGTTGAGGAGTGGAGGATGCTCGCTAGGCACTATTGTGTTGCGTGGGCTTGGAGGGGGGACGAGTTTGATGTGTGGAACGGTGCGGTGCCATTACAAGCGGCGGATTAATCACACACACACACACACACATGCCCGAGTATCCATGATGCCAATTCATCCGTGTCAAGAATTATATTTCATGATTCTTCAATTCCACCCACCCATCCATCCATCCATCATCCATCCAACCATCCATCCAACCACCACTCTACACCTTCCTCTCCTCCTCCAATTTGGCCAACTTACTTCTCCACACCTCCGCATTCTCCTGTTGATTCCAAATAGCGGTAACACTCTTCTGCGCCAGCAGCGCATCGACCCACTTCTGCCAGACCTCGATCTCCTTGAGCTCCTTCAGCAGGAAGCTAGGGAACCACCCATACTCCTCCGTGCCAAGGGCATAGACCCTCAGTACAAAACTCGCCGTATTGACCTCGGCGAGCGTAAGCTCCTTGCTCCCGCCAAAAAACGGCGCCGCGTCAGCCAGCAGCGGGACGAGATCGCGCTTCACCGCGGCAACCACAGCATGCGCTTTCGCCTCCTTCTCCGCAGTGGTCCGCGCTGCGATCAGGATCCCCGTCAGCGCGGACCCGAACGCGCTCGCGAATACGTCCACGAAGAGAGAGATCCGCGCGCGCTGCAGCGCCGCGGCGGCGCTGCCCGTCGCAGGGAGGAGACGCGGCGCGTAAACGTCGGCTAGTTACTCGTCATCAGCACCACCACCAACATCCCCAAGCAATAAGCATCAGGATGACAAACCCAGATACTGCGTGATAATCCCACTCTCGATGAGGATCTCGTCGTCGCCGATTTTGAGCGCGGGCACCAAGCCCCTCTGCGTACCATATCCCCATTAGCACCGTCTCCCATATTCACCCGCCATCAATTTTCACTGCATCCCCTCCAGCCGAGAGTAACTCACGGGATTGATCGCGAGATACCACGCCTCCCGCGGCTTCGACAGGTCGATCGAAACCTCGTCGAACTCGAGGCCCAGCTCCGACAGCGCGATGTGCGCCCGGTGCGCCCAGGGGCAGTAGCGGTTGGTGTAGCTGCGGGTTGGAGGGGGGTTTCGTTAGTGGGCGGTGATGGGGTGGAGCGGGCGGAGGGGGAGCGGGAGGGTAGGTACAGTGTGAGCCTTTGGTTGGACATTGCTTTTGCTTTTACGTTTGGGCTGGGTGATGTGCGTGTGGTTATGTGGGTGTAGATGTGTGCGTTTGGATGAGTTTGTGAGTTTGTTGGTTTGTGAGTACTAGTATACGATGAGTTACGACCGACGTCACGACCTCTTATATACACCTAGTATGCCATACGCCATGCCCCCAGGGCACACCGCCACCACCAACAGCAGCAGCACCAGCACTCCCAGCACCAGCAGCAGCAGCAGCAGCACCACCAGCAGCACCATCCCGTAGGCCATGGCGTCTTCGGCACGGGCCTAGACGGTTGCCTAGACGATTAGTATCCCGTCCCCGCAATTCCGTGCCGGCCCGATTGTCTAACATGCCTAATCGGCCTAACCGCGGATTTCCGTGGCCGGATTACAAACTCATGCGGCGATGGTGCAAGTTCCGGGCCGAATGATGAATTGGTGGTATCAGTGATACGGGATCTGCACAGAGTAGATATCATACGAGTGCTCTTCCCTGTATGTAGAGTACAGGTAGTAGAGTAGAGTATCACGATTCACGAAGCATCACCCGCGCTCCACACTGAGCCCCACTCCCACTCCGAATCTGACCCCGACTCCGACTCCGCGCTGATAAATCCATTCGCTTGCTCCTGAGTCCTGAGTCCTGGGTCCTCGGGACCACGTACCTACTCGAGTATGTACTTATGCAGAGTAGATTTGCAGGCCGTAACTTCATCAATTCATCATCAAGCAAGCAAGCAAAAACACCTAGGTAACTAACTCGCCCAAGTTCAAGAAAGGGGAAAAAGAAAAGACAGAAACACAGAAAAACACAGAAAAAACTCCGAAACAAGCGAAACAAGCGAAACAATCAAAGGAAAGCAAAAGCAAAGCACGGCGATTTCTAAGTGTAAGTATATATGCCCCCCTTTCCCCCTCCCCCCTTTTATCTAATCAGACAGACAGATAGATAGACAGACAAAGGAAAATGGAAAAATGAAATCGGAAATCGGAAATCTGAAACGTATAACAACCAAGGAATTGTGACAGCAAGTTATTGGCAACAAGATATAGACAACGATAGGAGCATCGTCATCATCATCATCATCATCAACATCATCGTACATGGTGGAGACGAAAGTGTGGGTGTGGGCGGTGGGCGGTGGGGGGGTAAATCAATAAGGTTCGAAAAGCAAAACAAAGCAAAGCAAACGCAAGCAAGGCGGGAAACCAAAACCCAAAACCAACGACCAAGTACCGTATGAAATCCAAAAAGAAAACAACCAAAACAACCAAAAGAGAAAAAAAAACAAAACAACCAAAAGAGAAAAAAACAAAAAAACAAAACAAAGCAAAAGGAAATCCGTGCGGACTCAGCCCAGATCAGGTACTGTTCCTCCTGCGACTATTCTCCCTCTCGAGCTCGATATCCTGCTGGTTGAGACACATCAATCCCGCCGCGGCCTGCGCTACATCGCCCTCAGCCTCGACGGAGGGATCCAGGACGGCTGGCTGCTGCTGCTGCGGCGGCGGCGGCGGTGGTGGTCTGACAAACATCCTCGCGCGGTAATCATCCTCGTGTTCGAAGCCCTCTGGACCCTGGGCGTGGGCGTGGGCGTGGGCGTGACCCGAGATCCTGCGACGCTTCGACAGGTGTGCGGGATCGAGGTGGTGGCAGGCCTCGGTTGATTCTCTGCGCTGCGGGATTACTTGCGGCAGCTCTGGGGCTAGCGCTGGCGAGAACGGTTGTGTATATTCCTGGAATTGTTCGGCCGGGGGGGGCATGATGGGGGGGTACAACGGCGTGTCGCAGAGGTATCCGGGGTTGGCGCTGCTGCTGGCCATGCTTAACCGTTTGTGCGGTTGCCGTGGGGTGTAGTACGGCGTCGAAGGGATAGATGCCTCGGCTGGACTCCGCCACATTTGCTGGTGCGGTGAACATCCGTATCCTCTCCCGCCTCCACCCTCCCCTCCGATCCCATGGGCGGGCGTGGGTATTCTTTGCCCGATCGCGTAGCTGTACTGTTGGTACTGACGAGAGGGCTGATAGCGAGAGCTGCTGCCGCGGTCCATACGTACCGAGCTCTCGGGCAGCGGGTGCTGCAGGAATTGCTGATCAAAGTGATGATACTGATTCAGGGGAGAAGTGGCGGTAGGAGAAGGGAGTGCGTTCGCCCAGCCGCCCGGACTGGGAAGGGACGGGTACAGATGTTGACCACGGCGATTGCTGTTGCTGTTGTTGCTCGAGTCGAACGGGCCCGACTTCGAGCTGTCGCGGACGGGGTCAAAGTATCTGCCACCGTGTGTTGTCTGATCCTTCGTCATGGAGCCTGCGAGTTCGGGCGAAGCCGTTGGATACGTCGAACGTGGTGGAGTATAGGTGCCTTCGGGCGGAGTTGCGTATCTCGAATTGGACGGCGTGAAGTTGCTCGTGGAGGAAGCTTTGGATTCCCGTTGTTTTTGACTACGTGAAGCTTCAATCTGCTTGAGTTTGCGGACTCTGTCCGTGCATGCGACGATGATGGCTGCATCTATGTTGTATCGACCGAATTCCTCTTTATCCTTCTCTGGATCCAGGCAATCCCTGGGGAAGTCTTTCCCGAAGACTATCGTCAATGCGAACCTTATTCTCCAACAGAACCTGGTTGCCATCGCTCTCGCGGCCTCGTATGGGAACCAATATCCTGTAAGGTTTGCGTTGCATCGGTTATCACTCCGTACCCGACAACGTCCGACTCGGGGTTCACAACGGGATATAAAAATAAAAAAAAACCATCGGGGCCCACTTCAAACATACCTTGAGCATGGAGCTGGCCTCCAGTGATATTGGGGCAGATTGCCGCCAGATTTGAATTGATGCTCGGTTTGAGAGCATTTCCCGGCTCGGTCTGAAGCCAAAAGTAAGTCCTGACCGCACATCATTCCCACCCACCCCTCACACCTCACACGTTCGGAGGACTTACCTTTCCAGGTTTGCAACAGTTAAAGAAGTCGTGGACGCGAACGAAGCCCGTCGAGTAGTCCCACATGATCCACCACCGCGTTGGCTCACCCAGCGTATTATTCGCTACAAAACTGTACTCGTAGACTATTCAAGTTTGTGCGACAAAGGCCGGCAATGAGTCAGCACGGACGTCCCCTCGTCGCCTCCGTGTTCCGGGACGGAGATGTCTCATCATCTCTCCGTCGGCATAAAGGAAAAAAGGAAAGAAAAAAAGGAAAAGGGAAAAAGGAAGGGAATAAACGGGAGTTGGTGTGTGGCTGGAGGGGGTGGGGAGGGGGGAAGGGGGAGGGAGGGAGGGTATGACTTACGGTTGAACTCATGCCGTCCCGTAATCTCAAACAGCTGGCCCTTGGATCCTCTGAAAGGTATCTTTCGGCAGTAACGACTTACGCCATCAGCCGGATAGAGCTGCATCTTCCTGAGCTGGTGCTTTTGCTCCTCGTCCAATGAATCCTCATGGCATGGAAAGTTGACTTTCCCCTCCGGGGCCTGGGGCCTTAACACCCTCTCCTTGGAGGCGGCCGAGCTCGGAGGTTTGTTTGCACGGTTGGGACGTCGCATCTGGGGCTTCGACGAGGATGGTGGTAGAGATGGTAGAGGTTGAGGTAGAGGTAGAGGTAGAGGTGGTGGTGGTGGGGTTGGAGTTGGAGTCGGAATCAGAAGATGAGAGGGACGGACCGGCAAGGGTGTCGGTTGGGGGCTTTGGGGTACGATATCTTGTTCCTCTCGGGCTATGAAGGTAGGGTGATGGGGGGAAGTGTCGATTCCCAATAAGGTCGGCGCCTGATACTGCTGCTGCTGCTGCTGCTGCTGCGGGTGCGGGGGGCGGCGGACGTGTACAGCCGGCACAGCTGAAGGAAGAAGGGCATCGCCTAGGCCTGTGGGGAGGGACATATCTGCCGGTCTTATATCGACTCGATACGAAGGATGGGATTGATCGTTCTGTTGATTGCTTGCTGGATAGCTGCCTAGCGAGTGGGCCATCACGATGGGGCAATGGATTCTCTGTCTTTTTGGATCTTGTGCGAAGAGATACGTTTTTCCCGGAGGGGGACAGAGGGAGAGAGACGGTTGTTTTTTTCGTTTCTTTCTTTTCTTGTTATTTTTGCTGGACGTATGGGTTGATTTTCGGTGGATGGCTATCGCTTTGGACTGCCGAGGGTTGTGTGGAGGTTCGTATGGTTTTTCTTTTTTTTTCCTGCCTCTCTCTCCCGATTGCTCTCTTCTCTCTCCGTCTTTGACCTTCTCCCAGAACACTGGTACACGCACTGCAAGAACTGCTGCTGGGCCGAAAAATGATCTCAACCAGCAACAATCCTTAAGTGGCAAGTACAACAGAGGCCTTCAAGCTCGGAAAGAAGATGGCTCTAGAGATTCTCCTTCTCCTTTCCCCCTTCTGCTTCTCCTTCTGCTTCTCCTGCTCCTTCTTCTTTTCGTTTTTTTTGCCTCTGGCACTTCCTGATCTGGGTTTTTCCTGTCCTGTTAGGCCTGGGGGGGAAGCACGTATCCATCAGAAGACGGTCCTATCAATCTTCTTATATATCCACTGGGTGGGGTGGGGTGGGATATGGGGGGATATGGGGGGATATGTGGGGGTGGGATCTATGAGGAAGCCGATAAAGCTGCTCTGAATGAGAGGATCTGAAGCACCAGAGCAGAGCAGGGTGGAGCAGGTGACTTTGATCAGACCCCCCTTCACGATGGGAAAGGATTGCTGCTGTTGCTCCTGCTGCTGTTGTTGCGGACGGCCGGTTCATTCAAACTACCGTGAACGAGCCACCGGCCGGTGGGTGGGTGGTGATTGGCCAGGCCGGAGAGCTCAAAGAAGCAGTCGCGGCTGTGCTGTGCGTGACCGGTACCGGTGCCGCGCGAACAACAACGATCGATCAATCAATCAGAGAAGAGAATAGAAAAAAATGGGACGCACCACACCCACACGATCAATAACAACGACAACAACCACAACCACCACCACCACCACCACCACAACAACAACAACAACAACAACGACAATAACAACGACAACAACAACAAAAACAAGGGAAGGCAGGGGAGAGAGAGGGAGCTTTGTCTCCGGATCGAACCCTGCATGAAAAAACTGGGGGTGGATGGGGGGGGAGGGAGGGGAGATCCTGTTCTCCGTACCGGTGTTGAGGCTGCTGCGTGGGTGATTTCTTTCGGACTGCTTGCTCTGCGGCAGACAGGTCCAAGACGACGGCCGGCCGTTATTGTTTGTTGGGGGGCGGTCTGGCAGGCTGGTGGGCGGGCGGGTGGGCCGAGCAGGCAGGTAGAGCAAGCCGAGCAGACAGGCAGAGCAGACAGGGCTTCGAGACAGTAACGACGGTCGGTGCTCACTGCCCAGTAGTAGTAGTAGCAGGAGAAAAAAAAGAAGCGAATTCGAAACTCGGTCGTTTCAGGGAAAAGATTACGGCCGGTGGGAAGTCGAGATCGTTTTAAATGGGAGGGGGGCAGCATCAGCAACAGCAGTTGGGCTGGCCTGGCCTGGCCTGGTGAGACACTCCTCACGCTTCGTCACGCTTCCTGTACATGTTCACGCTTTTCAACGGTAGTACCTATGTAGCAGCAGTGCAGCACTGCAGCGACACCGCCACGCACGAGTGATGGTCGAGTGGACAGCTGAACAGCTGTATGGCTGTATGTATAAGTGGACGGTTGGATGGCCGGTCGAGTTCGTGGGGATGTGGATGTGAGTGGGTGGATGATTAACATTTCACTACATTTGATTCGGGCTCGGGTTCAAGTGCAAGATGGGGAGGGGGGGGGGGGGGGGGGGGGGGGGGGGTGATGATGAGCATTACGGAAGGGAAGGGGTAGAGGAGAGAATGACCATTACGGAAGCGGGGAGCATGGAGCATGGCCATTACGGAAGATGATGAGGAGTAGCAAAAGGAGAAGCAGAGCGCGAGACTCGGTCATTGGTACATAGTTCCACACACCCACCCACCCCATCCACTCGTCCTTCCACTCACTCCCCCACCCGCCATCTGACTCCTGCAGTCCACGCGCATTGCTGTACGTACCTGCCTTTGTGCGCCGTCGTCCTTGGCTCCTTGTTGGGGGGAAGCACCGCAGCAGCACGAACAATCCAATCTCCTCCAAGCGGAAGAAGAGAGATACAGAGAGAGGAAGCAAGAAGATTCCGTGACGAACCTTAACTAACTACCGTATGATACATACATGCCTCATACAAGCCTCCGGAATCTGCAGCAGCAGTAATAGCAGCAGCAGTAATAGCAGCAGCAGTAATAGCAGCAGCAGCAGCAACGGCAGCAACAGCAGCATATACCATACCACCCCGGTCCCGGCTATCACCGCTCATTGTACGTTCGTTCATTCGTTCGTTCGCTCGTTCGTTCGTGGCAGGTCTGCGCGTGGGCTCGCCTCGCAGAGTCGCCACTCAGCAGTCGATCGATCAAAGGAATACCTCTCCCTCCTCCGCCTCATCCACTTGCACTTCTGCTTTTGCTTTTTTTTTTGCCCATTTCTCTTTTTCCCGTAGATGCACGTCCGTCTGCCGTGTGGCATAGGGCAGATACGAAAGCCAGCCAGCCATCCAGCCAGCCAGCCGGGCGACAGGCCGGGCGACAGGCCGATAGACTTGACGGACGTGACAGCTGGCTGGCTGGCGGAGGAAGGGAAGGGAAGGAAAGGGAAGGGAAAGGAAGGGAGGGAGGGAGGGAGGGAGGGAAGGGAGGGAGGGAAGGGAAGGGAGCAAGGCAGTTCGCAGTCGAGTAGTTACCGACCGACCAGTAGGTGGGTAAGGCGAAGGGGTGGGGTGGGGGACACAGCATCCGAAACAAACTTGTCGCTGTCCTGTCCTGTCCTGCCCTGCCCTGCCCTGCCCTGCCCTGCTCGGGGGCCCGCCTGCAGCGTTCCACCGGTCTCTCCCTATCTATCATACATACATGGCCATTTCCTCGAGTGGAGTGGGTAGTGGGGGAGCCAGCCAGCCAGCCAGTGAAGAAGAAGAGGAGGAAAAAGAACAAAGACCGCCCGCTGGCTTTGCTTTGCTTATTCCCACCAGCCAGCCGGCCAGCCAGCCACCCCATTCTGACTCCCGGTTTGGGGGAATAGCCGGATATGCAGCCTCCCGTCGGATTTCCGTCACGTGTAGGTGGTAGGTGGTAGGTGGTGGTTGTGCGTGGTTTGGTTTGGTGGTGGGGATCCGTGGATTTTCTGTGTGTGTGCGTGCGTGTTTATATGCGTGCGAGTGTATGTGAGTGAGTGCGTGTGTGCGAGCTGTGCAAACTCGCAATCGATGCGATTCTTATCATGCGTGCGTGCGGATAAGTAAGTCAGTACCCAAGTATTCAGGCTTCGTCTCGGACCCATAGAAAAGAGCTACTTATGCATACCGTATTCTAGAAGCTCTGGCTTGCGCATAGCTACATGCTAGAGTATTGTACAGTACATGCCACGGCCCACGGGGGAAGGGGAGGGGGCCTGGTAATCGCCCATGTCCATGGTAACGATCTTGCATCCTTCTGTGTACATGCCTAATGTATCTGCCCTCTGTGTATCTCCCCGTACGTACCGTGGTCCTCTACATGTACGTACGTACATAATGTACATCATGTATGATACCTTCGCAGTCCATGATCGATTCCACCACCGCATGCTTGCCTACACCCTTCATACATACATGCATCCTTCAGGCTTCCAGAGCTTTATGCGCACCCCTCCGTTCCCCTCCACCAATCCCCTCCACCAATCCACGTACCCTGATCGACGCCCGCAGGCCGCAGGCCCACAGGTTCGCAGGCCCAGGCTGCATTATGCACGTCGCCTTCGGCTACTCCCGATCCCTCCTTCCCTTCCTGCCCTAAACAATAGTCATGGGGATGGGGATGGGACAGGACAGGACAGGACAGGACAGGACGGCTAAAACTTCCCGTTTGGAATGTTTGTTTTACTAGATACCTACTCTAGATGTGGATGGATGGATGTGGATGGGGTGGGAAATACTGGGATACTGGGATTCCCTCGAAGAAACGGGAGGATGTATGGTGAGGGGGGGAGAAGAGACAACGCACGGTATGTACGTATGGTACGTACGGAGACGGAGACGGCCCGTTGTGCTGTTTTCTAGGTACACAATGTACGATACGGCGGGAGAGGGGGGAGGGAGGGGGGGATGTGGTCGGAGTGGTAGGTAGAGGGGGGAGGGAGGAGGGAGGAGAAGAAGGAGGAGGAGGAGAGGTGTGGTCTTGAGCAAGAGGAAAGGAAGGCTGATGGCGCTCAACGATCGCTGGCAGTTTACCTGCCGTAGTCAATTGGAGACGCCCTCCACAGCTACCGTACTCTACTCTACATATTTCCCACTGCTTAACGCAAACACCACCCCCCATTTCCAGCGACTCCGTCCCGCCCGCACCCGAGTCCTGCCCTCCTGGACTCCTGGTCTGTCATGATCTCCCGGCTCTCCGCATATCCCATATCCCACCCACCTTCCTTCCTTCTTTCCTTCCTTCCCTCTTCTGCTTCCTTCCTCCATCCACTCCCGCCAGCCCCAGAAATTTCCCGGACGGGAGGGCGCATATATGGTGCGAGGGTGCGAGGGTGCGAGGGTGCGAGGGTGCGAGGAGAGGGGAGGGGAGGGGAGGGGAGGAGAAGGACCCGTCTCAGAGCCACGGTGGCAGCCCCCCCTCCCCTCTCCCCCGACACCGTCTCTGTCTCCGGAACGAGAAGCGGGAAGACCTGTAGGACACTGGGACTGACTGACTGACTGACTGACTGCATACGCACACATACACACCCACAGTACACGAACAGGAACACACACACAGGCACAGAAACACAGGAACAGGCACACAGACACACAGGAACACAGGAACACTGCGAACCCGGTAACTATAGCAGAGTCGGCAGCATCTGCAGCATCTGCAGAATCTGAAACGCTCGTTCTTCAGGTGGTGGTCAAGTTCGGTTCAAGTTCAGTTCAACAAAGGAATCGGGACGTGCAGCCTCAGCGGCGCAGAATACCGTCCGTCCGTCCCTCGATCGAGGTGAGGTGAGGTGAGGTGAGGTGCACGCGCGAAGAGAATAGAAGAAAGAAAAGGGAAATATGTAGGGTATCTGCGAACAAGAGCTGGAGAGAGAGAGCTAGAGAGAATCGAGATGGGCCCATCCATCATCCTCCCCCGAATCCCCCGAATCCCCCGAATCCCCCGAATCCCCCGAATCCAGGAAGTATACCCGCACCGCACCCCTGCGCAGCGCTGTTCAGACTCCAGTGTCGAGGCTGTCCCTCCCCCCGCCTACCCTCCCCTCCCTCCCCCACACGTCACACTTCACACGTCACACGTCCTCCTCGTCTTTGCCCTCGTCCCCGTCCCCGTCCCCGTCCCCATCCTCGCCCTCGATTCTTCGCTCGTCCCCCCACCCCACCCCACCCCCCCTCCCCCAGTGCCCACCCTCAACAAATTCTGCATTTTTGTTTTTTTATACCATACCTACAAGGCAGTTTGTTTACCTATCGTACATACCGACTAACCCGCGTCTCGCCGCGTCGCGTCCGTCTCTCGCTTCAGCGCCGAGGTTTCGCTCTCTCTCTCGAGTCGACTCGATCGATGGACGCAGACGGGAGGACCGATGGGGGCGCAGGCGGGCCGGGAGATTTTTTTTTGCGAAGTCACTCACTCGTGCTGCCGTCGGCAACTAAAGACGGACGGGGGACGGACGGACAGACGGACGTTGATTCATGGCTCATGCCATAAATCAGACCAGACCAGACCAGACCATGCCGCTGTGGAGTGCAGTGGAGTAGAGTGGAGTGGTATGCAAGTACAGTAGGCAATGTCGGAGGTGCCGAGACATACATACATACGAAGCGAATGTGCTGGTGCTGGTGGTGCTGGTGCTATGTATCGTGCGGCTTCGGCGGCTTCGGCGGAGCCGGTAAAATGTAGGTATGAAGCGAATGTAGCATTGCTACTCTACACATCGTGCAGTTTCGTCGGGAGCGTGCACTGGGGCACGCGAACGCGAGATGGAGATCGAATGTGTACATCCATACGACAAACAGAACGAACAGATGAACCCCCCATCTGAGTCCTCTCCCTCTCGCATTTCAATTTTCGGTATCATATGTACTTCCTATTATTCGCACCCATAGGTAAAGAAGGAAGGAACGAACGAACGACACCAAAGCAAAAACAAAAAAGAAAAAAAAAGAACCTGTAAGCATTGCTGTAATTGTAACACAAGGCAAATGGTATCGCACCAGGCAAAAAGCCGCCGCCGCCGCTCTCCTGAGAAGCTTTGAGGCAACCTGCTTCGGTGCAGAAAAGACAAAAAAAACTAGCTGATAGGATATTTTGAGTTATGAAGTATGAGCAAACAAACAGAGGAGAGAATGAAATGAACATTGAAACAGAGCACACACAGAGAACCCAACCCAACCCAGCCCACACCAACCCACACCAACACCAACACCAACACCAAATCCAATCAGCCAACCATCTAATCATCGCCATCATCATCGCCATACGAGTCCTCACTCTCCTCGTCCTCCTCCTCGTCCTCGTCCGAATCAAGGATGCGGTACTTCGCCTTCGCAGCCGCCGCACGTCCCGTTCTAGCCCTAACCGGCGGCGACGATTCCTCATCGACAGGGGCCGGCTTGCTCTTCGGTGGTGGTGCAGCCTTCTTTGGCGGCGGAGCAGCAGCCTTCTTGGCAGGAGGAGCAGCAGCCTTGGGTTTCGCAGCCTTGGGCTTGATCTCGATGTCGGAGCTTAGCAGGTCGTCCACGGTGCGGTCGATATCCAAGTCCAAGTCCATGTCCGACTCGTCGTCTTCCGACTCTAGGATCTTCTTTGCGCGAGGCTTGGGGGCGGCGGGCTTGGCGGGGGCAGCTGCCTTCTTGGCTGGTACGGCGGCAGCCTTCTTGGGCTCTGGCTTAGATCTGGCTGCTGGCTTTGGTGGGGGCGCAAAGTCGTTCTCGTCGCCTTCGTCGAAGTCGTAGATCGAGACGGCTTTCTTGGGAGTGGGCTTCTTGGCGGGAGCAGTGGGCTTGGAGGAGAACAAGGGGCGAGCAGTAGAAACAGCGCTCGCATCACCAACACCCTTGACCAGCGCGCTCACGTCGCCCAGTTGGTCGTCTTCCGAGTCCGAAGACATGAGGATCGGCTTCTTAACTGCAGCACGCTTGGCTCGCGGCTTGGGGGCAATTTCTTCCTCGCTAGACAGGTCGTAATCCGACAGGTCGACAACCGGCTTCGCTTTGGGTGCCGCTTTGGCAGCGGCGGTGGTCTTGGGCTTTGCAGTAGGCTTCGCGGATGCAGCAGCCTTTTTGGGAACGGGCTTCGCTTTGGGCCTAGGAGCAAGGTCCGAATCCGAATCGACATCTTCAGACTTCACTGAAGCAGCCGCTTTCTTAGGTACGGGCTTCGCCTTGGGGTTGGGGAGCAGTTCCAAGTCCGAATCGTCCGCTTCGGATTTCGTAGTCGGGCCTTCGTCTGCTGTAGCAAAGTCGTCACCTTCCTTGTCTTCGGCCTTTGGCTGGACTTTCTTGGTCGTCTCAAACTTGTGGATGAAATCCAGGTCGTCGTCATCGAACTCGTCCGCCTTCGGCTTGACCGGCTCGGCTTTGGGTTTCACTGGCTGGGGAGCCTTCTTCGGGGCGGTGACCTCCAACATGTCGAAATCGGAGTCATCGAGTGCATCATCATCATCCAGGATTATTGGCGGTTTCTTTGCTGCGGCCCGGGCAGCAGGTTTCTTCTCCGTCCTCTCCGCCGCGAATGGCAATGTCGCCTGCTTCTTCGCGGGAGCCGCCTTCTTCCGTTTCGGGGAAGCATCGTACTCGTCCTCTGTATCGTCATCCTTCTTCTTCCCCTTCCCCTTCACGGCTCGGCCCTTTGCGCCAGCCCTTCCGCCGGACTTCTTCTTGACTACCGTCTGCGCAAGTCTGATGTCCTCCTCGAGCTGATGTCTCCACTCGGTGATAAACTCTTCGAGATCGGTTTTCCACAGGTCCTTGGGAGACTTTCCCATGAGAATTTCAATTTCCTTCTCCTTATCCGCAACGTCAGCGAGAAGCTTTTGCGCTTTCTCCCACGTCAAAGTCCAGATGGCCATGCCAAGCAAGTAATTGTAGCTGTCGCCAGGATTTTCCGCAGCCGCAGCACTCTCCTCCTCCACCGCTTCACCGTCCTCGTCGAGCTCGAGCGCCGGCTCAGTCTCTCCCGCCATCTCGGCCTCCTTCTTCTTCGAGAACGGCTGGAAGTTGTGCTTCTGCAGCTGGGCGATGATATCTGGCCGTTTCTTACCGGCGACGATTAACTCTTTCTTGATGATCATCTGTATGAAACGCGCCTGGTTGCTGAGCTTCTGGAGTTCAAGGTTCAAATCCACCAACAGAACCTCCTTCCGCTTCTGGTAGAACTTCAGACGGATGAGATAGAACTCCTTTAGGATGTCCTCGACCGAATTGTACCTATTGATCCTCCCCTGAGGGTCGAATGCGACTAGGTTGGTTGTAGCGACGGTGTTGCTAAGCTTGAACTTCTCGACCAATCCCACGTCGAGAGCCTGCTGCATCGCTGCCTCGGAGTTCATGGTAATGATGAAATGCACCTTGGAGGGCGAATTGTAGTCGACGTAGTCCTTGATGAAACTGGGTGTCTTCTCGCCCTTAATGATCTCTTCGAGCTTTTCCTTGAAGTTCTGGGTCCACATCTTGATTGGCAGTTCTGTAACCTCAACTTGAAGCTCATTGATCTGCCTGATGGCGCCGCTGAACTTAAACCTATGCTCAGAGAGTTTCTCGATGGTGCCCGTCCAGCCGCGGTACCAGGGAGTCATGGTTTCTAGCTCTTTGCCGTCCATCAGGCGCCGCAGATTGTCGACGATGTCTTCCGGATTGTAACTGGGAATGCTGCTGCTCCAACCTGTAGTCAACGTCGTTAGTTAGAGGCTACGCGTGAGGGAGATGAGAGTGCAAAACATACCGGTTCCAATGCCTTCCGTGCCGTTGACTAGAAGCATGGGCACAACGGGAACATACCACTCCGGCTCAATTTTGTCGCCGTCGTCAAACTGGTACTTCAACAGACGATCGTCGTGCGGGGGCAGCACTTTCCTCGCGAACGGCGAGAGCGATGTGTAAATGTAACGAGCGCTCGCCGCATCCTTTCCACCCTGCAGACGAGAACCGAAGTTACCGGACGGATCCAGAAGATTGACGTTGTTACTACCAGCAAAAACCTGAGCCATCGCAGTGATGGTTGACTGCAGCGAGACTTCTCCGTGCTGGTAACCAGTGTGCTCAGAGACGTAACCAGCCAACTGAACAACCTTGATTTCGTTCTTCAAGTTTCGCTTGAACGAACCAAATAAGATCTTCCGCTGACCTGGTTTCAACCCATCGACAACGGACGGGATTGATCGCGCGCAGTCAGCAACACTGAACAGGATCAGCTCCTTGTTGACGAAATCCGGATACGTGATCATGTCCACCGAGTGATCCAGGTAAGTACCCGGCACATAGGTGCGCAGCCATTCCTTGCGTTCGTCGGCCTTGCTCTTGGAGAATGCAAGCTCAATAAGCTTCTTTCCGTCCTCCTTCATAGGCTCGAAGTACTTCATGTGTTTGTCGAGATCCGCAAAGTAGATCTTCGAGTCCTCGTCGCCGGAGGTACCCAAACCCTTGTAGTACTTGTGCCTCCAGCCGGATTCCTGATTCTGCTCTTTCCAGTATTCGTATTCCGGAAGGGTGAAGAAACTGAGTTGTTTTGTTGGTTTTTTCAGGTTTCCCTTGTACACTTTGACGATAGGGGTGATGAACTCGATCAAGAAGTTGGGGATCTTGAGAAGACTCGGGAATTGGGCTTCAAAAAAATTGATCAATAACCCCTTGATATGACTGCCGTCGTAATCCTGATCGGTCATGATCATGATGTGTCCGTAGCGCAGATCTTTGGTTGTCTCGTAGTTCTGCTTGTGCTTGAGCCCGAGAATCTGCTTTAGTTGGGTGATTTCGGCGTTCTTCGCGATCTGGTCGTGCGACGCGTCTCGGACGTTCAGAACTTTACCACGGAGAGGGAAAACACCGTATCGATCGTGTCCGCTGATTGAGGCGATACCGGTCCTTGCCATGCCGCTGGCCGACAAACCTTCGGTCAAGATCAGAACACATTCATCACTGTGCTTGGTGCCGGCCTTGTTGGCATCCGTCAAGTTAGGGTTGTGGATTCTATAGACAATGTTAGACCAAAATCGGAACAGCGTGAGATATCGTGATTATTATAGTACCTGGTGCGCCTGCCTCCATCCGCTCGCTTGAGGGCCTTGTCTGCCTTCATGTTGGCAAACTCGATGATATTATTGATGACCTCCGTCTTGACAATCTTCTTGACAAAGTCCTCGGGCAATTCGCACTTGCTGCCGAAAGCCGACACCTTGGTGGTCAACTGCTCCTTCGTCTGCGACGTGAACGCCGGGTTCTCGATCAAGCAGTTGACGAACAGGAAAAAGTGGTTCCGCATCTGGGCATTCTTCACGGCGGCTCCAGTCTTGTTCTTCCTCTTGATGTGCGTCTCGAGTTTTGCGCAGAGTTGGTCTGCAACGTAATTGACGTGGGTACCGCCCGAGGTGGTGGCAATACTGTTTACGAACGAAACCTGCTGGAAACTACCGTTGCTCACAGCGAACGCAATCTCCCAGCGATCGTTGACCACCGCATGGATGATTTCCATCTTGTCATCGCCGTCGCTCTCCTCGCGCAGGGCCTTGACATACATTTCACAGTAGGCCTTGAAATTTTTGACCTTGACGATTCGCTGGCCGTTCAGGAAGACTTTGACGTTCTTGATCGTACCGGCCATATCGTACACTCGTCGCTTAATGATATCTTCCAGATCCTGGTCCATTTCGGACATTCCGAATTTCGCCAGGTCGGGCTTGAAGGTGATCCTGGTGTACTCCTCCCCCTTCCCGTTGCTGGTGACAGCAGCCTTCCCCATTGTACCCATGTTGTTCGTCCATGTCTGCTTGTACTTCTTCTTGGAGTCCTTGTGTGCGGTCTCCAAGGTGAACTCCGTACTGAAGATGTTACAAAGCTTAGCACCGTAACCGTTGCGACCACCGGTGACCTTCTTCTCGTCGTCGTCGTAGTTCGATGAAGTGAGAAGGTGCCCGAAGATCAACTCGGGAACCCAAATCTTTTCCTTGTCGTGGAGTTCGACAGGAATACCCCTTCCATTATTGTAGACCGACACCTCATTCTTTTCTTTCTCGATGGTGACCTTGAGCGTGTCCATCTTTGCATCACGAATCTTGTTGTCGGCAGCATTCACCAGAATTTCGTCGAAGATCTTGTACAGACCGGGAACCATGGTGATGGTCTTCCACGCCATATTCTCGGTTGCCGAGTCGAACACCCACATCTGCTTTTCTGTTTGCTCGACCGATCCGATGTACGTGTCGGGACGTTTCAAGATGTGCTCCAATTGCGTGAGCTACACCAAACGGTATGTGTCAGCAATGTCGTCCGCGATCCCGTAAACCTCCCCCGCAACAGACTGACCTTCTGATACGTATCCGACGCCTTTTTCTTCCCATTCGCGGCCCCCAGCTCCTCATCCGCCTCATCATCGAAATCCAGAGCGTCCGCATCGTCGTCGTCCGAATCCTTCGCCTTAGTCTTCGCCTTGGGGGCCGCCTTCTTTACGGGGGCCTTCCGTGGCTTCTTTGAGGCGCCGGACTCATCCTCGCTGCCGCCGGGCGCTGCTCGTTTCTTTGCGGCGGTGGTGGTCTTTGGTGCTACCGGTTTCCTTGGCGCTGCTGCCTTCTTCGCAGGTGCAGCGGCGGCTTTCTTTGTGGGCTTCTCGACCTGCGTAGTGGGTAGCTCGTCAGCAATCGTTCGCTCGGGAAACTAGGAGGGCGCAACTGCACTGCATTGCACTCACTATGGACTCCGAAAATACACTGTCGTCGTCACCGCCGTCGAACATGGACTCGTCGGAAGACATGGCGAAGACCGGTGTAGGAGATCGGGTATATGCGTGGGAAGTGGGTCGGGCACTGGATATTGCTGCAACTGCGACTCAGATGAAAGCGCGAGAGGCTCTCTTTCGAAGCAGCCGGCGCGCGTGAAAGAGTGGGTTAGTAGTAGCAGTAGTAGTAGTACCGATTACCGCGTCTCCCTATGGGCTGGTGAGACTTTGTGGGGTTTTGCCGTTATTTTGCTGCTGTTGTGGTTGCTGTTGTGGTCAGTGGCGATGGGGCCGTGGTGGTGGTGCTTGTTGTCAAAAGTAGAAGAAGCCGCGTGCTGTGCTAGTGTTGTTTGTTTTCGCGTTGCTGTTGCAGGGGTTGCACCGAGTAGCGCGTCTCTGATGGGCTCATGCCATCGGCTCTTGGCACCCGGCTCTGTATGGTGCCTGCCTGCCTGCCTGGCCCTCGAGGGTGGCCGGCCATGGCTGACGGGCCCAGCCAGCAAACGGAAACAGGGAATCACCGTCATGGTCACTCGGATTGGGTCACTATCACCGCTACCACTACCCACTACTCCTACCACTACCAGTGTAAATACTACTACGGCTACAACCATCGCCCATAATACTCCCGTATACTGTCTGTAATCACGAGCCGCCCAAGCACAATGCGATTCCCGACCCATCGCCTCGCCGTCCTTTTCGTTGCGCTCACCAGCCTCATCGTTCTGGCGACAACGGCCGCCTCTCCCGAGCGCGATGTGGACCTGCTGAAGCGCCTCATCGAGCCCCCAAAGCTCTCTAAGCGCACGCCCGCGTTACTACGGCGCGCGCGATTCGGCTGCGACAAGTGCGTCCCCCTCGGTGGTGGTGGTGATGCTGGAACGTTGACACTGACGGATGTGTGCGCAGTGGCTACGAACAGTGCCCGGGTCTATCGTATTGCTGCCAGGCGGGGCTAGTGTGCTTTTCCGACGGAACCTGCGGGAGCATGTCGGAGCTCGTATGCTACAATGGGGAGACGGCGTGTGGTAAGTGGAGTTGAAGCGTGAAGAGAGAGGGAACTACGGACGGGCTGACGTGAATCCAGGGAGTGGAACCAACGCCGGATGCTGCCCGATCAAGTCCTCCTGTGTCAGCGACGGAAAGTGTGTAGTCAACAGTGGAGCTGTAGTGAAGCGATTCACAGGTGCCGCGACGTTTGGCGCGGGAATGGGGTTATCGGCGGCTGCTGCTGTTGTGGCGCTGTGTTGATCCGACCGATGGCGGAATATGTAGCAGGACACTCACTCCCTTTGCGATGGTCTTTCGGTCTCTGGTCTTTGGTGCTGCTCTTCGAGCGATTTCGTTTTGGACGATTATGTGATGCGATATGGCGGGACGACGATGGGATGAACACACGATACCATAGATGATTTTTTTGTACATACATATGCGCATGCAGACACCTTCACGTACACGGTACTGCATGCCCCTCCGTAATAATGCACTCACGATGGATGGTTCCTCACATCTTTTCTCCCTGTCTTTTTCTTCTACATACATACATACGACCGTCTGGCCCGCACGCCAGACACCTGTGTATGTGCCGTGTACATATGCGGAGTCTCTCTCGGCATTGTTACCTGCCTCGCAACGGGGGAATAGCCGAGCCCATCGCCCACCAGAGTAGGGCTTGCCTGCCCGGTGGCAACCACCTCCGCACCGGGGAAACCTACATGACCATCACATCCACGCAGCAGACATCCGTCCTCCTTCAGGTACTCTACTCTACCTAGGGTTCGGGGGCTAGGTACACCTAGTAGGTAGGGTTTCCCCCACTCGCCGCCCCTTACCGTAACGGGGGCGTTCATTCCGCTGCCATCGTCACTCCACGTCGAATCGGATCGCTCCCCAGCCGAGACACGCAGAACTCCAGTTTTTTTTCTTTCCTGTGCATCACGTATGTGAGTATGTAGTACCTACATCTACATACGTGTGCGGTATGTATGTTGGGGTTCGGGAACGTGTTGTACCTGCCAATTATCGAACTCAATTCTTCAGGGACATCTCTACCTAGAGTACCGTACAGAACTGCAGGACAGATGTGTGGTGTGCGGTTACCACGCGTTTCGGACTGGTCCACTCGTGACTTCGTGTTGTTGTTTCGAGCTTCTCCTGAAGTGAAGTGAAGGGGGCCAGAAGGGAAATTCAAGGAGCTCATGAGGCACGGACAAGAGATGCCCATTGCCATCCGCGAGAGGGAGAGGACAGCAGCAGCAACATCATATATCTACCCACTCCAGCCAGACAGCCCCCCCATCCCCCCTCCCCTCCCTCCCCCCCACAGACGCAGTCGCTGGCACTCGATCGAGTTTTATTGCGATGTGCAGTCGGACCAACAGACGCCTGAGCGCGTCCCCCCCTCCCCGCCCAAGAGGACGTTAGAGTCGATAACGTTGGGCTGGCCAGGGACAGTAACGATCCATGCTGGCTGGCTGGCCCTTGTGTCTATGTAGAGTAGTTAGGGTGGTTAGAGTGGTTAGCAGAGGTGTGTGGTGAGTGGTGGAGCGTCGGGCAGAACAAGATACCCCTGAAACCCTTCCCTTCAACCACGAACTGGTCTCCTGCTTCCTGCTTCCTGCTTCCTCCTGCTTGCTCCCTGCTGCTTCCTCTTCGTTCGCCAGGCCTTGTCACTCATTTCAACTCCCTCGTCCTGCTACCTACCCCAAGTACTGCCTGCCTGCCTGTTCCATCGAGCTCCCTTTCCCGACCCTCCTCCCCTCCTCCCCTCCTCCAAACCTCCGGCGCTCTCATCCCTCCTCCCCGCCATTTCCTCAGGATACAATATCACCACTTTTTTTTCCTCCAGCGGAAACAAAATACCCAGCACCGAACAACCGGAAAACAATTCGGACCGTCAATATTGCAGATTCGTCTCGCCTCGTCTCGTTCGTGCATACATCATCATACATCATACCGCGAACCTACCGGCCTCCCTCGATTTCGATATCTTTCGGTTCCAGATACAGTGCTGCCGTAATACCGTAATACCAACACCAACGACAGCAGCGCCCACGCCCAAGCCCACGCCGACGCCTACCACCACCCACACGCCACAGGCATCGTGCACACCGTTGCGATCAGCTGCCAGCTGCCAGTTGCTTGCTTGCTGCATATTTATTTATTTATTTATACGAACCTACAGTCTCACATTGAAAACCTCCAATCAATTAATTAATCTTGCCTGTCACCCGCTCTCTTTCTCCCCTATCAGAGAAGAAAAGAAAAGAAAAGAAAAGAAACAAAACAACAAACAACAAACGGGAAATATCCCGACTCGCGCCCACACGGCCCTGCCACCTCTACATACATAGAGGTGCATGACAGCTGCTGAGTACGCTTGTTCTGCACTCCAGAACTCCCAATAGGCACTGTCCGCGTGCACACACGAAACACTCCCACCACCACCGCCAGTACATCTAAGCAGCCTTTCCAATGGACGCAGGCAGCAGCAGCAACAGCGCAGCAGCAGCATCAGCAGCAGTAGGAGTAGTAGAGAACAGCATTGGGACTGGGAAGTCCGCCACACAGATCAAGTCTTCGACAGAGAGCATGGTGACAGTACGACTTTCGGACGCGGAGCTGCCAGAGACCTGCACGACGACATCCACGCCCTCGCCGACACCGACACTGAAGCTTGTGGACGAGAAATCCGAGGAGTACATACTCGCCGACAACGAGCCGATGTTTGTTCCCGAGCGGTCCGAGTCGCCCGTGCCGGCGGATCTGACGGCGTTTAGGCGGAGCAGCTCTTCGCTCGAGGCATTGATGGAGGAGATGGAGGATCAGAACGAGTGCGAGGTGGATAACTCGGTGGATTGGGCGGGTCTGGAAAAGACGGAAGACGAGCACCCAAAAGATCAATCGGCAGAAGAGGTTGGATACACCATCATCGCTCTGGCTTTGAAGAAAAGCTCGATCATTGTCGCGCAACCGAATTCTAATGCGTCGCAGGGAACTGCTTTCCTTCTTGCGCGGCTCGAGCAGGAGAATAAACGATTGGAGAAGGATCCGAAAGCTATGATCATCCATCCCGAGAGACCACCATCTCTCTCCAAGCTGAGGCAGATGATGGATAATCCCGACCCCAACACCCTGCGCTATTCGATGCTGCCGGCCCCGCCGCCGCTGACCGATCTCGACTTTTATGCGGCGCTGGTGGCCGATTACAACAGGGCGGCATCGAAGCTGCCGTATCTCCTGAGCAAGAAGATCCGCGAGGGTGTCCCACCTCCGCTCAGAGGAGTCGTGTGGACCGCCATGTCCGGCGCCAGAGACTGCAATCTGGAAGGATTGTACGATCAATTGCTCGGCGAAACATCGCCGTACGAGCAGTTGATCGGTAAAGACGTTGGCCGGACCGGTCTCGAGATGTTCAGTCAAGAGGGAGGAGAGGGGCAGCGCATGCTGGGCAGAGTCCTGAGGGCTTTCAGCATATACGATACGCAGATTGGATACTGTCAAGGGTTGGTGGTATGCACCCATTGGTTTCCCATCTAACATGGCATAGACTTGGGTTCTTGGTCGGTCCGCTTTTGATGCATATGGGCGAAAGGGAGGCGTTCTGTGTGCTTGTCCGGTATGTTCATCTTTCGCATTCGCACGATGCCTCCTGGTGACCGATGCTGATGAATGATGATGACAGGCTGATGGAGCATTACGACCTTCGGTCTTGCTTCCTTCCTAATCTGTCCGGGTTGCAGCTGCGGATGTACCAATTCACGCAGTTGATGGCCACCCACCTCCCCGACCTCGCTAACCACCTCGACAATCTGGGTATCCAGCCGACTTATGCTTCGCAGTGGTTCCTCTCCTTTTTCGCCGTCACGTGTCCGTTGCCCATGCTGTTCCGGATCTACGACGTGATCTTCGCCGAGGGCGCCACGGAGACGATGATGCGCGTGGCGCTCTCGCTGATGCGTCGCAACCAAAAGAGGATTCTGGCGGCGGCAGAGTTCGAGGATGTGATGCAGATGCTGCTTTCGAGGTCGCTGTGGGATGCTTTCCAGTGTAACGCCGACGACCTCGTCCAGGATTTCGTGGGGCAGTCTGGGATAGTCACCCGGGATATCCTGGCGGACCTGGAAAGGAAATACAAGGACGTCAACTCGGATGAAATGGTCAAACTTACCCCTGCGAAGTCGCAGACCTCGGAACTGCAAGCCGCTGCGTCCAGGTTTCTCGGAAGACTGTGGGGGGGCGCGACAAACGTTACGTTGTCCGTTCCGTCCAGACCTTCGAGCACCATCGTCATGCAGAGATCACCGTCAAAACATAGCCTATCGACACTCAACTCCTTCGACACCACCGAGAGCGGGACCACGGATGCAACGACGATGTCGCGGTGTTCTTCCATCAACGACGACCGCCGGCTATCGACCCGATCGATCGGGTCCCGCAAAGCCAACAAGGACCTCGAGCTCCACAACCAGATCGAAGATCTCCTCGTTGCGCTCAGCGGTCTGCAACGCGAACACGCTACGAAGATGGATGAACTCCACGCCGTCAGGGAGTCCCGAGAAGAGGAACGGAAGCTCACGAAGCGACTGGTCGAGCTGTTGGGCAGTGGGTCCAGCGACGAAGAGGAGAGCGTGGACGAGATCAGCGATCTGTGCGACCAGATCTCGGACCGAATCGAGAAGGAGGAGTCCGAGGAGACGCTCGAGGCATCACGATCAGCTGCGACACAGCTCTCGCGAGAACTCCAGCAGGTGCGAGAGCAACTTTCGCGGGAAATGATCAAATCCCGAAACCTTGCGAACCGTCTGGCGGAACAGGACGCCGATGTGGTCAGGTTAAAGAGCCAGCTGCTCGATACCCGCGGGAAATGGCAGGATATCCAGAAAGAAAACCAGCAGCTCCAGAAATCGCTCAGCGACATGCGGCAGAGGCGGGGCAGCGAGGACTGCCCCACGTCCCCTGGCGATTCTAAGAGTTCCGGAGGTGGAGGAGGAGGACTCCGTGAGCTCCGGCTGGGCCGCTCGAATTCAGGATCCAAGAAAAGCCCCATGCCTCCGCCAATCTTCAACAAGCGATCTAGCAGTCTCGGGATGCAGTCGATCCTTGCCCAGTCCGAGAATCATGCGCCGCCACCCGAAGACGCGCTGCTCTTGGAGCTGGTGGCGGCCAAAACTGCGGAGGCCGTCGCAAAACAGGAGGCCGAGGAGGCGAAGGCGAAATTGGAAGCCCTAAGGAAGGTTCTCACTGGTACCGCTACCGCCGTCACAAATGTTACGCCAGGATATCTCGGTGGCTCCTCGGGGTTCCCGTTCGCATCTGCCGCGAGCTCGCCTACTGTCACCACACCCGGTAGTGCCACAAGTGGCGGCGGCGGCGGATGGTTCGGTGGTGGATGGGGAGCCAAGCGGACAGCGAGTGTAGACTCGCGATAGCTCTGAATCTTCCACTTCCTTGGGTACCGGTGTGGATAGGATATATTTGGTGTTTTGTTGTGGGTTTTTTTTCATATCTTTTTTTTCCGGATGGTTTGGTTTGTTTGGTTGAATGGATATTTGGATTGGATTTTTCTTTACTGTTTGTGGCGACATACCCCCCTCCCTCACTCCCCCCTCCTCCATCAAGTCGAGTCTTCTACACACGTTTTTCACGGCTGCAATGGAGTAATCTGTCGTTTCTCTTTGTCTCTTTGTCTCTTTTTCTCTCTTCACATTCGTGTACATATACCTTCCTTTCACTGTTATTATACCTCCTATAAGTACAGTAGAACACAGACATTCAAGAGTAACACCTTTTTTTTCTTCTTTCTTCTTCCGACAGATGATACTACCTACATTGCCTTGTCTCCGTCCTCCTTGCCGTATTCCTCGTGGTAGGCAGCGTTGAAAATGTCCTTGTCGATGGCAAACTCGCGGATAAAGTCGATCTCGAGCTCGTGCACGCGGCTTCCCAGGAGCACCAGCGAGTGCAGCGGCGTCCCCAGGTCCGCCGTACTCAGCTGCTCCAGCGTCCCCGCCACGATCCGCTGGTCCTCACTTCCGAGCCGGCTCACGCCCACCGCGAGAGATCGCGGCGTGTACACTACACATCCGCATTAGCACCGCGGGCCGCTGCGAGCATGCAGGACGACGACGACAACATACCCTTCTCCCCCCGCGTCTCCTCAACCTCCAGCATCTGCTCTGCGCACTGGGCGACGGTCATATACCTGGGCTTATTAAACCTGCCCTTGCCCCCTCTCCCCAGGGCAATATCCTCCCAACTCTCCTCCTTAACCTTAATATCGAGCAGTACCAGCGTATGCAACCCGACATGTCTATTCTCTTTGACGCGATCATAAAAACTCGTCGGCCTCCACGCCTCGGTAAAAAACACCATGCTCACGGTCTGCCCGTAGTTGTACAGCTGCAGCCCCACAGCCCCGATCGCGTTCATTATGCTCGCGTTGTGGATCGTACGTGTGGGGATGTTGGCGCTGCGCGCCCGGAGAAGGAGGTCGCTGTGTGTTGTCGCCCCGAACGGGTCCCCCACCACGAGGAATGCGATGTCAAGCGTGTCGGCGGAACATAGGATTGAGTCGGCGTCTTGCTCGACGAGGGTCCGGTCCGCGACGATTACTGGGCGCCCGTAGAACTCCTCCTAGAATTGGGTCAGCACGGCTGCCCTGGAGGTGGGGGAGGGGCGAGGGGGCGAGGGAAGAGCACAAGTTTCTCGTGTGAAATCATCAGGATGCTCGTGTACGCCTCGAGGTAGACGCGCTCGGCTCGGCGGACGATCTCCAGGCCGCGCACGCTGATGTCCTTCTCGTCGGAGAGGCCGAGGCCGATGAAGTAGAGGACCATTCTTGCTCGAGGTCAAGGTGAAGGCCGAGGGGAGGTGCTGCTGGTGGTGGGGGGGGGGGGGATGCTGGCGGGGCTGGCGGGGCTGGCTGTGGTGGGGTGAAAGATTGTTATCCCTATCTAAAGTTCTAGACTATCTATGGCGGCGTGCATGCAGCCTGCCCAGTTGCCAGGGTTGGATAACTTGGATTATGGATATTCGTCAGCGGCTCGCATCGCTGCACATCGCTGCACATCGCATCGCTGCGCATCGCTTCTCGGATTCTCAGCCCTACCGTGGCGTGCGAGCGAGCTTCAAGTTCAAGTCTCCAACATTGAACACAATGGTAGGTATGACTGCATATCTATGCTGTGGAGGGCTTATCCACCGCCACCACCACCACCACCATCGAGCAATCGAGCAATCTGTGCATACGATACGGGGGAGGGGAGGGGAGGGCGGGGCGGACCTACGGGGCGGGGAGGGCAGTGGTCGCTCGGGAAATCTCGCACATGCAAGCAGTACGGCATGCTGTCTTTTGTTACCAATGACCACCAATGCCCACCCACGCACATGCTGACTGGATATGTCGGGAGGAGGTATTGAGCATTACGAGATGCATTGCATCAGACTCCAGTGCATACATGATACAATCGCACTCCATCCGGGGTCAAACCTATCCTCTATGATAGTTACATACATGTCCGGGGCGGTTGTATGTAAGTTTGTTGCAATGCATATGTAGAATAGGTAATAGGTATGCCCCGGTTGCGAGGCGGTAGTGCGGCTACGGCACTAGGTATACACAGCCACACAATGTACACAACTACACAACCACACGAGTCACGAGTCACGACTCGCCGTCTCGAGTAGTCCAATGGTTGCAGCTGTGCTGCTGGTGGTCGCTACCAGACCCTCCAACAGTTCGAACTGGGAACAACCTGGGGGTGTTCCCGTACCAACCAACTGTTGGGGGATAGTGAACTGAACCAACTGCCAAACTGAACCAACTGCCAAGTTTTGAACTGGGAAAACTGCTTGTCCCATCAGTTTTGTGAGGCTCAGGGCTGGACCCGTCGCCACCACCAACCCACCGGCCAGCTGCCTACAACCCACCACCCAGTCGCTACTATTAACTCACCACCTATGGAGCACGCTGCGCCGGTTGACGTGCTCCAGGACTGCTGTTCATTGCCTGTCGAGAGGAATATTAGAAACACTCTTGCTGCGATCAAATAGGGGCTGGAATCGCGCCAGCAACGACATTTTCCTAACCTCAGCCGAATGGCGATTGACATTCTATCTATTCCAGCCATGTTAGCTGAGGCTGAACGGCTGTTCTCCGAGTGCAAGATGATTCTGACTGATCATCAGTATTCACCAAGTACCGAGAGTGTTGAAGCTCTGCAGAGTATCAAAAAGTTCAATCGCCGTACTCCCGTGGGTAGGTAGCATCAGAGTAGTAATTCAAAACTAGTACCGAACCCATTTTCTATCGCTTTTTCCGTGACCATAGGAACCTATCTTGTCCACTCTGGCTGGCCTGGCTGAACTGCCAGTTCTGCCAGTTTTCCCGGGAAGACTTACCTAAACCAACTGGGAACTGACAGCCTCTGTTCCCAACCGAACCGGGAATAAGATTAACCAGAACTGAACTGTTTAAACCAGTGTTCCCATTTCAACTGACTAACTGTTGAAGGGTCTGGTGAGAAGTATGTACTCGTCACCGTACCGGATCAGTTCTGCTCATATTCCAAAAATAAGTCATAATGTTTGCTACAGTAGGTACATACATAAGGTACCAGGTACTGCCAACGTATGTACCAGCGGGATACATGCTCCCACAGATAGGTAGGTAGCTGGATTATCAGAACTGGAAAAGCGGCGGGAGTCTCGACTCTCGGCTCGAGTTAGGTACGTGCAGCTGGATTTCAAAATTGGGCAGCTGGTCTTGTGAGGATTACTATGTACAGTTATGTACAGTACCTTCAGGGAGGTTTCTACCATGTAAGTTGCACGAGTTGCTCCGCGGAATCCACTCGAATACCTTCATACTTTGATATCACTCGTTCCCACCATTCCGCACAGGTCCAGACAGATTGTTCCAACCTCACACACCCCACTTGGCACCAATACAAGCTCCCGGACGTATAGGAGATTGTAGTGGTCTATACATATGTACATACTTCATATCTTGTCTACATCTATAGGTACATACGGTAGAAACGACTTCCGCAAAACCCGTTTTTCAAGAGCACTTAGAGCAAACCCCTCCGTCCGGCCTTTGCCCATTCGCTTCGGAGAGATCCCCTCGCCCCCCCCCCCCCAAAAAAAAAGAAAAGAAAAGAAACAACCGAAACATGTATTGAACCGCAGCAAAAGAGTGTCCTCCCCAAGGTTGCTAGCCTTGTACAGCCGATGGACCCTGCACCACCTGGGAAATTCACCCCAACTTAGCCATGATCACTGCCTGGTGTTTTTCGCTGATATTGAAATCTTGAACCCGCGGGGTGCGCATCGATACCTAACCCACCACCCACCACACATAAAAATGTACATAATTGGACACGTTCAGCAACTCACCCACCGGCATACGCAGAGAACCCCGCGAGTAGACGATTGCTGAATGGTGCTTTCCCCGTGCGAACGTGTTGAAGACCTGTACTAGATAACCACTATCTACATCGCTCACTCTCCTTTCACTTCATATCTTCCTATCACATGCACTTTGGCGGAGAGATATTGCTGTACAGCGCTGGTGGGCCCTACTATAGCGAGTGAGTCCTAATGATTCGCTTCACTGCTATATAGAGTAGTATCGCTGAGGGTGATCCGGCACGGCCACCTCCTGTATGCCAGCAACAACCGCAACAGAATCTCCTCCCGCCACATAATCACGGTAGCGTGTGTCTGAGGTGGCACGTATGCACTTGGATTATTTAGTTGCTTATCTATCCTCTTGCTCTGCTGTCGTGAATCGTGATGCTCGTCGACGGTCCGGCGTTCGCCAACAAAACACAAAACAATCACTCGAGCGAGCAATTACATACCTGCATAGGTAGGTACATACATACTTGGTAGGGGGCACCACTGTTCCACTCAGCAGCTGGACAGCTGTTCTTGTGAGGATTACCTACCTAGAGTAGCAAAAAGTAGGGTGCGATTGATACAGGTGAATACCGAGAACCTGGTAGTTCTTCGGTATTCAAATGATTGCGGTATTCACCCCGTATCAATCGCAACCTACTTTTTACTACTATAGGTGCCTATATTGTAACCTGTTTTCCTGTCATCTGCCACCTGTCAAATGTTTAGATGAACTTTGGGAGGAGCGAAGTTGCAATGTACAATACTCCACTCTACGCTGCTAGTCTCTAGATACATGTGTAATGACAGTGAGGTTTCTACTACCTAACTTATATGCACTACAAGTCACTCAACGGAATCCAGTGTCCACTCGAATGAGTTGGTACTTGTGATATCACTTATTCCCCACCATTTTACATGATGCAACGGTCCAGAATCCAGAGTGGGCAAACTTCATACACTACACCTCATCAATATACTATCTATACGACCGCTCGAACATGTAGGGGATTGTATAGCAGCGGTACGTACATCATATCTTGCCTACACATCTTGCCCATTGGTAGAAAGGACTTTCGCAACTCCCGAAAATTTCTCCAAAGTACCGCCAAGCAACCTCGTCCTTCCGGCTTTTGACCATTCGGTTTGGAGAGATTTCACGCCTCCTCTCGCGCCTCCCCTCGCTCGGGAGTGGAAGGTTTTTCGTTCTTACTTGGACTGCTTAGGATTGTGCATACAATATCACTCGCCCTTCAAGTCAGTTAGCTAGTGATGGGCTATGATTATAGTATTGGGCAGTGCACATCAGTACGAGTACATACGGGAGGACTGGACGGAGGACTGGACAGAGAGCTGGACGAAGAGTTTTAAGGAATGTGCGTCGGATTTATGACTAGATGTAATCAGTCATGATCTATCAAGGTCGAATGCTAATATGCTATCATGATAAAAAACTAGCACGAATACTAGATAGTGGTTTTGAGCTTTTGCTCAAGGTATGTAATTCCTCTTGCCCGTCCGTCACTGGTGCTTTGATTGCTCCATTACCCTCATTACCGTCATTGCCATCCATTGCCACCTCTGCCCCTGTTCCGTCAACACCGGCCTCCACCACACCACTCAATCCCATCCCATCCGGCCGTCTAGATACAGTAGAAGCCTTTCCCATATCCCATATCCCATCTTCATACCATCTTCATACCATCATCATCCCGTCATCGTCCCATCATCTTCATGTCATCGTCACGGTCCTTGAAGTACACCCAATCCATCATCAATCCATCACCATCCATCACCCACCAAGCCTAAAGAACCGCCAGAAGAATATTCAAAGAATAATCAAAGAATAATAGAAGAAGAGAAATGGTATGGTGATAATACAGCCAGCCTCGTAGTACCTAGTAGTAAAAGGTGCCCAATCATGATCCTCTTCCCATCCCATCCCATCCCATCCCTCTACACACAAAACCAGAAAGAAGAAAGAAGAAAGAAGAAGCAAAAAAACAAAACAAGGATATCCAACAGTAGCAGCAAATGAAAGCCTCCCAGCAAAGCAAACAAAACCAAAAAGATAAAACTCCGCCCGAAAACCCCCCCATCCCATGATGATCATGACGAACGAACACGAACCGAGACAATAGCAGCGCAGCAGAAAATCATCGTAGAGAAAATCGCCAAAAGATACCGTGTCTTAGGAGAAGAGGGAGACATGGAAGCAGCCTGCGAGCACAAAACAGAAAGTCGAGTAAGTAGCCAAAAAGAAACCAAAAAAAACTACGTTCCACACGCTATGGAGGAGATACGAAAAAAAAACCATCGGGATCAGACTTGCGTGGTGGCAATGGTACGTACTAGATCATCAACAGCAGCATCACCATCCGGATGCCTGCATTCCTAATGCGGCTCCTGGTGCGCGACTTCCTTGAGTACGTTCTCCCGTAGCTTGACCCACATGTCGAGGGACGCCAGGTGGCGATCGCGCGCCTTGGTGAATGACTGGTCAAGAATGGTGTCCTTATTCTTGACGCGTTCCATGTACTTCACAATGTCCTGGGTGTCGAGGAGCTCGGTGCTGGAGACATGTAGGCTCTTGCTCGTCAACTCAGCGCGGAGCGCATGGACGTCAGCTTCGTATTTATTCCAGTCCTCGATGTAAGAGCCGAGCGAGTTATAGAAGCGGTTGTAGTTGTCCAGTGACACTTGCTTCGGGATCTTGGGCACACTGGGTGCTTTGGGCACCACAAAGGGCTGCTCTAACGGTGTCTGCGGATAGAGGTTCCAAAAGTCAGGGGGTATGCTGAACACGTAGGGCTCATTGGTCGTAGGGTTCAGCGCCGGTACCTTCATGCGCATGTCGCCGACTCGGGGCTTTGTTGCAGCTTGAGAAGGGAATGGAAGCGACTCCTTCAACGACTCGAATCCCCCGAGACCCACATCCGCAGGGCTACGGCTGAGGGGAGGGACGGAAGCCATGCCGCTCATGTCAAGGCTGGTAGTCGCCTTGCCCTTCTTGGTTCCGATGTTCAGCTTGCGCATGCCATTCGCGAGAGGGATGATCGGCTTCGTCCGGTTGTTCTGCGGAACCGGTATGGTCTTGGGGGCGCCCGTAGGTTCCGCGTCCATCGGCTCATAACCGAACCCGGTGGCAGGCTGCGAGGTAGCGGGATTCGTAGCCGTGGTCGCACTCTTGGGCTCGTCGCTTTCCGTCTCACTCCCGGCCTTCGGCTGGCTATCCCTTCTGGAATCCTTGCTTGTCGTTCGGTGCATGTTGCGGCCCTTGTTCAGGGTTGGCGCACTTCTCTTCTTCTTGGAGCCAGAAGGCAAGAAATCAAACACCGTCCGTTTCAACAGGTCATCGTATAGCTCGCGGTTGAATTTTGATCCCTCGCTCTTGCTGCTCTCAGCCGCCTGCTGTTGCTGCTGGAGGTTTGGCGGGGCCGATGGTGGCGGAACAAATGAATGATGGTTCTGCGTCGGCTGGCTGTGCGGCCTCAAGTGGGGAGCTGATCCGGTGCTGGCAGCCTTCTCCCCTTTCGGCTCGGGACTGTTCGACGTAAATGTGTCGAATGGTCGAGGACTGAAAACGAAGTCATACGCAGGAACCGCGGGCTTCTCCTTCTTAGGAGAGGGTGCCGCAGTCTCCTCGAATGAGAAAACGTTAATCGGGGGCTGTTTTTGCCTACTGAGATAATTAGTATCTGTCAAGTTAGAGAGAGGTTGGGTGACAAACTGTTCCTCCTTGGGTTCCTCTTCGGGTTGTTTATCGTGTCTAGAAGCTTCATGACTCCTGTCGGCCGAACCACCACCGGAGCTCCTAGATTTCCTGGTCGGCGGTGTAGGCGTCTCACTTCTAGTCTGGAACGAGCCAGGCATCGCGGAACGCGGCCTCTCTGGCCGCGACTCTTGAGCTGGCGTCTTCTCCCTTGCTGGCGGCTTCTCCCTCGCCGGTGTCTTCTCCCTTGCTGGTGGCTTGTTGAAGTTAAACAGCGGAGGCGCTGGATAGACTCCCGTTCCATCCTTGCGAACATATTCCGGACCAGTTTGGGGAGCAAACTTGTTGAAATAGTCCGTGCTGGGGCCATCGTGCTTTCCAGCGTCGTTATCCGTGGGAGTCGCCTCCACAACATCTATGTCCTCGTGGTGAGTCGTCTCGTGCTTCCAATCTTCCGGAATCCCGTGGGACCCGTATGTGTGGTGACTCTTCGCCCATTTCGACGGCGTGGGCTCAGCCTTAGGCCTCATCGAGGATCGCGACGTCTTCCTAGAATGGCTGTTCAAGTGAGGACCTCCTCCTGACGTCTTGCCACGCTCCTTGACCCTCTCCTCAGCCTCCCTGAGCAGTTCTTCATCATCCCTCCGAGAGGTGTAGGGACTAGGCATTTCGGTAGGATACCCGTACGCGTAGCCGTTGGGGCCCGGTGTCGAGTGCCCGCCGCTAAACCCATTGCCCTCGGCGTACGGGTTCCTCGTCGCCTCCTCCGCGCGCCGGCGCTCCCGTTCCTTCGCCTCCCGAGCTCTCTTGTGCCTATCTTCTTCTTGCCGTTTGAGTTCTTCCGCCTCCCGCTTAAGCCGTGCCTGCTCCTTAGCTCTCTGCTCTTCGGCATCCCCTCGCGCTCTCTCCGCCTCTTCCCTAGCCTGCTTTTCCCGGATGTAATCCGCCACGTTGAAGCCGCCGGGCGTGGGCGTTGGAGCTGGCGCGGCACCTGCAGAATATCTCGCGTTGGTACCTGTAGTGGATTTCGGCCGGGGGGACGATGTAGAGGACGAACCGCTATGATATGCATTGTGCTTGGTAGAAGTGGGGTGAGCGCGCTCAGTGCCCGACGTTCGAGCATAAGCGCTTTCCCTCTTTGTCTTATAACTTCCGTAAGGATCCTCATAGTCAGCCGCCGGGGGAGGAGCAGCCTTCGGCGGTCGAGGCGTCTGATACGAGTACCCCGGGGCTGCTTTCGGCTCCCATTCTTCATAAGGTCCATATCCACCTCCCCATCCCTTCGACCTCGACGAGCCAGCCTGCTGAGCGAACCCATCGTAGTTTCTTGTTGTACCAGTCCCATTAGCCCAACCAGGGGTAGTGTTGTGAGCAGACGACCCAGCCGTGTAGCGCTTAGCGGTGCCTGATCTGGCACCTCCGTTCGGTGTTCGATGAGCAGTCGATGCCCGGTCGGTGCCGTGGTATGGGTTGTCGTTATCGTATTTACTGCGCTCCAGATTATCCTTCAACGTGTCATAGGCGCGGTGAAGATCCTGAAAGCGTTCTTTTGCCGTGGGATCGTTCGGGTTTTTATCGGGATGGGTATCTCTCGCTGTTGGGGTGCTTGTTAGCGAGTGGCCATGGGAGGTGAGGATGGAAGAAACCCACCGAGTTTGCGGAACGCCCGTTTGATGTCGTCGTCTGTGGCATGTCGGCCTAGCCCGAGTATCTTGTAATAATCTATCTCGCTCTGCGCCATGATGTTGCCGTGATGTGTGTGCGGAGGTGCACCAGCCCTGCGCTACCACCAAAGGAAAAGTAGTGAGGGAGTAGTGAGGGGTTGTAAACAGAGCGCAGTGACACGTGGTGGTGGTGGTGGTGGTGGATCGTGCAGCCCGTGCGGTGAGGTGGGATATGGTATTAACGTGGAGCGGAAACCGAGACCAGATTGAGTTGAGAGCGTGAACGATAAGTACTGAGTGGTCGGTGGGAGTAGTGTTAGGTGACGGGAGAGGGATGTTGAAGAAGATGGGGAGGAAGAGGAGGAGGAGGTTCGGATCGATTCGTTGGTTGTTGAGTTGTGCAGCGCTAGAGTAGTTGAACCGCAAGCAGGGTGGATACCGCGGCGATGACAGATGGCGGCAAAGAGAAGAAGCTGGCGGATTTCTCTGCGGATAAGTTGATGAACGAGAGGGAAGAGAGTGGAGTGAGAGAAGAAGATGTGTATAAGCGCAAGAAAGAAGTTGTTCACTTTGACGTGGTGGATGCCTGGGGTGCGGTGTAGTGGTGCAGTGCAGGTCTTTGCTCTACTCTGCACTCTAGTTCTCGGTAGGAAAAAGAATAAGATCTGTTTGACCGACGCCGACACGGGCCACGAGCTTTTGCTTGGCTTGGACAGAAGTCTGCTTCGACTTCCTTTGATTCTTCCTCACCAGTATTTAACTATCCCCGCCGGCGAATAATACATAGAGCCACCTACCCGCTTCTGTGATTCTGTCCGCCTACATCACCGTCATCGTACTCCCACCTCCAAGCAACCAGTCCCACCCTCGACGTGTTGTCCCTCCCCTCCCCCTCCCCCTCCCCCTCCCCGTCCTCCTCCAATCCCAGGACAAGGCAGCATCGGAGAGCCAACACATCCATCTTCCCCTCCCGAGCATCCCCATCGCAGCCCCACCATAGATAAATCGGATCGCAAAATGAAATGGCGAATGAAAAATGAAAGGAGGCACAACGAAGAAGTAAGAAGTAAAAACCAGTTGTAGGCAGGTTGAGAACCCCAGATTAAACGGAGAAAACTGTAAATAAGTTCTTCTTAATAGTAGAAACTGGTGCCGACAGTAATAACAGATAAAGATTCAGTTTTTTTTACACTTCCGGCTAGCATCCACCCGTATCGTCCAATTCTATGTAGATAACCCGCGCTGAAAATCCATCTCAGCGACATGAGTGTTCCTTAATACCGGTCGCCCGCTGGGGGATCTCTACATATCATGCTCTTTCAAAATGTCCACACAGATATCCTACCTACCGTAGTACTGACAAATAAACAGGTGGTATGGAATGACAACATTCGAAGGCGGCGGCTTGGCAGTATAGTACGCTTGGAGTGCACAGCGGCGGCGGCGGCTGTACTTCTGCACAGCAGCGGCGCCCGTATTTGGAGCATCTACGACTGTAGCCGAAAAAGCCAGGAATTTTGTATGTTCGATTTCAGATGCGGAGAGATATTCTGTAATAATCTCAGGCATAGTCGTCACCAAAAGCCGTGATGTTGAACCGTTTCCATGCAGTATTTTGGTGCGTTACATAGATGTTTTGGCCAGTGTCCCGACTCCCTAGACTTTCGTCACTAGCCTTCTAGAAGCCACAGGTGCCGTGCGCTTTATCTAGATCTACAGTTACTCGTGGCAGGTATTTGGACCTTGGTACGTATCCGGATATATATGCAGCCTTTTCCTGAGCATAAAGCCTTTCCTTTCCTTTCCTTTCCTTAACCAACAGTTTTCCATCCCGGGTGTCCAGCTCAAGCAAAAATCTTCAGCGCAGTAAAATAAACTCCGGATACCTGCTTTATGCCACGGGTAGACGTTGGATAAGCGGCTACTCTACCCTACCCGGGCAAAACCATAGATCCAATGCCACATTATCGGTCGCCCGGGTAACAACTCCCCTTCTACGAAGGTCTATGCTAGGTTAAAAAGCGCGCAGTGAAACTGTGAGAGACGAGGCGGAGCCTCAGTGGAGGGCGACGTTGTTTGACGCCCAGACTAGGAACTCTAGCCTAGACCTTGGTTGGAAAGGGCACTTTAGGCTTATCTATCTGATCATCCTCTAATTCACCATGCTTCGGTCTCTCAACGGCGCTCATATCGGTATATAGTCTCAGGCACATGTGTGAGTGAGCGGGGCCAGTTGGTCACTCACACGCCGACCACGATCTTCCAGACACATCACCAGCTACTCTAGATAGGCCCTTTCGGTTCCGACAGCGATTTCCCCGTTCCAGACACCGACTTCACCGTTCCAGACGCCCATCAGTCAGGATGTGCCTCTAACCTCACGGTGAGGGACATGATCCTCCATTAAACATGATCGTCCATTAAGACTTGTTCTGTTTCTAGTTCAAACAAAAATGAAAAGGATAGATACGGTACTGAGATTTATTGGATTACTGTGTTGCCCTCACAACTCTTAACCACAGGCACTCGCCATGTCCCTTCTTCCTCAAGCTTATGAGGAGTGGACAGCTTTGGACATTCCTTCCTCCTCAGATTCTCCATGGCTTTTATACCCAAAACCGCAGAACCGGACACAGTAGAGTAAAACAGCAGACGCTCAAATTCGAACTAACCAAAGGGCAAGGTAAGGGTAAAGGTAAAGGTAAAGTAAATATAGCCACGAAACGGGAAACAACAACAAGCCCAATCCACGGTACGCCGGAGATAGATGACAAAAGTAACAGCAGCAGTAACAAAACGAGAAGAAGAGGAATGAATCACAAGTCAAGCATGTGCACCAGCAATATCGAAGAGAAAGAAAAGAAGAAAAAAGAAAACAAATCATAAACAGATCGCCTCCATACATGCGTCCCGGCGTTTCACCTCACCTTTGTCCAATGTGTACAGAGAAAAGACGGTCGATCCAGGTCCAATCAACGCTGAAAGAAAAAGGTAACGAAAAAGCAATAAAAATATCCATCCTACGGCCCGCCGCCGCCCTGCCATCCCGGATTCCACATGCCTTGGTTCATGTCTGCGAATCCCGCGCCCGGCGGCATTCCGCCCATGCCCATCGCCATGTTCCCCATCGCCATGTGCCCCATCGGCCCCATGCTGTTCATTGGAGCCATTTGCCCCATCGGCCCAGCATTCGGTACGTGTGTCGCCATCCCCGGGTATCCCATGCCGCCTCCAGCCATCACCATCCCCGGCGCCGGACCTCCCATCATCCCCGGGTTCATGATCTGCTGCGGAGCCATGCTCGTCTGCATTCCGTTCATGCCCGGACCGCTCACGCTCACGCTCATCCCCATACTTGTCGCTATTCCCATCTGTCCCACCATATGCCCTTGCTGTTGGAGATGCTGTTGTTGCTGCTGTTGCTGTTGCTGCTGGGCACGCTGCATCATGAGCTGTCTCTGCTGATGCTGTTGTAGCTGGGCATATTGTTGCTGCTGTTGCTGTTGGTGATGTGCCTGCTGTGCCTGCTGCTGTGCCTGCTGCTGTGCCTGTTGCTGTGCCTGCTGTTGGTGATGCTGCTGTGCCTGCTGCTGCTGCATCCGCGGGTCTTGTAACGGTGGCGACTGCGAGTGGGGATGGCCTTGGTACATCATCTGTTGCTGCTGCGATGTCGGCGATTGTTGTGGTTGCTGGTGTTGCGGTAGCGGCATCCCCACCATCACCGGCGGTGGCGGCGAGTGATGCTGATGCGATAGCATCTGCGGCGGTGGCGGTGACGACAAGTGGTGGTTCTCTCGTGGAGGAGTGCCATGGCTCGGCGGAGGCATTGAATTCAGTGGCGCACCTATCTGTCCCTGAGGCTTCGGCGAAGAATTCTGACCTGACCGCGGCGGACCGATCTGCGCGTTCTGGTGTTGCTGCGGCGGGTTCGCGGGATTGATGCCCGGGTACAGTTCCTGTAGTCTTTTGTAGAGTCCGTCCAGCCCAGGAATATCCGGGGGCGGCAGTAGCACACCGGGGCAGACTGGTATTAGCGCGGCGGGCTTGTGTGATCTATCCGCGATCGCGGCGAGGTAGGCAAGGTTGTTCTGCAGGCGTCGCATACATCTAGTGTTTCGCTCCGCCAATTGTCAGCCACATGCGCAGGCACCCCCGACCAGACGGCGCGCGCGTGCGCTCGGGATAGAAAAGGTTGTATACTCTCTGAAGACGGGATCATTTTTAGCCTCCTCCGGCGACTTCAACTTGGGCTGGACATTCAGCACTTCGCGCAGCAACTCGGCATTGATCTCGAGCAGTAGGGTGACGCGTTGTTTATCGAGCTGCAGTTCGTTCTGTTTCTCCATCGCCTTGTTCATCAATTGCTGCTGCTGCTGCGTCGCGATCGAGAGGGACGTGGACTGCTGCTGATGCGACGGCGCCGCCTGGCTGTGTTGGTGCTGCTGCTGGAGCTGGAGCTGCTGCTGGGTGGGACCTGCATCGAGTCAGTGTCGCCGCGGAGGGTGTGACATCGACTCCAGCGCCGCGGGCGGGGAATGGCCAGGCAGGGGCGATGGATGAATGCAATATGAATGAACGGGAGTTGTGTGTGCATTGTGCAGTATAGTGAACAAGGTGGCGGATGCAGATCGGCGAGAAGAAAAAGGAGACGCCAAAAGCAAAAATACGCAAGGCCAACCACCCGACGCGGAACAGAGATGGAATTGAACGATGAAAGCAAAAACGAAACGCGTGCACGACGTGGGCCGGCGAGGAGAGTTTACTCACGCTGTGGCGGGATTAGCAGCTGCTGACCCAGAGCAGCCTGGTTCGCCTGTAGCTGGGCCTGATACTGTTGAAGGTTCAGCGCGGCGCCGCCGGGGACAGTCATGCTCATGCTCTTTGTTCCGAACTCAAACTCTGATCCTAGGAGAGTTGAAGCGATCGATGGCTCGTGCGTGTGGGCGCTGGTCGTGTTGGTGATGGGCGAGGAGATTTGGATTTGGGGGTTTGGGTTTGAGTTCCTCGGCGTGGGTGGAGTGTGAAGTAGTAGTGGGTAAGAGGCGAGTGGTGTGGATGATGTCGGTTGGATGGTATAGAGACGGCGAGGCAAGACGACAGGCTGGGTTGGGGAAGTGTGTCGCGATCAGACGGTGATGATGGCGATGGTGCGGGTTTCGGGGCTGTCGCGTCTATTCGACATGGTCCTCTCTTCGTTCTATCTGTCCTCACGGGATTATATCACCTCCGATCGAGAGAAGTGTTTACAGCGACGACGACGGCACACGGCGTGATGGATTGAGAATTAATTATTGTGAGAAGCGCACTGACACATCCCTGCCGGCAATTCTTCTGCTCTGGAACAAGCCGCCAAGAAGTCGATTTGGGCTGCGTTCGAGTGAGAACACCAGAAACATCCCACTACCGAAAACACGCAATCTACATAGCCCTACGAACGGAGAAGGAGGACGTCATCACTTTACCCGCTGCCCAATCATCGAGTCGCCACCATCGAGTCACCGGCAACCTACACACTCGTACCCACCAATCAGTTGTCCCGGAGTCGAACACCATGAGCGACACTGGATACAGTCGTGGAGGCGGCGGCGGAAGCGGTGGTGGTGGATATGGACGCGGTGGAGGCGGCGGCGGACGTGGGCGCGGAGGCGGCGGTTGGAGAGGAAGGGGCGGCGGCGGTAGGGGAGGAGGAGGCAGAGGTGGAGGGCGTGGTGGAGAGGGCGGCGGTGAGGCATCTGCGGATGACAATCACGACGACTCAGCACCCCGCGCAGGCTCCACCGGAACCCACCAGGAGCTCGATAGCTTCCTCAAGCAAATCGACGGAGCGAACTACGGCCGATACAAAAACCTCCGGAGCCACTACAGATGGACGGAAGGTCTTCCGATAGAGCTGTTCGTCGACCACGTCCAGGGAGATCCGTATGCTGCTCCGTCCAGGTTTCGTGCCCGGCTTCCCATGAGCGCAACTGGAATTCCCATGGAGGTATATGGAAACAGCGCTCGGTAGGTCTACATATCCGAGTGAGATCAGTGGGCGAGGGTTGACTGATATGCGATAGTGTCATTGCATTCACGGACTACGTGAACCGTCAGATCGTCTCGCTCGTAAAACAGTGGCGTCTGGACATCGCGGGGTCTTCCGGAGGCTACCACGGACCGAAAGGTGGAGATTTCGACATCTACAAGCCCAGACAGCAGATCCTCGAGCGCTCCAGCTGCGTCCTTCTCGGTCTCGATGCGGAAGCTGAGGGAGACGGAGGTTATCCATGCCTTGAAATCAGATTTTCCGTTACTCTACCAGCCCACGGCCGAAGCATCAATGGCACCAAAGTCCACGAGCTTTTGATTACTCACTTACCGCAGATCATCGATAAGGGGTTCCTGTGGAGCAACCAAGACGAGCAGAAGGTGTGGAAACATCTGAGGACCGCCGAGCTACAGGACGCACTCCGGAATAGTCTTGCGGAGAAGGGATTACTGGCGTTTGTGGGCAACGGTTCAGTCCTCCCCCGAGCCAGTGGTGCCGCTCCTGGTCCGATGACAGAAGGCGTCGTGGAGTTCCAGAGCCCCAAGAGCCTGGAAGTCACCATCGACACCTCGATCCTGTCCGAAGACGGCACTCCAATCTCTGTCACGGGTATGGGTATCCCGCGTGGAATAGTGGTCATCACCGGTGGAGGCTTCCACGGAAAGTCCACACTCCTCGAAGCGATACAGTTCGGAATCTACAACGTGATCCCCGGTGATGGACGGGAGCTGGTAGTCATCGAGCACAACGCGTACAAAGTCCGCGCCGAAGACGGCCGGAACGTCGTATGCACTGACATCACCCCCTTCATCAGCGAGCTTCCCGGCGGAAAATCCACCTCATCCTTCTCCTCTCAGGACGCATCCGGCAGCACTTCGATGGCAGCCAACATCCAGGAGGCCCTCGAAGTTGGTGCGACCACTTTGATCATCGACGAAGACACCTCCGCCACGAACTTCCTCATCCGCGACCACAAGATGCACGAGCTAGTCCGGAGCGAACCCATTACGCCCCTCGTCTCCAAGGTATCCGCACTATTCACCGAGCACGCCGTCAGCACCGTCATCGTCGTCGGCGGCTGCGGCGACTACCTCAGCCCCGCAACGACCGTGATCGGCATGGAATCCTACCTCCCCCAAGACTGGACGTCTCGCGCGCGCGCCATCTCGGAGAAATACCCCAACGCCGCGCCGACCGCGCCGACCTACGGCGCGATCCCCTGCCGCACCCTGACCATTCCCTCCGGAGCCCTTGGCGACCGACAGCCGATCCCCAAGGGCGTCGACAAGATCGTGATCCGTGCTGGCCGCAACGACGACGACGCTGAACTCGACACCTCGGCACTCGAGCAGTTCGTCGAGGAGGGCCAGACCACGCTCGCCGTCCACGCCCTGCAGTCCATACAGAGGAACTCCGCCGGTCTTACCGCACAGGCTTGGGCCAACATGTTTGCCGAGCGCCGTGTCAACATCTCGCGTGACCCCATGCCGAGAGGAAATATCGCGGCCGCGAGACCGCTCGAGTTGCTGGCGGTCGTCAATAGACTGAGGGGATTGCAGGTGCGAAAGGTCAGTTGAGCTGGGACGCCCTTTGAGATTTTCTTTGTAACCCTGTAGCATTAATGACAAAAAAGTATACCACGTCTTCGTCTTCCACGGTGAACAAACGAGTGCTGAGTAGCGGTTCGCAACTACTACCGCCAGCAAAAAAGGTTTCTCTAGCTCCAGAGGGGGATGATGCGGAATCGGAAGGCACTAAAGATATTCTGTAATAGGCTTACCCGTCGTATACTTATAGCCGTACGTTCTCGTTGCTGGCGAGACGGCTGCTGCTGAACCGGTGATGGGGGAATTGTGGGTGTGCTTACGGTGGACAGACGATAACTAATGTACCTACTATAGTGGCTGGCGACGGTGGAGGGCAGTAATGAATAGCATCTCCACTCATACCGACGTACCGATAGTTCAATAATCCATGATGTGAATAACCGGCGAGTGCGAGCGTGTGAGTGAGTCGGCACATGAGGATGAAGAGGATGCAAGCAAGGAAGGTGAAGGTCTGTTTGTTGTCTGCACTTCTGCTCCTAACGATAATATCTTATTATGTTCGCCCTGGCGGCGCACTTCCCAGTCCCAGTCCAGTTCAGTCCGGCCTTCAAGTGCCGATAAGCCCACTGCTCAGTGCCCACCATCCAGCTGTTTCATGGGCAAGGCAAGGCAGGGCAAGCACCCACCACCAGACAGGTGATCACGGAAGACGGGCGCAGAAGATCTATGCATTCCAACCGCATCCTCCGCCAGAGCAGAGCACTGAAACCGAAGACCGGATCGAGTAGGCGTACGTAGACTCTAGAGTCGCGGCACTGCGCGCACACACACAGCAGCAGTGTGCACGATTCAACTCAGCCACCCGCGGTGCGGTGAGCTCCAGCATCGCGGATACGCAGGGGCGTGCCACGGTGCCAGACCCCACGGTGCCCACGGCCCCCACCTGGAGCCATCTTGCGCTGATCGTACATACCGAAGTACATACCAGGAGGACTTGTACAGTTGCGCAGTTGCACGCCCGTAGATAGTAGGCTTACAGTAACGATCTCCGCTCTTCTCCTTCACGTAGAGCTCGGTAGAGTAGCTACATCGCTCGGTATGTAGATGTGTGCTTGCCCACCATCACCTTCCACAGCAAACAGCAGCAGCAGTCCCGAACGCTGAAGTGAATGACCCACGCACCCATCGACCCCATATCGAAACTCCACATACTGTGCGCCCGAGGCGCTTTGAGGATCTCGCCGCTCGCCCCTCGTCTCCGTCTCGACGAGTAATCGCACCTACACACTGCGATGCTGGTACATAGATCGTCAGAGCCAGTCACACGTCACACGGAGGATATGTATGCTCGGCAGGCAGGTACGGTAGGTAGATCCTCAGAGCTCTATCTATCCAGATCCTCAAACTCGACCCTACCACCCGCCACGAGCTCTGACGCGGGGGCTTTTCGAACCACTGGTTCACCACTTAGAGCTAGGTATGTAGCGATTCGAGACGTGCCATCTTCGGATCTGACGGGATTTCATTCAATTCCGCTTTCTAACTCCTCGAAATTTCTCGCAGACAGCCAGTCTAGCTGTAGCATAGCATCGTGCAGACAGACAAGAACTTCAGAAGCAACCCGAACAGACACTGAACACTGAAGAGAACTGATACAGGGTACACAATTCACCATGAGCACAATGTGAGACGCAGAAAGATTACCCCAGGCTATAATACAGTAGACTGCACCCTGTACTGCAAACAAAAAAAGAGAACAAGCAGGTAAAAACAAAACAAGACACCCGTATACCCAGAACCGTTTCGTTTCATTGCACAAACAAGTAGCAGCCAGAAAAAAAGAACACCCACGTAAAAGGAACCATGTTAACGAGGAAAGAAAATTGAAGACCAGTTTTAAGCCCACTCCGATCACACTTCCATCTCCCAGAACAAGTATGCGACCCAATACAGGGAAACATGTCATACCAAGAAAAAGAGGCGAGATCGAACTAGAAAACTAAGTCATGGCGCGTTGGAATGTTGGTTGTTTACGAGCGCTCGCCACGGAGACGGCGGGCCAACTGGATGTCCTTGGACTGGATGGTAACACGCTTTGCGTGGATAGCGCTGGAGAGGTTGTTAGTTTGATGTACAGATGTGGCAGTGGATCTGAAGAAACATACCAAAGGTTGGTATCCTCGAACAGGGAGACCAGGTAAGCCTCAACGGACTCCTGAAGAGCACCGATGGCCGACGACTGGAAGCGGAGGTCCGACTTGAAGTCCTGAGCGATCTCACGAACGAGACGCTGGAAGGGCAGCTTGCGGATCAGGAGCTCGGTCGACTTCTGGTAGCGACGGATCTCACGAAGAGCGACGGTTCCGGGCTTGTAACGGTGGGGCTTCTTGACTGAAGAGGAAATTAGACAACTTCGATCGATGCGCCAGGAATATCGAAGTTAACTTACCACCTCCGGTAGACGGGGCGGACTTGCGGGCAGCCTTATGGGCGAAGGACTTGCGAGGAGCCTTTCCTCCAGTGGACTTGCGGGCGGTCTGTAAAGAGACGCGTCAGTAACCATGATCATCAAACACGAGCATATTAAGCGAGACGCGACCGACGCAGCCGTGTAGAGAAAGCAGCACGGTCGCGACGACAAGTTGATCACGTCCCACTCAATAAAATATTAATAGATGGGAAGTATTTACCTGCTTGGTGCGGGCCATTGTTGCTGTTGTTTGTTAGTGTAGGGGTGTGGTGTGGTGTGGAGGTAGTGTGTGTGGGGAAGTGTGAATGTCGGGAAGATGGAGGAGAAGGAGGTGGGAAGGCGGGTGTTGGGGGTTTTATAGGGAGAGTGCGAGTGGTGAGTGATGGGATGGCTGGCGGCAGGGAGGGCGAGCAAGTGGTTAGGGTTTGTTGTGGTTGGGGGGATCAGCTCGGAAAGGGTCGTTGCGTGCCAGCGAAAGAAAAGCCCGCGAAAAGAGTCTGGAAGGGCACGCAGTTTGGGGGAGTTGCGGTGGCAGGCATTTTCGCTGTCTTCTGCGGTTGCTAGCGTGGCGGAAGGTGGTGGGTCGGCCTTAGCGCAACGGCAACCGCAGCACGGGGAGAACACGGGCGGAAGTGGGCGACGGAGACCGCGACAGAAAGAAAAGAGAAAAAGAGAAAAAGAGCGAAAGAGAATTAGAGAGAAAGAGAAACAAAGAGATAGCGACTATTCTGCCGGTGTCTGGAGACGCCGCGATGCTTCGTACAGCTTCACGGTTTTTTCTGCGTGCGCTATCGCCTTCGCTCGCTGTCGGTCTGTCCGTGTCTCCATGTGTCTCTCGCCTCGCGTCTGCGCACCGGGTCCAGTCTCCTGCGTGTCTCCGCCGCTGTCTCCTCCCGGCCCATGCGCTACAAGTCTGGGTGCCTTATCGCCTGCGTTGCTGTCCCCTGCAAGATCGCATCTACCAACCCTAACATCCCTTCGCTCGCAGTTCCTGGCAACGCCAACCTGCGCTAATGTGCGTGGTGGACAAGCTCCGGATTGCTTGGCGGGTTGATGTCTGATTTTGCGTTCGCCCACACCAACTTGTATATAAGGCTTTGGTTCCCCGCCAACCTCTGCTGCTTCACCCCAGTCTACCAAACTTCTCACCTACCATCCACAACAACACGCTTCCGCAACCCCCAAACACATCTCCACCTCAAACTTCAACTTCAACACCAACCCAATCTCAAAATGACCGGACGTCAGTACCTCCTCCTCTCCGACGCGTCGAATGCAATGGAAAAATAAAACAAAAACATCGAGCTAACATTCAACAGGTGGAAAGGGAGGAAAGGGTCTCGGAAAGGGAGGAGCCAAGCGTCATCGCAAGATTCTCCGTGACAACATCCAGGGTATCACCAAGCCCGCTATCCGCCGTCTCGCCCGTCGTGGTGGTGTCAAGCGTATCTCTGCCAGTGAGTAGTCCACCGAAGCACGCGTCTTTCTTCGACCAGACTCTAACCCACCTTCCAGTGATCTACGAGGAGACCCGCGGTGTCCTCAAGACCTTCCTCGAGGGCGTCATCCGTGACGCCGTCACCTACACCGAGCACGCCAAGCGCAAGACCGTCACCTCCCTCGATGTCGTCTACGCTCTTAAGCGCCAGGGCCGCACCCTTTACGGTTTCGGTGGTTAAACGCTTTCCGGTCCGGTTTCCCGTGCATCGTCTTTTTTCTTCCAGCAAACAGGTGTTCATATGAGATAATGGCTTTTTTTTACTGTCTCTGGTCTGGGTTCTTGGAATTAGGGTGTCTTTCTTGATTGTTCGAACTTTTTTTTTTCTTCTTGCTGTATTATATACACTTAGCGATGGGTGCGGACGTGATTTTCCCACCCACTTGAAAGAGTGACAGAGTCATTACGCGGAATCATACGGTGTTGTCTAAAACAAATCGAGGCGAATCGTGACACTGTTTACGTTTCGAAATTGTGGGTCTGAAATAAGACACAAACCTTCTGTTCCCTACAAGCGCGCCGCCGGCCGGAGGCCTCCTGTTGCCGGTACGTACCGTATCCTTGGAAGCGAAGAAGCCATTGCGCAAACCCTTCAATTGAACCCGGCGTGAAAAGGAAAGAAAAGTCTGCAGCTTGGGTTCCTTCCTTCCTTCCTCCTTTCCGACGTCCATTAGCACCGTAGCCGAACAAGCTACCATGTTCCCGTTTGAGGATCTAGATCATCCGATCGAGCACCTTCCACACGTGCGATGGATGGGTGGCTATATGGGCTGTATCGAGGATCCAGACGCGACTCGGGTCGTCAAGAACACACAGGACAAACGCAAACGCAAAGACAACGCACGTACTACGTAGTGTGTACCTGTGCATGATGCGGCACGCCAGGTAGATTCTCGTGCTGGCTGACGACACGCGTTGGTGATTGGTACGCTAAAGGTAGGTACGGCCGCTCCGCGCCGGAATTTTGTGAAGTCATGGGTATCACTCGTGTTTTCGGCGGAGATGGAATTGGGTGCTGGTGGTGAGTTTCAGGTTGCCCTGAGGCTCTAATGCGATGTAGATGGTGGTCTTTCTACGGTGGGCTGTGAAGAGGGCAGCTATGGAAGCGCTGGTAGTCATGAGTGTGTGACTGTGGAATCGGGTTTGTTCATGGAAACAGCAGGTTGAACGTAGAGCTTGCGTGGACTTTGTGGTGGTATGACTCGTCGGATAGATGAATGTTGCCAAATTGGTTTGTATGGCTCATAGGAATATCAAGCATCAGTTTGGAACTGCTTATAGCCCTTGGAAGACGGAAATCGACTCGGATTTGAGTCGTCGGAAAGTAACGTGGGATTTCGAGTGATATATTATGCTACTCTACTCGCGGGATACGATCGGCTACTCTCCGGTGACGTCGAAAGCTCATACCGCTCCACACCATACGGCTCACTTGTAATACACAAGTCGATGTACTTAAAGACACACTTGTAACTTTTTCGTTTGTAGTAGCGAGTGATATCTACCAGTCGGGTTTGGCGTTCTGCTTTCTCCTAACGGGTGATGATAGGGGCTTTGAGCGAAGAGTGGCTAGCAGACAGGACTACTCTAGACGTAGAAACTGAAGCAGACACCAACGTATGATCAAAACTAGAAAAATATGTACCGGTCATAACCACGACAGGATTCGAACCTGCCGAAGTGTGCCAAGACACATGCGAATCTCTCTCCTTAACCACTCGGACAGAGTGTCGCGAAAAAACCGCTCCGAAAATTATCAAACCTTATCAAGATAAACATGGTACTCGGCTAGATAGTGGAAGTTGTATCGTAACATCACTCCACGTGACTTCTCCACCCAACGCCTTCGCGTCACCTTCCCAAGGCCCCCTCGCATCCCCTCCATATCCATTCCTCGCATCCACCATGACCCCGCCGACAGCAGCACGTACCCGTCCGATCGAACCCTTTGCCAAAGCCGTCGCCGCCTGCTCTGTCGAGGTATAATCTCCCATTTCCCGCGATCATCTGGCCCCCCACTGACACGGAAAGGCGTCGGCATACGGGAAATGTATCTTTCGAGATTACAACAACGTCTCGAAGGATATGTGCTTACAGGATTTCATGAGGCTGCGCGAGTGTGTTACCGTAAGTCATGAATTGGCAGAGGGGGGGTGGGACGGCTGAAGGGACGGCTGACGTGACGGGGTGGGGACAGGGGAAGTTGAAGAAACGGTAGTGGTGGTGGTGATGGACGGCGCTTGCTCCGTGGGTTGAGGGGGGAGGGGTGAGGATGAGGGGCTATGGAAGAAACAGATAATTTTCTTTTCCCGTCTTCACTTTCCTGTGCTTCTGGGGGATGATGGAGGGGCGAGAGTGTTCGCATGAAATACTTCTCTCAATATCGGATCTTCGCCGTGCCGGTGCGAGGATGAAGGGGTATGTAGATACTCGAGGGAGACCTACTGCAGGTCCTGCCTGAGATCTCACCCGCAAATAGCTACGCTCAGCTCAGCTCGACAAGCTCACGCTCATCCGGCTTTGCGGAGAGCTATTGGCGATGTACCGAGCTGTGAAAAATGAGATATCTCCCGTGCGTGGTCACACCCTGATAGAGTAGTAAGCCGAGATGTTCGTGCGTGTTGGGCAAGATGGGCTGTGGCGCGAGATGTGGCTATGGCGCAGTTCCGGCTGCGCCTGCCAGCGATGCCGACACGCTTCGCAGAGCTCACAGGACTAGGTGGCTGCGGATATGCACCTATGCCTTTGTAAATTGCTGCTTTGCGAGGTACATACTATCTCGATGCTGAAGTAAGAATCTAGGCGCTTCTTTGGAAGTTGGGAGCAACTGTGGGTGGGTGGGTGGTGGTGGGTGGATACAGTAGGGCTGGCTTCTCGCTCGCCATAGGCCATCCCCCCGCCTCGCGCGACATCATTCACATTCCTGGAACCATACCACGCCCCCCCGTCATCATCTTAAACCCCTCCTCCACAAAACAACCCTTCCCCCTCCTACCTCACTTTCCCAATTTCTGCAGAATAGCACCCATCGAACCTCCGAAGAATCAACAGCTCTTGCCTGACAGCGTAACTCGATAAATCGCTTCCGCTTTAGTTGTACCTCGACGGCTGCCCCTCTTCACCCTCGCCCGCCTCCTTGTTCGAGTCGTCAACCACTACAACCACTACAACCACCACCAAGCAACGCAACTCGCACCACGTGCCCCCCGCATCACTCAGAGAAAGAAAGAAAGGGCGAGAGAAAGAGCCTCGTTCGAGATTCCGCCGTTTTCGCTACCGCTTGCCTCCTCCAGGAAATACCGAAGATCACCAGCCACAACCCGAGTATCTACCAACCACCAAACACCCAACCGCCAACCATCAACCACCACACCCAGCCAATACCAAGCAGAAGCTACTGCAGATAAGCGAATATGGGAAAGACGTGGGTTTTTTCCTGTCCCTGTTACTGGCTTGATTTCCTCCATTACGCCATCATATGCGACGGAGGGTGGTGATCTCGTGTGACTGACGCAATACAACTTCGCAGTCAATCCAAGCTCACCCATGAACAGCTCACGGAGCTTCAGCAGGCGACTCTGTTCGAGCGCAAGGAGCTGCAGCAGTGGTACAAGGGTTCGCTTTCCTCTTCGCGCGTTTATTTTCTTCGCGCGCGCAGCACACCGCGGTCACCGGATGGGTTGCTGATCACAGATTGGGGCGGATATCAGGCTTCCTCAAGGACTGTCCGTCGGGCTCATTGAACAAGTCGGAGTTCCAGAAGATCTACAAGCAGTTCTTCCCGTTCGGAGATCCGACCACGTTCGCCGACTATGTGTTTAACGTGTTCGATGCGGATCGCTCGGGATCGATCGACTTCAAGGAATTCATTGTCGCGCTGAGCGTCACCTCCCGTGGCACCCTCGAGGATAAGCTCAACTGGGCTTTCCAGCTCTATGATATCGACGGCGATGGCGAGATTAGTTACGACGAGATGCTGCAGATTGTCGAGGCTATCTATAAGATGGTATGCGCTGTAGGGCGATCGCTCCGAATGATCTTGCTTTAGTTGCGGGAAAGGGGGGTTGCTGACGCCCGTCGGTTGTGCTGCGTACAGGTCGGATCGATGGTCAAGCTCCCCGAGGATGAAGATACACCACAGAAGAGAGTGGCCAAGATCTTCCGGATGATGGACAAAGACGAGGTTGGTTGACTGCAGCTCCGGAGTGCTGTGAACACAAACTAACAAACTCGTAGAACGGAAGCTTGACGCTCGACGAGTTCCGCGAGGGAAGTCAGAAGGATGCGACAATAGTGTCAGCTCTCTCCCTATACGACGGCCTAGTCTAGCATCGGTATCGACTTTCTTCACCGTCTTTCCCCCGTGCTTTTGAAATACCCTTTTTGCGATGATCAGTTGGTTTTTCGGGCGGGTGTGCGCGGCACGTTTGGTGACCATACTTAGCGGCGCGGGGGAAGTAGGGAGGTTTGAAATGAGAAATGGTCATGCTGTCCGGTCCATTGGCGCCTTGTTTTAGTTCCTTGAAACCACGATATGAAATCGAATCACGGGGTGTTTTCTTTCAGGAGGCAGCTTTTTTTTTTTCTTTCTTCTTTTTCTTTTCTACACTTCTCTTTGTCTTTTCTTTTCTTTTCTTTTCTTGCTTTAGGGATATAAATGGTGTTGATACGCAAGCAAGTAAGCAAGTGGTTGGTTGGTGGCTTTCTCTGGCTTTGTCTGGCTTGTTATTTTTTTGTGGATGATATTTGAATTTGTGATATTTTTTCTTCTTTCTCTCCGTATGCCTTGTTATTTTTTACGGCTTTTTTTTAACCTTACCTTACCTTAACTTACCTCAATACCCAGCAGGCTTTTTGTGAGTTTGTTGGTTGTGGACTCAATGCCCGAATAATTTGTATTGCTCCAACAAATTACGCATGAAATGGCAATGGCCGAGTGGTTTTTGGCTACTGGTATGTAATGGTATGTAATGGTATTTAATGGTCATTCGGGCGCGCACTTGACGGAGACCGAGGCCTCATCTTCTCATGTGGAATTACATGAGTATGTGGAGTAAGCATCTACAGCGTCACGGAGATCTCGCGTTTACGGCTGCTTGTCGATATGTACAGTACGGCGGCTTTGGACGGACCGGTCCAGAAACTGTATATACAGTGCTCCAGACGGACCAAAAGCTTTGTGGCGAGGAGACTCTGGGCGCCGACGATCCTGCGTTTATCCACCACATCTAGAAACCATCTTTGCTGCACGTAAGTGTGAAGTATGCAGGCACTTTCCTCGAGAACTCTCCGACATCCGCCTACGGTATTCCCATGGGCCATCCGAACCGGTGTCTGGAGACTGACACTGAGATGGCTCGGAAGACGGGATCAATCATCGGGCCTGGGTAACTAGGTGGTTGACCGCGGCTGTGGAATACCTCTCCGGATGGCGCGCGAGGGAGACTACCGTACCGTATGGAGACTACGGATGCGTCCGTCGTTGACGGGGGGAGGCTTGTGGGTTGGGTTGTGAGGATAGAGGATTCGAGGATGTACATACACAATGATACACATGCTGTTTGGGCACCCTCATCCTCCTTGTGCGAGCTGCTCCGACAGTCCAGCGATGAGCTGCCGAAAGCGCGAGAGATTCCTATGGCCCTATGGAAGGCTGAAGCACGGTAGGGACTAACTACCCACAAGTGCCACCACCACCAACGAACGCCCCGGTAGCATACGGCGAAACTTGCTGGTTGGGATGGTTCATCGACTTTAGTTTCGACCCTACGCCGGTCTACAACGATACGAAATAAATCCAAGTACGTGTAACCAGGCTTCGGGATATTGATTTGATGTAGGTATTGCAATCCAAATTCTACAGTCCGTTCCACACGACTTTCCCGATTGTTGGCCCGGGTGGATGAGTTTTGTCAAAGATACTGAGATACCTACCTGGTAGATAGGAGGATTGGTAGGATGGCGTAGCTATTTTGTTGCTTGCTTCTTCTTCTTCTACTCCGGGCCGGTGCCCTTCTATAGGGTATATATACAGAATATGTCTGCCGTTGGGAGACAGACCCGCCGGCGAGACTAGACAGACAACAGAAAAAATCTCCGGAGTCCGGATACATTTCGCATGAATGACCGAGTCCTTGACTCCTTCAGAAAAGTGCTCGTTGAAACTTCACCATCACCTTACAGCGGACACCAGGAGAGATACTTCATGTGCTCCGGAGCCCGGACGCCGTAATCTGACAAGTCTCAAGTTACTGCTGGCACAAGCTGATCGGTTTGTGACCAGCCACATTCAGTAGCCAAAGAGCTTCTATCTACGATCCCACATACCGGTACTACATACGATCCCCCCGAATGCCGGAATGTCTGCATACGCTCGTCGCCTCCACCACTGCACAACCAAAGTATTAAAAACCAAAGCGTGGTGGAAGGATGCAATTTTTTGATATACGTCCATTGATCTTCGAGAGTTCCGGATACCCAGTCGGGTTGCTGCTGGTCCAGTATCTATCCGCCGCGTGGTTAATCCGCCGTAACTATTCGCGGGTACGTGATCCCGTTTGTCAATCTTCTGTGCGTGCAGCCTGCATTACGTCCGCACTCCCTCCTCACAAAATTCCCTGATTGCTGTACCTAGGTTCATTAGTATCCGCCGCGTCGTCCAGTTGGTCCCCAGGTTCCCACTGCAAACGTCCCCATGTTTACATCGGCCCACGTTGTCACAGTCATGGTATTAAAAACCAAAATGTGACGTATGGACGATTGTTGGTGGGATTCTTTTCGATCTGCGATCCGCGCCGGTAGTGGGGTAGTGGCGGCCTGGTGCTGGGTGGATGGGTCCTTTCTTTGTACATAGGAAGAAGAGTACCTAGTGGTGTTGGTGTTGGTGATGGTAGTGAGGAAGAGGAAGAGGAAGAGGAAGAGAAGGAAGAAAGGTAAGTAGGTTATGGGCGGTGGAAGAAGGAGCCCTAGGGTTATGCCTCAAAGGTCGAGAAAAACGCTCACTAGCTAGCAGAACGACCCATCAAAAGGCAAGACCCACTTTCCAACTTCTAAGGCATCTGGCGGCGATACCTATAAAAAGCCCCTCCCCCCCCTCCCCTCCCATCTTCTCTCTTCAAGCACAGGCATGAGCATAGCACAACAGCAGTGGCAAGAGTAAAGAGCAAGCACATAGCAGTGGCAAGAGCACAGCGGATTGACATAACGCCCCTTACGCGGTCAAGATTTTTTTCCTTCGGGTTTCCTCTATAAAACATCGCTTTCCTGGCTGCAATGCGAGGAGGCGAGGTTTTTTGGTCCATTACTAGGTAGGCTCCATGCGAAGAAAGCACACCAGGTTTGGTGGCATGAGGTCGAGATAGGAATCAGCATCGCTCAATCCTGAGTCCTCTGTTTCCGACTGCGTACCTAGGTTGACCGGTGGATTGGGAGCTGGTTGGTTGCCGAATCATTGCCAGTGCTTGACCGTCATGGGGCACGAGCGAGTGATACCGCGTGCGTGGGTGTGCACAACCGAGAGCTGGAGGGATCCAGTTACCAGTGCTATATACATGCAAAAGCCTTCACTACCAGTCATTCACTCCCACTGGGGGCTCTGCTCGGTAGAAGAGCGACGGAGTCTTGGAATCGAACCGGTTTCTGGCCGGCCGTCGGTTTCGTGGGATTTTGGTCTTGGAGTTCGGTATATTTACATTTTATTTTATTTTCTTTTCTGATGGTATGAAAAGGGGGAATTAGGTAGTCCTGATGGCAATGCCAAATGATTAGGGAGGGTACTGGCGAATATTATACTCCAGGTCGTCCCAAGTGTTCCAGTGTCCATATAGAGGCCTTTACCTAGGTAGTTGGCATTCGAGGTATGAAGCAATCCTATCAGCCACAACTAGTCAATTTAGGATCCAGGGAGGTACATTATCATGGGCAACACTGAGTTCCCCTGATGCCTGTACGGACAATAGTACATAGGGTATTGCAGTGCCGCCGGAGTCTGCTACCTACCTACAGCCCCATTCAAAAGTTCATCGTCCGTTTGAGAACCTCCTCTAGGCTCCAGCATGCTGTCTCGCTCGCTCGTTCTTATTTGCGATTGGCTGGTTAAGATATGTAGTTATACCCCAAGATCCTCCTATCCTTATCGGCCGGCCTCCGGTAGAGAAGTTTGTTTACGACGTACGTAGACCCTAGTCAAAGGCGTATTAGAGTAGAGTAGCGCGCGGTCGGTCCCGTACCGGCCGGCGGCAGCAGCTCCAGAGCCCAGAAAGATCAGGGCATGTCGGGTGTGGTGTCTGGAGACTAACCACAGTACTCTATATAATACCCAGATGATTTCATGGCTGGGTATTCAGACAGGCTGGATGGCATTAGCAGGGTGGCTGTCTGAATACCCATGAAACGATTTAGTAGGTACATATTAAAGTAGAGTAGCAGGGCCCGGTATGAGCTGCAGGTAGCGTGTCTTGTCAAAATTAAGCGGAAGAGCGAGTTTCAACTTGCCGTTGAGGGAAAATCTCGAATCTTGACCATGTACCTCCATGGCGCGAGTCGCAAGACGAGTCATCGCGGCAAATCCGTCTATCATAGCATGGGGTGGATCCGACGTAACTAAGCTTTGGCACGTGGATAGCACGTGAGCGGCCGATAGCTAATAGGCCTGGAGCAGGGTTGATTGGGAGTTAGAACTTGGAAGCCGTGGCGGTGGTTGATGGTGAGGGGTTTCAAAGACTCAATGGTGAGTTGGAGTTTGGATGTAGTTAGAGTCGGGGGGTGGACAATGGACGTACCTAGAGTTGGGTATCTTCATTGTCACTTACTCGGTTGGTTTGACACGCCACAACTATTCTAGGCCTAGTGAGGGCTTGCACGCCTCGTGTGTCTGCAGGATGTGGAATTGATGCTACGGATCTTGAGCTTGGTCATCGACGATTCCAGGACTCCCGATCCGATCCCGTGTTTTGGGAACTCGCGAGTAGGTACGTTACTTGAGGTTTTGGCGAGGAGCGAAAATAGATCTGGAAACCTTGGGGACAACTACCCTCGTTAACTCTATTCAGGTGTGCGTTCGTTGCTGGAACTTAAGGCCATGATCTGGCAGTGTTAATGGTGGAAAGGCGGCGGGTTCTTTCCAAGCTCCAACAAAGACTCTCGCCATACAAGGTAGAATAGGTAGGCTAGGGTAATCCGAGGGTTTTCTTTGACAATGCTTTGATCCGGCCGTTTGGAGGCTGGAGCAGTAGAGCTTGGAATCTGTCGAACCCAATTCTGGGAAGTTCGGCAACTGCCGCCATCACGTGCTTCCCCCACAACTAGCGCAGTTTGTATGACGCCCCTCACCTACTATCCCCAGCAGCTCTGATCTCTCTTACCTCCCCTCCAAACCACGCACTCCACAACCTTCCGCAGCAGCTCTCACCACGCACGATAACCGCAATAAACCAACCGCAACCAACATGGCGACCCGCCCCTCCGCCGCCCTGCTGCAGCGCCAGCTGAAACTGATGCAGAACGATAAAGACCTCAGCAACATTTCGTGCGGGCTGGTGCACGACAACATCTACGAGTGGGACGTGATGCTCATGATCTCCGACGACTGCAAATTCTACGGCGGCGGGTTCTTCCGCGCCAGGCTGTCGTTTCCCACTGACTACCCGCACGCACCCCCCAAGATGCGCTTCGAGAGCGATATTTGGCACCCTAATAGTACGCCCCCCAACGAATATGAAGTGGGTGAGGACTGACAGCGAGCAGTCTACCCCGACGGAAACGTATGCATCTCGATCCTGCACCCGCCGAAGGACGACGAGTACGGCTATGAGAGCGCCTCTGAGAGGTGGCTACCCGTGCACACGCCGGAGACGATCCTCATCTCGGTCATCAGCATGCTGAGCAGCCCGAACGACGAGAGCCCGGCCAACATTGAGGCGGCTAAGCAGTGGCGCGACGATCCCGCCGCGTTCAAGAAGAGGGTTCGCAAGTGTGTTAGGGATAGCTTGGAGGCTTGAGGGCTTGGGGGCGCGAAAGGGGTTTGGCGTTATCGGTGATGGGCGGGGGTGAGAGAGTGAGAGAGCTCCCTTGCTTATGCTTCCATGAGCCCTCTCTACTGGCCGGTATTGGTCGGGATTGGTGCTTTCCCTTTGAATGGAATACTTCTATTTGTTCTTCTGCTTCCTGCTAAAAGTTTCTGGTTATTAGTTTGGGAGGGGGGTGACTTTCCGCTGACGGAAATATCTGGTGCGAAATGGCTGTACTGGGTAGTATATGAAGGTCTTCCTTGCGAAGCACGTACGCAATACGATACGATACATTGCATCTGTTTTCTGTTACAGATACGATGCGATACACGGGGATGTATTTTCTGTCCGAATAAATACATACGCACAGTCCTTATTACAGCCTTCTTCCCCATCATGTTCTGCAGGAATGCAGCCTCATAGGATGTTCTCTGTCCACCCCACCACCGACGGACGACGCATATGCATACCAACCAGATGTCCGCCTTGTCTTCCATCGTCAGCTCAAGCCTCAAGTCTCAAGCTTCTCCCATTCCCGTGTTCGTCTTGACTGTGATTGTGATCGTGATTTCCGTGCGGCAACCTGCCTACCTGCCTACCTAGCCGCCCCACAGGCTGCAGTCCATACCCATCGTCTATCGTGCCTCCCTTCCTGCCGTCGCTGTGAACTTCTTTGTAACTTCGTTTGAGCCGGTAACTATGACTGGACTCTTTGTCTTCGCCGCCGGGCATGTGTGCACAGTCCAGTCCACGTCGCCCATTCCATCCACGCCCTATGGTGGTTGTGATTCATCGTGTCAGGCACCGACTATAGTGGCCAATCCGCATCTTCCTATCTATGGCTGTGATTCATCGTGGCAGACGCCAACTACCCGGGTACGTAGCCAATCCGCATCTTCCTCTTTCTCTCTTTCTCTCTCTTGCCATTCCACCTAGAGCACGAGCGCGGCCATCCATCCCGTGCCTCTACTTACCTAGCTGAAGTCGACACCGGAGGCTGAATGGTGCTCGCACCAGTGACCGCACCGCGGGCCCACAGGCCCGCCGGGGTCTTGGATCTTAGATTCTCGGCAGAGGCACAAATCCATCCAATGCGATCCACGGACCGGCCAAAAAACTCAATCGCCTCCGCCTAAGGCTGCATTCTCCGCGCCTCACGGAGTATGGGTAGTGCGTCGATGAGTCGATGAGTCTTCCATTCCCTCCCTCGCACAGAAACAGATCCAATGGCTGTTGGTAGGTTGGTGGGTTGTGGTTGGTAGGTTGGTAGGGTGATTGGTAGCCGCATGCGCAGCCCAGCCCGCCAGAGACTGGTGGTGCTTTATGTAGGCAAGCGAGGAGAAGAGAGAAGCTTCCAATCATTCGGCTCGGTACCGGGGTTGCTAGCTGGCTGGGTTCTGGAGCATTGCCGCCTAGTTGTTCACAGCCCCGCCGCCCCGCCGCCCCGCCGCGCCGTGTTGGAACTCGGGTTGGGTTAAGTTGAGGTTCGATTCTCGAGTGAGTGAGGAGTGTCGAGGGGAGGAGGGGCAAAGACTTCCTTCCTTCCATTCTTCCATTCTTCCAGCACAAGAGTTCGGGATGGATCTCAATCCATTCATCAACCCATTCACCGTCATGATTGGTCAGGCAAGCCCAGAGAAGAAACCCCACCCCCTCCCGAGTCCCATCCCATCCCATGGAACAAAAGCTCGCATTAATAACCGTCTAGAGTAGAGTAGAATTATACCCAGTGGAGTGAGTGACTGCAGCTCCGCCTCAGCAAGCAAGCAATGAGCATGCCAGTTCCCTCCATCCCACCCACGAGCGGCTGACACGAGTGGTTAACTATGCCTGCACACTGCAGACACGACACGACACGGCTCCTCTAACAGTCCAACTAGCGGAGAGGACTTGCAGATGATTTGCGGAGCGCGCACGCAGGTATCTTGTAAGGCGCTCTCGATCCACCAATCTGTAGAGTACCCAAGTACGCAAGTAGAGCACACCCAAAAATCATCCCATTTATCTGGGCTTCCTCCCGCACGGCACGGCACCGACCGCACCGTAGAAACCTCCCCCATATCCCACCTTCCCCCCACGCCTCCCCCACTCCCAATAGATACCCAGATACCTACCTACCCAGGTATTCACCATGCCGCCGTCTTCCTACACATCCTCGTACCACTCGCCTCCGCAACGACTCTCGCAGCACCGGCGGCACCGGAGCTCGACCGTGTCCTCATCCGAGAGCGCCTACTACTCTCCTCCGCAGAGCTACTACTCGCCGCCGCAGCCCAGCTACCACTCCTCGCACTCGCACTCGCACTCCTCGCCCCACCACTCCTCCCCTCACCACCACCAGCACCAGCAGCAGCAGTATGCACCCGCACCCCCCGCCGAGCGCTTACCCAACTGCTCCGTCTGCGACTCGCCCGCAAAGCACGCGTGCGCCTGCGAGCTCAGCTCCCTGATCGTTGCGGTCGAGGAGGCGGAGGCGAAGGTGCTGTCGGGGGTGTGGGACGATATCCGGTATTTCCCCCTCCCCTCTGCCCCCCTCTGTCCCCCCATCCCCCTCTGTCCCCTCAATCAATACTGACGCAATGTGTAACTAGACGATACGTCACGACGCGCGCACAATCGCAGATCCATGCGGACTTTGCGGCGGTGACGGCGCAGCGACGCGCTATGGCGAGGACGGTGGTGCAGAGGGATGTAGACGAGGACTGGAGGAGGTGTGTGCAGAGGTATCCCGAGATACTGGAGGCACAGTATAGGCGTGTGGAGGAGGCGGTTAGGAGTGGGAGGGGGGTGGCGGAGATACTGGGAGGTGGAGGTGGGGGGAGGATGAGGGTTGTTTATGAATGAGGGATGGGATGGAGTGGGATGGTCGGCGGAACAAATTGGGCGAGGAGGGGGAAACATCGACAGACGACAGACGACAGACGACGGAATGATCTATGGCGTATGGGTTTCTTTACTGTATGATCTAATGACTATGGTATAGTTTCGATAGAAGAAGGATGCATTGTGTCAAGTATTCACTCGTACCTTTTGCGTCATGTAACAATGGGGGAATTGTTATTAGTTAGGCCATTATGTAGCACAAAATGGACCGTCCGGACTCCGCAGGCGAGTCCGTTTCATAGTACCACACCCTCCCTCTTGCTGTGATTCCTCTACTCATTCTGTGCACGTCAATCGTAATTCTTACGTGGAGGCCGGAACCGAAGGAGATAAGAAGTCATCGATTGTAGCACAAGGCGGCGCGAGGCAGACCTGTACTCGCCGTAAGTAGCATAGCAATCCCACTAGGCACCTCCCGCCCACTAAATACGGTATTTAGCGAACTAAGCGCGTCCTGCCGCCGTCGTCTGTAGTTACCATGTATGTGGATATAAACCTCGAGCTCCCTAGTTAATCAACCACCTCCCGTCACCAATGGTCCACCCCCAGCCAGCCATGGCCAATCCATCCCCCCTCGCTCACGCCGCACTCACAGGCGCCAGCATGGTCCACACATCCCTCCAGCCATCCCCCACCCCCCACCAGCTATCTTCCACCCCCCTCCAGCCCTCCTCCACCTCCCACCACCCCATCCAGCACCTCCTCTCGACCCTCGCCCAATCCTGCATCTCCGCATCCTTCTCCTCCGCCGCCGCCTCCTCCCCTTTGCTACAAAAGCGCTGCGACGACCTCCTGCGCCTAGCGCGGACAAAGCTGCACGCGTACCCGTTCTCGGCTGTGCCCGAGTACTGGCGGCAGCTGTTCACCGATGCGAGCATTGTCAAGGCTGCTATGATGATTCTGCGCAGCTGCGGGGAGGGCGGGGATGGGGCGCTGGGGGCGCTGGACGCGGTGGAAGTGCTTGACATGGCGCTGATCATGGCGGGTGCGCCGGGGGAGGGGAGGAGGGAGGTTGCGGAGGGGATGTTGCTCGCGCTGGAGGGGGCGGTGGGGGAGCAGCGTGGGGATGGGGGCGGGGGCGCGGATGCGGGGGCGGCGGAGGTGGTGTGGGATCGCGTCGTGGACGCAGCGCACGTTGCGCACCCGATACGGCAGTGCGGCGAGCTTTCGCTGGACGAGTTCCAGGAGCACATGGACGTCCTCAACACGCCGGTGATCATTTGCGGGGCGCTTTCGCAGTGGCCGGCGCTGGGTGCGCGGCCGTGGAGCTCGCCAGCGTACCTGCTGTCGCTGACGCACGGGGGGCGGCGCCTAGTCCCCGTCGAGGTGGGGCGCGCATATACCGACGCCGGGTGGGGACAGAAGATCGTGCCGTTCCGCGAGTTCCTGGAGACGTACATGACCGAGGGCGCAACGGAGATCGGGTACCTCGCGCAGCACACGCTGTTTAACCAGATCCCGAGGCTGCGGAATGATATCGTTATCCCCGATTACTGCTATGCGGACCCAGGGGACCCCCCCGGGAATGTTAAGGCTACGGAGATGTTGGGTGAGCCTGTGATTAATGCTTGGCTCGGCCCCAGGGGAACGGTCAGTCCCTTGCATACCGACCCGTACGCGAACGTCCTCGCGCAGGTCGTTGGCAGCAAGTATGTCAGGCTGTATCCGCCAGAGGAGACGCCGAGGGTGTTTCCGCGTGGCGTCGAGGAGGGAGGCGTGGATATGGGTAATACGAGTCGTGCTGAGGTCGAGGAGGAGGGAGGCGGAAGTGAGTTGACGGAAGAGGAGAGCGAGGTGTTCAAACAAGCCAGGTACGTGGACTGCGTTTTCAGGGAGGGCGAGCTGCTGTTTGTTCCCGCTGGCTGGTGGCATTATGTCCGGAGCTTGGAGACAAGCTTTAGTGTTAGCTTCTGGTGGAATTAGAGGATATCCATCCACAGAGTTAAGCTCTGGTCTGGCCGTGCTTGGACGACAAAAGCCGTACATTTTGGCTTCCGGTACACTCTTAAAAATCTGGCCGGAGCGTCTATATAATCTGGCCTACCAATTTTTTTCGCGGGGGATATCGAAACCGAAATCGAACCTTTGGAGACAGGTAGCAATATTAGACAATCATCAACATAACATCACTACTAGAAAATACACCAAATCACCATGCAAATACGTCTCCTCCTCCTCCTCCTCCTCCCGTTCACCACCGCCCCTTCCATAGCATCCCTCCAGCCCTTCCACCATACAAACAGCACAAAGCCCGCAGTCCCCGCCATCGACCTCTCGCGCTGGCAGTCACTGCTACCAGACAACACCCCACTCTCGCACCTCTCCATCCCCGGGACCCACGACACGATGTCATACCCAAAACCACCCCGCCACTCTCTACCATTCACATCACAAACCCAAACCCTCCCCCTCTCCACCCAGCTTCTCTCCGGGATCCGGTACCTGGACCTGCGCCTGCAGCACCACAAAGACCGCTTCGTGCTGCACCACGGGGCGGTATACTTGCACTTCGACCTGCCGAGCGTGCTGCACATAATCGAGGAGTTCTTCTCGGGCCCCGGCGCAAAGGAGACCCTCATCGTCCGCGCCGCCTGCAATAACTGCCACTACTGCCTTCAGAGCCGCTTCCGCAATACCCGCAGCTTCCTGGACACGGCGATGGCGTACGCCTACGGCGACGTGAGCACGGCGGAGTGGTTCCAAAGGCGGGTGTACTTCCCCCCACCTAGCCGCAGCGGCAGCGGCGAGGGGGAGGAGGGGGAGGGGACAGAGCTGTGGGTGCCGACGCTCGGCGAGACGCGGGGGAAAGTCGTGTTCGTACAGGATTTCCCTAACGGCGAGGAGCCGTGGGGCGCCATCAACTGGCACGACCGGGAGCAAGTGCAGATCCAGGACCTGTGGGACCTCAAGTTCCGCAGCTTCCTCAGCAAGAAGGTCGCCGCCATCAAGAAGTTCTTCTTGGAGACCGTGTGGCCACTGCATGATCCACCCCCGCCGCCGCCGCCGCCGCCGCCGGAAGACGGGGTTACCCGCGTCATCGTCCGCGTCCACGTCCAGCCCCCGGAGCCCGCAAAACCCACAAAACCCAAAAAGCCGCCAAAGCACAAGCACCAGCACCCGCCGCCCCCGCCCCCTTTGCCCCCGCCGCTCCAGCCGCAGCCGCAGCCCCCGCCGCCGCTAACGATCAACCACCTCTCGGGCTCGGGGCTGCTGTGCTGCACGCCGGCGCAGACGAGCCGGTATGTGTACAAGACGCTGTACGAGTGGTTACGTCACGGCTGGGACGGGGGCGGCGGAAGGCCGTTGGGAATCGTCGCTGCGGACTATGTCACCACTAATGTGGCGCGGGTCATTGTTGAGAAGAATTTTTTGAAGGGGGGCGCTGGAGAGGGTGTGGATGTGGATTTTAGATGGGGGTTCTGGGAGGACGGGTGGAGGCAGATGGTGGAGGGGAGGGCTTGTTAGGAATGGGGTGTGTTTGGGCGAGGGAGGGAGGGAGCGGCGATCTGTGGAGTATGTATGATGTATCAGGGAAGAAGTATGTGAGTGGAATAGGTAAATGAGGAGGCATGGTTGACTACCATTCCGTTGCGTACTCAGAATGGCTACTCTCTATTGAATCTTGACGTTATCCATTGCCACAAGTCCTCAAAGCATCCTCTCCATTCCATCGTGGCATGGTACACATCTCGAGTGTCCTAACTATCCCAATGCCAGCCAAAACCATCCATCCATCCATCCATCCATCCATCCATCATTAAAGTCTCTCTCCATCCCCTCCCCTCTCCCCCCCTCCCCTCCATCTCTCCAAAACACGAATGGGGTATCAGACAACAACAACAACAGCACAAACATAGACACAGAGAGAAACGAAACGAAACGAAAGGGGCAAGAAAGGGCAGGGCAGGAAAGGGCAGGGCAGGAAAGCCAAGTAAAAGTAAGGCAAGAAGTAGTAACTAAAGCTTTAATAAAAGACCGATTTATGGACAAGAAAAAGACAAGAAAGCAACGAAACAAAGCCCCCGCCGCCCCCGCCGCCCCGCCCCCCACGTCTCCCTACGATCTGATCCGATCGCACACCCCCATCCATCCATCCATCCATCCATCCATTCATCCGCACACGCCTCCCAAAACGCCTCCCAAAATCGCTGAAAAAAACGAAAAAACATCCCAAAGAAGAAGAAGAAGAAAGAAACAAGCAGAAGAAGAAGTACATATCCCCCACGCCAAAGGCCAAAGTGTCTAGAGTAGTCGAGTAGAGCAGAACAAGAAAGAAAGAAAGAATGATGGTTCGGAGAAGGAGGCGCGGAGAAAAGGGGGAAGGGGGGGACATTAAACTCATGCCTAACAGCAGCAGCCAAAATCGACGCCATGCCAAAATCAACAAAAAAAAACAACTCATGATACCAATTCGATGCCCTTGCTCAGACCCCGGATCTCGTCGTCATCGAGCGCCGAGATCCACAGGCACCGCTCGCAGACACCGTCAACGGCCACGAATGAGTATTTATGGCTGGCCTCGATCAAGCGCAGTAGGCGCTTGACGATCGCGGCCGTCATGCGGTGGCGCTCAAAGTTTACTAGCGGCTGCATGTTTGGTACTGCGAAGTGGATTAGTGGTGGCCGTTGTGCGTTGAGGATGAGATCGTGCGTGAAAAGGCCTGGGGAGTCATTAGTTAGTTATTCCGTCAAAGCTAGGCTGAGCTGAGCTGGATGATGCATACCAACAAACGGAATACATCCGGATTCTCCAGTGACCTTTTCCATTTCAACCCGGAGATTGTGGAAGTTCCTGACGGGCTGAACGAGAGCTTCTAGTTCCCTGAACGTGTGCATCTCGGCCGCACTGACTAGCTGCCACGTTTTACGCAGCCGTGCGATGTCGGCGGTGAGAAGCGCGATCGTGATCTGATACATCGTTGCGTAGTTGTACATCTGTCGGGCGTGCGCGGCAATGTGTATCAGTTTTACGATCGTCCTGGCCCTCTCGTCGATGGATTTTGTCATGACGACTTCCGAGCGAGCCCATCTGCACATCTATCGCGCAATTGTTAGCACACCGAATCGGCAGTACGCTCTGAATTACGGGCATAATTACCAGATTGAAGCGTGCGATCACCACCTCGACGCCTTTGATGTCCCTCGAATTTAGAAGCTCGACCCAATCTTTGACATCGGTATCCGCCTGGCTCCAGCTCAACTCCACGAGCTCCTTCCAATCGATCTCCAATAACGCATCTTTCTCGATCAGGGTGAACTGTTTTGCAAGGAGCTCCGAATCGTAGGCCAGTATGAACGGCAGATGTATTGCTGTCGGCTCAAGGATTGCACTTTCACGGCTCCGCCTTGGTGTCTCTGTTTGTCTTGTACTCTGGCTATGCGGCGATACGTCGATATTACCAGGCGCAGACCGTGGAGTGTGTCTGGGAGTCCGGAACGAATCACCAGAAGTCCTGTTGGGCAACGAAAGAGCTTGCTCCAATGTTAAAGGCGGGGAGGGAGGATGTCGGAGCGGGTGGGATGGTATTCCCAACTCTTGTATGATTGTCCCTGGAGTGGCCGAAGGATACGTGCCGTTTGCGGAACCCTGCTGAACCATTCCGAACGATAGTTCCGACGACAGTTGGCTTGCATTATCGTCATCGTCATCATCGTCATCATCATCATTGCCCGGATATGGGGATTCCAGGTGGGTTTCCAACTTGGAATCCACATGGCTGAGGTCCATCCCACGATCCCCGGCCCTACTGCCACCGAACTTACCTCCACCGAATGCATTGATGGAAAGGCCTCTCTCCAGAATTCGGATCGAATCCTCGGATTCTTCACGTACAAGATCGCTCCGATTACTCGAAGTATTCCCATCAATCATCGGCGGAGTTTCCAAGGGGTGTTGATCCAAGACCTGTTTATGCCTTCTCCTCAATCGTCTGTTGTGTTCGGGGCCATCATAACCATCATCCTCGTCCTCATCATCCTCCTCGTCCTCATCGTCGTCGTCCACGCCGTCGTATCCAGGTTCACTGACCACAACCAATGACGAATCCATCTCCCTGCTTCCCAATCTTGCCATGCTCATACGGAAGTTGAACGTCGGCGAAGTGTCACCACTCCGCTTGCGTTGGTAAGTTCCTTCAAGTTTGGCCAGGGCCACCTCCAAGCCTCCATCGTCATCCTCATCATCTGGTAGCTCGCGCAACATCTGAACTCCGGCCTCGAAAGATGCTCTGGCGTCGGCAACAGGTGCCTCGCCCGGACCCACCGCTTCCTCTGCAGACTCGTCGACTGTCGGTTCCTGCGGACAAGTCGCACCGCCATTTTTGCCCATAGCACCGAGTGAGACAACCCCAACAGCAATGGGATGAGGTCCGGAGACTTCCGAAGAACAGGTTGCAGGCGAGAAGGCTCTCTGTCGAGGCCGCGACTGGAGTTCCGCGCGCAGGTCTTCTTCGAGGGAAAATGGAGCTGTAGCGATTGATCCGGTGGACATGGGTCTGGGCTGGTCGAGATCGCCAACATGAGCTGCCGCCCGCAAATTCCCGCCAGGCCGCCGTCGCAGCAAGCCACGGGCAGGAAGGATATCCTCATTATCTCTCGCAAACGATCGAAACTCATTGAATTCTGAGATATTATCCATGGGTGTGCTGAACTGGCTCAGCATGGAATTGACCCGGTTGATCGAGAAGGACCGCGCAGAATGCAAAGACCGAACATCCACACCTGTACGATGGATGAACGAAGAGTTTTCGTCAATATTTCCGATATGCCGCATATACGGAGACGGAGTTCTTTCGAACGAGAACGATTTGCTGCGCCGCACCAATAACGACCGGGTTTCCATCGTAGGCGCCGGGGAAGGTGTTGCCTCTTTCCTCTCCACCACGAGCGGTTGTACGATGGAATTCTGGCTTGAGCCATCAGGCTCCGACTCATCCGCCAGAAAGGACATTCCACCAAGCAAGCTTGTCGGTCTGTTTTGAGGAGACGGGTTGCGTGGCGAAGCGCTAATAGTTGACGGCGAGTCCAAAAAGTCCTTGCGGTCTATTTGGCTTGCGAATGAATGTCGCGGATCCTCATCATTGTCCCCGATTTCGCTGATATTACTTCCTACTTCGGCCAACAGATCTGTTTTGCTGCCATCCACCGCGCCATCCATCCCCCTGAGACTGGAGAGGTCGCCGTCTCGCGACGCTTCGTCCCCCGATGTAACCGCGGCGCTACTTTCGTGCCGTCCCTGGGTGTTTTCTGCTGCCATCATCGCTCTCTGGAATGCATCCACAGCACCGGCTCCCAGAAGGTCAACTCTGGCCACTTTACCATCACCAGACGTTCCCATCCCGAGCCTTGATGCGTTTGCTGCTAGGGTTTCGATTGCGCTCATGTGCGAGCGTGTTGACGATGACCTAGATATGTGCTCGTTTGAGACAGCTGCAGACTTATCGCCCCGGCTGACTGAAAGCTGCGAAGTCGATTTACCTCCCAAAGCTTTGCGCACGCTCCCGAATAACCTCTTCATCCCGGGAGCATTGGTGGCTTTATTCGGAATGGTCAGATGTTTCTCTGACGGTCTCATCGGGCGGATTGCCGCGCTGCCACTGGAGCTGCTCGCCGGTAGATCAAAGTTGAAGCTTGCAAACTCATTGACAGGAGTCGAAGGGGCGATAACTTCCACAAATGCTGGAGTGGGCGGGAAGCGATTTCCTCTGACGAGAGATCCGGCATACGGGAGAGCCATAAGGAGGTGAGTCGACTTTGCTATCGAGTTTGGCAACGGTAGAGGATATCGATGATCCCGAAGTGCATCAGAGAATGATCCCGAACGTTTGTGAGGCCCACCAGGTAGTTTATGCTTCGTTGACAGATTGTTGGAGGAGGATGCTTTCCTCACCTCCGGCTGGCTCGGTGAAATCGGTGCTGAAGCACTCGATTTCGAGTGAACCGTGGAACGGGTCCGAGACTGCAGCGTGGAGTTGTTTCCTGTTTTGCTGCCGTCTCTCTTTTCTATCATCGTTGCAGCACGGCGCTGGATAACATCTCGAATGAAAGATTCTGTACCAGAGCTGTTATCGGGTTGCACGATATCCAGCCTTGGTGGAGGAGTTGTAAGTTGCGATACCCTGAGCATGGTGGACTGCGGTCGTTGTAATGTTTCCTCCCTCGTCCCCGGTGGTCCACCAGGTTTTATGTCCTCGTCAACGTTGGCGTCAGGGTTGTCCATGTTATCCCAATAGAGTGCACACGTCCTCCTCCAACATTTCTTCAGTTCGCCGATGATTTTTAGATCAGAAGCATTGCCGTTGGCTCGGACAGCATGCGTGAGGTCGTTCAGTATCTTGACGAACTCCTGGCGGAAAACAAGAGACGGCACAAAATCGTCTGCAAAGTAATTCAAAAGCCAGTGCCGAATGGCGACGAACGTCCGCACCCGGACGACCTTCCCTGTATCATCGCCTCTATCTATCGCCCATCGCAGCCGCGCTACAAGATGGGCGGCCAAATCGCGAGCATTCATGAATAGGCGGTAAGTGAGGAAGAAGTCTGACAGTAGGTGGTAGTCGACGAAGGCTGCGGACGTAATTTGGGCTATTATTCTTGCCGGTATGGCTGCGCTGATCTCCTGCCGTGCATCGTATCTGACTATCGCTTGATCTTCAGAACCCGGTGGAAACGAAAGTCTGTCGTAGATCTCAGGGTTGATATCGGCGGGGGCATGCGTCGAAGGAATAGGCGGAGAGGGAATTGGCGGGAAAGTGTTCATGGCCGACGAGGGCACCAGAGGAGATGGTGACAGTGCCTGTGGTATCGATGGCAGAGAACTCATTCTGTGCATTCCCCCATATGAAAATGATGTGGCCATCGGCGAATTGCCATCACGGGAGGAGAAGGCGGGTGAGAGCGATCTTGGATCGACACTCGGCCAAAGCCAACGTCCGTCTATGTGCTGAGACGTTGCACGGGACGATCCCATTTCTCCGATCGTCGATGGGAGGTGGAGACTCGAGGAACCGTAAAGAAATGGCGTACCGCCGGGTGAGAATCGCGGAGAACCAAGATTATAGTGCGGTATCTGTACTTCTAAAGAATGGAATGCGTTCTGATGTCCAGCGGTTCGCGGCCGGACACCCTCGGGTGCAGGCCCGTCGCACTGATCTATCAATATCTGAAGTGTAGGACCAGCCGAGCCTCCATTAGGATGGAAGCGCTCGTCCACGGTGCTGTACGAACGTGACCGCTGGTGACGGGTAGGCGCTACCGGCGGGGAGGACTTTATGTATGGATTATTTTCCCTATTACGCTCGACCGCGGGGTTCAAACTAGCAGTGGGCGTCCTGGGGGGAGAAGCTTGACAAGATTCGTCGTAGGCATGCTGTGGCAACCCGACCATGGCCCGCTCTCTCCGGCGCTCCTCGATTTCCTCGGCGGAATTCGGGGGTGTCGTGGGCAGCGACGCAAAGTTATGCTGGTGCTGCTGCTGAAGCTCATGCGCAGGTCTTATTACGGGCCTAGCCAAAAACGCGATGTCAGAATGTTCCATCTCGTCCGATCATGTCTGTAGGTGCGAGTGGATAGCGGTGTGCATCGACAATCCATCGGTGCGGAATACGTGCCCGAGCAACCGGCAAATAGATGTCCGTCTATATTAGGTAACCATACCTCAGATATATTAGTCCGTTACTGACATTCCCGACTGTAAACTGCTGCCCTCGATCCGCACGGTATTGGGTCCCCGAAACGTTTATCGCTGCCGGAGCGCCCTTTGCTCGCGGCCATGCGCGTTCGCGCTGCGCAGGTGCTTCATTCCGTCGTCTTCGTTCCGGGCTTGTAGTAGAGATAGTAGTGGTGGTAGTGGGTTCGGCGGCAGCGGCAATGGTGCGATCTCGTTGTTGTTTTCGAGGGCCCTGATGTAGTGACGCACCTCTCGGTGGGAATGGCGATTGATCTCCCATTGGGTTGCCGAACGACAAAGGTGTAGATACGACAGAGATATAGCGGCTGGGCAATAGAGTGGGGAAGGGAGGTCCGGGTCGATGGGGGAGGAGGAGGTGGAGGAGGAGGAGCCGGGGGGGGGGGCGGGATGGGGGAGGCCACGGCGGAAGGAGCGCGCGCGAGGTGGAGGAGGCCCCTAAGAGGCCGCCCCAGTTGTGTAGCGCCTCAGGACGGACGACTCGACTCGGTCACGGAGTTTCTGGTGTATCGTTGAGCTGAGGGGCTGCACCCACAATGGGGCTACGAGTCCGAGTCCGAGGTAACGCGATGGATGCGGTGCGATGAGGTGCCCGCGGGGGTGGAGTAGTCGGGACAAGCCCAAGCACTAGAGTCGAGTCGAGTCGAGTCGACTTTCGCTGACAGCCACGCGCAGGGCCTGCCTTACGGATGGGATGTTGGTTGGGATGCTGCTTGGTGGTTCGGAATGGGGCCGAGTGCGGATAAGTTGCTGTGTTGCGAGGGCTATCTATCAAACGACATACCGGGACGGTGCTGTGGAGGCCGATGGAGGATGGAGAAGGCAGAAGTCGAGTCCCGTCACGGGCCTACTCTAGGCATAGGCAACACGGGCAATCTGCGCGCGTAGGCGGCATGGCTGCAGCAGTGGATTACCTACATCTTATTCTGGCAAGGGCCCTGGTCGGTTGGGAGCATTACTCCACCTGGCAGCTGGTAGTATGAAGCACGTATTTACTTGGACTACGGTACTACTATAAGTACATGTTGGAGAATTCGAACAAGTGAAGAGGACGGTTCTCACATTGAAACCGAGATTCCGATCTTCTTCTTTTGAATTCTTCGCCCAACTTCTTGCAAGGACACCTGTTTCGCTTTCTTCAGCTTTTGTGGCCATAGAGTACACATGGGGTATCCTGTATGTACTACGGGATGTATACCCAGATGCGTGCCAGCTCTTGTTTGCAACAACGTTCGCTCCCAAATTGCACCGACGTACACGGTCTCCATTACTCCCTCGCCGACAATGAGAGGAGGGACAATCGAAAGGATTTTGAAAACGACAAAGAAGTCCAAGTTATCCGAGCTCCAGGGAAAAAGGGCAACACATAAGCGCAGAAATAGGCAGTAAGCACCGCATTTATCGGTACGGCGTCGGGAATGAGGCACGACGAAGAGGCTCATCCATGATACCTAGTAGGCAGCTACAGATGGCCAGGGGGGCCGAACCGGGGACAATATTTAAAGGTCAGCAAAGAACATCGCACATAATTGCACGATTCTCGAGAACACTGCGAATCCTAGACTTGCGTACCGTATGATACGTCAACTGGGAACAGCATGCCCTTCGGTTCTCGCATCGAGATTGCTATGTACATACCCTTATTAATATACAATGCTCGTCAACACATTGCACATTACCATCACTGCCCGGTCACTAGAGTAGGTATGCCGTCCGCCGCCACCGCTTCACTAGGCCAAGTCTGATTGATGGATGGAACTTTTGCCTCGGTATTCCTATCTTACCCACCACCACCACCACCACGTTGTGCGCTTACCACACGATAATGAATGTCGCACAGTGGGAGGGTGCGTCGGATACATACCAGTACGCTCAATGGCCAGCTGCAGAGTGTGGGAGCTACACATATGCAAGCGGATACTCTACGTACCCACTCGAGCGTCGAGCCCACTGTGCTGCAGAGAAGTCCACCCCAAGTATGTAGGCTGCGGCCTGGGCAGGATCGATTCTGCGATCGCCCAGGATGGGGTGTCATGCTCGAAGAAAGCTCGTCCGGCTCTGTACTCTGAGACTACAGTTGGAAGGCTAAAAAGCCACGAGTGAGGAAGTAGTGACGCGAGTGAGAATCGGTGACAGACGTCCCAGCCGGGCGGGGGATGGGCGGGAGGGGAAGGGCGCTTATGTACGGACAGCATCACCACGTGGAATCTCATCGGAACATCACAAGGTCTGCTTGCCTTGCCTTTCCGCTCTAACTAGTATGCAGCGCGCGTATAAACAAAGAAGGTCGGAGGTGAACGGGAGAAGAGCCGGAGTTTCTGCGGCAAGGAAGGAACGAAGGGCTCGTTTTTATTCACTGTTCCCCAGCGTTCCCTTTCACAATACTAATACATAACACCGTGATGTCTTCTAAAGACCCTGAATTTCCGGATATCTGGATTGAGCCAGCAAGGAATGATCAATGAGACACTCGCTTGAGTGGAGAGGACTACATACTGCCAGATGAGGAATGGTTGTTGTGGGTAGTAGGTCTTCATACTCCACTCTACAGCACTCTAGAAGCAACACGAGGGAATTAAAGTGCCTATGGGCATCGTCGAGCTCACAAACATGGGTACATCCGCACACAGAACCTAGGTAATGAAGTGCCTACTGGTACACTATATCTGGCAAAGACTCCAGGACCTTCCAGCTTTACATAACCGGCGGACTTGTGGCATGGCGTTGTGAGTAATTTACTTTCCGCAACAACAGCCAATTCCCACGGCGAAACAGCCACTACGGTCCCCGTCGTATTAGCTACTCTAGTATGCAACTCGATTGGCGCCGGATTGGGGTAACCATCCGTTATTGCATTGGAAAATGCCGTTCGGCGGTTGTTGCTGTGGGGAAGTCAGCTAGAACAAACCGTCCACATGCACTTGGGTCGATGGAGGGGGACTGAAACGCCAAGAAACGCATTACACCTCAACTCCAACAGCTCCTCACAGTTTGTTGGAGCACTCAGCACCGTGTTCTAACAACTACCCAAACTCCACTCACTCAACCTTGCCCCACCCCCCGTTCTACTCTACATAACTCAGCTCATCGAACCATCGCCGCAAATACCACTGCTACAAATACTGCGACAGCTCTAGTTACCGCCGCCCCACCGTCAATCCAATTGCTCCGGCTACACAAGCGAAGGGAACGGTCCCACAGCTGCACCTTTGAACTACCCCCGCCTCCCCCCGCCTCCATCGCAACTCCACTCGCCACTCGCCGCCCGCAACGATGTCTTTCCTCTTCAGCCGAAACCGTCAGAAGACGCCGCAGGAGCTTGTTCGAGCATTGAAGGATACCATCATGCGGCTGGACACGCCGCTGGAGAAACGTCGGGTATGAGGGTTTATCGAGGACGTGTTGGAGCGTGTAGCTGACGATCTCTCGCAGGCGTCCGAGGAAGCCACGAGGTTGCTCTCTCAGCTCAAGGTGATCCTACAGGGAAACACGGGTTTGTATCCCCCATCCCAGTCCTGACCTCTGGCGACCCACCCTGTAGCTTAATTCGGGAGTTAATGTCAAGACTGTGCAGAGTCCGAACCCTTGCCCGACCAAGTGCAAGCTCTCTCCGACGAAGTCATCAACAAAGACCTCCTCCCGCTTCTCGCAGAGAATCTCTTCCGATTGGATTTTGAGGTACTACAATGCCACGACCAAGGGCCAGCGCACTCTTGCTAACAGGAAATCCAGGCCAAAAAAGATGTTGTAGCGCTCTTCAACGGTCTCCTCCGTTACCGCCCACCGGTCGGACACTTTGGTCAACACGTCTCCCCTCTCTACCCCGTCGTCGAATACCTCAGCCATGACGTCAACGAGCGCAACCGCAGGAACCCCCCGGATACCCTCCGGACGCTGGTCGAGCACTACAAGTATCACCCGGAGGTTGCCAACAACTGTGGCACAATCCTGCGCGAGAGCTTCAAGCATGAGTCGCTGGCAAGGGTTGTGCTGTATGGAGAGATGTTCTGGGATTTCTTCGACTATGTGCAGGGAGGAAGCTTCGACATAGCTAGCGATGCCTTCTCAACGTTTAGAGTACGTGCGAGGTGTCGGGGGACACTGGTACTACGGGTTGAAACGTGCTGACAGCGGTAGGAACTTCTGACAAGGAACAAGAAGCTAGTAGCCGAATTCTTGAGCGAAAGACAGGTCGATGTATATATGCCAAGTGTCGCATCGTGAATACCATCCGACGGCTAACGGTCATAGTTCTTCCTTCGATATAATACCCTGTTGGTATCGTCGAACTACGTCACCAAGCGACAGTCGATCAAACTGCTCGGCGAAATCCTTTTGGATCGCGCAAACTACAATGTGATGCTGGAATACGTCGACTCACCGGAGCATCTCAAGTTGACCATGAACCTTCTGAGAGATAAGAGCAAGAACATCCAATACGAAGCATTCCACGTCTTCAAAGTGAGTCCATGACCGACAATGCACCGATGCAGCTGGCTGACCCGAGGCAGGTTTTCGTGGCCAATCCTAAGAAATCGAAGGCGGTGCAAGACATCCTGTTGAAGAACCGCGAGAAGCTTCTGGTATTCCTGCCCAAGTTCCATGAAGAACGAAAGGGTAAGTAACTATCCACGGTGTAGGTGATCGAACATGCCCCCGACTAAGACATTCTCACAGACGACGAGCAGTTTATAGACGAAAAGAGTTTTCTGATGAAGCAGATCCGAGATCTGGGACAGCAGCCCCACCATCCCCAGCAGCAGTACTCGCATTCTGGTATGGTGTCGGCTTAGTGTCCCTGGTCCCATTGTGTGTCTGCCATTGTGGCCTCGAGGCATGGAATGTGGAGGGGGGTTTACTGTGCGATTGGGAGGCGATGGCATGGCAATCAATCAATGGTGCGATGGAAGGGCGGCAGTTCGTAACGAGTACGGTGTTAACATGGCGTTAATGTTTTGATAGTACTTCTTTTCTCTCTTGGAACGTGGAGTGCGGGGCGGGGGGTTGTTGGGGTCTGTTTCGACGTTACTTGTAGTAAGCGTGTGTGCCGTATACCCACTTTTATTTCCTTTTTACGTGTACTTTTTTCTTTTCTTTCTTTCTATTGTCCTGTACGCTTTTCATTCTTTTCTTCCTAGTTATCGGATGTGGAGTTGCTTCGTTAAGGGGAGTCACAGTTGTATGTACTGTACATATCATACCTTGACGGCTGTTCCGGCGGCCGGCATGATGTGCTTGACACTTGTGCTTCTATGAATATCGGTATGTAGTTTCGGGGATTGATAAGATCTTCAAAGAACACGGCGTTTCTGCACCTTGCCCTGGCTCTTGTCGCCCTATCATTCGTGGCGGCTTTGTGCACTGTGCACTGTGCAGGCGTGTGGGGGCAGAGCGAAGACCATGGCTTCTCACTCGAAGACCTTGTACCTTGGGCCTTGGACCGGTAGCATTCTTTCTGGCTGGTGCTTTGGATGCTTCTTCTCAGTGGTGGCGTATGCAATAAATACTATGTGTAAACGTAGCTTCTATTCGCAGATGTTGGTATGCACCTACAGGCTACTTGATCCTACACGGCTCGGGAATCGTCAGCTCAGCTCAGCTCTGGCTTGCTGCGGTTCCACAGATGCCTGATGATTCTGGACCGCAGGCCGGTGAGTCGTATACCAATCGTGAATACCGATTGCAGATAATGGTCGATACGCCCTGCTTTGGATGGATGAAACTGGCCATCCTCGTTAGTTTTCGTCGTACCCGGACGAAAAGTTGTTGCTTCTACACAGCTGCGGCCTGTCTTGTATCACCCATATGCACAACGACAAAGACCCCCGCAGATCAATCCCATCAAGACCAGAACCGGCGAATCCAAGAGTGGCTATTGGCTGGAGGCAGCTTGAAATTTTAATATCGGTGACTGCGGCAGATCGGTCAGGTCAATGCTTGCCATTTACTCTAGGGCTGCAGTCGGACCCTATTCTGTGTACCGGCGTGCTAGTGAGCGTCCACGGCGGCCAGATCATTAGCTGCAACAGTCCGCTTGCCTCATCCGCGGCCTCAGCCAGGTACTCTACAGGGACCTGTTCCTCAAAGACATAAATTGGCTGTTTCCGTACCTTCTTTCCACAGATTCGATTTAATCGCTTCTCTAGATACTCGGAACCTTGAGCTTACCTGCCCCGCGTTTTTTTACCCCACCATACCATGCCTAGCGAAAACGCTCCCTCCTCCGTCACGCACGCCTCCGGAGCTGCAGATGATGGCGCTCCCGATCTCCGTCTGCTCCACTACAACGACGTCTACCACATCGACCAAGGGTATTCAGACCTCAATCCATCCCATGATTCATCCCCAATCCCCCTCCAATCCACCCCCCAGTTCGCCCAGCACCCGGCTGTCTAACTAGCTAACGCCTCCCCCACAGCTCGAAAGACCCCGTCGGCGGCGCGGCGCGCTTCGTCTCTCTCGTGACGCACTACCGGTCCTCGCCCACGTACACCTCACAGCCGGAGCTACTAACCTTCTTTTCCGGCGATGCATTCAACCCGTCCCTCGAGTCCTCAGTGACCAAGGGGCGGCACATGGTTCCGATCCTGAACGCGATCAAAACTTCCGTGGCATGTCTGGGCAACCACGATCTCGACTTCGGCGTCGAGCAGTTCGGCCACCTCAGGGATCTGTGCAACTTCCCGTGGCTGTGCGCGAATGTCGAGGATCCCGCGCTCGGCGAGGGCGTGAGTATTGCGGGGCTGCCGAAGACGGTTATGCTACAGGCTTCAAATGGGATTAAGGTCGGCGTCATTGGACTCGTCGAGAGAGAGTGGCTCGATACTATCAACTCCCTGCCACCGGGACTCGTCTATACCAGTGCGGCGGTGGCGGCGAAGAAGTGGGCGCCGGGGCTGCGCGAGCAGGGCGCTGAGATTGTTATTGCTGTCAGCCATATGCGTGAACCGAATGATGTGCGTACCTACCTAACTATCTCGTCACGCGGAGGGAATCGCTGCTGATGAGGAAAGATCAAACTGGCCAATAACATCCCGGAGGGCCTTATTGATATCGTCCTTGGAGGGTATGGCTCCTGCATGAAGTTTGGCGGTTGAACTGGCTAGCTTACAAGTGTGGTAGACACGATCACCATTACGCTCATGAGGTCGTCAATGGTTGCCATATCATCAGATCTGGTTGCGACTTCAGGCAGCTCTCCTATATTGAGGCGCGCAAGAAGAGCAGTACCGATCCTGACGCTACGGGTTGGCACTTTGACATCGTGCGGCGGGATATCACGAGAGATGTGTAAGCTGTGGTAATCACTGTATTTATGGATGGATGGTGGCTAACCTCAATGGCAGGCCTGAGGATCCTCACACTGCTCACATCGTCAACAAGCTCACAGTCGGTCTGAAATCAAAGCTTGCGAAGCCCATTGGCGTGAGCATGGTGCCTTTGGATGCTCGGTTCAGCACTATCAGGTGCAAGGAATCGAACTACGCCAACTTTGTGTACGTTCGGCCCAGTCAACCGCGGATCAAATTGATATGAACACTGATGGCGATTTGCATACAGGTGCGATCTGATGAGGTTCTACTACAACACCGATTGTGCGATGATGGCCGGCGGAACCATGCGAGGAGACCAGATCTATCCCCCCGGTGTCATGAAGCTCGGCGACATCATCAACTGCTTCCCGTTCGAAGACCCGGTGGTCGTGGTTAGACTACCCGGATCGTCGATTGTCAAGGCCCTCGAGAACGGTGTTTCGAAGTTGCCGGCGTACGAAGGTGGGGGGGGGGGGGGGGGGGGGGGGGGGGGGTTCTATAGGTTTCTGGGCAGCAAATACTGATGTGACTACATAGGCCGCTTCGCCCACGTATCGGGAATCAAGTTCACCTACGATTCTTCTCTTCCAGAGGGTTCTAGGGTCTTGTCTTGCAAGATCGGAGAGGATGATGTTGTACCGGACAAGAAGTACACCCTTGCAACCAGGTACCTACGAAAGTTCAACATATCAAGGAGGGGGCAGGTTTGCTAATTGAAATCGAAGGGGCTACATGAGCCGAGGAAAGGACGGATACGAGGCCCTATCCGTAGAGCAGGGAGCGGAGAGCGTCGTGGACGACGAGAGCGGAGTGCTGATCTCGATGGTGCTCCGGCAATACCTCCTATCGCTCAAAGTGATCGGGAAGTGGTCTCGTGGCGGCTTCTACCGCAAGTTCTTCGGGCCCATGAAGAAGGACATGAGCGCGAAGGGAAGTCTCGTGCAGTCATCGGAAGCAGCCCAGCACGAGGATCTCGACGACGACGACCAGACCAGTGGAAGCGAGATCGAGAACGACGAGATCGAGCGCGAAGACGATGACGCACCGAAGGCGGCGCAATCGGATGAGACCGACCATCTTAAGATGAAAATGGGCACGAAGTGGGCACGCCTGGCGAAAGTTGGTTCGAGCACTCAGAATGTCGACTGGACTAGTGCTATCTCGCCCGCGGTCGAGGGGAGGATTGTCGATGTCAGGCAGGAGTGATTTACGTCTGTATAGTACTCTAGTCATGCAATACCAATACGCTCTGTAGCCTATCATGAGATGGTGAATTGAGGCTTGGGATTTCATTCAGTGAGAACTTTGGTGTAACATGTAGTTTGAGTTGTGTCTGGCCGCTCCGGTCTGTACCCATTGAGCGTGGGGGGAGTGCCAAGCTAGGAGCTCAACCGGGAGAGCATCATCAATCAACAAACGCGAGCGCCATTGCAACCACCACCACCACCACCCACCTCCTCCGACCCCACACCACGCCATCGTCTCGATACGGAATGGACGCATCGGTCTACAACGCGCTCGACAATCTGGAGCGCAACATCCAGCAGCTGCTCGAGTCCGTAGCGTCGTACAACCCCTCCCCGGCCGGCGCCGTAGCGCTCGTGCAGTCGGACGATGAGCTCACGTTGACGTTGAAGAAACGTGAGTCTCCGCGCACCTTCCCTTCCCCTTCCCCTTCCACATACTGATCCGTCTTATCCTATGCCCATACATAGTGGAAGAGCACCAGCAAGCCACGCAGCGAATCCTCACACTCAGTGCGACCAGCGCCTTGCTCGACTCGCAGCTGACGTCGCTGCTGTCGACACTCTCGGCCGCGCGCCAGCAGCTGCTCGCTACCCCGTCAACCCGCTTCACAGTCCCCCCGCGCGAAGTTGCTTACAACGACCTCCTCGCCTACGCTGCGAAGATCTCGAAATACTCCCGCCCGTCGAATCCCGCCGCCTTCCGGAAGCACGCCAGCGCTGTGCTGCCGCAGTTGCAGGTGCAGCAGCTAGAGGAGGGGGTGGGGGTGGGGGAGGGAGGGGGAAAGGTGAAGGTGGAGGAGGAGGAGCAGGAGCAGCAGGAGCAGCAGGAGCCGCCCCCCCTGGGCATGTCAGAGGAGGAGTTCACGTCGCTCGATCCGTCGGGGAACCTACAGTTCACGCCGTGGCCAAATGAGATCTTGATGCGGCAGGGCGCGCTACAGGCCGTTGGCCCGGATGGCGTGCCCGAGGATATGGTGCCCGAGGCCGAGAGGAGGAAGATCGAGGAGGAGGGGGAGAAGGTGCGCAGGGAGATGGAGAGGGTTGTTAATGGCGGACCGAGCGACGCAGACGAGAAGGCCCGCAGGAATAGTGGTTATGCACACCCCGCCCCCCAGCGCGATAGACCCCCCGCTCCTCTCCCGCCGCCACCGCCGCCCCCGCAGGGCTCCCTCACGTTTGATTTGTGGCAGGATGAGGGCGATGATGATTAGGCGATTAGGCCCGCGGAGTGGGGGATACCATGTTTTCCAATTCTTCTGTATGCAAGTTCTACTGCGAAGTCGGGCAGTCGTAATGCAATGCCACTGCACCACTGCTATATATGTAGAACTTAGGGCGACGTCCCGCTTCGTTCGTTCGTTGATCTCGTGTGTAAATCAAGCTACAATAAGAAAGTCGCGAACCGACAACTTACAAGGCTAAGGCTGCGGCTCCCACTCCAACTAAACTCCACATCCTACCACCGCCGCCGCCCATCAATCTCACCCACCCCACCACCCCACACCACCACAACCAAGCACCGACGACCATGGCCATATCCGCAACGCTCTCGCTCCTCCCGCGCGCCGACGGCTCCGCAACGTTCAAATGCGGCCTCACCAGCGCGATCGCCTCGGTCTCAGGACCAATGGAGGTGCGACCGCGCGACGAGCTACCAGACAAGACATTTATCGAGGTGATAGTGCGGCCCGCGGTGGGTGTCGGCGGTTAGCATCTCCCTCCTTCCCCCCCACCCTCCCCCCCACTCCCCCCCCCCTAGCTAACACCCGCAGGCACGCACGAACGCGCCCTCGAATCGCTCCTCCTCTCCGCGCTGTCGCCGCTGATAATCCGCACGCACCATCCACGCACCCTGCTGCAGATCAATGTGCAGATTGTCGAGGCTGCGGATCACACCGACGCTACTGCGCTGCTGCCCGTCGCTATCAATGCTGCCAGTCTGGCCCTTGTTGATGCGGGCGTGCCGTTGAGGAGTTTGTTGGTTGCTACGACGGTGGGGTTGGATGAACAAGGCGGGGTGATGAGGGGAGAGGGGGAGGGGGGGAGGGCACAGGTGGGGAAGGAGGGGAGTAGGCATGTACTTGGGTTTGCGAGGGGGGAGTGTGTATTCGTTGAGAGTCTTGGCACGTTTGATGAGCAAGGGTTTGCCAATGCGCTGCTGTGGGGAAGGGAGGAGTGTGCTATGGACGGCGGCGGTGCGGAGGGGATGGGGGTGGACGGGAAGTGCAAGGCTGAGACGGTGGGCGCCGTGGTTCGTCGCGCCGTCGAGAGGAAGGTCGCTGCGGATATGAGGTGGAAGGAATAGGAAGAGTTGAAGAGTTGAAGGGCTACTTTCTTGATTTCTTTCGGGCGGGCGGGCGGGGGGATACGGCGTTCTTGTCTTGCGGGTTATTGGTGGGAAAAGTTTGCTTGCTTTGTGAGGGTTGGAGTTGGATCTTCGTATCATGTTTTTCCGTTGACCGTCATTGTGAAAGTGCTGGTTGTCATTACCACGGTACTTACGCAGCTTGATCATCTGCGCCATGCTATGCTACATGGTCGACCGCTGCTACCCTCCAATAATATGCTCCACATAATATCACCATTTCAGTCCTCAAGGTTGTAAAAACACGGTCCAGACTTTAAGGTTCACATCTGACCCCCGGGGGTTTCTGAGGAACGGCTGCTGTTGTTATGCACTCGTGGGAAGTATTTAGCCGATGCGAGATCAGTGTCAATTCTCGAGGCACATTTTGTCTGTACGGGCCATGGAGCGTATCGGATGTACTCCGAGGGAGTCACTATTTTTTACACACGCCCGGTGTTGGGGGGATTGATTATTGCAGCGCACGAAGCACTTCCCTCTTTCTCATATACGGTAGTACCAGTTGCGCCGCGGCTGAGTACGGATGGGCCGGTAGTTAGCACAGCGTTTCTGCTGCTGGACGAGGTGCAACAGTAAGGTGGAGCACCTGTTAAATCAAGCGTCCAAAGACCCGGCGCTGCCCTGGTAGGTAAAGGCAGTTCCTCGCCGTCTCGTTCTATCTCTGGCTCTCGCTCTGGTGGAGTAATGTCTTGCTCCTATGGAGCGCTTCGACATCTGGAGAAGAAGGAAAGCCTTGGATATGCCTTTCACAGAGCTCCGGGAGTGAGGGATGGACATGAGGGGAAAGGAAAGGGGAGGACATGGCACTCCGTTTAGCTGGTGCAAAGAGGAGCTTACCATCTGGTAAGATACCGTAATTTTGCTTGCTTAAAATATAGGGTTCCTTTGTCCAGCGGGAGCTTGTATACCAGTAGCGGGTGGCTGCGAGTGATGTGCGCTCCCACTTCGAGTGATATACTGTGAATCTGTTTCCGCCGACCTTCGACGCCTTCAAAACCACCGCCGACTCATCGCCATCTCCATCACACCATCCGACTCACCTTCCTTTTTCTCGGCGCCCTCCCTCCACCACAGTCCTCACCGCCGAGATGCCACCATCATGGAAAGAGCGAACCGGCAACCCAGCGCTGATACGCCCTTTAGCCCAACCCCACAAGATCGTTACACTAGACGCATCTAGCGCAGGTCCTTAGCTCCCCCATCACCGCCACTACCACCACCGTCGCGTATTCCCGCCGAAACGTGCGCTGACAGTCCCACCCTGTATACAGACATCATGCTCAAGAACGTGCGCCTGCGCCTGTTCCCGACGACGACGTACAATTCTCTCGTGTGGAGTGCCGAGGGAGCGCTCGCACTCGCCGCTGGGGAGAACGTGGTTATTCTGGTAATTATCTTCTTTTTTTCTTTTTTTCTTCTTTCTTTTTTACAGGTAGCTGATCGACGCCCGAGCGAGCGCACAGGTCCCAAAACTCACTGGACAAGATGGCCGGCAGACCGACAAGAAGTCGCCGCAGTTCTGGCACACCGTCGCCGACATGCGGCAGCTGATCATCGACGCCATGGACGAAGAGATCAAGCCGGCACCCGGTAAGTTCCATTCCATTCAATTGCTTCCCCCGCCAAACACAATCCGTTCACTCTGACGTCTCCAGCGCGCATATACTCGATCGGCGAAGAGCAAGGCCCGGGGTACGCATACCAGATCGCGTGGTCGCCGCTGGGGATGTCGCGCTACCGCCGGTGCCTCCTCGCCGTCATCGCCACGAACCACAAGATGTACATCTTTGAGCCGGTCGGCCATGTCGGCAGCGACATGAGGGTCCTCTACGATCTCACGCCCCTGTCGTTTAAGTTCCAGGACGAGAAAGATGCGGACGAGAAAGAGAAGGAGATCAGGACCCGTCTAAGATCGAGGTGTATGGGTATGGCTTGGAGTCTGGCCTGCAGGACAGACGAGAATCGCTGGGGTGAGTCGTTGATCGCCGTGGCGAACGATCATCTCGAGATGATATTTTTTAGGTGGGTTTTACTGTCTGGTCTTTGGCACGGGAAGGGTGAGGGCTAATGAGGTCTTGGGGTGATGTAGGATCGGACAAGGCTTGCAGGAAATGGTGGCCGTTCTTAAGCCTTTTCCCGCACGTTATGTCGCGAAGTACATTGGCACGCGGGCCACGCACTTCAAGGCACTGCGCTGGAGCCCTTGGAGACAGTGCGACAAGAAGAAATGTGAGTGTTATTTCGTGTGTGGGGCTATATCCAAAAGGGCAGGAGTCTGATGGATTTACGCAGACTACGCTTTCCTGGCATACTTCTGGGACGGCAAGGCAGTGGTGTCGAGAGTGACCCTTGATGTGGAAGATGCTTCGGAGCCGCAGGTCTCGATTGGTTCGGAACCAATGCTGCTCGGCAAGGCAATGTCGAACTTGCATCCCATCTTCTCGGTGGCTTTTGCTCCCGAGTTGATCGCGGGCCGGATAGTCGCTGCGTATGCCGCTCAGCTGTGTACCGTGGTGCTGACCTTCGACGAGGATGGATCTATTCTGTCGAGGGAAGAGTTCGAGAACACCTTTGTCGAGAGATGTTCAGGTATGTCGGGAGAATTGTGTTCTTGTCGCGATCAGACGAGTTTAACCTGGAGAATAGGCCTTGACTTTGCACCAACGAATGAACCCGATACCGTGATAGTTCAGGTCCTGACCAGCCAGGGCAAGTCACAGATCATCACCTACAAGATCCCCACCACAGCGTCTCCGTCGCCCTCCGCTTCTACCTCGACGATCCAGGGCATTGCGACGGTCCAAGGCACTGATGACGCAGCCATAAAAGACGCACCTACCGAAGAGCTCGAAAACGTGCAGACTACCTGGCCCATGACACTTGCAGAGATGAAGCAGGACTACATGTCCGAATATGACATTACCAAGGCACAGGTACGCACCTACGGTCTTGCCGTGTCACCGCTCGGTGGCATCACCGCCATTGCCGCTAGCTTCCATCCCAAGGTCAGCCTGGAGTATACCACGGCGCACACCGAGAGGACGACCTTGATCTTCGGATTCGCGCCCGGATCGAGCGGGTGTTGGAGCAGTTTTGGGTTCACCCCCAAAGGCGCACTGCCAAATCCCATCACTACAGCCACCGAGGCGGTGATCCTGGAATCAGTGGCACTGGGCAAGCCCTTCACGTCGCGCATCCACGCAGCCATTTCGGCCGTGACAGCAGACGGAAATCCCCGCTTGGAGGGTATAACCTTCACCCCCGGCGAAGACGAGGAAGAGTTCCTGGCGAAGCACACGCTGCTCTCCAAACCGCTCAACGCGCTCCGCTACACGGCCGCGCTGAAGCGAATCGCCCAGATGAACCACAAGTACGAGCTCCTCCCGGAGAACCCGCACATCATCGCCGCGTCGATCGTGTCCGCACTCTCCGTTCCGCGCGACCTCTGCACCGACGCCGATTCCAAGCGAATCCTGTACTCCCTCGCGTGCATCGGGATAATGGGGCTATACTCCTCGTCGATAATCCTGGGCCTAGCCGAGTCCGCCTTCACCTGGCTCAGCACGCACACGCCCGACGAAGTCCGCTTCGACCTCGAGCTGAGCATTGTCGCGATGCGCCGCCGCGCCGGCAACTCCGACGAACTGCCCGTCAGCGTCGAGAACGGCTTCGTCAGCTCGTTCGAGCGCTGCGTCATCTGCGCCGCCGGCATGGTCTGGCGCGATCTCAGGATCGCAGAGTGCACCGCCGGCCACAGGTTCAGCCGCTGCGCTATCACGTTCCTGCCAATTACCGATCCCATGGCCACCAGGGAGTGCTCGGTGTGCGCGCGCACAGTGCTCGGCGCTGACGTCGAGGATCAGGAGGTGGCGGGACTGGCGGCCACGGTGTTTGGTGGCTGGGAAACGTGTTTGCTCTGCGGAGGCAGGTATTGGGCCGAGGAGAGTTGATGGATGATGATATTCATCATACTTACTGCCATTTGACGACATATGTTCAGTATGCAGCCCTGTGGTTACAGGATGTGGTTTAGCGTACATAGTAGCAATGAACCCTGTCGTCGATCTCCCGCAGTCTGAGTTTTTGTGGATCGTGAAAATTCCGTTCGTGAAATGTGCACAACCTCCGTAGATCAGCAGTGAAAGATGTCGAAGCATCCGTCAAGCACGCATGTTTCGTGTAATCCCGCAAGGGTACGAGAGTGGTGGAGTTCCGCAGCATATGTAGACGCCAGCGCACTCACCATACCGAAGAATCCCTCCAACGATCCGCCAGCTTGTATAAGTGCTCTGTGTAATCGCTATCTATGGAGTTATTCTTTCTCCATGTAGAGTAGAATCCTTAAAGTAAGCCTTACCCCTGCCTTTCCTTGCGCACAACGAATGAGCAGTACGAGGCCGAAGGGGTGTGCGAATCCCCATTGACCCTCCAGGCGCCGCCTCCGCCCGCGCCTACACTTCAAAGAGCGCTTTTCCGCCTCAGCAGACTCCGCGCACGGCTTGGATTACCATTCTCATTTCCGAGCCAAGCCTGGTGAAGCCTTAGAGTGGTTGTGATTGGCCAACAGCATCATTCCAACCCCACTGCCAAGCCAAATCACTCTTTGAGCTCCGTTGTTCCCCACCTGGCACCAGCAACACGCGCGCTTTCACCCACCCACCAAGCTCCAACCCCGCAACACGCGCAACTCCGCAACACGCGCGCCGCTCCTCGCTGCCCAGCCCAGCCCAGCCTAGCGGCGATCTTGTTTTGCCCGTATTCCACACCACCATCACCACCACCAACAACACCACCACCCGCACCACCACCACCACACCACTGCCACTACCCGCACCACCACCAGCAATCCAAAATGTCCACCCAACCGCCGCTTCAAGTACCTCCCCTCGCCCCACCCCGCCCTCCCCACCCTCCCTCCCTCCCCTCCCACCCTCCCTCCCTCCCCTCCCACCCCGCCGCCTCCCCACCCTCTCCCATCCCGCTGACACCCCCCAGGCTCCACTCCCCCCCAAACCCCCCGCCCCCTTACCCACCGACACTACAACAACAAACGACAAAAAGCGCCCCCCACCATCCCCGTCCCCACCCTCCCCCACGTCACCCACGCCCGCGGACCTCGGCCTGCCACTGTCGTTCGGCAGTACCAAGCGCGCGCGTGGCGGAGCTGAAGATGCGGCATTTTATCGCGGCGCTGGTGGGGGCGCGGGCGGGAGAGGGGGTGAGAGAGGTGGTGCGGGGGGGAGAGGGGGTGCAAGTGGGAGAGGTGGTGGCAGCGGGAGTAATACCGTTCTCGTTGGGGTGAGAGGCGCAACTTCCGCTACGGGGGCAGCGGTGGTGGGTGAGGGGGTGGATGGCGGGGCGCAGGAGGGCGGGGAGAGGGGTGGGCGTACGGACCGCGGTGCTGGTGGGAGGGGAAGGGGAAGGGGTGAGAATAGGGGTGGGAGAGGCGGTGGTGGCAGGGACGGCGGTGATAGCGGCAGGGGCCGTGGCGACAGCTGGGTGGAGTATCCGTGGGTCAAACCGAGCTTTACGCAGAACCCGTGGGCGGCGTTGGAGCGCCGGATGGGCGTGGAGAGTGCTTGGTGCGAATGAGATTGAATGAGGAGTGAGTTGAATGATACCATGTGAATGATGATTTGCACGTGCTATGTACAGGAATTGATTCTGCTCAGGCGGTAACAGAAGGGGCGGATCAATGTCTTCACCGAAAGACTGAGGTTGTGATTAAAAGACTGCGAATGGAAACAAGTACAAGTACACATGCCGCTAGCACACCGCAACAAGGCAAGGAGAAAACAATGGAGCCACCCCGACCGTACGAATGAATTGAACAAGCAGGCAAACCAGTAGAGTAGTAGAGTAGTAGGCAGAGCCAAGTAAATATCATCGCAAGCACAGAAAAACGTGGTATGTAGCAACAGAAGCAGCAGAAGCAGCAGCAGCAGAAGCAGACAAAACATCGACTCCGAAAAACAACAAGCGGAAAGCCCATGCGCCGGAGCCAAGAAACACCCTACCCACCGGCCCAAATCCAAACTGCAAAACAAAGAAAAAGAACCTTCCGCGGGAAGGTGCGTTCCCGTCCGCCATCCCGTTGCCGTCGATCTGTGATCTGTTCATGATGGCGGCGGGATTCGATCACGTGCCATATTGTATTCTACCGGATATCTGCAGCGGAGCGGGTGGACATGTTAGTCGTGGACAGCAGACGAGCAAACAGAACAGACAGCAAACGGGTCCATTGTCATCGCCAGGGAGAGACTCACTTCCGTTCCGTTTTTTGCTTCAGAACCCTAGACGGAGAAGGTTAGAAGTTAAAGGCGCAAGGGGATGTGGGATGGGACAACGTACCTGACTTTGCGGTGCACATAGTCCAGGTCCGCCTTGACTTCCTTTGCGATCTTCATGCCCTCGACGAAGCTCCTACGAGTCTCCGCGAGCCGTGCCTGAGCCTCCTCCTGCAGTGCGATGAGCTCCCGAGTCTTACTGTTGAGCATACCGGACCTGTATATTCGGGAGAGGTTAGACAGGGGACGAGACTCGAGCGAGCGAGCGAATGAAACTCAATGGCATCAAGGAAGGGCGAGGGGGTGGGGAGACTATATACGTCTGAGCTTGCATGGCCAAACTGCGATCCAATTGCAGCGGATCGAAGGCGCCAGCCAGTCGCTGCGTCAGCATGTCGACCATGTCGACCTCCCCACCAGCCAAGCTCTCATCCTCGGCGCTACCGGCATAGCTGGAGCTCGAGATGGAAGACGTGCTGATGCTGGCGGCGCGGCCGTAGGATGAGGTTGGTGACGAGGCCGTGTAGGGAATGTAGCTGTTGTCGCCGGGAGAGCCGGAGGAAGGAGTGTGTGCGTGGTGGTGGTGATGGTGCGGTTTTGGGAGGACGTGGTGGTCGTGCGGAAGGCCAGTGTAGCTGGGCGCGCGAGGACGTGATGAAGGCGGCGGTGGTGCGCGGTGCGAGTAGTGGTGTGAACTCATGGAGGCGATTGGGGGAGGGGGGGTTTAGGTTTGTGCTGGGATTCGGGATTCGGCGAATTGGTGCTGGCTTGCTTGCTTGCTACTAGTAGCTTCTGGGGTTGCTTGCTTCTTCCTCTTCTTCTTCAACTGACCGACTGCACAGAAACAGCCCTCAATCCGAGCAGAACGAAAACACTGGAGAATGGAGAGATCAACAGCCCGTGGGTGAATAGCTGGACGGAGAGACAAACAACCTGACTGGCCGACTGGAGGAAACGGAGAGGAGGGAAGCGACGAATGACTTAAATAAGGAGCTGAGTAATGCCTGGTATGTATACAAGAACGGTAAAGATGCGAAGCTGATGGTGCGATAGAACAATACAAGGAGGTAATAGACGATGAGGTGAGGAGAGAGCGAAGCAAGAGAATGACAAGCAGGATCCGGGAGGAGGGGGGGACAGTGCGTTCGCTCGTTCGTTCAGCCAACAAGACAGACAGCCGGGACCGGACTGACAAACTACCACCACCAGCAGCAGCACTATTTACCACTATCACTACCCTATAGCCCCCGCTTGCCTCGTCTCGCTGCAAGAAGTTCGGGGGAGGGTGGTGGTGACGATAGGACAGCAAGCCGGCTGCTGCTGGGCTGTTCCCTTCCACGGCGTTTCAGGATATTTCTGCCTGGATTATCGGGCCGCCGTAGGGAGCGGAGTGGAGGTGAAGGTGGAGGTGGAGGTGGATGTGGAGTTGAAGGCGGAGGTGGAGACGGAGGTGGAGGCGGAGGCGCGCGCGGAGGTGAGGCTCGAGGCGATGTGGACCAGTTCACTGGAGACGGCGAAGCATCATTCACCAGTGGTGGTTGCGAGGTGACGAAGATAGTACCTGGGCGGGTATCGGTGCGAGGGAGGGAGGCAGAGGAGGACAGAGAGCGCCCGGGGTGGGGGGTTTGCGTGCAAGAGCTAGGTACAGCACCGTACCTACCTCTCTTCCCTTCCCTTCGGATATGACGAAACGGGGAAGCAGAAAGTGGAGAGGAATTGGGACCCGACAGGCGCGGCAATGCAGTCTGGCGAATTGGTGCGCATGGAAGTGAACACCACCGCCCACACATATGGCATGGCCACCCAGTTGGAACGGGGAACTAGGGATGGGCCACCACCTTTTTGCCGCTTGCACTTTTTGGAGGGAGGGTGTGCGGAGGAGGGCGTTTAGTTACGCACTGCTGAGACACGGCCGAACGATTTTCGATTCAATCACAGCCCCACGCCCACGCTCGATAGAGTTGCGAGCATCTATCGTGGCCATGAGCTGTCAAGACTCAGGATGAACGGAAAAAGAAAAGAAACGTGGGAGAAAAAAAGTGAGGGAAAAGCAAAAGGGAAAAGGGAAAAAAAAGTCTATGACGATCTCCATTTCACAATCTGCTCGACAATCTCCAGCCGATAGTTACGGCAGACAGACCACACTCATCTCACCAGCTCGCCGGCTGGCTGGTGGGGGGCTAGAACGGCCAGCAGCACGCCGACTCTGCACGCAGCGAAAAGCATCACGAATTCATTCAGAGATCTCTGCCAAATGGCAATGTAAGTTTCCAGCTGTCAAAAGCACACCTACTCATCCGACGTCCAGATGCAGAGTTATGATACGTAGCCTACCGCCACCCACGTCCCCTCGTTCTGGCTGAGGGGCTACATACCGTTGACAGGGCGTCGAACAAACACCAAACAGCGGGCTACGTGTAGCATCCGGTCCTGCACAATGCCAGTCCAGTCGCAGGGAGGACGATCCGAAGGGGAATAAGCGACTCCAGTTGTTTTGTTTCGCTGGCCCTCGGCCCACCCCTGCCCGCATGATGAATCTGCTGAGATATGATGTCCCGCACATGGATAGTTACTCTACAGGGGTATCAATCTGAAAAGGACGACACGGATTTCTGGGACGGCGGACACATCGATATCGCTGCCTGCCTGCTGCCTGCTGCACGTATGTATGGGTCAAGCGGGACTTTGCTGCTTGCTGGCTGCTGGCGAGCGACGTGCAGATTCTGGAAAACTCCCCGCGTACTTGCCTGTGCCAGTGAGTGGTGCACACAGTACCGTAGATAGCTTTTCCGGGGAAGAATGCCAACAACGCAGGAGAAGCTTCCCTCCCTTCTTCTTCCTTCCCCTCCAAACCATGCAGCCCGCCGGCAACGTGTTCTGCCGTGGAAAAAAAAAGAAGAAAAAGAAGAAAAATTTCAACAGTATTTTCGCGAGCGGAGGATGCGCTGTTCATCCATCTTACACGTCGTCGTTGTCCTCGTCGTCGTCAATGTTCTGCTTTGTTTGCTTTTCTGGGCTGAACCGATGCTTCCCTCTCTGAGTCTCTGGGCGGACGACGGAAACCACCGTTGCATTTCGCTCGTCCGTCCGCAATAGTCACTTGCCTTGCAGCATCATCACGGGTCGAGGGCAATTCGACAACAGAAACAGGACCCTCCCTAGAGGGCCCTTCTTCCCTTTCTCCCTTCCTTCCTTCCTCTCTCCATCTCTGCATGCTCACGTGTTGTACATCCCACCCTCCCATTCACCAACCCATCCGTCCACATCCACGACCACAGCCTCGGATTCTCGGTATCGCGGTATCACGGTATCGCAGCTGCAATCTCACCGCCTCACCTCCTCACATATGTATCCCCACACACCTAGCACACCCAGTACCCAACCCACGGCGCTGACTCCTATTACGGCCATCGTGGTTACATGTGTGGGTAGATGGATCATGGAAGGGCGAGTGTTTCGGGGAGTCGAAGGAGACACCCCCGGCCTCCGGGGTGACGGGGCCTGGAAAGTAACACGTGACGGGAGGGTGGATAAGTACCCAGACAAACATCCAGCTCTCCCAGTCTATGATACATATGAAACCCTCGAGCTCCAGCAGCAGCAAGAACCGCTGGGAAAGGCGCAAGTAGAGGTGTAGCTGTAGCTGTGCTAGATACGGTACCTACATACAGTAGGTATCAGTGTATCGGCCGTCTCCGCCACCGCCCGTGGGGTCGCCTGAGAATACCTACCTCCTACCTCCTACTCTAAGTGATTATGGTCACGAGAGAGAGAGCGCGCGGCTGGAATATCCGAACCGTGGGATGGGACCTGAGATCGCACTGACGGATGGGTGTACTCTACTACTCCCCGGATGGATGGGTGTGTGGCCGTACATACCCATTGGGAAGCTCGGCTTACAAGTATAGTATAGGTAGTAGAGTGGGGTGGGCTCGTCGCTCGTCGCTCGTCGCACGCCGTGAGATTTTGTGGTATGTATTGTACTCATGTATGTATCAGCGGTGGTATGTATCAGCGGTGAGGAAATACTACAGGCTTCACCTTGCAATTGCTTATTCCCTAGGTGCGGTTTTGCCACCGAGGGAAGGATGGGGGTCTGTGCGAGTGCGGCGAGCGAGGAAGGTTGAGAATCCTGTCAGCTCTGGCTGGCTGTGATGGTGGCTTGAGTTTGGAACTTTGCGTGGATGTGGGTGGGTGGGTTGGTGGGGTTGGTTATGCTTGGAAGAGTGGGAGAGAGGTGGATAGGTTTCAGCCTCTTGACTTTGGAGTATCTTGGAAGCTTCGGTGATGATTCACATTGAAATTCGCTGGCTCTGGTTGAAAAGTGACATGACTGGAGTTGCATGACACAGCACTCGGCATTTTACGCATGGAAACATTCGACACTGTTCGCGATAGCATTATTACCGCCTGCGTCTAACTTCTCTTCCCCCTCCCTCTGCCACCTCCCCTCCCACCTCCCTTCCCACCACCCCTCCCACCCCGCTTCCCACCCTTTCCTCTCCCACCACTCCCGCCCGTGATGCTCTCCACATCCCTCTTACTCAGCACCAGGGCACCATCCTTAAACCTCCCAACACCGGGATTATCCACGCCGGCCATCCCGCCCCTCTTCCGTTTCTTGAACTCCTTAACCTCCTTCTCCAGGACGATGCCAGACTCCTTCGCCTCCCTCCGCCGCTTCTTCTCGCGCTCCACTTTCTTCCCCTCAATCCCCTTCTTCATGTGCATCGCCATCTTCTGTGGCGCCACATCCCGCTTCCCGCCCAGAGCTTCGATCCGTATGTTCAGCGCCTTGAGGCGCGCCGCGCCAGTCGCCTCGAGCGACCCGTCGCGCCCGCCCTCAAGCAGATGCGACTCGCGGAGCAGCTGCTGCAGCGCTAAGTCGTTCTTTAGGTTCAGCGCCTCATCTTCGCCCGCGTCGTCGTCTTTCTCTTCTGGTGATTTGCCGTGGGCGCGGCCGGCAGGTGCGGTGGTCGTGGGTGTGGGCGCGAGCAGTGAGGGCGGTTTCGAGGACTGTGGTCAATCAATTAGCCTTCCCATCTAACCCCATCCCATTAAGCTGCGCAGTGAATACGTACCATAAACGCCCTCTTCTCCCGCTTCGACAGTGATTCTGTTCTCCGCTTATCAGCGCCATGGAACACTGCCACAACACCGTCATCCTCCCAGTCGTCCTCTTCGCTGTCATCCCCGCTGTCCTCATCCCCACTGTCCTCTTCATCGTCCTCCCCCTCACCCTCCAAGCCATCGTCCTCATCTTCGTTGGAGCCATCATCAATCACCACCTCCTTCTTCCCCTTGTCCTTCCCCTTTGTAGCGGGTGTAGCAGGCGTAGCAACAGGCGCCCCCTCCAGCGCCCCAAACCGCTCCTCAAAATGCCGTCGTAGAGCGTCTCTTGCTGCAGCTTCAGCTGCCCCATCTTCCCCGTCCCTGTCCCCATCTTTGCCGCCGTTGTCGGAGGGCGCCCGGCGCGTACGTTTTGCTGGTCGGTCCTTCATTGCGGGTGTACGTAAAAGCGTGGTGGAAATATGCAATGAGATTGGGGGAGGTGGCGGGGGGATGGCCGTCGGGGGCGGTGGTGCACGGGAGTGTGGGGCGGGGTGGGGAGAGCAAGGCAGCCAAGCGAAGAAATCGAGAAAATTTTAAGGTGCGGCTCTGTGTGCTGTCGGTCGCGACTCGCGCTGGGTTAGCGGGATTGGGCACTGGCGGGGAAGGGAAAGGGGGGACGGGATTTGCACGTGCTCTGTAGAACTCCGCTCATGCCGTACTTACATAATTCGGACCGGCGGATTCTTGTGGCAGGAGAGGTACCAGGAGCTGTCAATAAGTGGTGCCTCACACCATTACGAACTATAAGCACTAGTCTATATAAGGAGAGCACTCAGCCAGGTACAATGAAATAAGTGAGTGGTTGTGACTAAGTTGCTTGGGGGAAAACGCTAAGCTGTATGGGGAAAAGACTGGTGAGGCAGCACTTACCCTTACACCCGAGTACAATGACTCTGATATGCACATTCTCGACTTGTAGGCCTCATCTTCGAGAAGGTACGGTAGCGCAGTTCGTCCTAAGTTTCAGCATCTAGGGAATCTGTGCGTAAAACCCGTTTGCGGATCGAGGCATATAACCGATGCTACTCGTATATACCTTGAACAATTGTCTTCCCGTGAGTCGTCGACAGTGCTTCGGAGGAAGGACACCTTTTTTGGAAGTTTAACATCCCTCATAACGCAGCACTCGTCGCCACGTTGAAGTCTTCTATAAACTTACTCGCAAAGCTGACAGTCTGGATCTGTAACTGTCATGATTTAGGGTAATAAGGTTGAATGTAACGATGCTTAGACGGACAGAAAAAAGACAAAAAAAGGCTGGCACATGGATATCGGGAAGTGTGCTTCACCATAGTCGAGATTGGCTGTATGCGGATAATGGTGAAACATACGTAGAAACAAGGCTGACACGCTTCGTTGGAACGGCGAGCGTTTATCGTTGGAGCTATCGTTACGGCTGGAGAAATGAGAGCTGCGCGCGTATACGAAACCGCGAGCTTTACGTGTCGTTGCCAGGTATTATCACGGCAATAATCTGACGAATCATGATCTCACGGCGCCCTCCATCTGACGGTTTTGATGAAAGCAATCCGTCGCCCAATTCACAGTATTCCAGCTCGTACCACACAACGCAGTAAAAAAAACAGTCGAAAGTTTGTTTAAAACCAATTCAAGTCTCCCGTGGTGAACAAGCCGGTTTTTTTCCCCTTCCTGATGACGAACAAACAAAGTGCGAGCAAACGAGAATTTGTATTTTAAGATGCCCCCCAGCCAGAACTCCGAATGTACATCATCGTCGTCGACAGGTAATCGATCGTTTACCTGTACTGTTGGGGTGTCAATCGCTGTCGCTCGCGCGAGTGGAGGAGTGCGTGGGTGGGTGCGTACCTTGATGAAACCGATGTCGGTTGACTTCTCACGGAAGCACTGACGGCAGACGTTGAGTCCGTACTTGCGGATGAGACCGGCCTTGTGGGCACAGACGCGGCTGTAGTTCGATGATCCGTCAGTTCAATGTTCGAGAGCTAGCGCTTGGAGGAGCTCCGGGTGTGGTGGTGATGGTGATGGTGATGATGGAGGTGGGGGGTGCCTACCATTGCCTGCTTCCCTTTCCGTAGGTGCGGGGACGGGAGTACCAAACGTTCTCGTGGGCCATGGTGGGTGTTTAGGTATCTGCAATTCCAGTCTCAGCCCACCACCCTTCATTCATCCCAATTTATCCCCAATTTCCCCATCCCATTCCCATCCCGCATCTCGCCTCCCCACTCTCTTTCTCTCTCTCTCCAAATTCCTCCAGATTGTCGGGAAAAATAACATACTCGTTTTCGTGTGAAGAAACGGTTCGGTCGGGCGGCGGGGGTCGTTTGGCGTTGGTCGTTCGGTCGGTCGTTCGGTCGTCGGTCGTGCGTAAGGGGAGGGAATTCTTGTGTGTGTGCAAGAAAGACAGGGATTGTGGCGTTGGTGCGATTTAGCGGTTGTGTGGTGCGTCGGCCACAGTCAGCGAGGGCAGGAGCCCTTATCGCTCAGCTCGCGGAGCCGCATCTCTTATCGGCGACTAAGCGGGGGAACTGTCGCGTCCTCCCGCTCAGTCCATACAACACAACAGAGACGCGTCGAGCAGTATGGTATTTACGACCCCCTCCCACCCCCTGCCCGAGCTGTGAGATATATGGACTGACAAGAGCAGTCTAAAGATTCCGCCAGAACGCACGTCCACCTGTCTTCCGGGCGCATCGCGGACCTGTTCGAAGACTTCTGTCGCGACAAGCTTCCGGACGACGACATCTACGTTCCTCCGCACCACCAGCCGATTAATCCCGAAGATGAAGACGACGTGATCCCCGACCAACACGGTACGAACTAGCTGCCACCGCCACCACCCCCCTCCCTTATTCATCTCTTCCCCAACCCCTCGGCTTGCCGCTGACGCGCTACAAACAGCGGCTTTTGGAATCGCCCAGGCGCAGCAGAAGAAGCGTGAGCCGGCGTGGAAGGATCTCGGACTGCAGGACTTGATCGAGAGATACGCGGGTGCGGCTTCGTCGGCGACGGGATCCGGCTCCGGTGCGATCGGTATCGATTCGCCTAGGAAGATGCCGAGATAGGTGTTTATGGCCTGTGTATGGAGACGGGTTGCGCGTAATACTCTATTGATACCCCTACTTTTTATGCATTTTTTTCGAAGTTGTTTCCACTATACACCGGAACGTAGCCAGCGCTGCTTCTACCTGGGGCATTTCGTGGTGATGTCGAGGGTTTGATCGTCATTGATCTAAAGAGTGGGGCAGAGCAGATATGAGGTGGAGTGCTTTGCTATACGGAAGAACTTATCATATCAAGCGCTCAACGCATGGATATGGATATAGATATGGATTTCGACAGCCGTAGGCTCAGCAAAGATACTTATGTGGTAATGAGTGTGAGTGTGTATGAGCCCAGTGTTCTACATACCTAGTCCAGTCCAGTCCGTCCGGACCTATGGACGGGACTGGAATACTTCCCGTCCGTCCGGAGGTGTGTGCTGGACGGACTAGGTAGTCCACCGGTAAGGTCGGATGGGACGGACTGCAGTCGACTGCAGTCGACGACCAAGAATGATCAGTGAGGTTATTGAGGGCCATTCGCGCGCGGCCGCCCCAATGTGGTTCCAACAATTTCAACGACAATATTGAACAACATCGCCAACTCAGTCCCCGGAAGTTGAAACCGGCCCATCATGTCAATGCCCTCACTATGCTGGCTGAGAGCTGGGTAGACACTTTCGGTCCCATAGACTTAATAGTCGTGTATGAGGTATGCGCTGAAAAGAGCAGCTTTTTTCACTGTTGGACTGCAGTCGACCCCCATCCGGCGGACGGGATGGACTACCTACTTTTATCCCGTCCTCCAAAAGGAACGGACTTATCCCGTCCATGATCCCGTCCAGTCCGTCCGAGTCCGGACCATGTAGAACACTGGTATGAGCTGTGGCAACACTGTACAGCGGGACGACAGGGCGATACGGTACCTAACATAAGGCGGAAGTGTTCGGTCCGTGGACTCCCCGGTTACATAGACACGTGCCGATGCCGGATAGGAACACGGGACGAGTGATGTCCTCACGGGCGCTCGACCGGGGCGGCATACAGAAACCAGGGTAACATAATACCGGATAGATTTGGAATATTCCGAGCCGACTCCTGACAATATGGCGACAGCCCACCAGGCTTCGTCTATGTCCCCCCGCAGGTCTGGCAGGAACGACAATAAATTGATGTTCCCTCTCTCTCTCTCCGAGTCCCTGACAGACTCATATCCAGCATGTCGAGCCACCTACCAGGTGGAATTATTTGGATCATTATTTAATATGTATGTACATTATTTTCCCATCCCCGACCTAGGACGAAAAGATGGACTGGGGGAGGGGGGCGCATCATCGTTTCTCGTACAGTCCATCAGCCAAATCCGTACAAAACACATGCACAAACCGGGCCTGCCGTGGAGCCTGGCTGTGTATATCGCATGGTAAGAATCGCCCCCGATGCCTCCTTAACGCCGAGGGAACAAGCAATCCGTCGACGGAAATCTCTAATCAACCCTCCACCGCCGCCGTTCCCTCATACTATACTATCGTTCCTTCCGCTGCGACTATCCCTCGTAGCAGCCACGATCTGATCGGTGCTATCCGAGTTTGTATTTTTCCGCGAGAACATCTCCATCTCGACCAAGAAATCCGGCGGTATTGTTTGCGAATGTAGCCGCGAATGTAGTGGTGGTGGTAGAGGAGGAGGTGGCGGCGGTGGCGGCGAGGTCAGCGCCCGCTTCCCCCTGATGATCAGCTGCCGCACGGCAAATAGGCTCGTTGTGATCAGCGTTAGGTTGCACTCGATTATGGCGTACAGGCCCGAGGTGGTTGCTTCCCCTGGATAGGTGGTAGGTATGTTAACGGAAAGTGCTGGCAGAGGGGGGGGGGGGGGGGGGGAGGGGGGGACCCGGGAGGAAGGTGTACCTACATGTGAAATCATAGTTCTCCCAGTTGAAATCCAGCAACCACTTCAGCCGTAAGATGGAAGCCACCACGGCGATGCCGCCAAATAGCAGCATGAGCACAATCGTGATCTTGTCTCGCCGGGGTATGTTGATGGCGTAGATCACCGGCAGCGGCATGCAGTATATTACCACTGAGCCGACGAGGTTGCACCCGGCTTGGATCGCCAGTATGTCGTTCAGCCGTAGGGGACAGCCACTGGGGTAGTGCAGGACATCCCAGGCTTTGGAAATGGGATAGCACATGAATATACTTACCTGCAGAGTGTCAGTGTCAGTGGGGGTGAGATAATTGGGGGAAGGGGAGGCGTACGAAGAGGAGGATGATGGTGTAGATTATCACCACCCAGCTGGTGATCTTGATGCAGCGGCGGTGAGAAGGCTCCACTGATAATCCGTAGTAGAGTGCAAGAACGCTGAGCTTCACCGTGCTGGTGAGTTTGGGCTCCGTCAATTGACTTGGCCGGTGCGATATGGCTATCGATTTGCATGCGGTTGGATTCCTTACCATGGGGCCAAGGCACACGCAAAACTGGTGGCATATGCTAACTGAGGTTCATCTCATGTCAGTGAGGGACTCGGAATAGGTATGATGACCGTGGGACGAACCTTGAGTAGCCCCTCATAGCTCTGCAGAGGAACATCTTTGAGGTGCTTCCCGTAACCTTTTTCCAGCGAGAGGACCGTTAATGTCGAGTAGCCAAAGTTCACAATCTGGCAATCAAGGATCAGTAGGTGATTTGTATCCTTTCAGTAGGCAATAGTGAGGTGAGGTGAGGTGAGGTGAGGTAAGACAAGGTGAGGTGAACATACAACGGCGATGATAGCCAGCCAATCCTCACGGCCAAAGACCTTCAGTACACACGCCCTACAATATACTCTGTCCTCGTCTCCAGTCAGCGCCAAGAGACCTGTCAACACCAGAGTGAGCAATCCACCAGACTAACCTCAGCCCGACCACCACGGTCGACAACACCAAGAACACAATGAGAGTTCCCAAGAGTTTGGGAGCTCTGTTCGGGACGTTAGTATCGTCCATCCTTGAAGAGAACAGACAAGCGAGCACATGGCATGGGCATTCGCTACTTTAAATACCAAGCTCATTTTCAGGGGAGGGGGGGCGAACCAGAGCGCGGACTTTACCGAAGGCTGGCGATTCCTGCATTCCTGCATAACGTCGGCTTGTCCGGTAGCGAATTATGCAGAATCCGAGCGGATGCATAAGGCTAGATTGAATGCTCTCGTGCATTAGAGTCTGTAGCATTGATGCAGGAGTCTACACGGTGCCAAAGTCCTACGAAGCGGCTCTCTCAGATATCTATACCTACATGCTCTCATCTACGAACCGCCTCATGTAGATCCAACCAACCTACGATCGATGAAACGTGGTGATTCTCGCCCACACGGCTCTTCTATTACCCGCAGCCGACGTGGCGAGGAGCGTGAAGCCGGCTACGTATAGGACCATGGTGCTCGCTTGGATAATGACGGAATAACCAGGGACCCGAGTCATCCGCCGGGAGGTGGAAACCCGACCTCGTGGGGCCCACAGAGCCTCGGGTGAGAGGCGAGAAACGCACCGGGACGCGGGGTAGTTAACGGAGGTGGAGTGCTTCGACCTTGGGGCCCGGTTTTGCTTGCTCGTCTTGTTAAGCTCTGGGCTCTGTTTTTTGCTTGTGATTAGATGTTGCAATTGACGAGATATCTGCAATATTGATCTCCCCGAAATACGACTCCAACACAGTACGAATCATTAGAGTACTTGGGACCCCATGCAGAATGTTTGAGAGTCTCCGGGACCAATACCAAGGTTTGCGGTCTTAGTCGTGCGTTGCTAGCGAGTATGAGGAGATGATTGTATGTACGATCATCACTTCGCTTGGTGTCCATTAAGCAGACTGGGAACTTTACTAGTAGGTATTGAGGGACTAGTTCCCACTGGCGATCACACCAAAAGTAAGGCTTGTAGAGCACTTACGGTATATGGCCATATATCACAACAACTTCTGGCGATAACAATATCAGAGAAGTTTACGCCGAGCACCCCTGCCTACTTATGAAGGCCAACATGTCATTTCATTTTTTTGTATGCATAATTTTGGCGACAGAGTGGCTGAAGGGTATATGTCATATGCATTGCCCGGATCTCCCTACATAGCAGCCGTCAGGCCGAGAGCACGAAACAAGGGCCTTTCCACCACGAATGTTTCGGATCCGCACACCCCAGCACTGGAAAGCGACCTGCCATACCTTCGACAGCCCTGGAAGGCTATTATGTATGTAGGGGCCAGAGCGGAGGCAACGGTACGTAAGCAATAGCTGTAAGAGACGGTAGATATGGAGATAGTATTGTACAATCGAGGAGACGGACATGCCACTTTTCGCGCCACCGCCGCTCAGCCCACCCAGCACCGACGGTCAGTTAACCAAGTCCGAGGCTCGAGCCCATCCGATAGACTGGGGCGTGGTGAGAACCGGGCGCCGAGGAGGAGTTGGTGGTGGCAGAGGGAACGGGTGACGGTGGAGTCAGAAGCGACGGAGACTCGAGAGGGACAGGGACTTGGGACGGATGGTGGCAAGAAGCGGAGGATGGACAGGGTTGGATTTGATATCTGTCATTTCTCCCCATGTACCTACTAGGTATAGCCTGCGATGGAAGAGGGCTGGGCGGAGAGAAATATGTATTGGACATAGCAATGGAGAAGTTGAACCCAGTGCCCACGTCGAGCATTCAAACGAGGTCGAAGACAGTACTCATGATCCGACGAAGTCGAATGCAATGACGATGTAACGAAAAGTAAAAAATAAAAACAAAGAACCCCTATACCTCACTCTAGTACGGTAGGTAGTGTGTTCAAGTCTTATGTTCGTGAGATATATCCTGTCCATGACGTGGTCTGCAAACCGGCGCTTGACGATCTCGGGAGACTCACAGACTTGACACACTGAAGCAAACATGTGGGGGAGCTAGGGTTCCGTACTAAGCGTACCGATTGGTTGCCCAGTACCCGCTTCTCGTGCCGAAGATGGCGTGAACTTTGGCAAATACGGAGACCGAACTTCCAAGAACATCGTTTGACAGTTGACTTGGGCAAACGTTTCAAAAATACCCCCCGGCCCGGCGCACTGTTAACCAAGCAGTGGAAAGCATAGTACGGGAAATTATCTTACGTATGTCAATCAGGAAGAGAGAGAGAATGAGAGGGAGCACGCATAAGCACGCGACTGTCACCGGTAGTCACACCAACGTTACATCACAACTTCCGACGACAACTCATGACTGATCGATTTGCATGTACATGCATACGATACATACCGATACCTCTTTGAAGCCGAGCTTCACTACATGCAATCCGAACTTCATCACATGAAACCCTCACATACCTACTCTTCTTCGGCCGCATGGACAGTTCATTACCTTGCGGTGAGTACATAGCGCCAGCACAGTGGCTTCACGATGTTCAAACTTCAGCACAGATCTACATACAAGTCAAGAACTTGTGGGGGAACCAGACTTTGGGTCCGCCAGGGCAAACCTTCGGGACCAGCCGTCGTAGCCGTCGTCGTCGGGCTAGGCGTAGCTTTCTGATTAATCACACATGTGAACATACCTACCCTCCTAGCTCCAAGTCGGCTTGCTCTGCGACTTCACGCACGACCATTCCATTGATGCGGCTAGGCAGACTTTCTTTTTCCACATGACGGAGACGGAGGCTACGGTTAAGGCGCGGAGTACTTAGCCGGGAGGAGTTCCGGCCGGCGCCGCGGCTTCGAGCCTTGAGCTGCATAATCCATTCGAAACCGGTGCATAGATCCTTTGGACCGCCGGCACGCAATAATTCGATGGACCCATGTACTGCCTATGCGGTAGTAGATTCGGAGCCCGTCCAAGGAACTGGCGACGTCGGACGGCGATCGTGTCCGAGGACTGGTTCTCAACTTCAATGTTCAGCGACGATCCCGTACTCTGCCTACCTACGACGCTGGGCTGACTAGCGCGTTCTCGCCGGAGTGTGAAGCCCACCATCCTGGCCTGAAGTCGAGCTTCAACGTTCTCATATCCCCGGCCGCCTCACCGGTACCGGACAGATACATATGAACCACGGACCTGGGGACTGGAGATCAACAGCATCGAAACATGTACTCTATATACTCGAGCACCTTGGGACCGGAAGTGCCAGGATCCGCCAAGTACGCGTTGGAGCCGAGCAACTTCGGCTTTCGGCACGTGCGGAATGGTGGCTTGCATATCTTCCTACCACGTCCACTGCCGCGAACCTCGGCTCATGTCCCAGAAAAACAAGCTACAATGCCTAATATACGGACTCCCTACTTTCTGTTCATTCACCTCAATAACTTGTTCGAAGCTCCTACAAGCTCCTTCAAGCTCTCTCAAGCTCCCAGGAAATAAGCAACCGCCGATATGCCACCCCACGAACGCTCATCATCTTCAACCGGCACGATCAAAGCCGAGCCACCACTCGACAAAACCGTAGCTCCCATCGAGAACACCCTCCACTTGACACCGCTCTTCGAAATCGGTCCCAACATCTTCACCAACACTCGCAAGCTATGGCAGCCAGTCGGAGCCCGCGGCATCTACGGCGGCAGTGTCATTTCGCAGTCCCTCCTCGCCGCGCAGCTCACTGTGCCGTCCACCTTTGTCCCGCACAGCATGCACTGCTACTTCGTCCTCAGCGGAAACCCCCACATCCCCATCCTCTACCACGTCGACATTGTGCGCGAGGGCCGAAGCTTCCACACTCGCACCGTACAAGCGCGGCAGCGCGGCAAAGCGATCTTCACCATGACCTGCTCGTTCACCGTTCCGCAGGCGACCAAGATCGCCGAGAGCGATAACCCGGAGAAGCGGATCGTGCGCCACCAGCCGGTGTTTCCGACCGCGGACATCCGGCTGCCCGAGGAGTGCGAGAGCGAGTCGGATGTCATCGCCCGCCTGCTGAAGACCGGCCGCATCGACGAGGACATGGCGGCCGAGGGGATGAAGCGCTTTGAGCGCGACCCGTTCGAGTGGCGCGCTATCGGCGTCGGCCAGCGGAATCCAAAGGCGAAGATCCTCCACCCTGCGAGCACGTCACATCCTGACCCCTCGCTGCCGCCGGCCGAGAAGGTGATGCGCCAGTGGGTGCGCTCCAAAGCGCCGATTTCCGATCCGCTGTACGTCAACCCGGCACTAGCGTACTTCTCGGACTCGTGGTTCATCGGCACCGTGGGGAGGGTGAATTCCGCCGCGAGAAGGGATCGGGTCGGAATGATGGTTAGTCTCGACCATACCATCCACTTTCATGCCGGCGATAGGACAAAGGTCGATGAGTGGTTGCTCGTCGAGACGGAGTGTCCGTGGGCTGATGAGGAGCGCACCCTCGTCAGGATGCGCGTCTGGAGTGCCGATGGAACGCTGCTGGCGAGCTGTTTGCAGGAAGGAATGGTGAGGCTGAAGGATGGGAGGGAGGGCGAGGGGATGGAGGACGCCAGTAGCCCTGGGGCCCATACGCCGAAAGCGAACCTGTAGTTAGATGCTCGCTCGCTGTAGTTTTGGTTTCCGTTGGTATGTAGCGGTGCGGTTTTTGTTTTGGATTTGTGCAATGATACCGTGCGATGTGGGTTATTTCGATAAATTATATTTGTAGTTCTCTACGGACGAGCGTCGTTCGAAAAATGGTACATAACTTTCCCAGGTGCTATAGCCACTCCAGCCCGTGACCGCCACAGGCTCTTATGTATTCTTCATATGTGATCCTGTAGACTGTAGTTCACATCGATGAAACCCCACGTGCCTTTTTCGGGTTTTGGGGGGTTCACCAATGGCATGCAGCCCAGCTGGACTACCGTATGGCAATGTACAATACGCACTCTCGGGTCTCCCGGATTCTGTCTATATGTAGCACGGTCCAGATAACCGGCTCGGTGTATGTAATACATAGCAGCACGCTTTCCTCAACCCTGGGGGGCACCGAACCGATGTACTGGTACAGCGTATATATATGCATACCGAAAGAGTACGGGGGAACGACAGTCGTCAGCCGCTCGGGGCTGGCCATCTTCGGCCACGCGCTCTACTCTACTCCGTGCCACGGTGCTCCACTCGACCCTCTGAGCATTGCAGTGCTCCCGCGACTACGGGCCTTGGTGGCTGCCCCCATTTTTCCCAGCACCGAGTATCGGGCCCCCCTTGTCGTCCAAGTCCAGCGCAGTGTTGACTGGCTCGGGCATGTCCCCAGTCCCGACTTGAGCTAGTACCGCACTCTAGAGTCTAGATGCCGTGCGCTTCTCGGCCTCGGCCGGCTTTAGAGGGCTCGCATTTCTTCCGAAGCCGGCAGTGGGTTGGCGCTTCTTGCACCACAATCGTGCCCTGAGCTAGCCCCGAGCCATCCCCGAGCCAGCCCCGAACCAGCCCGTGTCCGATATTTACCGGCATTAATTGGCCGGCTTCTGTAGTTGTTGACGTGGGCTAGGCACTCCGGTAACTCGACTGGCTGAGAGCTCGACTCATCCGTCCGCTAACTACCGTATCCGGGTGTGTGCCGGGCACTAGGGGATCGCAGTCCGATAGGCGGGTTCGCCGCGGCGCATATGTACGTCTGGCCGGGCCCGGTTCGCATGCCCCATTCGGTATATTACGGTCCGAGGAGCGGTGAAGATGCGTATTAGAGTAGGTACCTTGCTGACCTTGCTGATCTTACGTGCTTGGCCTCGGTACATATTATAGTCGACTGGCCTAACTAACCACAACCGCGCACTCGGCATCGTCTCACTGTGTCTCTTAAAACTACCGGTACATTGTATATATGCCCCCATGTGGGACAGTGGGGCCTCCTGCCGGTCCACGTGTGCCGGTTGCCGTTGCATGCGCCCCCCGGATGCTGACACTAGTAGTAACCGAGTGCTAATCCATGCCCGCTTGCACAGTCACGCAAATCCGCAACTGCGCCCGAAAAAGCGAAAAAGTAAAAGAGTCATTCCTTTCTCGGCAGTATGATAAGTAACCACATACCTGCATACCTGCATATCGGAAAAGCAGCCCCCAGGGCTGAGTGACACAATATGCAAGCCCATCACCAGCCACGGCTAGCTACCAACCGAGCCGCTCGCTCTAGGCAGACACTGGACACTCGACAGATGGGTTTGTGTATATCCGGATGGTTACTTACTCTCCCTGCAGCCCTGTGGGGAGAGGTGACGGCCTTGACGGCCTTGACGGGACTTGCCAATAGGCAGGCGGCCACTACGAACGGAAGGTGGAAGGTGGAAAGTCCCATGCGAACAGCCATGCGAACAGCCATGCGAACAGCCATGCGAACAGCCATGCGAATAGCCGTGGGGGATATTTTGCGAACATTTCCCTACGATTGGCGTGAACTTTGAAGAAAACTGGAGATGCATATACACATGTAGGAATCGGCTGTATGTCTGTCTGTGAAGTCGATGCAGGCGGATTGGAATTCGCGTGAATGTTAGGAGGAGCAAGATGAGGGGGCAATTCCTCACTTTCCAAATCCCCATCCCAAGATCACCACTGGCACCACATGGCTTCCGTGGCAATCGCCATCCGGAGGGTTGCATCAGTGGTACAATTCCCAGGCTCGTCGTGACTCGCCTCCGTTTGTAATGTGGGCATCCGGCCAGAAGCAAGAGCCCGCCGTCTGCTTTGTAATCGGCCCAACCGAGAGAGCACAGCGGCCGGCCGGTTGCTGCGGATTGCTTTGGGTTGCGTGGACTTGACCCTCCGTCAATCGCACTGCTCAACAACTCAACAGTCCGGCGGGCTGCTGGGCCACTTACAGACCAACGGCCAGCCCGACGTTTAAGTATCAACGGACTGGCCGGCTTAAGTGTGGAATGGCCACAATGATCCGAGGAGGGAGCTCGAGTGGCGGTGTTTACTTCGGGGGCGACAACAATGACGAAGCGTCTGCATGGCCCATCGACACCATCAGATGATCGCCGGTCTCACGTTGTGCTTATGTGTTCCTTCCCAGTAATCCTTAATACGTATCACAAGCTCTATGTGGCACCTGTGGACTCTGGAGACACGGCGCTTCACGTGACGGACCTGGTACATGCATAGCCGCCTCTGCTAACGAGTTGGGGGGCTTGTAGCCGCCGCCAATATCTGGGCCCCTGCGGCATGACGGTGATTGTTGAAGCTTGCATGTGTATGACTGCAAGGATCTCGGTGGTGCTTTGTTCTCAAAGCCTCTCTGGCTGGTTAGCTGAGGTACTTACCCAAACTACCCCGCGTCAGCCCAGCCAGCCCCACCTGTGCTCCCAATGCCCAGCGTCTTTAGAATGTGAGCGCATAAAAGTACGCACTCCCCCCTGGGCCTCCCAAACCGATCGGGAGTATAAGTTCTTGGAGTAGCCTGCAACCCATCCTCCGTCCCGTCGCGACAAATCCATCTCAAAACACCTTCGCTCACACACAAGATCCTCGTATCTTGTATAGTAAAACACCGTCATCATTTACAGCTATCAACAACAAACTATGGGGGTACGTTGCCCGACGACTGGAGGCCCCCACGTGGCATCATTGGAGACTGACTCGTGGCTATTGCTACCCATAGCTCGCTAGCAAGATGGCCGCGGCGAAAGTCCAGAGTGCGCAACCCCCGGGCGGCGCCCCCGCCGCCGCTTCAGCCTATCCTGGCGCCGACAGTCGTCCAACATACACCGGCCAGCAGCCACCGGCAACTTACAACCCGCAAAAGACCGGACAAGCTCAGTACCAGGCCTACGTGCGTTTCTCCACCGCCACAATGTAGGTTGCCATCGCGCTGACGACAGTGAAGCAACCTCAACAGCAGCAAGCTCCTCCTCCGCAGCAACAGTCGTACGGTCAGCAGCAGCAGCAGCAGTACGGCGGCGGCCAACAAGCCTATCCCCCACAGTCGTACGGTGCACCGGCGCCCCCCGGCGCGGGCGCGCTCCCACCAAAGAAAGCTAGCCCCGCAACCGACCCGGAGATCCTCTTCTCGATCCTGAAGGAGACGACGACGGAGAACAACCTGGGGAATTTCTACGATGACAACAGATTACGACAGCTAGCGGCGCAGCTCGGACGTACGGATCCCGTGACCACCATCTGCGGGCGCTGGGACATTCCTCTCGAGATCTCGTTCGACCTCGTAAAGCTGGCGCTGTACGATATCGTCTTCCTGGTGGACGACAGTGGCTCGATCGAGTTCTCGAAGCTCCAGGGTGAGCTGAAATCGCTGCTGAGGAGCGCCGCGTTCGCAAGTAGTCTTTTCGATCAGGATGGCTTCTCGGTCAAGTTCTTGAACTCGACTGTGGAGGGGGATAATATTCGCACCGAGGCCCAGGCGGAGGATCTGGTGAACAGAGTGAGGTTCCAGGGCGTTACTCCGCTGGTTACGTCGCTGCGCGACAAAATTCTCAGGAAATATCTGGGCGAGGTTCATGAGCAGACCCCTAATATCAAGAAACCGCTGCTGGTGATCATCATTACCGACGGAATGGTAGGATACCCCACCCAATTCACATTTCATCACGCCGATGACGCTCACATACCATTCAGCCCACAGACAGTCCCGGCCGCGAATTCCAGCGCCTCATCAAAGACTACAAAATCAAGCGTTTGTCGCCTCTCCTCCCGCCTCTCCCTTACCCGTTCTAACGTGACATATAGCTGTCGCATTTCAAATCGCGCAGGTCGGTGTAGATGCCGATGCCCAGGACTTCCTTGCATCCCTCGATTCGGACCCCGAAGTCGGCGGTCTGATCGATTGCACATCCAGTACGGATCAACCCACTCCCTCCGAGATCCCCGCTAACCCTCAAACAAGACTTCGAAATGGAATCAGCCGAGTTCCGGCGGATGACCAACATGGCGCTTACGCGTGAGCTGTGGTACACCAAGCTTCTGTTAGGTAGTATCGACAGAACCGTACGTCTTCCCCGTCTCCCAACGGGAAGTGTACCTCACTGACGGAGCGCACAGTATGACAAAAAGGACGAGAAAGAATCCGGCTACGCGCCGCCCGCTCCCGCCAAGCCCTCATACGGCGGCAGTGCGCCGGCGGCCCCACCAAGCCAGTACTACCAAGCCCCGGGCGGTGGCCAGCAGCAGTACCCTCCATCGTACAGCCAGCAACCCCAGGCGCAACAGTATGGTCACCAGCAGTACCCGCAGGGGCAGCCGGGACATGGACAGCAGGGACATGGGCCGCAGTCCTACAACAATCCTGCGCAGTCCTCACATTCGCCTGCGCCCCGCGGTCAGGAATATGGGTATCCCCCCTCGTCTGGACAGCAGTATCAGCAGGGGTACGTGCCGCCGCCGCCCGCTGGGTACAGTGCCCCGCCGCCTCAAGGACAGTACTATAGTGGACAACAGCCACCGCCCGGAGGCCGCTACTAGGCACCTATTTCAATCAGTTCTGGCAGCGAGACTGGGTGGAACAGAAGCGGGGGCGGTCATAAAGGGATGTGGGCTGCAGAGTCTTTGCCTGTGTGTGTAGGATGGGAATAGAGGCCTTTTACTTGTTCTTGTTCTTACTTGTTTCTTACGACGTACGTTCATGGGTGTGTAGTGGGCGTGAGAGCCATCGCGGAATGAAAATGAAAATAGTATACCTACACGGTTTTATGTTTCTGAATTTGGCGTGATGTGTGTCTAAGTGTCGTGGTTCAACTCCAACTTTTGGTTCGGACCAGAGTGGACTGGACTGGACGGGACTGGACGGGACTGGACTGGACTAGACCTAGCACTGAGCAGTCCCCCTAGGCTCGATTGAAACCAAAGGGTGGTCATAGCCGTACCGTAGGTAGTCAGCGTTGAACGTTACCGATGTCGGGATCGGACTGTATCAGTTCAGAAGACAGAAGACGGAAGTTTCCGGACCGGACCGGGCAGAGTCGGGGGACTCGGGGCACTCGGCTCGACTGGGACCCGGAACCTTTATTTTTGTGTTTCTTCAGCGATCGCATGGCAGTGACTACAGTCCAGTCTAGTCCAGTCCAATCCAGTCCAGTCCGTTCAGCCCAGTCCGTCCAGTCCCATCCGGTTCCGTCCAGTCCGTATAGTCCAGTCCGGTCTGGTTTGGATAACCAGCTCGGTGGATCGGTGGATCGGTAGATCAGTGGGCCAGCCGATGGCCGTGGTGACTTCCGAGTTCCGGGTTCTGAGTTCTGAGATACTTGTCCCGCGGATACTCTAGGTATATACTACTCTATAGTAGTGTGCTAAGTGCTTGGGATATTCAGTGGCCAGGCTCGTGTAGTTTTCATGTACTCTACTTACGTGGTATCACTCGCCACGAGAGTGACCGCCATGATTGGGCAGAGTGTGCGCCCACAGTTGTGGTGGTTACAGCTTACGAATATGTAATCTACCATGATCTACTCTACCAAGGTCGAATGTAATGATTGCAGCAAAAAACGGTTGTGCTGCTGCTGCTGCTGCTGCTGCTGATGGTATCCTGAACAACGATCCCCTTGCAGATTATGTATTCCTCTTGGAGTCTTGATGGGTTGCTGCAGCCCGGTGACCAGTCGCCCTATTTACGTCTAATGTGCTTTTCTTCTTCTTGGTAGTTCCTATTCGACCTTGTCCATCCAAGACTCCAAGACTCCGAGACTCCGAGGCACTGCACGATAGAATCGAATCATCTCAGTCATCGGAGCTTGACGAAGCAGCGAATCGCGAATAGAGGTACTACATACATGTATCCAAGGTATCAAATTCATCCATATATCATGTGTAACTATCATGTGTAACTAAAGTATACCTACATCGCAGCAGCAAAAATCAAACTCCTTAACCACTCCGCCCCCCGCCCCCCGCCCCCCAGAACAGATCGATTACATAAGTAGTGGCGGCATCAACATTGAACATTGAACAAGCATCAAGCGCATAACCTGCCCGCCCCCCTCAAAAAAACAACCGCATCCCCCGCCCCCAAAATACAAGCTCGAGATTAGCCACCTCCCACGTCAAAACAGTGATGTGATGTGGTGGAAAACACGAACATTAAAACGCCAGACAGGTATAAGAGATACAAACACCCATTCCCCCACGAACCAACCATTTTACTGCCCCCCTACTTCCTCATGAAGCAGCAACAAACCGCCGCGCGGCCCAAGAAGTACGTGAACCCACAGAACCTAAAAAACGACAGAGCTGCTGTCGCAAGCAAGATGAAGCGGAAGTATTCGGCGGTCCTCTTCTTCGAGTCTGGGCCGACCCAATCGAACGCCTCGGATGTGACAAACACCGCTACGGCGGCGTTCAGTATGATCCACGCAGTGATCAGCCGGGTGCGGAAGGACTTGTACGAGTCGTCGAGACTCTTCTCCTCCTTCTCCTCCTTGATCTCGATGGGTCGCAGGCAGCGCTTGACGACTTCCTCGAACTGCGAGTCCACGTCCGTCTTCGGTATCACCTCGACCTCCATCACTTTGTCGCCGCCCGCGATCTTGTGCGTTTTCGCCGACGGCATCGCTTCGGCCGTGTCGGAGCCCTTGGTGCCCCACGACACGTCGTGCCAGTTGCAGAAGGCGTAGACGTTCAGGACGTTGGTGTACGACGACGCGAGGAAGAGGTATGCCGGGAACGAGTGCAGCATGTGCCACGGGTCCAGGTACATCAGGGAGGACACGATGTAGAGGCCCCAGGTCGCGGCGAGGGCGAGGATGATCAGACCGGTGTTGGTGACAAACATGTTTGTGATGAAGCCGCCGACGGTCGGGGAGTAGAGCTCGTCCCATCCGGCGGTCTTGGAAAAGGCGTTGAAGACCAGGTAGAAGGAGAGGATCAGGACGTATGCCTGTATGAGACCAAAGATGACGAAAGACAACATGTAGGCCTTTTTGGATCTGGATAGAGGTCAGCCCAGGGATCAGGGAGGAGGAAAGCGGAGCGGTGCTCTGTTACCCTTTGGGACGATTGCCCAGCGCGAGAACGAATTGCAAGAGCAGGAATGCGAGATATATGTATTTGAGGAACGAGTTGACGATCGGCGAAACCGTGTCTCCGAACGGCCAGCCCACTTTGCCCAACGTCTTTTCCTCAGCCGTTGGATTTCCGACCAAGTCCATGATGACGGAAGTAGTCAGCCAGAAGGAACCTAAATTTTCCGCACCGTAAGTATCCATTCGAGGCTAGAAACAAACTGCACGCGGGAACCTACTGATCATGAACCACGACATGATCGTCGAGAAAATATTGTACAACAGCTGGCAGTGGAAGAAGAACATGCGGATGATGTTGTGGCTGCTCTTGTACATCTTGCCAAAGTGCATCAGAGCGTAGATGGTGGCCGCGAAGGATCCGTTTAGCCATCGTCGTCTCTGCGAGATGAACTCGGCGGCGCCATCCGGAACGTCGGTCTCGGCCTTTGCGCTCTTGACGTACGACAGATGCCACTTGCTTCCCGCTTTAACCACCACCTCGAAACAGAGAATACGGTCCTCGGCCAAGAACATGTTCTTCTTGAAGATGTTCATACCGTCGATTCCCTTCTTGCCGAAGCGTTCCGACATGGTGTGGTCGCCGTGAAAGTACTGGTCCAAGGGACGTCCGGCGATGGCTCTGTACCTGTACGCGGAGAAGGCACCAGGCTGGCGCTGTTAGTCCGGACCGTGCCGGCGATAGAGACAGAGAAACACATACCAAAACGGACACATAACCGAACGCCGATTCTAACGGCTTGTCCAGAATGTTACTGATCTTGTACTCAAAGTTCTGGGCCGCTACCAATGGGTTGACCAGATTCCTTCCCCGATGCCCCAACATGGCGTGAATCTCTCCACAAGCACCGCCCAAGTTCCTACTCACGGTCAGCATATCAAAACATGGCGCAAGACGGGGAGGACAACGAACTTGTCATTATGGAACGCCTGCCAAAGAGCCAGCAGACTCCCGGATCCGGGCTTAGTTCCTGCGTCGAGTAGGATACAGATTTCCGGCTGGAGGATCCTGCCGAACGCGTTGAACAGCCATCGGTGAGAGTTGATCTTCTTGCTGTTATTTTGCTTGAGGCAAAAGATGATTTGCGTCGGGGGAAACGCCGATTCGTCATCCTCGCCCTTGGGGCGGCTAAGGTGGTGGCTCGCCGTGACCGAGATCTGCGTGGTGTACTCGAAGATGTGCGCGGTGGTCGGCTGTCCGTCGACATCCTTCTTCATCACGTCGTTCTGGAAGACACCGACGGTTGCGAGAAGATCCAGAGTCTCCTTGTCGCACGGCCCGATTCCGTCGAACACGAGGCAGACCACAATCTTCTGCCACGCCGGTCCTCCCTTGTCCCAGAACTGCGACCTCTTGAGCTTCACAAACTCCTTCACATTCTGCATCACACCGTGGAGCGTGCGCGCCGTCAGGACTTTGTCCTCATTGTAATACGTAATGGCGATCAGAATCTCCGTGTGCCGATCGTACGTCTGCGCACGCAGGCTGTAGCCGTTCTTCAACGTGAAGTCGTCCGGATCACATGTGGCGGGAGTGTCTGTGGGGCTGAAGTTAGTTACACGAGACTACTAGTACTAGTACCACTACTACGCGGGGAACGACGTCTCTCTCCCCCGGAAAAACCTACACCGCATATGAGTGAACTCCTTGCTCCCCGTCTCCAGATCGCCCGCACGGTACTTTTCCTGGATGGCGTTCGCGACGGCCGAAGGCACCTCGTACTCGATCGACAGCGCCTGCCCCTTCCTGATCTTGACCTTCCTGGTCTCCTTCCGCCGAATGCCCATGCCACTGAGCGTCTGCCGCCGCCCGTCGAAATCCATGCTTGTGTTCCTACTGCTCACACTCATGGCACTGCTGTTGTCGTAGGGGGTTGTGGTCGCGCCATTGAACGAGCTCAGCGCCGACACCGACTCGTTCGAGAGCGTCGTCGGGAACGACTGCCGCAAGCCACCACCACCACCGCCCGGGGATGTCGGCCGCGAGTCGTCGAAGGGCCCATGGAAGGGTGATGGCCTGCCGGTGCCGATGGCTGGTGGGTCCTCGAGTGTGTAGTACGGGCCGGTCAGGGGAAGCCGCTCGGGCTGCTGGTCTGGGTCGGTGATGTCGGGAGCGCTGTATGCGTACGGATACGGGTGTGCCGAGTCTTCGAAGCTATTTCGCCGCTCTCCTCCGCCTGGGTATGCCATGTTGAGAGGGGAGTGGGATGGACCGAGACTATCGAACAAACGAGAGATTTTCCGATTTTTTTTGTATGGTACACTAGCAGCGGAAATACGGTGAAGGGTTCGTTCGAACGGTAGAGGAGGAGGAGGAACGATCTCAGACGGTGTGGTTAGATGTGGGGTTGGGTGGTCGGATGATTGATGGACCGTCGGGGGAGTGTTGTGCTGGAAGTGTCGAGATGAGGATGGTGATTGCCGGTTTGTTTTTCTTCCTGTACAGAAACTGGGGTCGGGTGAAACGAAGGTGAAGGTGAAGGAAGAGGAAGACTAAGAGGTGGAGAAGGAGGAAACAGATCCAAGAACAACAAGAGCAGGCAGCAACAATAACAACAAGGTAACGGCCGGGGACAATAAATAACAATGGGTCGGCAAAGACAAGGAGCGGTATGGTATGGAAGGTATAATAGTAATAATACGGGGGTGGGCGGGCTGAGTAACAACAACAATAGCAATTCGAATCTATGCCGACATGCACATGCACATGTAGAGTAGAAGAAAGTAGAGGATGTACCGGTTCCAGTTGTGGGAAGAAAGAAAGAAAGAAAGAAAGACACCGGAAAGCCGCGTAGGTGGGGACTGGAGGTTGTTAGGGATCCGGATCGTTAAAATAGAAATGATTTCTGGCAGCTTGGTGGGTTAACTGGGACATGTGCTAGTGGGGAGATCAACACGCCGACGACGAGGAAGAAGATGGAATCCGAAACGCAAGTCTGCGCGTAGAGTATGCATACTAGTATGAGGTAGGTGTGAAAACAAATAAGTACGTTGAGCATCCTCGGTCTTCCGGAGAGAGAGCCTGAGCACGCCCATTCTCATCCTTCCCCGAGAGACAGAGCACATTCAGTCTCAGTCTCAGTCTTGGTCTCAGTCTTGGTCTCAGTCTTCACGAGAGCCAGAATACCTCCTACTCACTCCACTCCACCTAACTACCTCGTACCAGCCAAACCTCATTCACTCTCTCCACGCCGACACCCGTCCAAGCCACACTCTCCAGACCGCCGGCACCGCGAGTACCGGTACGTACTCCAGTTACCTGACTACTACCGACCATCCGCAGCTTCAGCCATCCGCCCGCCCCACCCCCGCCTCCCCCTCAGACCGCATCCTCACATCCACCATCTCACGTCTTCACATCCACCATCCACCATCCACCATCTCGATCGCTCGTCACACCACCACCACCACCACCACCATCTTTTGTTTGTTGTTTCTGACCCCACCCTCTCCCTCTTCCTCTCCCTCCCCATCCTCTTTCTCCCCACCCTCTCCCCTCCCCACCCGCGAACAAACTACTCACTGCATGCATGGCTGCCGAGCCAGCCCTTGCTAGCGGGTGCATCATACACAATACTAGTAGTTTGGCTAAGTTAGTGAACTAACTTATTTGTCGCGCTGATCGATGTTACCGTAAGTTCGTAACACCCATGTTTTTGCTTTTTGCTTTTTGCTTTTTGCTTTTTGCTTTTTGCTGAGCATGGGTCGGCATGCGCGGGCGGGTGCTCCACTGGATGACGGAATCGACAGCGGAATCGACGGTGATGGCGACGTCGACGCCACAAACCGTGCGTTGCCAGATAAAAAAAGAAAGAAAAAACAGGATTGGACGGTGCCAGTGGGAATAACTACCGGTACATCGGTATTTGCTTGAGGACTTACTTAGTAAGAAGGTCAATCGACAGACGAGAGGAGTGGGATGAACTGGAAATGCGAAAGAAAGGAAAGAAAGGAAGATCCCTCCATTCCCCTTCGGACTTCCTTCATTTCTCTGCCGGTCCAAGGTTCCACCGGAGCGGATCTTGACGGATCTCACGCACACGAGACGGCAGTGCGTCCGACCGACCGCCCAGTCAGTGCGTGCTGCTCCTGCTGCTGCAGCGGGTGCGGCGTGGCGCGGTTGCACTCCGGAGCGATCAGGATGGGATGAGAATCAGGTTATGTACTCGTACATCATATGCGCCGTGTTGGAGTCTGGGGATTTTAACGCTGGCTTGATGGCTATAGCCTGTTGTTGTCGTTATTGTTATGGTCGTCATCGTTGCCTGCCCGAGCCGCCCGCCAGTCAACTGCCCCACACCTGCGCACGCGGACTCTTGCCCGTCGACGTCCGCAACGTCTGCACGGCGCAACTGACTGCTCCGGCGGCGACGAAGACGATACTAATCATGTTTACTATTCGTAGAGTTGTAGTTAGTGCGAGTATGTACACTGCCATCGAGCCCGGCTGCCGATCGCTGAGCGTTGAAGAATCCATCCCCCGTAAGTATTTCTGTTGTGTATATGTAGTAAATCTGATGACTCGGTTCATCGCCTGACGGATCACGGTCGTGTATGGATTTACTAGGTAGTATATTAGTATTTCTGTTCTGTACAGTGTAAATTGCGCCCTTGGTTCATCGGGTTCACCTTTAGTGACGGATCACTCCAAAGCTCCACCCCTGAACACTGGCAGTAGGAATACGGCACAGGTTCTCTGCGGTATCGCCAGCTCGTGAGCACCAAATGGCCGGGACCGTACCTGGCACCATGGTCACCATCCCCAGCAGCAACAGTTCTTTCGGCGGTCAGAGGGACAAATATCCGAGCAATCCGAGCAATCCGAGAATTCCGATCATTCCGACATACTCGGACACTCGGACACTCGTACACTCGGACATTTTCCACGATGCCGGAAGCCGAGCGGGCCACACCACTAGGTCAAACGCCAAACACTAGTCAGGCGCGCACAGATCTCGAAAGTCGATCGCGAGCTCGAGCTCGAGCTGTGTGCCCTGTGATGATGTCGTCTGTTCGGAAGTAGAGGCGAGAGCAAAGGCGGGAGCATATGCGGGATGCATAACTATACCGGTAGTAAATGTGGATGGAAAGGTTGGAGAAAGAGATCCGAGAGACTCGAGAGACAGGACGGGTGGATGAATGCATTAATTCGGACTCCGGAGAGGTGCTAGGCGAATCTCGAATCTCGGCTGGAAAGTGTAGATGGAGTGATGGGAGACCCAAGAACGGGTGAGAGGCAAAAGCGTGATTAATTGGAAAAGAGTTGTATGGTGATGACGATGATGGTGATGTACAAGATGGTTATGTACAAGGTGGTGAGGACCATAGACCGACCGAAGAACAGGAAGAACAGAAACAGTGGCAACAGAATCAATCCAACGTTCGAATGGCCGCATCGGGCCTGCGTCGGCCTGCATCGGGTCCCACCTCCATAACACATCGGTCCCATCAGGTCTCAACAAGGTCTCCTCTCTCGTCTCTCCAGTGCTCACCGATGATGCCAACTTCCGCCTCTTCCTTCGCACTCCTCAGTACCTGCCTACCTACATACTGCCACCATGGGTAGAGTACTCTACATGTGTCACTTCAAGGGCATGCGCCGGTACTCTGTCTCAAAAGTCTATGGATGTGTGGATGTGTTGAATCTTGAATCCCCCAGTCTTCTGGATCGTGCTGTGCTGGGTGTGCTGAGAGTGCTGTGTTTGATCCACTATCCCGCCTCAATCCCGTCCCGTGCAGCCTCCAGACTCCAAAGTCATGTTCGCAACTGCTACAGTCTTTGCCCTGAGTTTATGTCTCAGTGCTGTGCCGCGAGGCGGCAAGGCCGCGAATGGCATCGAAGGGCTCACAGCCTCACACAGCCGACATACTCTACCGCACTCCATAGTACACTACTACCGGTATATAGCAGACACTGTCTCGGCACTCCCGAAGCGCAGACGGGAAGTTATACTCCACATATCATATCATATTCACTCATAACGAGCCCTCCGGCTCAGCCTTCAGCTCCACAGTCGTCAGTCGTTACCGGTCAGGAACGAATACGGTAGAGTAGGTTATGGACGGCCCACCGACGCCTCGGGCCTCGCGCCTCGCCAGCGGCCACCACAGTGCACACATCATTTCGCCTACATACCCCCTCCCACCCCCTCCAGGCTCTACCCCCTCCACCCCCTCCACCCCTCCGCCGGCTGTTCGCCCTCCCCTGCCTGCGGCGGAACTTCTGGAAGCCATTCTGCCATGGGGGCCCATCAGCCCTTCCCGGACGATTCCCGGATAATTTCCGGACATCGATCCGTGCCCCGTGCCCCATGTATGTATCTACTCTAGATACGTGTGCACATAGCTAAAGCAACGCCCACCGGAAGTCGGCGCGCTCGGAAGGAAAAAGGGAAAGGGAAGGGAAAAGGAAGGGGGAAAGGAAAAACAAAGCACAGCCGCAGGTTGGATATGAATAGAACGGGATTAGGCAGACCACACCACTCACTCACAGGCTCCAGTATATACGGAGTACACGGACCACGCAGTCGCAGTCGCAGTGCGCACACGAGACACGAGAGACCAGAGACCGGAGACCGCAGACCGGAGAACGCAGCGCAGCGCATGCAGGTACCCGTTGCATGTCTCACAGTCTCACAGTCTCAGCTCATAGCGCCCGTACATACTCTGCATACTTATGATATGTGCTCAAGTAAGCAATTGCGTGGCTCCTCCGCGCTCCTTCCTTTCGCTATGTATGTACTCGAGCACATCATAGAGTAGAGTAGAGTAACTTACGCGGGACGGCGGGTGGTTTGCCCGCTTGCTTCCTCACTTCCCCAAGAAAGGGGAGGCACCCCGACGTCCCACGCCCACGCGGGAGCCGCACCCCTAGGCTCTCCCCAGTCCCCAGTCCCCCAGTGCCCCAGTGCCCCAGTGCCCCAGTCCCCCAGTCCCCCAGTCCCCCAGTCCCCCGAGTCCCCGAGTCCCCGGTCCTGCGCATGCCATGTCCATTCCGCTCATTCCGAAACGGACCGAGCCTCGGATCCGAGAACGCCAGCGTGGCGCAGGTTGCAACTCAAGCACACTCCCGGGGCTCCCGGGATCCCGGACCCGGGCTCCGAGAGTAGAGTAGAGTACGGTAGAGTGGATACTTGTAGAGTGCGCATGTTCGGTATCGAATCGGATGGATAACTGTGGAACTCTGTGTAGAGGGAGAGTACCTAGCAATATTCCAAGCCCACTGCGGTGGAGTACCGTGGGTATACAGTTCTAGGGACCTCCCAGATTGTCAGACCCAAGACTCCCAGACTCCCAGAGCACCAGTACGGTACTCGGTCCATTCTACATCCTATCCATCCTCCCCGACCCCGACAAACTACAGTTTCATCCATACCACGCCCTTCCCTTCGCTTCCCTCTCCTTCCCTTCCCTTCCGTTCCCATCCCATTCCATCCCTCCGTTTCATACCCTTCCCTTCGTACCCGTATCGGCTTAACCAAACTCTACTCTAGTATGTAAACCCGCAGCTCCCAGTAAAACCAGGTGGGTGACGTGCCGGGTATACATAGCACTACATATTACTATTACTAGTAGAGCACCTGCCTGTTTCTGGCGCTGGTCGAGTACTTTATCCAAGTATCCAGGTATGCACATAGCTTGGTCCTTGGGAATTTGGGAGTTTGCGCGACGGCCCCATGCCCCCCCCCCCTGCTCGGTCAATCGATAGAGTACTCTACTTACATGCACATGCTTTACTCTATGTAGAGCTGGCTGTCTGGTGGCCTGGAGCTGGTGACCTGGAGCTGATGACTGGAGCATGTCATCGCTGCGTAGAGCTCTACAACAGGCTTCAACCTCGAACTATGGGTTTACTATCGGTACCGGTATGGGACATCGCTTTCTTTTCATGTTTCGATCGTTGGTTGCTTGTTTATGACTCTATGGGGACATCGCTTTATTCCGTGTAATCATCAATTACATGCGACCTTGCTTGACCATAGCAAATAGGGACATCGCTGGGATTTGATGGCAGGGATGTCACTCGCCGAGTGATCCCACATGACCCTCCACGACATCGCACGTTTCGTTCCCATGTTCACAGGCGGTGAGTGCGTCCATCTGCACAATTCCGATGTTGATTCGCACCCGCACAGTCCCACAATCCCATAGCCATGGATTGTACTCCAGCAGGCCTGAGGCACCAAGATCAAGGCAAGGCAAGAAGCTACTTTCGATAGACCCCTTCGCCTACCTAGAGTAAGGCAGAGTAAGGCAGCCAGATCCCGGCCATTAAATAGGTACTGTACAACATCCCCACTCCCCTGCCCCATCCCCATCCATCCCCATCCATCCCCATCCCATCGTGCAATCAATCATAACAAGGAAACCAGTTTTTCTTCATCTCACTCCATACAATGACGTCCAAAACACAAACACACACAGACAAAAAGGACACGGAAAGCAAGGAAATACACATCATTAGAGTTTACATCTAGTAACGTCTACCGCCACCACCGCCGCCACCGCCATTATAGCCGCCTCTGCCATTATCGCGGTTGTCACGGCCATAACCGCCTCCTCCTCCGCGACCTCCGCGACCGCCGCCACCGCCGCCTCGGTAGTCGTTACCCTGGCCGCGTGGAGGACCAACGTAGGATCCTGCGTCGCGAACACCGGGGGGCGGTGGAGGCAGACCTCCGGCAAAGCCGCCTAGCGGTGGGGGAAAGCCGCCCCATGCACCTCCTGGCGGAGCGCCGTAGTTACCCCAGCCGCCGTACTGGTTTGCTCCTGGGATCGGTATGGCACCTGGCGCTTGCTGGTTGTGCTGAGGTGGAGGTGCGTTGTACGACTGTTGGTGCTGCTGCTGCTGCTGTCCGTGGCGATAATGTTGCGGAGGTCCGGTGGGTCCGCTGCGATCCGAACGGAAGGAGTTGTGGCCTCCACCACGGCCTCTGTGGAGAGGCGCGCCGCCGTATGATCGCCCCCTGCCTTCAGCGCGCATTTTGGTTTGTTCAATGTCTCCACGATTGAGCGTCGGTGGTTCAAGCTGGAGGCCGCGGAGGAGCATGGACTTGTGGATGTTCTTGCTCTTTGGGATCTCGTAGCGCAAACTCATGGTGCGATCTTCTTCAAGGTCCGGCATGCCGCCTTCTTCGAGTGGGAAGACAAGCCTGCTGCGCGGAAGGAAGGAGGGGTCCTTCTCGACTTTTCCTGCCAAACCCTCCGAGGTTCGGACATTGATCTTGTATTTCTACGATGTCCATCAGCGACTGGACGAACATTAGTGGAGTGTTCGGGGAAGCATACCGTGACATCTTGTTTCTTGGAGTAGAATCGCTTCACGACATCATCATACAAAGGATGTCCATCAGAAATGAGCAGCGTGTCGTGACCCATAGCATTGCGAGCCGCGTCTTCCGTGGTGAGCAGAGGGTAGATCTTCTGCGCAGCATCCAGCAACCGTTTCTCGTCAATGAATGGCAATAGTGCAACACCTTGCCATGCAAATTTCTTTCCGTTCAGATCCAAGGGGAAAGTCTCAGGGTAGAAATCAATGATCTCAGAATCCGGTTCCGTCATCAACTTCTGGAAGGGCGTAGGAAGGTTATGTTTACTAGCCGCTGGTAAGACACCCATCAATTGCTCGAACGGCTTGAAGGGTTTGCCCCCATTGAACTGGATGTCTAGTTTGCCCACGTCATGGAAATCCTGAGCGAATGGCGCGTAATGGTACGGGTAGTACCAGTTCCAACTGGGGCAGCCCTGGAAATAGTACTTGAGGACCCAGCAGAGGCCCTCTACATAATGAGCAGCAACTTTGTTCCTAAACTCAATGTCTTTCGGATCAACGTGAAACTTTTGCTCGTAATACCGATCTCTGTAGCCATCCTCCCAGAGACGAACAGTGTCTGGCGGCATCTCATCGTCTTTTTTAGGTGTTGGTGGTGGTGTTTGCTCCACTTCATCCGCCTTGCGCTTGTGCGGGACCACTGAACTTTCGGTATCCTCGACGGCGGGGGCGTCCTCCATTTCGGCACCGTTGACGGGTGATTCTGCAGCAACCTCCGACCCGCCCGACAGCAGCTGTGACTTGAGTGCTTGTGCGGCACTCTTGTTCTGTAGATTGGCCTTGCGGATGCCCTCCCTATTCATCACCATGTCGTAGTTCAGCTTCTTCGTTTCAGCGGAGAGATCTCCCGGCTTCATCAGCGGGATCATCGGTGGCGGCGCCGAGTCGGGAGGACCCTTTCTCTTTAGAATAGCATTTTCATATGCCGGTGCTTCAAGATTGTTTGCAGATCTGTTCCTTTGAGCCTCTTCATTCAGCTTGCGCTTTTTTGCGCCAGCCTCACGTCTAACTTCTCCCTGTCGCCGTCTTCTGAAGATAGCATCCTCCTGCTTGGCCAGCCCATCGAGGACAAACTGGACTTTGTCTAGCTCCACGGATCCGTCTTTGGTGAGGTATCCACCCATGACGGGCAAGTTGTCCTTCCAGATGGTCATAAGTGTATCTATTCCGCCGTCGCGAATCTCCAAACTGGGCAGATGGGGCAAGAAATCGTTTCCAACGAAGAAGCACATAAAGACCCAGTCATCGAGAGCGCGCTCAAGATCGAACTTGAATCCTTGATCTCTAACGTCAAGTTCTACCGCCAAATACTCACGTAGAATAGAAACGTGAAGCCAGATGAACGGCTTCTTCTTGACGGGTGCGGATTTCTCGTCAAATTCACCCTGCTTCTCCTTGGCTTTTCCCTTGCAGTCTCCAGCTTCATGCCCATTCTGTCCACAGATCTTGCATGCCTTTGACCGCGTATCTCCTGCAAACACGTCCTCACGCAACACTCTGAAGTGGGGTTCGTGGGTCCCAAGCCCCAACATGATGAGATCTGCATCCAGACCGTAGATGACGTGCCGAGTGTTAGGGTCATGTTCGGGATTGGCGCGCTGAGATCGAATGAACTCCATGATCTTGTGTTCTCCTTCTCCGGGAACGGTCGAGTCCGAGATAATGACTTTCAACTATTCCGGTCAGTTAGCATCAATTATCCCAACCAAGACATTATTGGGAAATACCTTCGCCCAAGCCGGATCGGTGTTCAGCTTATACGCAGTCCAGTACCGCAGAGACGCCGCCAGGATATCCATGAAAGGCGTTCCTGGAGTAATCGCATTGCTGTCCCAAACCTTCTGATTCTTCAGACTATCGTCAACTTTTGTGCCCTTCTGGCTCTCGAGCATCTTCATCAACTCCTTGGTCTCCTCCTCCTTGTCTTTGGCTTCCTGGGCGGATCTGAAACGACGGGACCGCTGCTGGTTCATTTTCGCACGGGGCGCAACACCATCTATGCGCGCATGATTGATCAGCAACCTGAGTCCCTCCTACATGGTGATTCTGGGGCGAGAGCGCATACCGACGGCGATCATGAGAACCTTGCGAGGTCGCACCATGTTTACAACACGCTCGGTGTACTTGAAAACCTCCATCATCATCTCCTCCTCGGTCTCGGGCGGCGGACGATCCTCGGGGTGCGAACACGGATGTACGATTCCATTCATATCGAGGTAAAGATTGTCATGCTGTAGTAAGAAATCATTATTAGCACGTGGGCGCTCCCTCGGACATCAAACAAGGAGGAGAACCGACTTCGCCATTGGGATTCGGCTTCGTATGGTCGACGGGCACAACAACGCCATCGATCTCCTGCGGCTCCTCCTCAATAACCGGTGAAACGATCTTCGGGTATCGCTGCGAAAGCCATCTGAACAAGGCTGGGACACCCATATTGTCGCGCGAAAAACGAGTTTCGCCACGCGTTTACCGTCGTGAACTGTGTGTGTAAAGGGCAGTGATGATTTTTTTCTTTAGCGTAAGGAAATCGGCGTGCCTCTTGTTGTTGGCGAAAGGGCTGGGAATGAAAATTCCCGAGTAGTTGAGGTGGGCGGACGTGGTGTGTCGTGCTGTCTGGCTGTCGCAGAGGTGAGAATGAGAATACTGAGTGAAGCGTTCGGGCGCAGCGTCGGGTAACCGCGTTTGCCAAGCCCCTATGCAGCCTGAGACGTAGCTTGTCTAATGGATCCGTCCAATCAATGTTCAAATCACATATTATCACACGATTGATTATCACTATGCCATGATCTAGAAAGGTTGAATGCATTATGACCAAAAAGGTGGTTGCCATTCACGGTTTGAGGACACTGGACCTGTTTGCTTCCCGATACTTGGATGAAAGTAAATAACATCAATGCAAACTATTGCCTAAGCCGAAAAGTAGAAAATAGAAGTACATTGACGACCCATTGAACAACCCCGAAACGCCCATGCAATAACCATCCCAAACGAGATATCTCTAGATGCCACGATCAAACGGCACACAAACAAGTGGTAAGAAGCAAAAGGTACATGTACACATCAACAGACATTGGTTTCCCATTTTACATGAATTGAGCCCTCGTGGTCTTCTCATACTGCTCAATTAAGATACTAGCGAGCAGGCATGGTATGCTCTGTCGCGCCATCCAAAAGGAGCACTGGTTACGGATCTCTTTGTGGAACATGCTGTCTGGTCCACCAGCGACTTTCATTGTTCCTGTAATCAGATGGTTAGCCCACTTGCGTCCAGATAGGCGAGTGAGACGGCGGAACAAACCTTTTTCTCCGTCAAACTCGATGCTCTGACTTTCGTCACCGAACATATGCGTGACACGGACCCGTCCGTTCTGCATGAAATCGAGCTTCCACCCCAGGAGCGAGAACACGGCCTCCCGGAATTCAAGAGATTTGGCCGACCAAATCTCCTTTAGTCGCATCATTCGCTTTTCTTTTTCGGCGACGACTTTCTCCATGGCCTTGATTTCGGCCCGGACGTTCTCGAGGGTGGCCCGAGGGACCATGCGGACTTCTTCGCCTCGGCCTTCTATTTGTGCGAGTAGAGCGGCATTCTCCTCCTGCAAGGCTTTGAGCTGGGAGACCTTGACTGCTTGCTCTCGTGCAGTAGGATTGTCCTTTAGCTGTAGGATCCTGATGGAAGTGCCTTCCATCGAGGTAATGCGGAAATGCAACGCCTCAATCTCGGCGTTTAGAACAGTTTCCTTGCGCTGTAATTGCATGATATCTGTATGTAAAGTCAGCACATGATCTTCCAAGTTCAGTCAAGATCACGCATTACCATTCTGCAATTGCCTGTTCCGGCGGTTGAGCTCCCCTAGCCGTTCGTCGCTGGCAGTGTCCTCGAGGGCCCTCTTTCTGCTATTTTGAGCTTCGTTGCTGGTGCTAGACGCGGCGGCGGCGCTGGCGGCGGTCTTCAGTTCGTCGATCTCCGTCTTGTACGCTTCGAGAAGGGTTTCCAATTCCTGGATTCTTGCCGTTTTCTGCTCGTCAAAGTTGCCTTGGTTGTGAATGGCTTCTTCCGTGGAGAACGACTTGAGCTGTTCCCGCAGAAACTGCGCCTCCTTGAGCGCCAACGCTTTCTGTCTCTCCATCCGCTGTCGTGCCTTGGAATCCTTTGATGCCGTCTCTTTCAACTTCTCCAACTCTTCGCGGAGCAAACGGACCTCTCCCTCCATTTCCTGGATGATTTGATCTTTCTCGAGCAATTCCGGCTCCAGGCGCCCAGCCTTCTCCGTGAGGCCGATCCTCTCGACCCTCTCCTCGATTAACGCCCTCGCAAGGCTCTCCGGAGAATCGAACTCTAGTCCTTCGCGCTGGAAGTAGCTCTCCCAAGCGTTCCGTTCGTCCTGCAGAACCGATATCCGTACTTGCGCCGCCGACAGCTCCTCCCGGATCTCATTCAACATCTTCAACTTCCCCTCTAGCGTCCGTTTCTCCTCTTCTACCAGCTCCAGCGACCGACTCGACTCCCGTAGGGACTTCAACTCCAACAGTTGCCTTCGATTAGTCGATTCCAGGGTCTTAATATGGTTAACCTGTTCTGCTAGCTCCTTCTTGAGGACCTTCAGCGTCCCCAGGTCCCCAGTCTGCGCCTTAGCACTAAGCAATTCAATCTCCAACTCCTGCGCTTCCCCATCCTTCCCTTCCAACTTCCGCTGGACCTCCTCGATCGTCCGGTCCTTGATGTGCACCTCCTCCTTGAGCTCCTGGTTTGCGCGACTGAGTGCATTGCTTCTCGTTTCGTACTCATCGATTTGCCGCTTATACTGCCGTTCCTGCGACGAGAGATCCTCCTCTTTGTCCCGCACCGCCTCCCGTAGCTCGGCGCTCTCGGCCCGAAGTTGTCGCACCTGTCGCTCCAGCCCACGCTTCGCCTCCGCGGCTTCGGCGCGCATCTCCTGAAGCTTCTCGCCGAGATCTTTCTGCTTCTCGAACAAAAACCGTTTGTCCGATTCCAGCGTCTACCACCACACACACACACACATCAGTCTACCCTACCCGACACAAACGAACAAACATGAACCCCCCCCCCCAACTCACATCAGCCCGCTTCGCATGTTCCTCCGCGACAGCCTCAAGAGCCCTGCACTCCTGCTCGTGTCTAATCTTTTCCAGCGATCGCTCTTCCTTCAACATCTGTAGCTCGTACCGCACCGAGTTGAGATCGCCGCGTATGACCTCATTCGAAATGTCGACCCTCACTTTCCTCTGAGCCGAGACGGGGGTAACCGAAGGCGGGGGAGAGGGCGTCGCGGGTCCTCCTGCATCGCCGGAAAGGAAGTCGTAGGTCGGCTGCAAGGGTTGGCGAATCGGTGGGTTGTTCGGGAAGAGTTGGCGCTTGGTGACGGGAGAGCTGAATATATTATTGCTGGACGTATTTTTGGGGGTGCCGCGTTTGGTGGTGCTGCCTCGCGGCCGGTTTTCGAACGGCGAATTCATGCTGCGTGTGTTGTGATGTCGGGGTTTGGGGGGACGCGCTGGGGTGGTGTCGGTGCTGGTGTTGGTTGCTGGAGTGAGGAGTGCCAAGGCACTAGTTAAGCTGATTCGCGAGCGAGCTCACAAAATACCTTGGAATACAAGACGGCGACAAAACACCTGGAGAAGCTGAGGAATTCAACAGACTCAATCTTCATCATTCGCAATAGTCTACGACTCCGATCCACTCAAAATAAAGATTATAAGAAATGCACCAAGATATCCCCTCCAATCAATCCTTATGATCATCACCACCACCACTATAGTACCTATTCTAGTGCATCAAAGAAACAAAACAAACGCTTTTACCATAACACATTATAAGCCTCCGACCATCACATCAAAACTTCCCGTTCCAACACCCGATATCTTGCCCATAACAATCCGAGAACTAGGTGACGTGAGATCGTCGAAATCACCTTCCAGGGTAGCGTCCTTGAGGAATTGACATGTTGTCTCGAAACTCATCTTCATCAACGGCGACACACTAGACTTCATTCCTTGTCGGTTGAAAGGTGCGTAACCACCGCCACGAGTCATGATGTCAGCGATGAGGTTCAAATGGCGAATATCGACGGAGATACCGTGACCTCCGAAGACGGCGTCCATCTCCTTGACAATGTTGCTCCGACAAGCTTCAACACCGAAGGTTCTCAGAACACAAGCAATGTCGTTGGTCTCGATCGTGTTGAGGTCGATTGTGTCTGCCTCCTCCCAGATAGCCCGGAAGTTGACACCGTCAACAGCCAACTTGCGCTATTGCACGTATTAGCAAGAATCCAGTAGTCAAACAGAGGAAAGGTGCATACCTTTCCGGCGGCTTGCTCTTCTTTGGACAAGTCAGATGCAGGCACCTTCGCAACGGAAGCGATACCAGGGAGTTGACGGATAACAGTGTCTCTGCAGACCTTCTCGACAATACCCAACATCAACACCTTCGGTGCCTCTGCAGGGTACTCCATCTTGATCTCGCACCACTCTCCGGCCGAGTCGAACTCGAAGTGCCGAACAGTGTCGCTGTCGACGCTCTCCTTCATGGAAGTACGAGGCTCATCCTGGCTAGCAGCGGTGGCGGTTACCCCATTCATGTCACCCAGTCCCTCGTCTTCGTCGCTCGACGGGGCCTCCTCGTCAACCAGACGAGCGATCTCCTCCTCACCAGCATCGGGTTTCTCGTAACTGGTAGACTCCAGCTTCTGACCACGACGCTTTGCGCTCGTAGCATCACCCTCGTCATCGTCATCACTGTCCTCGTCCTCATCACGATCACCGCCTTGGGTCTCCCGCGGGGCCTGTGCCTCCTCACTAGGTCCAGAACTTTCACCAACTTCCGGCATGGCATCGTCCTTACCAACCAGGGCCTTGCTCTTCGCACGTTTAGGATCCAACGCCTTGGCGATAGCGGTATCAAGAGCCTTGAGGAACTTGTTCTTCAACACGGAATGCACCTGCTTCTTGCTGACAGAGTACTCCTCGGCGTATTCGTCGGCGGGGAAAAGGTTCAGTCTGATCATGTATGTCTTAGACTTGGTGGTAACGGTTTCCGTGACGCTGACATCATCGATCAGTTCAGCCAGGACCAATCTGTTGCAGCGTTTCGCGAAGAGCTCGGCTTCCGAATCCGAGACTTCTGGTCGGAGGGTGAGCGTCATCGCCGGTGTACCGATGTTGGCACTGGCTGTCATGACGATTTCACGAAGACGTGGAATACCCAGTGTGACGTTCTTCGTGGCGTGACCAGCCAAATGGAAAGTGTTCAGTGTCATCTGGGTGGATGGTTCACCGATGGATTGACCGGCAACGATACCAACTGCCTCACCAGGATCGATCATGGAGCGGAGATATTTGAGGTCCATGAGGGTTCTAAACTCCGATTTCGGCAGCGTATCGATCAGATCCCTACCAGCCATCGACACTTCCTTCTTGTTCAGGATCTGGTCGGGGTTCTTCTCGATATACGCTTCTCTGCTTTCGTAGAACTTCTCGGACACACTACCCAGGTACCGCGCGGGGTTCAATTCCGACATGGTGACTTCCGACGCGCCGAGATCCTTCTTTTTGTTGTACTTCTTCAGGGCCTTCTTGACGCGGGTACTAGCCTTCTCCTCGTAGCGCAAAGCAACGGCGAGACGTTCTAGAGTACCTGAGAGGTTCGCATTCCGGTAGTCCTCAGTGGCTCGTCGCAGCAGCGAAGACATGTTTTGTGCGCAGAATTTGTACTGGTTCAGATGCCTCTGCTTGGCCACATCCAGCCCGTCTTCTCCGTAGAGGAACTGCATTCAATTAGACCAATGGAACCCGCAGACTGGAGGGATGGGGTCAAACCTGAACAAGAGATCCATCACTGTCGCGAACGGTGTTGTCATAGTTAACCATAATTCCCTCCATACCCTTGATAAGACATCTCTGCAGATAACCGGATCTACTCGTCTTGACGGCTGTATCGATCAAACCTTCACGACCAGCCATACAATGGAAGTAGTACTCCTGTGGCCTGACACCAGTCAAGAAACGATCTGTGATATATCCTCCCGCTCTCACATCGGTCTCATAGGGCTTGAAGCAAGGCAATGTCTTTCCAGAAACCATGACCGGAACACGGCGACCCTCCAGAACCTGCTGTCCAAGCAAGCATGAAATCTGAGAGGCATTGACGTCGGAACCCTTGGCTCCAGACACAGTCATGGCCTGGAAACTGTTCCGCGGGAAGTCCTTCTCGAGGCCGTCCGGCAGACATTGACGAATAACACTGGAGGTGAAGTTCTTGGTCGAGGCATTGGCTTTAAGATCCAGGGTTCTATGTTTGTTCTCGTCTCTTATGACTTCTTCCAACCTACCCTTGAGCTCTCTCTCCTTAAACTCGCCCTCCTTGAGCCCGACATACTCAACGGCTAACTCGCGACCCACAACATGCGACTGGTTGAGAGTATCGCGACGCTTTTTGTTGCCGTCGGGTGTCAAACGCAGATCGTCCATTCCACAAGTATGCGCACGCATGTGAAGCAACTTTGTGAGCAGTCTACCCAGAATACTGAGCAGACGACCAGCTGCAGCGGGGCCGTAGACCTCGTATACGGAATGGACGAAACCAAACTCGGTGGGACCAATCTGATTCTTGTCCAAGATTCCGCATGCCAGGTAACCCTTATGGAAGATGACTTCTCCTTCCTCGCAACCCTCAAACCATCGATCACCTGGAACCTTAGCCTTCGAGAAGAGCGTCAGGCCATCGAAATGCTTGGGCTTGATGTTCTCGAGGATACTGGTGACAACCTGCTTTCCGGTCCAGAGAGACCTCGGCTTCATGACCGCCGGTGGAATGGTCTTGACACGCTGACTTGCTCCCTCCGGTCCGTTTCCTTGCTCGGGCAACAATCCTGAATAAAGCAGCTGTTGGTATTCCTCCCGGGTGAAGAAGGTATCGCGGTTCGTGAGCCAAACAGCCATAACCAAATGGTCCTGAATCAAACCACGGAGGGGTTTTCCGGAGGTGCCGACCAGGTACTGCAGGTTCGTGCTAGCGATCTCCCGGGCCTCAGCCTGGGCAACCGCGTTCTGGGGAAGATGCATGTTCATCTCGTCTCCGTCGAAATCGGCGTTGTAGGTATTGCAGTTCGCGTAGTGCATGCGAATCGTGCGCTCCTTCTGCAAAACACGAGCTTTGTGACCCATAATAGACGGTTTGTGCAGCGTCGGTTGACGGTTCATCAGAACATAGTCGTTATTCATCAGATGACGGAGCACCTTCTTCGGCCGGAGGTCCCCAATCAATGGATCCGGTGTTTGCAAGAGCTTAGCCATATCGGCACGACGGTCCCTGTCGGCTTTCATTGTTCCTCCTGGCAGTTTCTGAATCGACCCGTTCTCCATCTCAATCGACACAGCTCCTGGCCATTGATCCGGTCCGTTGATGACGAATTCTTTGAGCTTGGCGTAGTTCTCATCGGTGACAGGTTCCGGGTAGGTGAGCTTCTGTGCGAAGACAAGCGGAACACCGATCTCACTCGTTTCAATCATAGGATCGGGAGAAATGACGGATCGCGCGGCAAAGTTGACACGCTTACCCATCATATTCTTTCTGAAAAGACCTTCCTTCTTCTCCAAAGCCTGTTTGATACCATTCTCCACATTACGAGAAGCCATTCCCTGCAAAGGGCTCTTGGAAGAGTCGATAAAGGTGTTCACATCCTCTTGCAAAGTAACAAGAGTCTGCATAAGCCTCTGCATCGAATTTGGCTTGTCGCCATGGTTGTTCTTATGGTCGCGGATGGCTAGGCAATCCTGGAGAATCTTGACCAGACCCTTGTTGCTGGAATTCTCATTGATCTCTCCTCCAGCCGCCTGCGGTGGCCTGAAGCACGTCGGTGGAACCGGCAAGACGTGTAAAAAGAACATATCGGCCGAGACAGGTTTCGGGTCTTTCTGACTGATCGTTCGGGGTCGATAAAGTATCAGCGTAATCTCCTTCTCCTTCTCAAACAACCGCATCAAAGTATTGTGAACTTCTATATTCGTCAGAAGCTTTCCGGACTCGTTCCGAATCTCCACCTCCTCGGCCTCTTCCTCTTCGCTCCCTTCTTCCGACCCAGCCTCCTCGATATCAATAGTGATTCCCTCATCGACCTGAGCAAGCTTTTGTTGGTCATTCTTCGTCTGTTTACCGGGAGGCTTCCGCCGGTCAAGCGCAGCATTCGCTCTTCGGAGTCCGAGCTGAGCGTTTGAGGCGCGCTGCTTGGCCTGCAGCGGCTTTTCGAAAATCTTGGAGAAACTGTCGGCGCGGAAGACGGGAGAGAACCTGCACAACAGGTCAGCAAGTCGGGAGCATTGCCACAGAGAATCGCCTCCACTCACGCCTGACACCGTGTGCACTTCTTGACACCAGCCACAGTGCCCATGAAATCTTTGACCACCTGACGTCTCGCCTCCGCGATGGCGTTGATCTTGGTGGCGCTTGAAACATCAGACTGCTTTCCCTTCCGGCTTATTGCCTTGTCCACAAACTTCCGCCTGCGCGCAATGAAATTCTCCAAGTCGTCATCATCGTCACTGTCTATGTCATCGCCGGGGCCTTCCTCCGCGCCAGTGCCCTTCTTCTTCGCTTTCATGTGCAGGTTGTCCAGATCGGAAGCCTCTTCCAGCAGTCCATATTGAATCAGCCTAAGTTTGCAGGCGTAACGATCGACCTCGGCTTTCGACATCCGTAAGTTGAAACAATAGACGCAGGTCGCGCGCAACAACCGCAACATCTGGTCGAAGAAGGTTACATTGTAGACAGGAATCGGCAGAGAGATATGTCCCATATGTCCAGGACAGTACTGGTAATCTAAGTGGCATGTTGAGCATCTGCAAGTGGCGCAATTGTGAGGAACGAACGCGTATAATTGCAGCTTCCAGCCATAGAACGAGCTGAGGGAGCTTACCGTTGTCTCAGAGAGTCCGATGCGCCCAAAGCGGGATCATACAGACCGCCGGGGAGGGGAACCGGAGTTTTGCCAGCCTGTGTATTTGCGAAAGTGACCGGATTGACGATCTGCTTGACGGAGAGGGCGAGGACTTCTTCCGGCGACAGAAAGTTGAACTCCACACTGGTCACCTCCGAGGCGACAGGGCTGGTAACGTTCATTGTGCCGTGTTCCCTTCAGCTCGTTCGCCGTTTCCTGGTTTGGTATGTGTTGATTGACAGGCCGGCTCTCAGCAGACAGGCAAGCAGGAAGGGTTGTGGAGCGCAAGGTTGACGGTTTGGGTTTTGGGATATCGCGCCCTTCCCATCCCACCTTTTCAAAAAATTTACTCGAAGGCGCTAATGCTGAGAAAGTTAGACCAATTTCTGTCATGGATGTGCCAAACTCCTTGCAAGACTTGGCATTGAAGGTGAGCACCCAGCTCACAGCATGACAACCATCACATCGACTCCTCACACCTCGCGCTACCGAAAGAGAGAGTGAGTGCTCTTCAACTCACACCTCGGCTCACTACAATCACCACCTATCAATGGATCCATCGCGCAAACGCCCCCTTGACGATGGAACCGTCAGTCCCGCGAAACGGCCCAAGGCTGGTGGGCCAGACCAAGAACGAATCCAAAAGATGATGGCCGAAGCACGCGCCAAAGCCGCAGCCCTAGCAGCGAAGTTGGGAGCCAACAAAGTCACCGCAGGCTCACCTACTCCCCCATTGGGTGGCTCTGCTGCGCAGACGGCGGCTGAACGTCTCGCTGCGATGAGATCGCGTGTCGCCAATGCTGTTTCCAGATCCACTGCTGCGAGTGTGGCTCCCCCGTCCCGACCAGTCTCGTCGACACCGTCGTTCCGCCGCGACGAGTCTGAACATGATGATGGCAGTAAGGCACGCGGTGGATTGGACGTCGGCTTGCATCCTGCGTTGCTGGGCGATACGGCTGATGCTGGGTCGTCACGGCGGGGCAAGAATGCGATGATGCCCAAGTTCGCGACTACTATGGCGAACCGGAGGGGGGATATTGGCCGGGGAGGAAAGCCGAAGAAACAGCTCGATCTCAGCGCGCCGCCTATTGACTTGATCGATCCGGCAAAGAACCCATACCACGACCCCAATATCGCGGCCAAGAGTCTTCAGCCTAGAAGAATCCCGAAGTCGCTTCACTTCAATCCAAAGGGAAAATACATCGAACAGGCCAATGCTCTGCGTAGACAGGAGGCGTTGGAGGAGATGAAGAAGAGAATCGCTGCCGCAGCCAGGAAGGTCGGCATTGACGAGGACATGCATGCGGATAAGGCTTTCGCGGTTAGTCCCCCCTCCTGCTCCTTTTTCTGTCATCAAAGAATGTTTTATGCCAATATGCAGCCCGTCTTAGTCTCCTAGAATTGGCGTCGCGGCCATTTTACTCTGGGATTTCATGGGAACATGGTGTTTTGGAGTGAGAGTGCTGACTTCATGTCGTTATAGCCACAAGAACCCCCATCCATCGAATGGTGGGATCAGGGACTTACCCAGAACTCGACATATGAGGATATGGACATTGGTGCCTTGAAGGTCGACACGGAAGACTCTATAGTGACCATCTACATCCAGCATCCCATCCAGATCGAGCCACCTCAGGATAAACACATTCCGCCGCCGAAGCCGCTACCTCTCACCAAGAAGGAGCAGAAGAAAGTCCGCCGACAGCGACGTGCCGAGGAGTTGAAGGAGAAGCAAGCCAAGGTCCGCCTGGGACTCGAGCCTCCACCACCACCGAAGATCAAGAAGTCCAACATGATGCGCGTGCTGGGCGAAGAAGCCGTCAAGGATCCCACCGCCGTCGAAGCCCGCGTCAACAAAGAGATCCGCGAGCGTCTAGAGAATCACCTCAAGACCAACGAGGACCGCAAACTTACAAAGGAGCAACGACACGAAAAGCTGGCCATCAACCAAGAAAAAGACCAGTCCAAGGGCATCCAATGTCTCGTCTTCCGCATTGAAACCCTCGCCAACGGAAAACACCGCTTCAAGATCAACAAGAACGCTGAACAACTCGGCCTCACTGGCATCTGCATCTTCAGCCCCAAGTTCAATCTCGTCATCGTCGAGGGCGGCCCCTACGCTGTCAACAAATACAAGAAGTTGATGATGCAGCGTATCGACTGGAAGGAGGAGGTTGAACCACAGGAGGGTGGCGAGGAAGCACCCACTGAACAGCTCACTCATGGCGCGGATATCCCCATGTTGCAAAATAGATGTACTCTCGTCTGGGAGGGCGAGCTGAAACAGAAGGGATTTAGAAAGTTCTCTTCCGAGAGGTGTCCCACCGATGCTATGGCGAAGGAGAGGCTGGAGAGGGGTAGGATGGAGCATATGTGGACTGTGGCTAAGGGGGCGGTGCAGAAGGAGGAATAATCCGGGGAAGGAGTAATCATTAGGAAGACATAGCATTGTGTTGATTCTTGTGTTGACGTATTTTGGATGAAAAGGAGCGTGTTTGTATCTCGTAGTGAAATGGTAACGTTTGATGTAAGGAATGTCGTTCAATGTGGATTACCTGGCAGTCTGGGTCCGTCCCAGCGTCGACATCCAACAGGCTGCATCTACATAAGCCGACGGGCTGCGGGCTGCGATCTGCAGAGTGGGGGCCTGTAGAGTGCATTAGCACATTGCGGGGAGAACGTCATGGCGCCGTATCATCTAGCGGTGGCGCTACAGGTGTCCGCTTTTTGCACTCCGTACTGCGCCTAATCACAATATATCACCTAGGTATCTTCAGTATTCAGTCCACAAAGCGCAGCGATTGAATCAATTCTCGCCCACGGATTCAAAACCGTAACGGACACTATCTCTCCACACATCTATCTAGGTGGATCCAATTCCAAGTCTAAGTCCAAGTAAAAATCAATCCGCACGAGCGCCATCAAAGAATCTATGATCCAGCGCCTACACTGTATGTCAGCCGTGCCTCAAAACTCGTGGTAAACGGGATATCACTCACATCCTTCGCGCTCAACCTATCACTACCCTGATACACCAGGAGGCTTCCCACCAAATCCCTTGCATCCGTACTCGCACACGGCAAAAGCTGTTCCCACTCCTGCTTCGGCCGCTGATGAAACATGATCTTCCCAAAATCCGGGAGCTCCCGCGACTCAGGCCAGCTGTGTGTATCCGGCGTGCCCAGTTTCTGGAAGATGCTCGCCACGAGCTGCAGTTCGCTGCCCAAATCTCCCGCATCGAAAAATGCCTCGTGCTCGGGGTGCAAACACTCCGCTATCACGCAGCCGAGCGCCCACATATCCACCCCCGTGCCGTAGCTGCGGTAGCCAAAGAGGAGCTCAGGCGCGCGGTACGAGGTCGTGCCCACATCGGTGATTTTGTCGTCGGCAGGCTCGCAGTCGGGATCGTCGGCGTGCCAGGCAATCCCCAGATCAGCGATTTTTGGGCCGCTGGTGGGGGAGGAGAAGAGGATGTTGCTCGGCTTGATGTCGCGGTGCAGGATGCCTAGGGAGTGCAGGTGTGCTACGCCGGTGAGGATGCCGTGGATTATGGAGGGTAGGCGGAGGGGCGTGATTAGGCGTTCGGAGAGTAGGGAGGCCAGGGTGCGTGGGAGAAAGGGGAGGACCATTACGAAGGTGGAGGGCGGGAGTGTGAATGTTTCGAGGACGGAGATGATATTGTCGTGGTCCGCGGCGAGGGCGAGGAGTCGGGCCTCGCGCTTTGCGTTATGGGGTGGCTGTGACATCGAGGTGACGGTCACCTTGAGCGCTACGAGAGAGCGCTTGCTGCCCACCGTGGTCATCGTTGGCATGGCCTTGAAGATGGTTGAGAAGATCCCGGATTCGAATGGGACAGCCGTCTTGTATGGTCCGATGGTCTGGGTGGGCTCATCGGCGGGAAACTTGGTGAGACTATCGCTGTCATCCTCTGATTGTGGCCGTGCTGCGGCTTGCTGGAGCGAGAGGAGTCTGGCTTTCCAGAGGCGGATGTAGTCCTCCTGGAGATGTGGTGAGTGATAGCTCGTGCGACAGGGACCGGACAAACATACCTTCGTGGCGGCTGCAGCCATGCATCTAGACTCCTCCTGCTGGGCTCGCAACATTGCTTCCGGACGAAGAAGCTGTGCGTCGGCGGATTCCAGTGAAGCGGCACTAAATTAGGTGGACATCACACCATATTGTCAATATGCATAACATTCCACGGAAAGAAAACGGATAGGTGACAGCTAAAGTATGTACGCACATCTGGTCGACTACGGCCATTCGCTCGGAGAACCCAACGCTCTGCTGCCATGGTACGTCGCTCATGGTTGCTTGTTTGGCGATGTTGGCGATGCGAATGAGCAGAGAACCAAAGCTTCGGCAAACAGGTATTTTCCAGTCTTTATGTAGGGCGTGGATGAATGTGGCCCTGGCGTTGTTTGCGTTCAAGGGACAGATGCGATAGGAGCTTGGGCGAGGGACATCTGGCGAATCGCCGGGATGTTCCGCCAATTCTCATGCGCCACAGTTGGAGCCTGTGCCACAAATTCACGCACGGAGATGGCGTGTGAAGTCGTACGACCACTAGTACCGCAGTAACTACAATAACAAGAACATAATAGTAATAACACCAAGGAGGACCGAGGGCTGCGGATTGAGGGGAAAGACCGACGCGTAGCTGGATCGACACGAAGGTTCGGGCTTCGGGGACCTTGGGCTGATGGATTCCTTTCCGAGGTGACGAAGTGGCTCGCTAAAAAGTATGCAATGAAATCTTCCTCTGCAACGAAAAGCAAATCTCCCGGCTCCCAGAATGACAAGGCTCCCAGATGGCGATTTGCTAGGATGACTTTGTCGGGAGCAATGCTACCATGTTCAGCCTCGTAGTCGATGGTTCCTAGCGAAGACTTCGATTATGACAGCCATTACGCAATACTTATACCCCTCATACAATCTTCATGGCTCGGGCAGTCACGGTTGATCGATGACTTTAGTACAAGGGCGTATGAATCATCCTTACGTTGCCTCTTGAAGGGCAGGCCGGATACCTGCCCGGAGAAATCGAGATAGCTGGGCTTCTGCTAATTGTGTTGTGGTTTAACCACAAGTTCCACGGAACATGCACCCATAATTCCAGTCTTTACCACTCGATATATGCAAAGGAATGGTGGGATTTGACATGCTCGCTGTTGTGTAAGCATAGCTGCAGAAGAACTTGATAAGTACATACACACGGAAGAAGACGACCATTGAGGGGTTTGCTCATTACCTGCCTGGTACAGTGGCGCCTACTAGATGACTGAAAAGGTGACCGGACATGTCGCAAACCCCCTAAGTTGCGGAGTGCAGCTCTGTGTCCAGCTAGCAAAACCTCTGTAAACGCGATAGGCGCATTTCTCCTCGCTTAGTCATCTGTGATGTGGGGGAATAAAACCCGCAGAGCGGCTCCCCTTTTTCCGCCTTTCGGTAACTTCGGAAGCTGACCAGATTCTTCCTAGAGTACTGCTCGATCCCAGCAGGCATATGCACGCACAGCAGAGAGGGCGTCTCGATTGAATTTATCTGATTGCTCAACCTCTCATAACTCACCTCTTCTTGACTGCGCAATCCCCACACCACTTGATGGACTATTCATTGGGCACACCCGAGTCATCCTCCGTCTCCTCATCGCCGCTGTCCGCCGCTGCTACTCCGAGTTCCCGCCGTGGTTCACCTTTCCGATAACAACGACGCCAGCTCTACTGTGCCGCGGCTTGTTGACTCCACACGACGCCTCCCCTTTCCAAGTTCTTCCACGCCCGACCCACCATTCTACGCACGTAGGCCGGTTTACCTTTAACCGGCTCTTACTTGACGCTATCAACCGCGAAGCGACATCTCGGGCTTCTGGTGGCCTTCTCGAATCCAACTTCTCCACACACCACCATCACCACTACCACCATCACTACCACCACCACCACACTCCTCGGTTCTTTTAGAACGTAAACATCGAAGTGCCGGCATAATTCGAACGCGAAAGGCGGCGTTCTGAGCGCGCGCAGATGACTGAGATGGAGCTTTCACGATCTGAATACCCTGCCATTGTGGTCCGTTGATCTCACTCACTCCTTGCCCCTCCTGTATTCGATGGTGTCGCCTAGGTAAAATGGTGTTGACTGACAGTTGCGAACCGTCTCATAGGCATCGGTACCAGCTTCTCCGGCTGTTAAAATCCTTCGCGACAGACTTCACAAGGGACAAACATTGAATACCGAGATCGCAGAATGGCTACAGGTATTCACAGACGCCGCGCGGCCGCCCTAGTTGTGTATCCAGCTCGGAACGAAGCTCACGTTTGGAATCTACACAGGAAAGACGACGAGTCGAAGATGCTTATGCGCAGTCCCTCTCCAAACTGGCCAAGAGGCCACTCCCCGGCGACGGGTCGGATTTGGGAGTCTTCTCGGGGCCATGGGTGCGCATCATCGAGTCTACAGCGGCGTTGGCAGTCACACATCACCAGTTCTCGCAGAAGCTTGAAGGCGAGGCGGAGCGACCGATCCGCGACTTTGCGAGCAGGAATGCGGAGTGGTCGAGCATGAAGATTATGGAGACCAATCTGAGCGCAGCGGCTAAGGCGATTGATGCAGCTGAGGATCGGGCAGAAAAGCTCAGGAGGCGAGGACAGAAGGCGAAGGCTCAGCAAGTGGCGGAAGCTGCTACAGCGTTAGCCAATGCAAACGCCGAGTGGGACAGCCAGGCACCATTTGTATTCGAGAAGCTACAAGCTGCAGACGAATCGCGATGCAACAGTCTGCGCGATGCTCTAACGCGATTTCAAACCCTAGAACTAGACCACGCCCAGAGCACTATGCAGGGTGCCGAGGCTACCTTGACTGCGATCCTCGATATCAACACCAGCGATGAGATCAAGGGTTTCGCGAACAAGGCGACGCTCGGACAACACAAAATCGAGAGAAAACAGAGCCGGACAGCCAGTCACGGCCCATCATACCCCGCGACTCCTTCAATCGTGACTGATGACTCTATTAGCGTGCAGTCTTCAGGCTCGGGAGGAGGTGCCTCTGCCTCTGGTGGGTCTCCGAGGTCAATGAGTCCGACTTGTGTGCTATGCTAACCGTTTCAGCAGGAAACCATGGCGGCGGAGGTCTAGGCCTCAAGCGATTAGGCACAGTGCTCCGAAACCGATCTAATCGCAACAGCATGTTCCACAGATCTTCCTCCCCCGACAAGCGACCACGGCCGCCTCTACCAACATCTCCCCAGAGTAGAGGAAACGATTCCATCAGGTCGGACGGAAGGTCTCTAGGCGTCCCAGGTTCACCTCTAAGCGATAGGGATGTGCCTACATTTGCCTCGCGGAGCAACGGCAATGGCGACCAGCGACCGATATCTGCAAACGAACTCGCATCACCGCCCCCTTCCTCGGGCGGCCCGCCATCTGTAATGGTGACTACATCGGAGGAGGTAAGGATAACTTTCGGTCTGAGAAATGGCGAGCGGCTAATGATTTCAAGCCACGTACCGACTCGGAAGGATTCACAATACCCCCGCCAGTACATGATTTAGGCTCGCCCTTGGATATGGATGGGTCTGGAGAGTATGTTCAGGCAGCCGTTTCTCGAAAAAAGCCGGGCTAATTGATCGTAGGGATGCCCAGCCTCAGTTTAAGGTGGAGATCAAGAATGATGTCATCCGCGAGGAAGAGGAAGAGGCAGATGCCGCTCTGTCAAAAGTAGCTAATACTCTACGTGCTGTATGTGTCTCCAGTGTTCCGGTGACCTACTGTTTACTGACAGAACAAAGCAAAACACTGTGTCCCGAAAGACTCGCGGGCGCCGTGATGTACGGAATACCATGTTCTTCCCCAATCCCCCGGAACTAACTCCAGATCTCACCGGATCACCGCCACTCACACCCATGCGGATTACTTCGCGAACGCCTGGGGCTATGTCTGAAGAGGGTTCCGATACTCATTCAATAAAATCGTCGAGATCGGTAAACAGCTTGGCTCAGGCGGCGGCCATTCGGCACCCCGACTTGACGGAACTTGGTCTGTGTGCCTCTCTCGTCGAGTCGGTCAGCATGACCTTTGAGGCTGGTCTAGTAACGCAAGCGGTCGTGGCGGGTGAAATTGCTCTTGCATACAACCCACCTGCAGGCGGCGAGGAACCATCATCCATCATTCGCATGGACAACTTTTCCGTTCTGGAGAAGGTTGCCCCGAACCCTGCATTCATCTCCACCATCCCGGACCGGTCAGGAGAGTACACGGTGAATAACCAGAACATCCATAGGACTTCAGTTGCATTCCGATACAGGGTGCACGTAGATGAAACCAACCTCTCAACCTTCGCCCCCATCATCGTCTCCCCCGTATGGAGACTAGAGGCACACCAGAGCTCCGTAATCGTCAACTGGAAGCCGAACATGAACTATCACCGTCTGAACAGCAGCACCAAGCCGATCGTCCTGCGAAACGTCATCTTCATCGCCGGAATCGAGGGGGCACATGCATCCTCGTGCCAGAGCAAGCCGATGGGCACTTTCTCGCGGGAGAAGGGTCGATTGGCCTGGAAACTAGGCGATTTGACGCTCGATCCTTCGGGGGAGAACGCTGGAGGCAAGGTGCTCGCGCGGTTCGCCACAGATGCCCTAGCCCGCGCCATACCTGTCGAGGTGCGCTGGGAGATCTCAGCCGAGGACGCAGACACCGTCGGCAGTGGGCTGGCGTTGTCGTTGATGACGGCGACCAAGCCTGCGGTGGCGGAGGATGAGGAAGAAGCAGATCCGTTCGCGGATGCCGGTGCTGCCGAGGACAAGAGCACCAACGGCGCTGAGCCGGCGGTGACATGGAGCTCGGTGACCACTGTGCGGAAAATCGCGAGCGGGAAGTATGTGGCCAGTTAAGCAGTGGTGTAATGAATTGGTCGTTTGTGTTGTGTTGTGTCGTCGCTCTTTGCCTTCCCTTTGTTTACGAGCTAAAAGCTCACCGTTTGCACTCGCATTTTCCTATGTTTGTCTTACCGTCTTGTCTGCATCGCTGGATATCTGGATTTCATTTGTACTACTGAAGAGATGGTGCTCGAGTGGAAGTGGAAGTAGCATCTGTACTATCTTTTGATATAAATATTGTTTCCTTTTTTTTCCTCCCCGACTGGCGGTTACTTGCTCTGTTGTGTTTTTCGTCTGTTTGTTTGACTTTGGAGGTGGTTGCCGGGAATATGTATTGTAACAGTAATGGATGTGGGGAGATTTATTCTAGAGTACTCTATGTACAGATGAGGGAAGCGTTCATGGACGTCACCCGTCAGCGCGAAATGAATGTGAATAGCTTCTGACCAGTGACAGGTGCCTCACATCCAAGCAATTGCGATTATCATAGCCCATGGCTTTTGTGCGAGTCATGCCAAAGATTTTAATGAATATGGGAGTTCCTAGCGGTTCTTGAAGACGGTAGGATTAGAGTAGGTAGTATGCATATCTTCTGAGATGATTACTACCACCCGAGTCGCTTCCTCAAGCTTTCAGCGGGGCTGTCGTGCATGGGGACTCCCGCGCCCCATCCGTCGCCGCCGAATCAACGCGTCATACATAGCATGACCACTAGAGCTATACGCCTACGCCTAAAGCCTCAGGGGCAGACTGCTTCGATACACATGCACGAGAGACGTTAACCCGGCCGCCACGCGCTTCGATTCCGATTCAAAAGCCACCCCGCGCTCCGAACTAGCTAGCAGAAACAATGGGCGTGGATCACCAAGACGCCGCCTCTGACTACGGTAGCGACATAGACCTCGACGACGAGCAGCTTCTCCTTCTGCTGGATCCTCCATCCGCATATACGCTCCCCACGACCGCAAATTTTGCAGACGAAGTCCGACTTCACGATGCGGGCAACGATGGCGATGCAGCGGTGGCAATCGTCTACCCAACTTTACCCCAGTGCATCTCCGTGTCCCCTCCTCCTCCCACGGACAGCACACGCGCTTTCTCCCAGGAGTCCAATAGCACTGAAGACGCAGACTCGCAGTATTTCGAGTGCACAGAAGCAATCCGTGGGTAATCCCGGCAGCCTCCGTGAGCAGCACAATCTCATTAACCCAGCTCGCAGCCGTCGGCGCCGCCGCCACGCCTGAACCCAGCAGCCTATCGCTCTCCTCGCCATCCGCCGAAGACACGCGCTCGCCCTACGATCGCTTCCGCTCGCGGCGAAAAGCACTGTCGGTAACAGACCTGGTCTCGAACATATGGTGCGAGCAGCAGTTCGAATACACGCTGCTGCGGGGGTTCAAGCGGAAAACGCCACAGATGCGCCGCGGGACACAGGTGCACAAGGCCCTCGAGGAGCAGGTGCAGACCGCCGTGCCCGTCGATGTCTCCTCAAAGAGGGAGGATGCCTGGGGGCTCAAGATGTTCAATATGTATCAGGGACTGGCAAGCCTCAAACATAACGGGCTGACCAGGGAGTTGCCCGTGTTTGGCTTCCTCGGCAATACTTTTGTCCAGGGCATCGTCGATGAGGTGTCGTTTGTGCCGCCGCATACGAGGGCGGAGGAGAGGAGGCGGACGGCGGCGACGGCGGCGACGGCGGCGGCGGCGGAGAGGGTAGCCGGGGAGGAAGATCCGGAGATTGTGCTTGGGGAGGAGGATACAACCGATGCGTTTGGTGTTCCACCAATGGGTGAAAGAATTGCGTACCTCTCGGATACGAAAACGCGAGTATCGCGCTCCCTCCCGTCGTCCTCGCAGGTGCGCGCCACCGCGATCCAGCTGATGCTGTACCACCGGTTGCTATCGCACATGCACTTGGGAACAGTAGATCTCGGGAAGGCGCTGGATCTGTTCAAGCTGGACGGCGGCGTGGAGTTCTCTGACAGTTTTATCGCCCAGATGGCGGGGCTGGATAGTGGAATTTCGCTAGAAACATTGCTGGAGCATAATTCCATCTGGGGGATGTGGGAGCTGGTGCGGCGGCAGGCGGAGGAGAGCATGGACGGCATCGGGGCGGAGACGGGCGTCTCCTACCGCAGCCAGGCCGACGGGAGTATGATCGGCTTCATGCCGCTGAAGCATGATGACAAGGCGCTAGATGCGCATCTGGTCGAGGTTATGAAGTGGTGGAATGGTGAGCGCAGCACGGTCGGTGTCGATATCGAGGATGCATGGAAATGTGAGCGGGATCACTTATCGTCAACGCAAGTACATTGGGCTAACATCCCTAGGTGGGTCATGTGAGTTTCAAGACACGTGCGAATGGAGACTGTCGAAGCTCCAGCTGGATCTGCAGGGGAGGAGCGCGAAGAAGCGGAAGTTTCCCGCGCGAAAGCGCTCGGTTGTGGTGTAGATTTAGTTACATGTGGCACGCTTCGCACGGTGGTGGCGTTCTTTGTGTATTTTCGTGTAAATTACTACTTTGTATAATACGGATGTAAATATACAGAATAGAGCATCTTGCAGATACACACTCATTGGTCTTCTGATCATCGTTCGTTTCTTCCACCTCATTACTCCAGCTTGTCCAAATGCTCCAGCCTCGTCAACACAACCTGCTTGCTTGTCTCCTCGATTTCCCCCGCTAAAAATACCTCGTCGAGGATAGCATAGACCTATCGGCACGCATCAGCCTTCCCCGGCCCATATTCGCCCTCAGCTCTATCCACTCACCTTGTAGAAATTAAACACCAAATCCAGCTCGCAGACATTCCCGAAGAAGGCATCTAGCACCTCGACGAAGAAGTGTATCGCCTCCAAGTATGCCAACTCGTTATCGTTCGCGTCGACACAGACACAGAAGAACAGCCCCGCGTATCGCCGGTACACTATCTTGTTGTTCCGGAACTCGACGAAGTTGCTCTGGTACTTTTGGTCGCGGGGGGCGACCAGCCGGTGGACTTCGCCCTTGAGCTTCACTTTTTCCTCATCCTGTCGTGGTGGGCGCAGTTAGTGGGGGGGGGGAGCGTGGGGAAGCGTGTATGATGGATTGGATGGGATGGAGGTCCGTACATACGTCGTATGGCGCGTACCACTTTGCGAGCCGCGTTTTCCCCCTGTGCGCTTGTCAGTTGCGATGGAAGCTACCTGGCTGGGGACCTCGGGGGCGCACTGGCGGTTCTGGATCAGGATGAAGGAGAGGACCATAGTTGATACGTCGGCGGCCGGCTGTGGGGAGTGCGAATGTCGTTTGTGTGTGGCTGAGGGAGGGAATGCCCGTGGATATGAGGTATGTATCTGGAGAGCTCTGGCGTCCGTAGTTACGTGCTTTAGGAGATACCTACTCTAATAGAAGCTGCGTGGCTATGTGTCACGGATCACTCGGGTGGATCGCCCCTGCGTCTCCGACAAGGATAGGTAAGCTGGGGGCATACAGCAAGCCAATCTTCTGTCTCCGTATTTCTTTCGTTTCTTCTTCTTCTTCCCCGCCAACTGCCAACACAGCACACTCTCTCGTTCTCTCGTTCTTGGAAGCTGCACCTCTCCCCCTCCCAAGCTCAACCTCTCTCCCTCCGAAGCTCAACCCCTCGCCAGAAAAAACCACCTCAACACCCTCGCCGCCGCAACTATGAAACTTCATTTCTTCCGCCCTCGGCTCCTCTTCCGGCAACCAGCAAGCTCCCCCCTGCGCACACGAGCTACCCACACCTCTCCACCGCCGCCCTCGCAAGCCCCACTGCGGCTCCTCCGCCGTGTCGCCGCGCCAATCACCAGCTTCTTCGTCTTCTACGGAGCCTCTCAGCGGGCGCACCCCTGGCTAACCCAAATCGCGACGTCGACGACGATCAACACGCTCGGCGACCTGAACGCGCAGCTACTCTTTCCCACGTCGGCAGACGCCTCCTACGACTACGCGCGGACGGGGCGCATGGCGCTCACAGGCTCACTCCTCGCCATCCCCGTCAACGCCTGGTACACGCGTATCTCCTACCGCTTCCTGACGCTGCCGCGAAAGCTGGCGATATTCCTGCGCGTGGCACTGAGTCAGGCTGTGTTCACGCCCGTGTTCCTGGTCGCCTTCTTTGGTGTCCAGGGCTTGCTCGAGGCAAAGAGTCTCCATGATATCAGCGAGAAGATCTTGACCACCGGCCCCCGCGCTTGGAGGGATGGCCTCGTCCTTTGGCCCGCTGTCAGCACGGTTAATTTTGCACTCGTGCCTATTGAGTATCGTGCCCTCGTCGGCGGCGTGGCGAGTCTAGGTTGGAATACGTGGTTGAGCTATCTCAACTCTAGGAGCAAGACTCCCGTGGAGGTGCAGGAGGTGGTCGCGGGTGCGCCAGTGGTCATGGAGGTGTCGGCGTAGGGGGGGAAGTTTGGTGGGCGGGTAACTTGATGTAATTGGGCGGGCGGGATAGATGGTAGATGGTAGATGTTGGATGGGTGGGTGGATTGATGGATGGATATCCTTACGGCGTTTGATTTTTCTCGTTTTTGTACGGTATAGATTTGTTCAAGTTCCTTTCCTTTCCTTCGGTTTCTTTTTTTCCCTTTTTTTCTGTGGGGTAACTACATAGAGGTATGAGTTTAGTGGTGCTTTAATTTGGGCGGTTGTTTGTTTGTATAGATATTTAGAAGATGGCTTCCTGGGGGGTTTGGAATGTTTAGATGTACTGGGTTTGCTTGATCGGTATATATGGAGATGTTGGGATGGTTCTGTCAAGTATAGATAGACTACTTGCTTGCTTGCTGCACAATTTTGTGGTTTTTGGGGGGCTTCGTCATTTAGAAGGTATGTATTCGACCGGGCTCGGCCATGCCATGTTAGATATATACACGATCCGTTTCCTGCTCCCACCAGTCGCCGGAAATCGCCCATCCCATCACGGCTGCGTGGTTTTTGGCTAGAAACACGAGATATCACTAGTTCCGTCGAGCGGAGTGGATGGATCTCATTCAGCACATCTCACTCGGAAATTAAACAGGAAGATATCTCTCTCTCTCATCTCACTCGGAGTGTATGCATATTGCCATAATCATTGAACAAAGCTTCAGTTCAATTCAACCCCACAACTTGTTGCCGTTGAGGGCTGCCGGTACTATATGAGGTATGTACCGGGTCATGACATGGCATGACATGACGCTCGAGCTGGCCGTCTCCGTGGCATGACGCCCCACGACCGTGATTCCGGAGATGGAAACGGAGAAGGAAATGGAGATGGCACACGGGTCAGTGGTCGGATCTGTGTACGACTGAACCCTTGGTGAAGGGTACCGTATGTACTATGAACTCCCACGGGCCATCTTAGGAGCGGAACACTTCTAGGTGGCGGGCAGCGGCGGCGAGTTCCCATCACTGGGCTCTTTTCGGACTCGACGGCTGGTCTTCGCCGAGGTCTTCACTGGGGGAATTGTTTGTGAGAACTGAGCAGTAATCGGAGATATTGAGGGCCGTCTTGGGCAAGTGCAATTGTCCGCTGGGACCGGTGATGCTCTACTATCTACATAACGCCAAATGCAACAGATGATTCACGATGTATGGTATCCTCACGATGTAAAATTTCTGGGTGCCGTATATCCCGGGGACGGGCACGCAGAAAATGAGGATGAAAAGGTGGAGGTTCTAGCTATGTAGCTACAGCTCAGAGCGCCATCTCATGGCTGCTGAGACCCGACTCCCAAGAGCGGGATGAGATAAAAATAGAAGTGTGATGAATTATTCGGGTGGTCTATGATCAATGATGATGTCTAATGGATTGAACAAGAGACAGGCCGACAAGACGAACATACAAGAACAGAAAAGCAACAACAGAAAAGCAATAACATAAAAGTAATAACCAAACCATACACACAAATTTCGCGTAACCTCCGAACCTTCAGATGATGAACCCCACCCCCACCCCCGTCGCGTCCGCCAGGCGGTCGCCGATAACGGTGTACTGACCGAGAGGGAACTTCCGAGTCAAAGTCTTGAGGCCGTCAACACTCCGGATATTCAAAGCTCTGGAAGCGGCCACCTCAATCCACCCGCCCGGCAGAATGGGCTTTCCCTTCAGCCCATCTTTGCGTCTATGCACCAACCAGGCTCTATGGCATTCTAGAGCTAGTCGTACCTCCAGAACAATCCTACGCGCCGAGTCGGCAGATAATTTCGGAGCAGGGGGAACTTCTCCGACATCACCGAGGACATTGCCCGGTTCTACGAGCTCACATTGCGTATCCTGGAACGCCGTAGTCTCAGTTACCGGAAACCCGTTCCATATGTCGGGGTAATGGGAACGGGAAGCTCGGACATTACTTGGTGGCCTTCCCCTCTTACGCTTAGGGACTTCCGGCGCTGGTGGCTGGGTTGTCGCAGCCTGACCGTCCTCTATCGGAGACGTGACTGCCTGGCTGGCGTCAAACCCCGCGTCTGTCCCCTGGCTGGCGTCGAAACTGAAGCCGCTCTCGGAGTACTGCGAGTCTTCCTGGCTTTGTCGATTGCGAAGCCGCGTTGCGGCCCTTTGCGACTGGGTCTTTCGCAGCGACTCAGTCGGGGAGCAATATATCGTCTGATTCGCCGGTGACCGTGGGTTGCAGGTGGGCCCGTTGCAAAGCCTGCGGGTCGGTAGCCGCGGCCTGGGGAGCCATGATGGCGGGACGCGAATATAAGTCGTCCTCGTCCTTTACCATGGGGGAGTGGCTACGACGCTTGGTAGCGAGGGGACGATCGGACATGCTTCCCGGTTCTCTCGGGCCTTCTCCTTTCGTTCGGCTACCGCCAAATCGTGGACTCGCAATTCGTCGTTCAACTGTCCGCATGAATGCAATCGCCGGATTTGGAGCGAAGGAACTGGGGCTCTGGGGTGTAGGCCGATATCGATGGGTGACCACACGGGTCTGAGGGTTGAATGTTGGTGATTGATGTAAAGGCGACGAAGTGGAGGTGATGTGAAAGTGAGAAGGAGAAGGGATCGTGGTGACGAACTCGCGGGGAATTTCGAGGTGAGAAGTCGATGGTTGAATGTTTGAGGTAGAAGCAGAGGAGATGGAGCAGGTGGGAAGTTTGATGGTTGGATGTTCGAGGTAGAAGTAGAGATGATGTGAAGGGAAGAAGAAGAGGCGACGAGAAGGGGGGATGCCGGTGTTTAAATGGTTGGGATGGGAGTGTCGAGTGTCGAGTGTCGAGTGTCGAGTGACCGTACGACCCAGCTGCAAACCGACATCAAAGCAAGCTCACCTCGTGTTTTTCGTTTTTTCATTTTTTCTTCTATTTTTTTGGTTTAATCATTAATTTCTTACGACCCACCTACGAGTAGATCATGGCAACACCTGCACCAGTATACACACTCCGATTCCCAACTCGACTCCCATCGAGCGGTCCGATGTGGCTTCCCTTACCTACCCTCCACTGAGGTGCGCGAAGGAAGAGGCAACTTGGCGTCATTGATGAACACCGGAGAGAGCAGATCTTGTTGAGACCTGGTGGGACCGATGTGTTTTGAAGGTGGGACCCGATGTAGACCCGATGCCGGTCGTTGAACGTTGAACTGATTCCTGTTGTCACTTTTTTTGTTTTTTTTTGTTTTTTTTGTTTAATCATTGAGCTCCTGTTGGCACTATTTCTGTTCTGCCTATCGTCGGTCGGCCCTAAACAGACAATCACCGTGTACTCTACATCATGGTCATCACCAGCATCGTCATCATCGTCATCATCGTCATCATTGACTGAGACTTCCAGTTCAATTGATTCCGGTTGTGTTCCTCACTCGTTTTTGGATCTCTCACCAGTCACCCGTCGTCCAACCCACCGTCGCCCGAGTGACACCCAATGAATAGCCCTGGAATTAAATAATCCCAGCTGACAGTACTCTCCCACCGGTACTAGCACTTACCGCTAACCCTCGCGTCCTTACCGAGGTCCGACCCCCGAGATCTACACAGAGCTCGACGGAAAGAGCTCGGCTCGTGTATCCGATTCCGCTATCTCCCTCTCGCTCTCGCCGGAGATTTCATTACAGCTTACTTACATATGTGCGGCAGCGCATGGAGGCGGCGACCGGGCGAACAAACAAACAAACAGCTCGTCTCCTCTGCCCTCTCGCCTCTGCCCTCCTCCCCCCAGACCGAAAGAAAATGTATGTAGGCCTCGGGCTAACTAACTACATCTTGGTTACTATATAGGCATCCGCAACCGCCATGCCATCACACCGAACCATAGGTGCTCTACATTCATAGCCGGCATCAGCTAATCCTCCCCCTTTTTCTTCGACTGTCCCCAACGTCGGCCCAACCCAAGCCAATCCAGGCCAGGCCAAGAAAAGCGAAAACGAAATGATGACTTGGGAGGAGGCAAGATGCATTCGGGAGGTGCCAGCAGCCAGCGGACACTGGACAGAGACTTTTGCGAAGCGCCGCCTATGTGCTATGATAGGTGCTCTACATAGAGGTGCTCTAGAGAACAATCTATCCGGCGCATGCTAGAGTGCGGCGTGGTATTGTAGGTGGTATGCGGCAGAGATTTTCCCTCCACAGGGGGATCCACGGTGAGGCAGGGCAAAGGCGAGGAACGACGGCGATAGAGTACCTATCTATGAGTATATTATTGAGGGCGGCGGAGACGAGAGTTGCTGGACACGGGGGAGTCGACACCGTCATACTCTACACCACACATCCTCCTGGCGTGCACGGCTCTGAGGCTGAGGGTGCAGATGGGGGGTGGGAACTCGAGTGGGCAGGTTCCGTCGAAATCAAGCCGTCCGCTCGCTCACTCACAGCACGGAGACGAAAAGGAAAAGGAACAAACCGAGAAGCCGATTCCGCACATCTCGGCTGCGGCTGCGGGAGCGGGCTGCCGTTGCTGATACCGTTGCCGATGCCGTTGCGTCCCCGCAACTCAGATTCTCAGATTCTTAGTGCTAGGGTGCTGGACTGGCAGTGCGCCTGTCCCTTACATGATAGGTACTCTGCCTATAGTTAGGCGGGGGATGCGAAACGTCCGCCTGCGGCGACGAATCATAACTATGCCCGCACTTCTGTTCTTACTTAGAGGAGAGGCTTGAAAGGGTCCGACCAGCCTCCGGCGGCGTCGTTTGGTAGCGAGGCGGGGGCGGGTTGGCTCTAACTAAGCGGCGCGGGGAGTAGATCACTTTCTGCCTATCATGTACTGTAGTACTATACTTACTACATGAACTGTTTCCCTCAAACAACTACGGACTTCGACATTCCAGTCCTCGCGGCACTGCGGCAGATTCCCATAGGACTGAGGAGACGCTGCGAGATGCCCGACTAGAGTGCTCTACCTACCGTCTGCCATGTCGTGTGAAGTCACCAGTACGATCGGATTTGAGGCCTCGAACGTTCCGGTATTGAGAGAGAGAGAAATTCAATTTACATCCTACGTTCCGGCATCGCACGGTGCGTACGGACTCCGGAGGGCTGGACTTCGCTGGTGAGTGATCCTCCGTGAGAACGTCGTGCACAATGAATGTGTGGCTGACATGTTTCCAGGAGTCCAGGGTATGAATCCACTGTACAGGCACTGCATTTATCCTCCATGCATATTTCTCAATCACTTCCGCCCGTTGAAACCTGCGGACTTGCGGCATCGTGGTCAGGAACATGACGTGGGGCACTGGGCTGAGTGGCTTTCATTCGTTCGCCGTTCGTTCGGTAGCGCAGGGAAGCGTCTACCACGTACGGTACCGGTGTACGCACCTGAGCGGTGGGGCGGTGGGCGGTGGGGGATCTCGCCCGCCTCTTGGTAACTTAGCGCGCAGGAACGGAAACGTTTTTACTGGTGGGATTTTTTCCTGGTTCGTTTCGTTCGTTTCGTTTCTTACATACCAAGTACCTACGGACTTTCGCGCGAGTCCAGTGTTTTGTTTTGTATCGCCAAATCGCAGGATATTCCATGAAGAAGCCCGACCTGAAATTTGGAATATCGTTGCACGAAGCGTGGAGTAAGCAGAGATGGAAGAAAGGAAGGAAGGAAGAATGGGATGGGATGGCCATCTCGGCAGTGTGCGACTCTGCGAGCGTTGTGCAGTGTGCATTTGGTGGTGTTCCTGTGGTGTTCCTGCATTAGCGCCCAGGGCATGGGCAGAGCACACCCATACACACGCAGGCATTTTCCTTCCTTCCTGCCTTTCTTCCCTCCCTCCACGAGTGCGAAACTGACGATAGGGGGGATTTGCCGAGTCGAATCAGGGCCTTTCATGTTCCGGGAGGAGGAGGATGGTGGGGAAGAATGATCGAAGAGCCATCAGCCACCAGAAATCAGTCACCAGCCACTTTGCTCGAGACATTCCTCCATCTTCAGCTGTGCTCCCTCTGTGCATATTCACATACAACTCATCCACCAGTAGTAGTTAGGCATGTACCGTTCGCTGTGTCGGCGTGACTTCCGCGGGCGGGTAGTGTTGTTGGTGTTGCCGTATGTGGTTATTTTTTTTCTTTTGGCGCTTTGCTTTTCGCGCTGGGGGGATCATCGTCAGCCAGCAGTAGCTAAGTCGGACCACCTTCTCTTTGTGTAAGGCACCACGGCGTCCGGTTTCCACAGCGCCGTGGTCGTGAAGCGTTCGGTCTCGTCTGCATGTACCAGTAGATACACATGTACCTGCGCCATCTCGACATCATCTGGAGTAGAGTATCCAGAGTAACTGAATATCCGCTCCACACCAGAATCCCCCTCCGAATGCTTCCCCGTGAATAATTTGGCGGATAGAGTGCGCTCAATAATTGCTATAACCGTGACGGCGAGGCGAGGTGTCGGGCGCATCTGGTCTTTCCCCAGGATAACTGCTAGTAACATACTAGTCTCTCCCACCATCTGGAATTCCTTACGACAGTGAACGAGATTAGCAGCTCGTCATTTTGGAAACAGGGCGAATCCTTGTACCTCAATCGCCCGGCCAGCCAATCGTAATCACTCGTGCGTTTCACCTAGCCAACACCCTGGCGGATGTCCTCTGCTCACCTCTCCGTCTAGCACCACCACCCACCCCCCTCCCCCAATCCCTTCCTCCCTTCCTCCCTCTCTCCCTCCTTTTCCTTCTTCCACCACCCCCATCCGCCCGCCCTCCGTCAACTCCTGCGTGGCTTCGCACTTTGTTTGCTCGCTTCAACATCACCAGTTTTGCTGCCCTTCTTTTATCAGCAAAACACAAATCGAAACGAACACATTCATTCCTTCAACTAAACCAACGCACACACGCAAACACAAACACACGCAAACACAAACACAAACACACGCAAACACAAACACACGCAAACACAAACACACGCACACACAACCGTTAGCCGCTCTTTCTAACCGCTCACTACACCATAATAATAACGCCAAAAATGGGGGGACATATTCGCTACCGCGCACGGGACCTCAACGTCCACCGTCGCCGACATCTCGCCGTCCGGAATCCGGCCATCGTCACAAAGACAATCTTCTTCGACCCGGCACGGACCGAGAGGATCACTGGGTTTTCGACGCTGCCGCCGGCCGAGGAGGAGAATACTGCGACGCAGGTCGAGGAGGACACTGCGACGTCGGTTGAGGAGGAGCAGCCAAGGACTACACAGGAGGTGGTGGACGAGCTGACGAGCACCCGGACTTCCACGAAAGCAAAGGCTACGACGACATCGGCGAGTGATAGAGAGGAGATCACATCGGGTAAGTGGCTCGTGTGCGCACAGACGGCACGATAGGAAGTTTACTAACGCTATGGATGAAGCTTCGACAAGAAACAGCGCGAGTCCGAGCGCATCGCGCTCTGTTGGTGCTGCTAATCTGTACGCTTCGTCAAGTGCGACCGGCACGCACAGCGGTTCGGCCGCCTCGTCGACCGCTTCGCTTGCCGCTGCCAGCAACTCGGCAACAACAAGCGGAATGTCGACTGGCGCAACCGCTGGTCTGGCTGGTGCTGGTGTAGCAATCTTAGTCATCGTTGGCTTTGTCGCATTTTTCTTCTACCGAAGAAAGTCGAAGCAGAAGAAACAGCTGGCGTATGGAAACATTGAGGATGAAAAGGCTGCTGCGGCTGGAGGTGCTGGCGGAGAGAAGAACTCCCCCTACGGAACTCCTGTCCCCTTCGTGGCCGTTTCACAGTACGACGAGAGGAGTATCGCACCTAGCATAACGTCCGAACGTGCGCCTCGTGTGTCCTTGCGCCCCGTTACTCAGTTCATGCCGAATCTCATGGGTGGTGCTGCTACTACAGCTGGTACTACTGCTGTCACTGGCGCAGGCACTCTCGGTGTTCCTGCTGCGAGTGCACCTAGTGCTACCACGGGCGTTACTGATACTGCCACTGGTGCCAACATGGGTGGTGCTCTCGGAGCTGCCGCTGCCACCGGTGTAGTTGCTGCTGCTGCTGGAGGAGCTTTTGTCGCCGCCAACCAGCAAGCAGACCAGTCCCAGCAAACCCGACAGACGCATCTGGTTCGCACACTGTCTCGCAAGGAGCCTCCCCCAGCGTTGGTACTCAACAACGAGCCCCTGCCCCAGGCCGAGGATTCCAACGGTGTGAGCCCGCTTCTCCCTCCTGGAGAACAGCGATCTTCTTCGCCGACCCCGTCCGGATTCACTGACTCGTCTATCGGCGTTTCGCCTTTTGCTGGTTCGCCGGCTGGCTCTCCCTCTCCCAGCGCTGGAGGTAATCCATCGAACGGACCTGTCCACCGAGTGCAGATGTCGTTTGCTCCCACTATGGGAGACGAGTTGGAGCTTCGTGAAGGTCAGCTCGTCCGTATCATTCACGAGTACGACGATGGATGGGCGCTGTGTAGCCGCCTGGACCGCAGCCAGCAGGGTGTTTGCCCCAGAACCTGTCTGTCCCAGAACCCCCTCAAGCCTCGCCCACCCCCAGGAAGTGCCGGCCCCCGTGGTCCTCCTCCTGCTCCTCGTGCTGGCCCCGGACCCCAGCAAGGCCCCGGACCCCAGCAAGGCCCCGGACCCCAGCAAGGCCCCGGACCCCAGCAAGGCCCCGGACCCCATGGATTCCCTTCCCCTGGCGGACACAGCTCTCCAGGACCCGTCAACTTCCCGCCTCCTGCAGGAAGGCAGTCGCCGCGCCCTCAGAGTCCCGTCTCGCGCCCTCATAGCCCGGTTGTCTCGCGCCCTCATAGCCCGGTTGTCTCGCGTCCCCACAGCCCGGTTGTCTCGCGTCCCCAGAGCCCTGCCATCCGCTCGCAGCCCCAGAGCCCTGTCAGGACCGTCGGCTACCAGAAGCCCCAGTACGTTCCAGCCAGTGCCAGTCGCCCGCAGTCCCCGGTTACCTCGGTGCCCAGCTCTCCGACGACGCCAACCATCGTCATCTCTCCGTCGTTCTCGAGGCCCACGTCTCCGAGCAACCAGAGCCCCACGAGCCCCACTGTCGCGCCCAGACCCGCGGTCGCGCCGATCCATCCATCGCCCCTGTCGATCCAGACGAGCACCAGCGATGTCGAGGGAGAGCCCCAGACTCAGCCACCAGTGACCTCCTCCTCCTCCTCCTCTCCTCCGGTGTTCCACGCCATGTGAGCCGAGCGAGCGAGTAGTCACGCTATGCGGATGAAATGAAATGTGCAACGACAACAACCGAAAACCGAAAATAAAATAAAAATAAAAAATGAAATGTGGGGGGGGCGAAATGGGTTGGGTTTGGGATGAATGGAATGGAACGGAATGGAATGTGTGCACCCTCGCTCTTGCTGGCTGGAAAGAGTGGTTTTTTAATGATCCGGATCATATCAAAATCATGGTTTTGGTTTTTGAATGGCCGGATCATCGAAACCATCAAATCACGAACGAACCATCTATCTCTCTCGCCTGGTAGTTTGAGCATGAATGTGGCGGACCGCAAGGAATTTTCCTGTTACTTGTTTGCTTGCTTGCTTGTTTGTCAGCCGTTGTCGACGTTGCCATTGTCATTTTTACTTTCTTTTTCTTTTTTTTCTCTCGTTCGTGAAGTACCTAGGGGAGCGGGGGGAGTGGGAGTGGGGGAGTACCGTAGTTATGTGGGTGGTGTTCTGTGATTTTTTCCTCTTCTTTTCTTTCTTTGACGATACTCGACTGTTGATTCTGTGCCGATACCCCCTTAACCTACCCTTCTATCTTCTACATACTTCGTCTGATGACGGACAGATCTTATATGCGCTTGTTTTTTTGAGAGGAGGGGGAGGTGGGGTGGGGTGAGGCAAAGGGAAGGATAGGAATGAAGGTGATGGGAATGGAGGGGATGGGAAGTAATTAATGGCTGGCCTTTGCGATTCCAATACCAATATCTGAGAGCTGAGATTTGAGAGACTGGGGCGTGAGTTGATGGGGTGGGATGTGATGTGACGGAAAGGACGAAAACGGATCTACTATATAGTAGGGCTATCACTCGTTGATTGTATCCCCCAATGGCCATCTCAACTACTTCAACTACTCTATTCCTCGCCCGTCCGTACTGCGGAAATCAGAATCGCCATCATACGCCATCATCATAAACCATCACCCAGCACCCATCACCCAACACCACCACCACCCATAAGCCTAGTTCTATATAAATTCAGTCTATAACAGTCTATATTCCCTTTACTTTTGCTTTCCTATTTCCGTTCACCGCCCACCGTCCCTCCTCCCCCAGCGCACCCAAACTCTACGAATAAAACGAAAAACTTGTCCGACCTATCGCATCCTCGCATTAGCCACCAACCAACCCATCAGAAAGAGAGCAACTTACAAAGCGGACAACTACTCGAATTGCTAGTCTTGAACCACTTGAGGAGACACGTGGAGTGGAATTTATTCTTGCAGGTAGCGCAGGCGCGGTTCGGCAGGGAGCGGTCTGGGGTAACCGCTAGAATGCTGTAGCAGATGGCGCATTCGCTGACGCCCTGGAAGTGCAGCGACACGTTCTTGCGGAACAGTGTCAGGGCGTCGGTGATACTCCCGCTCTATTTTGTTGCGTGGGGGGTTAGTACTGGGGCGGGGGAAGGGGGGGGGATGGGGATGGAGGGGGGGGAGGGCGTACTTGGAAGTTGACGACGGCCTGCGAGGCGAGGCGCATCTGCTTAAACTTGACCTCTGGCAATCCGACGCGGCGGAGTCCCTGGACCTCTACCTGGCGGAGGGGAAACAGTTTTGGCAGGCGGATGAGGATGTCCATCGCCTGGTCGTCGACGGGGTACGAGGCGACGACCTCGCGCGTGACTTTCGAGACCTTGACTTTCATGCCGTCTTCGTCGTCTTCGTCGCGGGTCGAGATCCACTCCGCGACCGAGGCGAGCTCTTGGTCGATCAGTAAAGGCGACATCCACTTCTCCGTGAACGCCTCGACTGCGAGAACAGTGCCGCGGTTGCGCGAGGTGTCGAGCCACCACGATTTGACGAGTGAGGGCGTACGGCTGAGCTGAAGGTAGTACAGGTGCGTGCAGAGCCAGCGGAGGTCGTGTAGAGGGTTTTCGGTCGTGTCGGCGGTGTAGGTTTGGATGGAGACTTTGGAGGCGTCGAAGGGGCGCGCGGGGGTGAAGATCGTGGTGGAGACGAAGTCCAGTAGTGGTGTCATGTATTGGCCTTCTTTGAGGGATTCCACGTAGATCGAGCGGACCTTGAAGGATGCGTTCTCGAAGTGATCGAAGACGAGAATCCAGCTGAGCAGGTAACCGCGGATGGCGATCGGCATCTCGCGGGCGAACCCAATCTCCATATCGTCTTCCAGTGACTCGGGGGCTTCAAGGATCATCGACAGGATCTCCGGTGGTAATTGTAGGCTCCCAGCCACATCGGCGGACAGCGCCGCGTCGACGGACACTTGCTCCTGGGTGGTGGGAATATACCGATGGAGGATATCGAACGCCACTTTCTGAATCGGTCTGGACTGCGTGCCCAGCAGCGGGTACACCGCCCCAAAGTCGGGAACATGCGCAATATCCACATCTCTAAGCTGCCGTGCAATCTGCGTATTGACGATTCCCCTTGGCTGGTGCATCGCATCGGACCGTCCCGAGTTCTGCAGGAGAGTGATGAGCCGTGAATACAACCCAGCCTTATTCTCGGCCCACGCATCATCCAGATCATCGTTCTCGCCGACGAGTCCCTTAAGGACTTGGAAAAGCCTCAATGTCGCAGACACCATCGGTAGATGCGGCTCCTCCAGGGGAACACAGATCTCCCAACACGACCCCACAAACTCCAGCGTGCTCTGCCAGTGCTCACCATACATGCTCTTGACGATGGGCAAGACGTGACACAGGACCTGCGCAATCTGACAGATGAGTCCCGGCGTAAGCTCAATGTCGTCATTCCCCTCGTCCAGCCACGAAAGCAGATGTCTGATCAGATTCATAGCCCTCGGTTGGGGGATATTCGGGGCTCCCTCGTCCGCGCTCGGCAGGGCAGCGTCAAGCATCACCAGCAGCTGCAATCCGCCCGTCGCAGCGTTCGCAGAGGAAACTCCCAGGAGCGTCCCGATAGTCCCCATGAACACGCGCTCCTTGCGCGCCGGCATCAGGATCGTCGAGGAGCCCACTAGCATCGCTGTGGACAGGAAGACATCGCCATCCTTCCACACATCATTGCTGTCGACCCAGCTCACCGCCATCTCCCGGAACACCTGATCGCGCTCCGTTAGATCAGCCAGAACGATGGAAAGCGCACGGGCCGCGTAGAACGTGGCTGCATCGGCGCCGCGGCTGCGCTGCATCAAGCGCTCGACGAGTTTCTCGCGGGCCCCACCGGCCGCCAGAGCAGCCTGCGCCCAGTGCTGCGTCGCCGAGGTAAACACCAGCATTTCCGGCTCCATTTCGTGGTCCTTCCAAAGCTGATTTGCGCCGGCCACACTGAGGTTGTCCTTTGCCACCTCCTGGACCAGGAGGATGTAATACAGCAGTTGCGACTTCACCTCGTCGGCGATGACAAACCCCGCAAGCTCCTTGACCAGTTTCGTCGAAAACAGTGCCATCCGCAGAACCGTCGAGTAGCCCTCCGAATCCCAGAACGCCTCTCCGCCCTTCTCCGTAGCATCATCGCCCACGAGGAAAATAGCTCCACCCAGCGGATTTGAAATCGCCAGCGAAAGACTGTTCACCTTCCGAGGATGTGGTGCAATAGCGCTCTCCCACTCCTCCTCCGAAAATAACAGCTTCGCTACGAGCATATCCGCCGTCTCCTTTGGCACACCCTTAACCAAGCTCGCAGCTTTAGCCGCAAGGTAGTCGATATCCAGATGCTCACTGGTCGGCTCCAGAACACTGTTGCAGATACTCCCCACCGTGATATCAGTCAGTCTCCCCACACCATCACTATCGACCGCGGCATCAATCGCACTGCGCAGTCGTGCCGCAGAGCTGCTTATAGCCCTATCCGGCGAGTTTGCCAGTACCAAAAGCTTCGATAACAGCTCCTTCCCGTGGTCGGAGTTGATGAACGGCATAAGTCTGTGAGGGTTTGTTCCGGCGACTGCGTCGAGCACCCGTGGTGCGTCGAGGTCCACGCCCTCCATGAGCTCGACCAATATCTTTGTCGTGGTGTCCTGCGTGATCACATTGCTAGTGGACCTCAACGTCTCCTTCACCAGTCTCCACGCGCCCGCAGCATGCTCCGGCAGCGCAGCCCGCATCTTGTTGACCACGTAACCGTCTAGCTCCTGCACCGGCCCGACTGAAGCAGCGGAGTTGAGCAACAGAACGATCGCATCCTCTTTCTTCTCCTTGGATAGCTCCGGCGACATCAAAACCGCTCGCACCGTCTTTTTCCACGCATCATCGAATCCATCTGGTGTTCCAGCACCGTAGGAAACGAATGCCGAGAGAAGCGACTCAATAGTATCGGGTGAAATTATCGCCACCAGCTTGTCCGAGAAGAAATCGTTGACGAGCTGCCGAGCAGAATCGTCAGACAGAATTTCCTTGCCGACTTTCGACAGCAGCGCTTCGAAAAACACCGCTGCACCTGTGGACTTGCCTAAAAAAACATGAGCGATGAACATCACGGTGGATGGATGGGAAAACCGGAAGATACCATTTGTAGCGACAAGAGACTTAATCAATTCACCAAGTATGACAACATTACTCTTCACCACCGTGGCGTAGACAGTGCCATCATTTGGCAGTGCCTTGAGCACGCCCACCACCAGCTTGACCCACGCCTCAGCACAGCGCTTGACCTTCACCTCCTGGTCCGCTCTGACGATGCCGACGACAAACACCTCGACCTTCGCCCACATCTGGCCCAGCAGCATATCCGTGACGTCGGCGTTTGCGCGCTGCAGCCTGACGAGGCCACTTCCACACACGGCGGCGGCCACCGCGTCCTCCCTCGAGACGAAAGTGCGCTCGCCGTTATTCCCGCCGGCCAGGTACCCCGTATAAATCGGCAGTAGCAGCTCCTCGACAATATAAGTCTCGAGCTGCCGCATCTCGAGGAACCGCAAGCACACGTCCAAAAAGCAGCCCCACGCCGCCAAAATATGTGATCGCGGCTCCGGGCCAGCCTTGATCCCGGCGAGTACTGCGTTGGCCACGCTCTTCGCCGTCTTCTCACTGTCGGCCAGCACGTCCTCGGGGATGACCCTTACGACCGCCGTCAGCTGCTCCCAGTAACTCGGCGGGGCGGAATGGCTGCCGAGCTCGACGAACGCCAGGAGCTGCGCCAGCGGCGGCGACTTCTTCTTCGCCTTGGCGACGGTCCAGCACTCGGGAAAGTGTTTCGTCAGCGCCTCCAGCGCCTCCATGTAGACGCCCGCACTGCCGGCCTGGCTCTTCAGCGCCGCCGCCTTGACCACCACCGCCGTCGCGATCATGTCCAAATTGTCTCGCACCAACTCAGGCCGCTTCTCCAGCGCCGCCAGGAGCAGCTGAAACACCGCCCTCCTCAAAAACGCATCAGTATGAAACGCGGCCATCCAAAGCCTTTTCTCCTTCAGAAACTCCGCAAACCCGTCCACCTCCCCCTCCCCCTCCCCCACCCCCTCCCCCTCACGCAGCATCCTCGCCACAGCCAAGATACACACAGCCGTAGTCCTAGCCCACTTCGCCTCCGCATCCTCGCTATTGCACCAGCGCTCATCACTCAGCGTCCACACCTCCTCCCTCGCCACCGTTTCTGTACAAAACGCCAGCACCACTTTCCCAAAAACCGTCCACGCGCTTCTCACCTTCTCCGGTGTCCTAAACACGCTCTCTGCAGCATCGCTCGCCGCCCTCGCCGCAGCCCGATCATTATCGAACGTGCCGCACAGCCACGGCCCCACGAGTGCGGACATATGCCGTGCCAGCCGCCGTCCCGCCGCGCTGCCCACCGCTCCAAGCACCGAAAAACTCAGCCGGCGGACCCGCGGAGACGCGTCGATGCACAGCGGAGGGAAGAGCCGCGTCCATGCGCTCAGAACGCCCTCTTCGACGACCGCGGAGGAGGAGGAAGCGCTGAGCTTGTCGAGGAGCCCCTCGAGCGCTTTGACGCGCGTTACTTCCTCGCGCTTGCTGAGGGACTTGAAGAGCACTGTCAGCGTCGGGTCCGAGATCGCGGATAGGTCCGGCGGCGCGGTGATGGTGGAGAGCGCTGAGGGGGCGGTGGTGAACATTGCTGCGGTTGCTGCGGCTGCTGTGGTGGGTGTGCGTGTGCGTGTTGGTGGCGGGAATGGCGGCGGGAAGGTCGTTGTAGTTGATGGCTGCTTTTTGCTCATCGCCTCGCTGCTGCTGCGGGCGAGTGTGATGAAATCGATCGAAGATGGGTGATGGTGAGTCGAAGGTACATGCACACTCCAGTCGACTGTAGCAATGACGCAGAGTATTAAGTTGTCCGCCCCGCAACCCCACTACATGTAATTATAGCTCGGTGGACGCATCTACCCTAGTACGAGCTAGATACAGTCGCACGAAGCCGCTGTCGCCTAGCCTTTGTGTGTATCCGGCCCCGACGTCCGCATTCAATGGCGTCAACGAGGACAGAAAGTACGGGCCACATATTCAATTCGACCATGATAGTTGCGACAGAGCGCATTTTGACACGTAAAGATAGAGGAAATCCATTTTGAAAAAGTGTGAAGTGACAAGAGACAGAAAACACCACCGTGAGCACCGAATAAAGCCAAAGAAAAAAAGTAAACCAGGTACATCAGGTTACGGAGAAGTACGGATCAAAGAGGTTGTACAAGCTTTGCGCACAAAAGATAGAGAAATGGGAAAAAGAAACAGAAAATGGAGTGCACCAGTACAGGAACACCCATATCAGAACCAGGAAGAATTAGATCCACCTGTCCCAACTGCAAATTCCTCCAATTCTTACCAGGTCAACTATCTTACGGACATGCGTGCACCTTCACACCTGTGGCATAAACTCGTGAGAGAACGTCACTTATGAGAGAAGGGGCTCGTTAACGTGCGGCTCATGAGAAGGAACGGCGGGGTAGTCGTGGACGACTTCGCTATCCTTGCTCAGATACTCGTGGGCGGAGGTGGTAGAGGGAGCCTCGGGCTTCTTGGAGGTCGATTTGGTGTAGGTCTGAACCTTGGACTGGAGGTCGGCAGCAGTGGCCTTGGCGCGAACGGCAGCTTCCTCAGCGTACTTTCCGGTGAGCTTCTTGGTGGTCTCGACCTGGGAGTTGACCATGTCGGAAACGCGCTGGATCTGCTCATCGATCAACTCCTTATTGTTGATGTAGATGAGCGGCGCAGTGAAGGCAGTAACGGTAGCTAGTAGAACCGTGGTTAGCAGCTATACCCACGCGTATACCACGAGGGCAACCTACCTAGAAGAAGCAGAGTCCAGAATGGAATGTACTTGATCAGGATGTAGCCGAAGAACGAAGAGACAAAGGCCTGACAGAATTAGCAATCTCGATGGCATTTCTAGCAGAAGAAGAGCGACATACAGCAATGGTAGTAAAAATGTTCTCGACGAACAGCACGCGCTGGAACTCCAAGACGAAAAAGTTGGTCAAGTCATGAAGGTTCTCAAAGAACATCTCGAGCGACTCCCGCGGGACGGTATAGTAACGAGTCGGGCGCATCGACGAGACGATTCCCTTAGCCCCAAGGGGCTTCCCGGCGAGCTCGAGCACGGAAGCAGCTACGACAGTCAGCATACACCGATCACAAAACGCAGCAAACAGGGAAATCCTCACCCGCAAAGAGCATGTACGCAGCCTTGAAAACGTAGCGCAGGACATTAACATAGCGGAACGCGAAGATCAACGAAATGGTTGAGAAAAAGAAGAACCCGGTAGCCTTGGGGGATTTCCACTAGACGGTGGTGACATCATATCAGCATATTGTTACGTCGTTTACTCACGACCCTTATCTCTCGCCTCGGCAACCACAATCCACCAAAGACCAGACCGCACCATACGGAAAAAAAAAGAAAGAGAAGAGAAGAGAACACGAACCGTGAAGAGATCGTAAAACAAGCTGTGGAAGTGAGACATCGGCTGCTGCTGCTGCTGACCGTCCTGGTAATCTCCACGACCGGATCCCGCGAGTCCTTTGAAATCCGACTTCGTATCCTGGATGACCGGGTGCGATCCTGGGGACATGTCAGTATTGAAGATTCTCCCTTGCACGTGCACAATCGGAGGAGCAGGTTGTTGTTCTCGTAGGGAAGTGGAGGGGTCTATCGACAGTCGACGTCAGTATACATTTTTTTATCGTGAGTCGCGGAGAGCACGGGTGTTGCAGCGACGGAGAAACACTTTCGACTCACCTCACCGTTCACGATCTGCTCAGCCGCGGAACCGTTGCCGTGGCTTGTCTCCTGGTTGCTGTAGTAGTGGGTGCTATCGGCCATGGTGGGCAAAGTGCAGGGCGATAAGGAGAATGGGTTGTTGTGTTTGTGTATGTAGGAGGGTGATAGTAGAGGTAGGAAGGGGACGAAGCTGTTTGTAGAGGGTAGAAGTAGGAGTTCAGTTCAGTCTGGTGAAAAAGAAGAGAGAAGAGAAGAGAGGAAGAAGGAAAGAAGGAAGGAAGGGGGGGCGAAGTGATGTGATGTGAGTGTGTTATCGAGACCTGACTTGCTGGCCGGGATGGTGGGGGGGGGGGGGGCTTGCGTGTGAGTGTAACTCGCAAGTAAGTACAACTTTTCTAGTCCGCACTCTTGGAGAGAAGTGGCTTTGCTTTGCATTACTTTCGCACTCCCTCCGATCGATGATCGCACACACGGGTGACACAGTACTGCGCTACATACAACTCGCATCTCCAGCGGCTGGATTTCAAGGGAGCGAGGAGATATCCATCATTCTCCTGCATACGGCTAGTGCGGGTGCTGCTGAAACTGGACGTCACCTCGCCATCAGAGCGAGCAGATTGAAGAGAGAAAAAAAAACTCAGCACCCAACATGCAACATGCGACATGCGGCGGCATCATCATTACATGTGATAATATGCACTATCCCCCCATCACCCGTTTGGGTAACTAGCTCCCAACGCGTCACCATGGGCAAGGCAAGGCAAGAGCAGAACCTCGCTGGAAAGGGAGGGACGGTAAGGCCTGGGTGGAAGCTGGGCTGATCGTGACTACTTCTTATCGGAACCTGCGCTCTCGTCTGCAAAGACGAGGGCAAGGCACGGCAGGGCGGGCGAGCATCTCATCGCTGTCGCCTGCGAGCGAGCGAGCGAGCGCGCGGAACGGGTTCTCTTGCCTTAGCTCTGAAGAAACCCTGCACGTGCGTGTGCCAAGGCAGGCGTAGCGAGTGATGTCGCGTGACACGTGTGACGGAACCGTCTTGGGTTTCACTGACCTCACCCTTGTGGATGGGCTGGCGAGCACTTTGGAAGATACGATGATTTGACTGCACTTCAATTGCCTAGCAAACATCGATACAGGACGAGCAAGACAAGCACGAACGAAACCACAGCCCTCCATCCCATCCCACCCCGCCCCATTACCATCCTACTTCAGCTCAGTTAACAGCTCTATACTGCTGCAACTCAGCCTCCGTAATCTCCCTGAGCTTATTCGTGTTCGCGACGCTTCCGGTGACCGCTCCCTTCGCGATCTCAATGCCCCTCTTGATAGCGGTTCCCTTCTGGAGGGCGTAAGTCGCCGTGATCGCACGGATCTTGATGATAGCGATCCTCGGATCCTCCGGGCCGCCGTCGTGGATGCCGTCGCCGAGATCCCCCACCCACGCCTTCAGGCTCGGCGAGTAGTGGCTGCGGATCTTCTCGCGGTCCGTCTCGATCGAGGCGGTGCCGGAGATGGACGCCCACTCGCCCTGTCATCACGCATCAGTCTCTCTCTCTCCCCCTTCCCATCCCCTACAAACAAAAGCAAGCACCCACCGTACTCGGCTTGATAAAGCTCATATTAACATGCGGATCGCTATGTAGCTCATCGGTCTTGCCAGTCTCAGTGTTGGTATGAAAGATGAGGTCTACGCCGCCCTCCTTATCGGCAAGTGCCATGCAGCGGCTGACGAGCAGGCCGCTGCGGTCCTGCCGCGTCGTCATCATCCCGTACTTCGTGTCTGTCACGAACGTCATCAGGTCCTCGACTTTCTCCTTCAGTGACACGTTCATGTTGTCTGCGTTCGCGGTGGTGTATGGGTCCATTGGCTTGGAGGTGCTGCTGGGGGTGGTCGTGTTCGTGGTGAAGTGCTGCGATGTGTTGGAGGGGTGCGCGGAGGACATGCTGCGGTGTGTTGGAGGGGTTTTGCTGGTTGTTTGGTAGAGTAGTGGTCGTTGTTGTTGCAGTATGTTTGATCGTTGCAGTGTTCTTCTCGGAAGCCTTAAGCAGTGAAAGCGGCAGCGAAGACTATTCATTTTCAGCGCAATAGCAAGTGTGGCAGCTTATATCCTCGTGGCGAGAATCCTGCTCCCCCCGGCCAGCCAGTGACAAGCCAGTGATATACCTGTTGTTGTGCGCCGATGTCGTAAAGTGTACGAAGTTCATGTATGTACGAACAGATGCCCCCCCGCACCCGCCAATGGTCAGTGGTCACTGATGACGTAGGATTGTCGTTGCTTCCTTCCTTCCTTCCTTCCCGCATTGACCCAGCGTCGATCACTCAAGCCCAAGCCCTAGAGGCCCAAGCCTCGATCACGCTGGGCGTCGCTCATGCTGCCGGATCGGGGACCGCCACACTAATTACATAGTGCCGAATTATGTCGGCCCACGGGTGTGATTCAGTTGACTTCATATACTGTACTCTACAGTGCGATACTCAAATGTGCGGCGCGCTCTCATCATGATTTAGTTAACGTCGGTATCCTCAATACGCTCCTAGCAACGGCTGTGGTGACATAGCTCAGTTCACCCCGCCGCTTAGAACCCGTTCCAACTGCGTAGTATACTCTAGGTATGAAGCCGCTACTCACGAATGTGCGGGCGTGTACTCCACCATCGTGAGAACAGTACCGATACAGAGCAGAGCAGAGCATACGGTATATAGGAGTGAACAGCGCGCAAACACAAGTTATTCGCAAAAGGCCGATCGATATGATACAGTGCCCGAAACGCCAGCGGCAGTGCAGAAAACAAAAGAAAAAGCCGCCATCTATTATGTAGTTTAAACCGTAGGAATGCCCTCGATGCAAGCCCTAGCACCGCGTCCCTTCTCCTCAAAAACAACAATCATCCTTTCCGCCCTCTCGTTCAACCGGCGTTCCGCGTTTGCCGCGTTCCACTTCACCCACTCTTCGACCGTCATGTCCCGCTCGGCAGCGGTCAAGCCGGCCTCGTCCACTTCCGCCCCGGGGTGCGACGCAAACACGACATCCAGGTCGATGGGATTCCATGGGTGCGAAGTCTGCACTGTCCGCGATGGCTTCGCCTTCGGCGTGCTCTGGAGGGGCACCATCATCTGTCTGCGAACCGGGGAGAGCGGTGCACGGGGCTGCTCGACCGGATCCGGTGAATTTGTCGGCTCGCGGTGCAGGGAGCTCGCAACAACAACCTCAGGTTCCTCCTCCTCCTCCTCCGCCGCCGGCAGTTCCCGCTCATCGCTTGGGTGGTCAATCTCCATCTCGTGAACCTCCGGAGACTCCGATCTAGGCGCAGTGTGCTCCACGAACGGCGAACTATGCGTCAGTGATGTGGCGTGTTCCTTAGCGTCACTTTCGCGTTCGTACTCGGATGGGGTAGAGTGGCGTAGATGCTTTTGCGGACTGGCCTTGCGTGGGCTGGCCTTCCGTGGGCTGTCCATTTGTGGAGTGACCTTCTGCGGACTGGCCTTGCGTGCACTCTTACGCACCGATTGTTGCGGCGGCGGCGGCGACGGCTCGGGCTCAGTCTCAAGCTCGGGCTCGGGCTCGGGCTCGGTGGCGTGCTCTTCGTCCTCAGTCGCATCAGGATCTCCCTCTACAAACAACGTACCGGCGCCGAAGGACTCACGAACTTCGACAACGTGGCGGACCACGCTGCCAGATTCTGATAACTCTTCCTCCACAACAACCTCTTCCATTGGAACTTCCGGAACATGTTCCTCCTGGGTTTGATACCGCTGGTACGGGTGCTCATCGGGAACAGTTGACGCCGCGTCAGGAATGGTCGAAACTGGGGAGGCCATACTTTCGCGTTGCGGCTGCTGCGGCTGCTGCTTTGTGTTTACGCGTTTAGGCTTCTCGGCTTGTTTGGGCTCCGGCTTCGGGAAGACAGTTATCGCGACCTCTTCTTCATACTCCTCCACCTTCACTGGCGTCGGCACTGCCGGTTCAATGGGGTTGGCCTGGCTGTCGACGGTATTGCTTCTGCTCCTAACAGTGCCCTTCTTCTTGGAGACCTTCGTGCGCTTGGTGGGTTTGGGATCTTCATCGTCAGTGCCGGCTATCTTTTTAGACTTCGTCCGGCCCTTCCTCGGGACAGGCGGTGGGGACGGCTCTGGTTCTGATTCGGCAGGCGTATCGTCATTTTGATCGAGGATTTCGACGTCCTGGTTGAGATGTCTCGGCACCGAGATTGGCATCGAGTAGTCTAGTCCTCCATCCCTAAAGAAAGACTTCATAGGGGTCTTCGTTGGCGCTGCACTGCCGCTTCGAGACCCCGCTTTGCTCTTTCCCCTGACTGCCGCAGGGATGAGAATATCGCGGGGAGCATTCCTCATGGATTGTTCAACCGCAAGACTGGTTCTGGACCTGGTCACTTTCTTAGTGCTACGGACGAAGGGCTTTTGGTGCGCTGCATTGTCCTCGTCGTCCGTGAAGGGGTGTTCGTGGTCAAGCGCATCATTGAAGTCGTCACTTGGAGCTGCGTAGATCCTGTTCTTAGCAGGGGTTTTCGTTGGTTTCGAGACGACCCGGTGGTTCTTCTTTGGCTTGACCTCTACAGAGTCTTCCGCGTCCGTAAGCGATGTCTCGTTGCCGGGTGCGGGCTGCCGCGCGATGCTAGCACGGGTAGTTCGCTGCCTCTTCGGCGGGTCGGCAATGATATCGAGGACGGGCTGTTTGGCTATGCTGGCTCTGGTGGCTCTCTTCTTGGGCTGCACGACGATCTCTTCATCTGACCCCGATTCCGTGTCGATTCCGCCATCGAACATGATCACCGGCTCCTTAGACATGATGCTACTCGACCGCTTGCGTCCCCTTTTCGGAGCTTCATCCACATCCGATACTGAATTGGTAGATGTTGCGTATTCTGGGACAGCCTTCTTGCGCCCGCCTTTCTTCGCGGCGGCAGCCTTTGGCTTCACGGAACCGGCTCTCTTTCCCCTCGCTGGCTTCGTCTCCTCATCGTCCATGCTGTCGACCGAGTCTCGAAGCGAACGTCCACGTTCGACTGGAGGTTCCGGTGGTACAGCCGAGTTCGCCCGGGATGCGCGTCTTGTGGCCGGCTTCTTGGGTACGGTCGAAGTCCGTGGTGCGCGCTTCGCCGGCTTGAGCGATTCTGTCTCGAAGAAATAGCATTGGGGCTTGCGCCGGTAGTGCTCGTCTCTGCAACCAACTATGAGTCTCGGGACATGGCGATAATGTAGAGGCATGCATACCTTGGAACATCTTCAGGTTCGAAATTGGCCAATGAAATACCGCAGAATGGGCAGATGCAGTTGTCGATTTCACCCTTCGTAGGAGCGTAGTGGAAACCGGCACCAGCCATCTAGTAGGAGCACCATCAGTCAGTACTAGCCCGGGCGCGGGTACAGAACAGTAAGGTATGCGTACATTCATCACGCTCAAATTGTCGGTATCGGGGTGAGGCCACATGCCTTCCCCGAACGTCTGCAGCCGGCCCAGCGCAAATTGATCACTGTGCGGATTGCACGTGAAGTCCTGCCCCTGGCTCTCCTGAATCTCGGCAGTGATCGCCCATCCACAGTCGGGGGAGTGGCGGTAATGCTCGGAGACGGGATTATCACCGGGCTCCCACCCATCCAGCGACTTCGAGCAGAGGAAGCAGGTCACATTGTCGTCATGGCCGGGCGTTGGATCGAAGTAGAATCCTGCGTCCGCATACTACCGCGGGTCAGCACGCAACGCACGGGGCAGTGCGGGTTCGCGAACGAGAGGGAGCCCATACACGCTTTGCATTTTTGTGTGGCCACTTGGGGATCTTGGCATTGCCTGCGGTCGATGTCCGACGGGGTGCCCGGAACGTTGCCTGTCGCACTGTCGCCAGGAAATAGTTCTTTGACATTACGGAGACAGCGATGGAACGCGACGACTGGGAGTGGGTGGTGCGCGCTGCTCGGCGAGGGGGAGGAGCGTGTTGTTACAGGAGGCTACCTAGGCACAGGACCCTACCGAGGGAGGCGAGCGGGAGGAGAGGGAGGAATTATGGTGGTGTTATGGGTTGTGGTGGGTATCGAGTGGTAGATGGTGATGAGGGCTTGGGGAGACGTGTAGACGTGTAGTGCTTTCCCCGACTGTGTTGTGTTGTGTTGTGTTTTTGTTTGGTGTCGGGTGTTGTTGGCTTGGGTGTCCTCCCTCCTTCTCCTTCCTCTCATGCACTCCACGATTGGCCCGAACCACGCTAACCCAACTGCGGCAGTGATGATCTCCCTCACACAAAACGCAGACGAAGCATGTCCGGCTTGCTTGCGGCTTGTCTGCTTGTGCACTGTGCAGGAGGATAGTTAGAGTGCCCTCATCTATTCCCAGATCACGGGAGCGGGATTCACCGCAATCAGTTCCATTATCACATCCGATTTGCCTTTGCCCGTCCGTTACCTGTATTTGAGTGAAAGTTCCCCCGCTCCACGTGCGGACCAAATCTCACAAAAGCCAAACCCAACTCCAGATAACCTGACCGCAACGTTAACTTTCTTGTCCCACATCTCGGCGGAGAGAGCCTAGAGCAAGTACCTCCTGCTAATACACATACACCTCTACTCTCCACACTCTCGCTCGCCATTAGCTATTGTCCGTCCGTTCGTTTTCCACGTTGCCGCTTGTTAGGCTCCCCCGCCAGTGTTGTCATCTCACTACCCTACCACCCACCCATCCATCCGGCCACAGACACTCCTCGAGCATCTGCATACCCCTCCAACCAAGCCATGAGTTTCTCCATTTCGGTGCGTTAATGGACCTCTACATGTATCCCTTCTTCACCGTCGCCTCGTGGGTGGATCGTGTTGCTAAACCTCGACAAGCGCCGGGTACTGCAACCACCGCGGCCGATTCTCCTCGGTGTCACCACATACAAGTACCGCCGTCGTCGATGCAGCTATTCCACCAGCAGCAGCACGAGCACGGCCGCCGCCGCCACCGCCGCCGCGGACAATCCCAACACCACAGCCAAAGCGGCGGTAGACGTGGATGACCTCGACCCGGCGGCGGCCAGCACACTCCCGAAAAACTTCGGCACGAACCAGCACATGTATGTCAACGACGAGATGAAGGAGCGGCTGCGCTCGGTGCTGTGGGAGTTCAAAGCGCCAGTGCGATATGCCGTCGCTTACGGGTCCGGCGTGTTCTCGCAGGGCACCACGAAGCCGAGCGGGCAGAAACCCATGATCGATCTGATCTTCGGCGTCACCTATAGTCAGCACTGGCATTCGCTGAATCTGCAGCAGCATCGCGACCATTACTCGTTCTTGGGGAACATGGGCAGTGGTGTCGTCTCCATGGTGCAGGATCGATTGGGCGCCGGAATGTATTTCAATCCGTACGTGGAGATAAATGGAGTCGTACGTGCTTTCACCTTCAGAGAAGAAATACACTGATTGCTGACCATCCAACCCGTAGATGGTGAAATACGGCGTCGTGAACATCGAGACCCTCTGCCGCGATCTCTCTGACTGGAACTCGCTCTACATCGCGGGGCGGATGCACAAGCCAGTCAAGATCCTTCGCAACGACCCACGGGTGCTCCTCTCGAACCACGTCAACCTCCTCTCAGCGGTGAGGGTAGCGCTGCTGCTGCTCCCCGAAACCTTCTCTGAGCACCAGCTATACACGACGATCGCGGGGCTCTCGTACATGGGCGACCCGCGGATGTCTTTGCCGGCCGAGAACCCGCACAAAGTCGCCAACATCGTCAACAGCCAGCTAGCGAACTTCCGGCGCCTGTACCTGCCGCTGATCCAGCAGCTGCCCAACGTGCACTTCGTCAAGGAGAACCTGTCCTGGAACGACCAGGCGACGCACACCATGCTACAGCAGGACATGGATCCCGTGCGCCGCGGGAACATGGTGCGGCGCCTGCCCACGAAGTTCCGCGAGCGACTGTACTTCCAGTACCAGCGCAAGTTTGCGATCCCACGTCTGGAGTTCAGGAAGATGATCGGCGTCTCGGAAGACGATGAGCGCGTCAGCAAGAAGCAGGGCGGCGTGTTTGAGCAGCGCATTGCCGCAGACCTGGCGAATCTCCGCGGTGAGGTCGGCGCCGTCATCACGAAAACGGTTAAGTGGCCCAGCACCGTGCAGAGCCTCAAGGGCATACTGAGTGCTGGACCTATAAAGAGCTGGAAATACTTGGGCGAGAAGATCGCGAAGTGGAAGGAGTCGAAACGGAGCTCGTGAGATGTGCGATGGATGTGTGCGATGTATGCGATGGATGTATGGATGTGGTCAGCGCTCATTAACTACCTACCTATCTACCTAGACTGCCGCGATGATTGGCGATTGGGAGATTTTCAGGCGTTTGCTTGTTTGCTTGCTTGCTTGGGCTGGATGGATGGTCAAACATGTATGTGTTGATGGTTGCGAGTGGATTCTCTCCGTTGAGAGCTGTTGTTGTATGTATATAAGATGGACGGATGGACGGATGGATGGATGACGTGTTCTTGTTCTTTGGAGGGTATTTGAGGATGATAGGATGTCTTTCGGTTGGTTGGTTGTGTATATTCACCAGCCCGAGTTTGTTTCTGCTTCTGCTTCTGCTTCATCTTGATACCAAGCTTGTTCGTTCGTTTCAAACGATACAGGTATTTGATGAGTTGTACAATGCAATAACAAGACCAAGACCAGACCAAGCCATGAATCCCATCCATAGCCAGTGCTCAAAACACGAAAACAGCGCCCACCCTTCAGTCAATCAGTGCTAGCTATGGCTTCTTCAGCGCGGCAAACCGTCTCGCCAGCTCATCGTCGGTGGACAAGTTCCTTGCCGTCTGCGGTTTCGGCGCGGGAGGCTTCGGCAGCGCCAGGCTCGGCATCTTGGGCGCATCGGGCATGCGGATCACCGGGTGCACGTTCTCGGTCGACGGCGACGGCGGCGCAATATTGATTGGCGAGCGCATCTGGCTCGGCGGGGTGACCTTTGCCAGCTCCGCCGCTTTGGGATCGTTTACTGCCAGTGCCAGCGGCGGTTCTTTCATCTTTCCACTCCCACTCCCGCCCTCTTGATCGTCATCGAATTCCGGCGGGGGCGGCGTTCCCGGCGGCGTGGCCCTGTAGCTGATTCCGTAGGTGCGCGCAATCTCTTTGAGGTACAGCGTGACGAGCAGCTCGTCGGGCGGCTCGACGCGCAACTTCTTGATCACCCGCGGCGACACCTTCTGCTCGCTGTTCTCGATCGCGGCCACCGCGAATTCCTTCCCGTACTTCTCGACCAGCAGCTGCCGCACTGTCTGCAGCTCGCGGATCTCGGTGCGCGGCGCCGCGTAGATCAGTGATTTTATCGGTTCTTCGAGGCCGGGGTCGCATTCTCTGCGGGTGGGGGTGTCAGCCGCGGAAGGGGGAGGGGGAGGGGGAAGGGCGGGAGGAGGGGTACTTCGCATCCAACAGCCCGATCCTCGCCAGCAGCAGCTCGCAGTACAGCTCCAGGATCTCCATGAGCTCGACGGAAATGTCCTGGCGGATGATGTTCTCGACGCGGATGCGCGCGGAATCCTCCTTGCCCGCTTCGAGGAGCTGCGCCATCTGCCGCCGCGCAACCTTTGATAACGCTGTCTCTTTCTGCTGCGCCATTCGCAGACGAGAGATTGAGAGCTTCAGGGCTACTTTAAGCTTGCTCTAGTTACACACGGGAGGGTTAGTGATGGGTGGTGGGGTATGTGGGGTAGGGGAGGGGGGGAGGGGGGACGGACGACGTGCGGGGAGGTGGGCGCCATGGTGGGGTGTAGGTGTAGGCGAGGTGGGTGGTCGATGGTGATGAGGACGATGAGCTGTGGTTCACGAAGGCGGGTGGAATGTTCTCTGGCCAAGGCGGGGCTCGCTAACTTTCCGTTTAAGATGTGATGGGGTATGTAGTCTGATGGGTTACATAAAGCTCGGTACATATAGCTGGACCATTTGATGTCATTCTGGGCCAGGGATGTTTGAGGAACGGTAGTTGTCATAGAAGAGTCGTCAGCCACATAGGTATAGTATGGCTCCCTTGCTCTCTTGAGAAGCAATAGGTATTGCGAGACTCTACCGGAGACAGCTGGCCGGCAACACTTCGAGCGGGAGCGGGAGGATGCGGACAGAACGGAAGCTCAGTGACGGTAACTCACTTGGTCCGCTACCGTAATGGGATCGTAGGTATTTCAAATACGACAATCCTATGGTGGATCTCGGAAGGGGTTCTTTCATAAGTTTGTTTGGATGTAGTACTTTCGTTTGAGATGACTCAATCACTAATTTTATTGAGTGGCCACTGGAAGTTTTATGACTACTTCGTCATTTTTCGGTGAGTTGTCACCACTGTGTTATTAGGGGACCCGTGAACCGAGTGAACGACTGCGATAGGCGAGCGACGAGCTGCCTGGAAGTGAGCACGGAAGCCACACCGAATGCAAGCGTCCCCGGAAGATCAAGGGATTGGAGTCTCAGGCCCAAAGCAAGATTCCCTCTTGATCCTCTGGACGCGGAACGGACTGGGCATGTACGTGTTTAAAATTCCGCACTAGGGCCTAAACGACCGGCCACTGGGGCGGGCGGGTGCAGGCGGAAAAATCACTGGCGAGGAATTTTTTTAGCTGCAGGAAGAACGTCCATTCCCGGGACGAGCAGATGAGCAGGCAACCGGGCAACCGGGCAACGCAAAGAAACCTTGAAGCTTCCTTCTTCCTTCTACTTCCCACCTGCCCATGCACGACTCTCCACGTCCCAGTAATCGCCTATTCTAGGGCACTTGACGCTCACGCTGCGCACTGGAACGAGCAATGGCGCTCCAAACGGGACGGCGGCTCGTGCTCTTGCGCGCGAGCTTCAACAAGGTGCTGGAAAACGCGTTGAAAGAGGTCACCAGAGGTACGTGTTCCATTTACGTCACTGCTTCCATGCCGCTTGGAGCTCGGCTGCTCACGTTTGTTTGCAGATAACCTTCCGAAACGAATCCTCAAATGTGTTTTGGCGACCACCATCACGGGTAATTATTCGCTGATCCGCTCGCCTTCTGTATGGACCGTGGCTGATGCTTTCCAGTGGTGATCATGTTGCTGCCCAATATCAGCGGTATGCATTGGCCCTCCGTTCTTTATATTCCGATTCGGTGAAATAGGGTTTAACTCGGTTTTGTCTCACAATACACAGACGTCTACGGGAAGGCCGGCTATCTGGCCTGTATCACTTCAGTGTTTGTGTTTGTCCCAGCCCTATTTCTCCCCCTGTTATTTGAGGGACTAAGACACACCGCTAACGACGATGCTTCCCCGTGCGCCGACAGCTTCGGTATGTAGGCTCTCTCGACGGAACCAATGTATAGCGGTGCTCAGATCCGTGTAGGACATCCCGGCCGGAGATTGGGCGGAATGGTGGAAGGTTTGCTCCTCTTGCGAGGCGAGAAGTGGCCGAACGCTGACGTTGTCTGCAGCATTGATCATGGCATCTGTCGGCGCTAGTCTTGGCATCGGGTGGGCATCACTCGGAACATTCGTATCGGCTCTGGTATACGAGCGCAATCCTGACGCGGCAATGGGGATCAAGGCTGTGTTCCTACTCATTGCCTCGTTCGTGCATGGCTACATTCGATTGTCCACGCCGAGACTTTTCCTAATGGTGCTGTTGATGATTTTGCCGGCGTTGATTGGATTGGTATAATACTCTCTGCTTTTATCGAGGTGTACTCGCTGTTGACCGTGTACCGGGGGATAGACTTCCGATTCGATTTATCTCAGCTCTATGTTTCCGGTGCAGTTCCTGTATCCGATACTCACGGCTGTCGCAGTCATGCTGCTGGTCAATGTTGCGGTATTTCCAGAATTTGGGAGTACACAGCTGTGTAAATCCCTATCCGGACTGAGACGAACGGACATGCACTGATTGTCCGCAGGCCTGACAACGATCGAGACGATCCACAAGACACAGAGCGTCCAAAAGGCGGCTGCCGAGCTCTTCATCGCCTTCTCCGTCGGCAAAGACCCTGACGAATGTGTCAGTAAGCTACGTGATCTCACCAAATCCAAAGCCGAGCTCCGCCAAAAAGTGACCGAGTGCAACGCCGTATACACGGAGTGTTCCTTCGAGCTGGCATACTCCGTCCTCGCACCCTGGGAGCTGAAGCCAATCTCCAGGACGGGAATCAAGCACCTGGTACGGAAAACGCAGAGTCTTGTGGGGGCGTGCGAGAGCGCATTTGCTTTCTTGGGCATGGAGCCAGAGCCTGCCAGCGGGACCAAGACACCGCCGTTCAAAGCCCGAAGGGAGGAACATGGAGACGAGGAGCTGCTGAAACAGCTACTTAAGCGCGTGGAGGCGCCGTTAACGCAGCTGCAGAGTGCTACCAGTCGTGCGCTCGATATCGTGAGCGCATGCGTGGCTTTCGCATATGTCCGTTTCTCTTCCGTCCTCGTGGACTTGCTTTTCGGACTGCTGACGGCAATTGCAGGATTCACCTAACATGCCCATCATTGGTACGGGCGCAAGCAGAGCTCGTATGCCGGATGGTATCCTCCTCCAGGAGATTGATATCCATATCGACTGGCTGGCCGCGACGATCCACGAGTTCGGGGAGTCATCCAGTTCTGCACTCGAGTCCGCGGCGATTTCGGGCCCCCAGGAGGAAGATCCCAACGTCGACATCATGCCGAGAGAGGAGGTGTTTCTCATCAGCAGTTTTGTGATGAATCTACGGCATGGCGCAGCACACACGCTGGAAATGCTACGGCACGCACGCCACCTCGTCGAAGAGCGCGCCGAACGCAAAGCTCGCAGATCACTGCACTTTCCGCGGATCAAACTGCGGAAATGGCTCTTCTCCGGCCAGGAAGAGGCTGGTACAACGCAGGCGTTCGACCGAGAGACGTTTGCACGTGAACTGGGTGACAGCTCGGAAGAAAACATCATCAGGGCCCACCAGAAAAGACGCTCGCGGGGCCGACGGGGCAGTTTTGCCGGATCGAGGCTCAGTTATGAGTGGCGCAGGTGCAGGAGGCTCCTTGGTAAGGTGCTCGACTGGGTCGCGAATTCGGACCCGTTCATCTATGCTTTCAAGTTCATGTTGGGTGTCATGCTGGTTGCGTGGCCAGCGTTCGTGCCCAGCTGGAATGAGTGGTATCTGCTGAATCGTGGAGGTATGCATCTCCAAGCGATTGTCCAGCCTTTAGGCCATGCTAACCGTCACAGTTTGGGCACCGATGATCTTCGTTCTCGTTTTCGAGAACGCTGTAGGCTCCACAATCTGGATCTTCTTCCAGCGAACGGTGGGCACAATCGTTGGGTCAACGTTGGGCTACGCAGCATACAAATCTCGGCACGGCAATGAATTCACAATCGCCGTGATACTCATGCTCGGATCGATTCCGAACTACTATATCCAACTTGGGACGAAATACCAAAAAGCCGGCATGGTCTGCACCATTTCCATGTGCGTAGTCGCACTGTCGACGCACTTGCAGACTGTTCCCGGCACGGTGGAGGAGAACTTCTACAAGCGGGTGATCACCATGATGATCGGAGGCACCGTGGCGACGCTCGTACAGCTGGTATTATTCCCCGTCAAGGCTCGTGTCCACCTCAAGGGGTGTCTAGCGAGCGCGATAGTCCAGATAAACAAGATGGAGTCGTGTATTGCCTCCGGGGTTGACGACACCAGGAACGTCATCTCGTCCGCACACCTGTTTCGACGCTTCGAGCAAGCAGAGAAGAAAGCTACCGCCTCCCTTTCCGCCGCAGAGTCTTTCCTCGAGTCGACAAAGCAAGAGCCACGATTGAAAGGCAACTTTTCCCCGAGGGCAATAATTTACAAAGAAGTCCCTCCTCCCTCTGCGTCCCCCTACTAGACATCACAACTAACCGGTCCAGATAATCTTCGTCCTCCGCCAAATCGTCGACAGAATGGAAAACATGGTTCAACTCCGACAAGCATACGGGTCCGCCGTGCTAGAACAATACAACAGCCGGGTATACAACTACCGGCGCAACGTCGCCGCCGCGATCACTCTAACGCTCTTTGTCGTGCACGAAGCGTTGACGACCAAGCTTCCACTCCCGCAATTCTTCCCCTCCGCACGCCTGGCGCACATGCGCATGGTCCTGCGGGTGCGCCAGATCCTGCTGGAGGATAACACCGCGCCGCCGTCGGAAGCGGGCGGCAACGCCATCGACGCGCGCATCGACCGCGCACTAACCCTACGCGTCAAGTTCCTATCGTGGAATGCCTCCTCCGCCGCGCTAGAAGAGTGCATCGAGTACCTCGAGGAGCTCGTAGACCTCACCAAAACACTCGTCGGCGCAAGTGAATTCCGCTCAGGCCTCCTCAACAGACCGAATTATAAAGAGTATGTGGACATGATCAAGTCCCGGAGGAATTTTACGGCGATCGTGGATGGTGAGCACCAGGCGGGCACGGATACTATAACGGTGGCCGCCGCGAGCGGGTACTCGGTCGGAAGGGTGTCGGAGCGTGCGCTGGAGGGAGTGCCGGACTCGCTGGCGAGGATACAGTCGAGACGCATGGAGGCGAGGCTTGAGAGACGGAGGACGAATCTTGGGAAGGCGGAGGAGGAGTAGGTACTTAGTTGCTTTTGCTTTTGCTTGGGAGTTCGGGTTGGTCACTGGTGATTGGGATGGGATATAGAAGCTTGTTTACAGTTTATTGGAGATATTGCGTAGATGGAATGGATCTGATTTTTGTTTTGTTTAATCATTGATTGTTTGTGGACTAGGTATCTAGAGGAGTGGATCAAGGTAACGCACGCACTCCGTTCCTTTGTCCACTACCCTACCCTCCGCCCTAGCCCTTTCCTCCAAAATACATGTAGAACGTAGCAAGAACATAAAACTAGGAAAACATAAAGCCCACCCCTCACTCCGCCCCGTCCCCTGCTTCTCCGTCAGGAGCTTGTTAGTGTTCAACACAGTCCAGTCCGTCCGTCCTGGGCCTCAGACCGGACTAGGCTGTATCTTAGCAGTCTATTGAGTCTGTTAGGGAGTGGTGTTCGGACGGACTAGTCCAAAACTTTTTGAGGTCAGGACGGACTGCAGTCACCCTCGGTCCTCGAAATCCATGGACGGGACGAACTACTTTTAGGCAGTCCGTCCGGTCCGGACTGCAGTCCCGACCGAACTATGTCGAACACCGGAGTTGCCACGAAGGAACGAGTGGAGGGAACAATGGGTGGGAGACTCGTGCTCCTCGACCTCAGCGCCTGTCTTCCCGTCCCCTCAACTCCCACTTCGACATATTACCAACTGCGTCTTCCTTAGCAACCTTTAGTATTCGCATGTCGAAATTAGTAGTGACGATAGTTGAACTGGATAGGTGGAATGGATCTGCGTCGTTCCGTTGGATCGGGGAGTGATATCGCATCATAATCCCCCAAAAGCGATCGGAGCTTTATCGGTCCGAAAACCAGTCCACAAGAAGCTGGGCACAGGCCTCGCTAGGGAGTGCATCGTGAAGATATCATTAGGCTCCCGCCCCCCATTCCACGGTCATTGGTCAATGGTGATGTTGGTTGATAGTTAGCAGCACCCCCATCAGCGGTATCTGGCGTTTGAAACGCCTTCCACCTTCCACCACTCAAGACATGAGAGGCTCCGCACTGAATTCTTTGGTGGGAAGTCCGAAGAGAATACCGACTTCTGATTGTTGCGCCTGTGAGAGGTAAACTGCATCATCCAGACCCGCATTCAAGCTCCAGTTAGTTGTAAGGTTGTCCCTCGGCCTGTGTTGGTTGTATGGCGAAGGTGGTGTCCTATGTCCGTATAGGTATAAAAGCTTGAATCTAAAAGACGAGGTCGAGGTGGTGAAGATGCTTAAAGAAACCACGCAGGAATTGCCGGTTTCTTCGGTGTTCTTAATTAATACCTTTCTACTGCTTAAGTTTGCCCGTGGGAAAACAGAGTAAAGTAGAGTACATGACACCGAAACCGGAACATCTGATATTGTTGATGCTGATAATGTTGATCGTGGAATAAGTTGTAACAGAAGGGGAAGGATTTCGAAAGGCCAACTGTTACGTTGCGCTGCTGCCCCCAGAGTGTTTGTTTCCGCTATAACCGTTCAGTTCCCCGAAAGAATCCCGCAAGACCCAGGCGAGCAACCGTATTAGATAGAAGCCGTAGTTGGTTGGGAGAATCTCCACGCCCGTCCATCCCATCACCTTGAACCTGTCTAAAAGCCTGAAAGGGGAGTTTCGACTCCCTCCTCAAGCGAGCGAGACGCCCCCCCCATGCTGTCCTGTGGCTACTAGAAATACATGAACTCACTCACACCAAAACGGTCCAACACTTGATCTACCCTCTGCCATGTAGTCAATCAATAGTAACACCCAGCGGTACCGTGTCAACCGCATCGCCCTAACCGATCCCCGCTTATTCTGCTCGGTATGACATCTGCAATAAGCCAAACAAAGCGACAGAGAAAGAACAAAAAAAAAAGACATGCCATAGCCGTGCGTGAATTATTCCGTCTGTTTTCCCACCCACCCACTCGGCCCTCCCTGAAACCAAGGTAGACACGGCAAGGTATGGTAAGGCTACAAGCGGATAAATCAATAACAAAATAGTATCAGTTTCTCCCTTCCTCCCCTCCTTTCCTTCACAGCTCCAGACAAAAACGGATCCCAATCGGAAATAGACAAACAAACGAAGACGCAAACACAACCCAGATCCTAAACGGAATAGAAAAAGGAAACATGTAGTATTACAAGAAAAAAATGAAATAGTCCCAATTCCTGTCTCCCCATGCTTTCTCCCAATTTTTGGCTGTCTCTGGTGGGTGGGTGCATATCAACGAGCGACTTACTACTGTGGCTGTTGCTGTTGTCCCTGCTTCAAAAGAGCCAGTGTCTGCTGCAACGCGCGGAAAGCATCTTCACTGGATGCCTGCTGGGGCTGGTAACTCGGCTGCTGCTGAATGAAGCCTTGCATCCAAGCTGGGACCTGAGCCGGCTGTTGCTGCTGCTGTTGCTGCTGCGGAACAGGCGCACCCTGGGGGTTACCAAAGAAAGAGGGGTTGACGTGCGCTCCGGCGTGCTGCTGCGGAGGCGGAGGGGGAATCGGGGGCATTCCGGGGAACTGGAAACCCATGGGAAACTGAGGGAATCCGGGGAAAACCGGCTGCTGCCATCCACCTTGAATACCTGGAGACTGTGGCTGAGGGCCAGCAAATCCGGTAAACTGTGGCATAGCCTGAGGAAGCGGAGGAGGAGGGTATCCTTGCTGCAACGACTGGTCTTGCTGCTGCTGTTTCGGCTGCTGCTGACCTTGACGATCCCGCTGCTTGTGGTAATAGTCGTCCGTACGGTCATCGCGATGCGGTCCCTTGAACTGATCCCGGTGCGCGCGAGGGCTGCGGTTCCTGGAGTCGTCGCGGTTACCTTGGTCGCGATCACGATCGTCGCGGTCACGGTTCCGTCCGCCTTGATCGCGGCCGCCTCGTCCGCCTCTGCCGCCTTCATGTCCACGATCATATCCTCCCCTAGCCCTGTCGCCCCTGTCGCCCCTATCGACGCCCCTATCACCACCACCTCTATTTTCATTTCGGTCGCCCCTGTCACCTCCTGGGCCGCGATCGTAGCCTCGTCCACGGCCGCTCCGGTCGTTGCCACCGCGTCCTCGTCCCTCATTCCCACGTCCACGGCCGCCGCGACCACGGTCATTACCACGACCTCGGAACCCTCCCCGATCTCCCCGATCTCCCTTACCGCTGCGTCCTCTACCACGCAGGGAGCTCGGGAGAGGAGGCGGAGGCTGGGATGCCATCTCGTGAAGGTTTGCTGGACGCTGAAGGGGAACGTAGGGTTCATCGTAGTTCAGTGTCGCAGGTCCAACAGGCGCAGGAGGCTCCTGGGGAACCCAAGGCTTCTTATTTCCCTTGAAGTTCTTATTCCGGTCGTTCTTGTCGGCGTTCTTGTCGCCGTTCGTCGACTTGCGTTCTTCCTTCTTGCGCCTCTTGTACAGAGCCTCTGCCTCGTCGTCCGAAAACTCCTGCTCGGATTCTGCAGGCTCTTCGTCGTAAAGGTTAGACGCATCAGTGCCTTTCTGTGCCAACAGGGGTTTCGTGAACACGTATGTCGAGTGATCGGGTACGTAAAACACCTTCCCTCCCTCCGCTACCTTGAGATCCTTGACCTCTCCCGCGCTGTTGAAGCGAACAGTGTATAGCGGCTCCTCGACACGTCCGAGCGTATCAGCGACAATGCCAACGACGGACCTGTCCTCGAGAACAAGAAGGGACCCTTCACTAAGAACCTGGTATTCCCCGGAGGTGATGGCTTTGATGAGGACCATGTTGTCGATTATAGTCTCCACTTTTCCAAGTTCCTCGATCTTCATTTCCGGTGTCACGATGATATTGGGTCTCTCGATCTTTTCCTCGTCTTCGGGCACCTCGTTCTTAGTGCGCAGAGGACCGGCTCCTGTAGAAGGACCATCTTCATTGAAGTCTTCCTGCATGAGAACTTTCGCGATGTCTTCGGGTTTCATACCGGCATAGCCTTCCTCCTCAGAGTCGTCTTCCGAGTCGTCATCGGAATCGCTCGAATCGGAAGAGGACTCTGCGTCCGAAGTATCGTATTGCCATTCTGCATTCTTGTCGCCTTTCTGCGCAGCGGCAAGGGCAAGGAATTCAGGATCAGGTGGCGGTTTCGAAGTTTTCTCGGCAGGATCTTTGAATAATGAACTGAGCAGGCTAGCCGCCGTGTCTTGCGCATTGCCGGCAACATCAGCAACGGCGTCACCCTCGCCACTCGATTTTGTCTCGACTTGCTTCTCGCCCTCCAACCGAGGACCCTCAGCATCATCCTCTTTTTTGACGACTGGGATGTCGGAATTGTCATTCGTCTCAAGGACCTCACCCTCCTCCTTGTCGTCTTCTTCACCGCCCACCTCCTCTCGCGCGACTGCTTCCCTCGCGTCGCTGCAGTCTGCCATGACGACATCATCGCTGGCAGGGGCTGCCTCTAGCTCGGCGGGTTTTGAGGATGGCGTTACAGTTGTCTCTGTCTGTAGCGATGGTGCACTATCGACTGTGTTCTGGATGTCATCATGAGTAGTATCATGTGCAGCAACGTGTTCCACCGCCAGCTGTCGCGATACCTCGTCATCCTCCTTCGAGTCCGACACGCTGCCGTCACCGCCAAGGTCACCACCAACATTGACACTCTGGTCCATCATCAATAATCCGGGAATGCCACCACCACCTGGCGCATCACCAGCGCGGTCGCCAGTCTGGGGCGAATCATCGCAGACGACGCCGTTCGCGATTGTCACGGCCTGGCGCGGAGCATCGTCGCCGTAGAAATCAGAATCGGCATCGTCACCATCCTGCTCAAGAACACCGACGATGGGCGAGTGGGCGATGGACATGGCCATATCACCGAGATCGAGGCGAGCACGTTTAGCGAGCGGCTCCAAGTCCGGAGCGGCGGGGTCGTGATCCATCACAGCTTCAGGAAGCAAATGCGACGCGATGGGTATTAGGGGCTGTTGATAAAGTTGGTTGAGTTCGGCGGTGTGAATTATTTCGCGGTGGATGAGTGGTGGTGGCAGGTGTGGTGGTGGTGAAGGTGGGAGCTGGGGGGTTGAAATTTTATGTGGATCCGGGTTGGTGCTGGGATGAAGCGATCCTCTGCTGTTTTGTGGTGGCTGCAGTTGCGAGGAGCTATGACGCTAACGTAGCGGACCTTCTAGGGTTCTACTACGTCGAAGCCACACACACAAGCGTATCCCTTCTAATATTGCCACACCACATTCAAGCGATCCATCGGTGTGGAGCTCCATCCTCACCGGTGCCACGACAACCACATGATCCTTCCAGAGAGCAGTAATCGACTCTGCCATGACTTGTCGATTGACTTGTCTTCGCCGTTGATTTCAAGCGGAGACCATCAGGCATCTTGCAGAGGACCCGAGAGAAGGAGAGAGAAAGTTCAAGTACTCGGGAAGGTATCTGCAACCCAAAGGCAAATTATCTCTGTTGTGTTTGATTATGTTTGTCTGGTCAATGATGCATACCGCTGTGGCTTGTATGTGGTCCCAGGGACTCCGAACTCAGAAGATTAAAGGTGAGACCCGGCGAAGATTTGTAGACCTCAAGATGTCCAATTCGTGAAAACCGACACTGGCCTCTGTATAGTAGTAATCTTCGAGAAGTTTATTGAAAACTCTCCATCTCCTCGGTTTCGGCTAGTCACTCGAAGTGAAAACTGGGCTTCGAGACTGGCTATTGGTTAAATCTCCGACGTGGCTTTTGTATTGCCGTTTACGGACACATCATGGTTTTTTTTAGACGACTATAGGAAGTAGAGCACACTACATATCATCCCGGAATCCTCAGAGGACATGTGTCAGTACAGCGGAAACATAGCTATACTGGCAGCTGCATCCGACGAGCCCATCATTTTCCTCGTCCGTCTTGTCTGTCTGTCTGGCCAACAGCAGTCTGGCGGCTTTGCGACAGTGCCGGTTCCGTTCCCGCTCCCGTCCCTATGCTGTCATCCCTTCTCGAAACGATTGACTCCTGTCAACTCACACTCTAGCTGCCCAACACCACTACTTATACTACTAGTATAAACTACACGTACTTATTGACTTGGCCACGCTCTTCCTCGTGCACTCACTCGTCGAACGCCCCCCCCGCGACCCCTACCTCCTACCCCGCGTAGCAGTCATGGCACCTCGACCTCGACCCAAACTGAAGAGTGACAACCCCGCCACCGCCGCCTCAGTCACCGAGGAGATTTCCGTGTCGGACAAGAATGTGGACGGCGACGTGTATGTAGACTTTCTTCGTGGTTCTCGGCGGCGACGTGTATGTGTGCGGCGTTGGAACAAATTCTTTAGCTCACACGTGTATTGTTGTGCCCCTGTTTAGGTTCCGGAGGTCTCATCCCATCGTGTCGGCCACCACCGCGTTTTCTGCACTCCTCCTCGTCCGATCGCTTTCTGCTGTCTACGCGACAATCCCCGACTGCGATGAAGGTGCGGAAGCCAGTTGTCATATGCCCAAGCGGCGGCGGTGATTGACGGGTGTTCTGTTGTAGTCTTCAATTACTGGGAGCCCACGCACTATCTCGCGCATGGCTACGGCCTGCAGACGTGGGAGTACTCGCCCGTCTATGCCATCCGCAGCTGGGCCTATGTCGGCCTACACGCCGTGCTGAGTCGTTTCTTCTCCGAGATTCCAAATCTCAGCAAGGTACGGAAACTCGGCGATCCGGGGGTCGTAACGAGAGACAGCGATTGACTGGGACTCTGTTGGCGCGCAAAGATTCACGAATTCTACGGTCTACGATGTCTGTTCGCCGTCTTCTGTGCACTCTGTGAGACGAGGCTGTATTCCGCCGTCTCGACGAACATCAATCGCCGCGTCGGAATGCTCTATCTCATCACGACTGTCGCCAGCGCCGGTATGTTCCACGCCGCCGCTACGTTTCTACCGTCGACTTTCGCTATGTACACCTCCATGCTCGGGACCGCGGCGTTCATTAACCGTCGCCGAGGCTTCCGGACCGCTGAAGGAGTGTTTTGGTTTGCGCTGGGCGGATTGCTGGGCTGGCCTTTCAGCATGGCTATGTGCATTCCCCACGTTGCGGAGGAGCTGTTCATGGCCACCATATCATGGGGAGCCGTGCCGACGATCAAACGACTCGTCAAGGGCGGTATTGTGTCGATTTTGTTGCTGGTAGGCTACCGTCGGGATATCGTCTCACAACGGAACGGACCACAGGCTCACGGTTTTTTGTAGGCTGGGATTATCGGAGTTGATTATTACGCCTATCAGAAACTGGAGATCGTTCCGCTGAACATTGTGCTTTACAATGTCTTTAGCGGGCCAGGAAGGGGCCCGGATATTTATGGCACCGAGCCGTGGTGGTTTTATCTGGCGAATCTGACGCTCAACTTCAATATATTGCTACCTCTGGCGTTGATCAGTGCACCTTGCCTGGTAAGAAGCCCTCTAGTATACCGCAGCTGGTCGAATGCTAACATATCCCAAAGATCTTGTACTATATTGTCTGCCGCACCACTCTACCTCTAGGCTTCACACCGCGCATGATTTCCCTCTCGGCCCCCTTCTACCTCTGGTTTGCAATCTTCACCGCCCAGCCGCACAAAGAAGAGCGGTTTATGTATGTAGCATATCCGGCGCTCTGTCTCAACGCAGCAATGACCTACCACGTTCTCATCAACGTCTGGAGCACCGTCTCAAGCCGCCTAACCAGCCGGGGCAAATCGCAAGACCTCCTAAACTGGCTAGTTCTCGCGCTGCCACTCGCAGTCGCCGCGTTAGCCTCCCTCTCCCGCGTGCTGGCCGTCGTCAGCGCATACTCCGCGCCGCTCGAGGTGTACTCCGGACTACCGGCGAATGCCACAGGCAATCTGTGCATCGGAAAGGAGTGGTATCGGTTCCCGTCGTCGTACTTTTTGCCCGATGGAGTGAGGGTCAAGTTCGTCAAGAGCGCCTTTGATGGGCTACTACCGGGGGAGTTCCCCGAGAGTAAGGATTGGTCCCGTCCCGGGACCTGGATGATCCCAAAGGGCATGAATGATGAGAATAAAGGTGACCCTTCGAAATATGTATGTGGAGCCTCACTCCCCGCCCGTCACCCTTGCTGATGAGGTTTAGATCAACTTCGACCAATGCGATTACTTCGTCGAATCCTTCTTCAACCGTCACGGTGGGAAAGATGTCGAACAAGACCACCAGGTCGACATGAATCAATGGGAGGAATCGGTTTGTAAAGACTTCCTCGACGCCGCCGCGACGCCGAGCTTGGGGCGTATCCTGTGGGTGCCTCGGTGGATCCCGAGCTTCCGCGGCTGGGGCAAATACTGTCTCCTCACGAAGAAGCGCGGGTGATCTTTGGGCGGGGAGACGGGGACTTTCTTGTTTGTACATTATATATGGGAGCCAGCTTTCTGCACTAGGATAGTTTTGCTACTTGTGGTTAACTGCATCTTCCCGTCGTGTGATGCATCATGCTCATGCACGGCGCGCGTATCATCGATAAGCTATCTAATATAATTCACCCGGCCCCGCGGTCATCGATAGTATGTGGTTCCGGGCGAGAAGGTCAATCGTGTACAGTGCAGCTACCAGCGCGGTGTCTTAGAAAAGTGCCCGATGGAATGGTTATGCTTCACTTATACATACCTACCCATACCGGGTGCTGTTCTATAGAAAGGATGAGGGGCCGCTTTTCTACTTCCTTTCTTTTATTTACTTGTCCAGCTGCGGTTGAGTCGAAACATGTCGTCTTTCATCATGATACTTCCGCTGTGGACGTACCTCCTAGCTATTGCCTCGGTGGCCTTCGCGCTTTCGCATCGATACCTCCGTAAATCAAGAGCTCACTCGGCACCAGCAACGCAAGATAAGAAGCCTTCACAGTTCCAGAAAAGCGAACGAACACACGGAGGCACCTCACCCCTCCAAATCACATTCCATGGCCTCGCACAGCTAACAATCACCAGTATGGCCGCCCTCAAGCTTCAAGACGCCCGTTCCCCCGGCGTATCCCGACTGGTCCCTCACCTCGACGAAACCACTATCCTACCGGCCCTTCCGCCACGGCCCCAAGTACTTCATCACCATGGGTCTGCGACGGATGGCCTTCGACGACTGGATCGAGCTGGACAACGAATTCCTCTCGTTCCACGCACAAAAAGCTTCGCGCATCCTCACGCGCGGCGAGAAGTGCTGCCACACCACGCCCGAGGCGATGCCGGCCGCCTATGAGCTCCTCGAGGAGCTCGCGGCGTACCTTCCGGCGCGGTATCCCAGCTTGTATACGCGCACGGATGTGGGGATGGATAACCTCGCGACTGGCGAGTCGTTCGACATTGTGCGCCGCCCGTTGGTCGAGGACCCCATGGTGATGGCTGCGCGGTGGGTGCAGGACGACCTCGCGATCATGCTCGAAGGCCCCGACGGGATGTACTATCTCAAGGCCGGCTGCACGCTGCTCACGGGCTTCTGGCGCCTGCAGGATAAGCTCGGGATGAGTCTTGACAACATTCACCTCTCCGGCGACGTCCCCGGGTTTAGGCAGAAGCTGCAGAAGGGGATGAATAACTTCTTTACGCGCATACAGCCTGAGGCCCCCATGGTTAGGAATAATTACTTCATCCAGGTGGATGGTGTGCTGCCCTGGAGCCCGAGTATTGGTAGCGAGGATGGGAGGGAGGGCGAGTTTGGTTGGTTCACTGCCGAGAAAGATAAACCGATCGAGGAGATTTATTTTAGGAGTGAGAGGCAGAGCCTTAGGAGGCTTCCGAAGAGTGGCGGTGTGGTGAGTTTACTCTCTGGATAGGTATATGGCGGAGGGATTTGTGAGCTGATGGGAGAAGGTCTTCACCATCCGCACCTATTTTGCCCCAGTTCCGGAGATCGCGAAAGAACCGTATGTTCCCGGAAGACTTGCGAGTGGGATACGGAGCTGGGATGAGGATGTGGCAAAGTATAAGGGCCGTGATCGGTATGAGACTGTCCTGCTTGCGTACCTAGATAGCGAGCATCAGAAGCAGGTGGAGGCAGGATTACCGGTCGATAAGGAGGATGGGACGCTGGGTTATCCTTGGTAAATCTAGACGCAGGTTTCCTATTAAATAATACCCGAAATGCAATTGGATCCTTCGTGTTGGAGGGGTCCGGATGTGTATCTGCAGTGTTGTCGAGCTACCTATGCAACATGTGGTGGCATGTGGTGGTGGTGGTTGTCCTAGAAACCACCGCACTAGGACCCCTTGCTCCAAGTGAGAGGGTAAAAGTGACCATGGACCTCTCTGGGGGTTTGGCGTGAATCTCGTCACCATCAGTCGGTCGCGCCCACAACAAAGAGAAAGCGAGTCCTCCGCCCCCCGTTCGTTGGCGTCTGAGTGATCGCCGCCACGTCTGAATCCATCAGCTCGCTTGAAATAACAATCGTCTGAATTGGAGCATCATTCTCTACCTGTTTACGAGTACCCCATGTTGGGCGATAACCGTCCATGCCTCCACCTCCTACACCGCCGCCGCCGCCACAAACACACAATGAGGAAACCCACGAGCAAGATCGGACCAGTCCCCTGCCGTCCTACTCCGATGGCGGTATATCCACCTCCTCCTTTCGTTAAACGAAAACGTAGCTCACGTCTTAGACCTTGAAATCCTGCACGAAATTGTCGCGCTGGCGACCACGATCCCCGGCGACGCCTTCCGCGGGTTGTGGAAAGCGTACGACTACGTTCTCGCCGCGCGCAAGATCGATCCCAAGGAGGACAGCCGATACTTCCGTGGGATCCTGGAGCTGCAACATGCTCCGGGCGAGGATCTCAGGGAGAAGTTTATTTTCCTGCTCGACAAAATCGGCGCCGATATTGAAACCACCCGCTTTACCGACCTGAGTGTCCTGCCGGAGGAGGTCACGACGGAGTTTAATAGGTTGCGCCTGGAAGAGGCGAAGGAGCGACGGGATAGGGCGCGACAGGCGGCCTCCGGGGAGCCGGATGAGGGCGAGGAGTATTTGGCTGAAGATGAGGGGTCGGGAGACAACACCAACGCGCACAAACTCAGGGAGATGGGGGTCCGACGGTCCAGATTGCTCAAGTCGCCAGAGGATACCAGGAACGACGCCGTGAGGGTGGCCAATGCCGCCGCGCAAAAGCGACGGCTGGAGATGCGCGAGCGCCGCGTGGCCTCGTCCGGTTCGGAGGCCGAGCCACAACATCGGCACTCGGAGGCCGACGACGATGACTACACGACCAGTGATAAGCTTATCAGTACTGCCAACAGAGCCTATGAGTGCGTCATGTTGCACAAATTCTTCCACCTCTGGAAGGAGCGTACCGTGCAAAAAGTGGTACGTCGCAAATTCTTTGAACACCAGGCGGAGGTGTATAACCGTACTACTTTGTTGCAACAATCGTTTGACATGTGGAAGGAACAACGGTGGTTTGCGAGGATTGGAGAACGAGCCACGCGACGCTATCGTCTCACCTTACTTTCCAAAACTTGGAACAATTGGGCGCACCGCACTGCCGCGATCGTTCAACGGACACACGAAGTGCAACAGCGGATACTGGCGAGAAAGTACTTCAACATCTGGAAGCGACGAGTGCAAGGGGACCGGGAGAAGGTGCGGCGCTTTCGGCTACAGTCGGTGCTGTATCGGTGGATGGATACCTGTCAGAAACAACGAGACTCGGAGCTGCAGGCCGTGGAGAAATACCAGGAGAATCTGGTGTCGCGCTTCTACTGGCAGTGGTATTTTGCGCATTTGAACGTTGCCGTGCCGCAGCGGTACGTGGAATGTCTAGCCCACACAGCATTGGAGGAATGGGCGGCGAAAGCGAACGGATTGATTGAGCTACGCTTGATGGCGACCGAATTCCGCCGACAAAAGGACCTACAGAATGCGTTCTCGCGCTGGGTTTACAAGACCGACCGCAACTTGGAGGACCAGGACCATGCGTTGAACCACCTAGACTTGTACCGACGGCAGACCGCCTTCGGTAGCTGGAGGCGTCAAGCAGCTTGTGCACCTCTTGTCAAAGGGATGTTGGAGGTTGTCACGGACCGCATTGTCTATGAGAAATTCATTGCCTGGAGGAAGCGCACAAAGAACGAAATCGCGGCAGCAGAGATGTACAAGGAGAACCTCGCTCGAAGAGCGTTGCGCACCTGGCGACTGGCGCTACGGCTCGACATCATGACGGAGCACCACGACGTGGCGATCCGACGAAATACGCTACAACAATGGGTGCGACAAGAACGGCTTCAGCTACTCGCGCGCACCCACAACCGTAAAATCGCCCGGAACGTCATCCAGATCTTTGCCCAGCGCTGCAGAGAGAGGAAGGAAATGCTACGACAAGCGTATCGACAAACTACGATCCGCCACCGCCGGACTATAGTGAGAGATATCCTCATTTTCTGGTACCACCGACAGCAGTTCCTTCGCGAGAGGGAACAACACGCGGCAAACAGATACAACGCCACTTTGATGGAGAAAGCTTTGTTCATCTGGCGGGAGCGCATCGCAACCATTAGATACCACGAGAAACTCGCCGACGATGCGTACTACTTCTTCAGGACCAAGCAGACGTTGACGCGTTGGAATGTGGCGGCCGCCGAATCCAAGAAGCAGCGGATTAGAGAGGCGTACCACGTAGTTTCGCGCAACAGAAAACGGCAAACCGCGCAGCGGTTTTTCCGCCGATGGCGGGCTAAAAGCGATCAGCTGTGGGATCAGGAGCAACGGGCGACCGATTACGCACACGCCAAACTGCAAGAGCTGGGACGTAATATCCTGTTCAACTGGAACTCTCGTGTCGCTGTTGCCTTGGACCACTGGGCGGAAGCCGAAGACCTCGATCATCGTCGGATCGTTGGACTGGCCTTCAACGCCTGGCTCGAAAACCGTCGCCGTCTCCAGGAGCAGGAATTGAGGGCGCAGGTGATGGTACACGAAAGCAATTTGCGGCTAGTACACAAGTACATCAAGCGATGGGACACACGGCAGGCGCGACTAGGCTGGCGTCACCAAGATGCCATTCGACAATACGAGCGCACCCAGACAGCCAGAGGCCTCTCCTTCTTCCTAGAATGGCACGAGAAAGCCCTCCGGCGGCAACAACAGCACGATTCTTCGATGCAGCAGATGGATTCGTTCGAAGACGTCACGGTCATCCAGCCTGCAAAGGGCGGCGGCGGAACCGTTACGCCGCTCAGAGGCTTTAAAACCCCCGGATGGAAAACTACTGGTGGGTCGAGGAGGAGAGGTGTGCTGGGAAATCGCATTCTGGCTCCCAGTACACCGATCGGAAGTCCCGGAAGTCCGCTCAAAAGATTCGGTATGTTTGGAAGGAGTACATTGGGGAGGGTGGTGGAGCCCGATGATGATGAGGGCACCCTGGTAGGGTCGGGATCTGGGGCTCGCACCATTGCGAGCCGCAGTAGTGTGGCTGGTGGGCTGTGAGGATCTGTTTTCTGTTTTGGTTCTTTACCCGGACTTTGGGGCGCCGGTTTTTGGTGACATTCTGCTTCTTTCTTTCTTCAGCGGGTGAGCGGGGCGTTTTGATTCTTCTGTTTCTGTTGATGATCTGTTGATGGGCGTTTTCGTCTCTGCAAGTTCTTGGATACCATGGGCCATGGCTGCTCGCTTCTGCTTCTTCCGAGTTCTTTTTCCGTTCGAATACCTAGCATACTTACTCACGGTTGTGATGTGAAAGTACTTTGTTTAGTTACGTTACTGGAAATAATTGTATGCACTCAATGGGAGTAGGGACTCGGGAGGGATGCGAATCAAAGTAGTGTACAAAATAACCTGTGTTCATCAGCCCATGTGCGCCCATATCACACATTCCACTCATCTTGATATCGACCGGTAATAACCAGCGGGATCTCGGAGGTCATGTTCTCTCGCTCCGTCGTCGCCTGACGCGTGAAAGATATCTCACGTGGAGCGTCGTGTCGTTGTCAAGCATGTAGATCCTCGTCAAGGTGGGGTTAACATGGTAGGTGGCGCGAGCTTGGTGCTACGTAATTCCCCTGCAGAGGGAGCTGTTCAGGGAACACCAAACACGCTCTTCAAGCTCACTGCCGCAGCAGCACCGCCGCCTCCACACAACCGCCCTTCGGCCATCTTGCTGACCTCTTCCGATAAACCTTAAGGATATCTAACGAGTTGACATGCGCGTACCGCCCACAGCACTACGATAGTCCTAGATTCTCCACATCGATGATCCATCCCGGACGGCCACAGTCCAGGCCGCAGGCAACGTGCACAGGCGAGTGGCAGCGAAAACGCATCATCGCGTACATCTCCGGCGACAGCTTGGTTATTCTAGGCGCCGTTGATCAGCTCATACAGACGATCTACCCGGGCGCGGACGAGCACTTGAAGGCGGTCGCGATCGATGAGGTCACCGGAAAGCTCGCCGTGTGTGCTGGCGGGAAGGTGTGGGTTCTCAGACCGAACGGGAGGGGTGGGGACTATTTGAAGGTGAGCGTGAAGGGCAGGGCAATGGGGGTTTGGGGCTGATGTCACGGTGGCAGTGGGAATCGCAAACTCGGATCTCGCTCGATGCCTCGGACGGCCCAGCAACGACGCTCTCTTGGGGCTCCAGCGAGGAGCTCCTAGTCGGCAGCAACTCCCTGACGCTATGGTCCACGGCCGCTACCAACGACACGGCGGATGTCCGGCTGCTCTGGCGGCGCCCTCTCGCCAACCCCGCCGCGCTCGCAGTCTTCAGCTGGGACGCATCTCTCGCCGCCTCGGTGGCCCACCATGACCGGCTCGTCAAGATCTGGTGGAAGATTTCGATTGGCAGCGACGACAACCAGCTCGACTTTGCGTATCTCCCGCATCCGCGCGCGGTTACGTGGATGCAGTGGCGCCCGCCCATGCAGCGCGGGGAGACGGTGGATAATGTGCTGTATACCATCACGGCGGACCAAGTACTGCGGGTATGGGCGCCCGTGTATCCGCACGATGGGCATCTGCTGCAGCTGTGGGCAGTTTTGGATCTGCGCGAGAGTATTCCACGCGCACCCGGAGCACCGCAGGATGAGAGGTACCATGCACTCATTGTGGATAGCAAAGTGTTCCGGCTTGGAGCGGAGCAGGCGGTGGCTACGGCGGGGGAGAGTAATAAGGAGCAGGAGATTCTTCAGCGGCTCGTTGAGGTCGCAAAAAGGAGCCCTGATGTCGTGGTAGTGTTTGATTCCCGGGGACGGCTGAGTGCATGGGGCCTTGAGAACGTCTCGTGCAAGAGTCGGAAAACGACAAATACTTTCAGTATTGTGCATGCCGAGAACTCCGGCGTCAGGGTCGGGAGTGGTGAGACGATATTTACGGCGTTCGCGGGCGGGATGGGGTTGGTGGTGTTGGCGCACTCGTTTGAGGGGCGGATATGCTGGCTGGAGTCGAGGCTGGATACGCTGCTTGATCTTTCGCCGAGTGGTGTCAGGTTCCAAGTCAAGGGGAAGTGGACTGGACATGATGCACCAATCCAGTCTGTGATGCGGAACGCAGACGGGAGGAGCTTGTTGAGTTCAACGGAGGCGAACCGGCACCTGATATGGACACGGGAAGAGCTCGGGGATTCAGTAGCATTGCAGAGGAAGAGTTCACTACAGCCACATGATGTAGTCGAGCGGGCTGTGATTCTGGAAAACGGTAGATTGCAGCTTCTTCTCCCGTGGACGCGTTTTTCTGACATGATTTAGGGGACTACATCATGACCTTGCACGCCGACTACGTGGCATTATGGGATACTGAACCTGCCGTCTCGGTGGAAGTAGCACGTTGCAACTTCACTAATAACGGAAAGATGTTGTGTCTACTACTGCTCCCGGAGATTGCCAACAGCCCGCCGATGTACCATGTTGTGGCAGTCGACGAGGAAATGACAGGCATTGCCTGGGAGGTCTCATTACCACTCCGGCCGTCAAAAGCAGCGCACGACGGGGCAAACGGAAATGTCCTCTACCTGAAAGAATTGGCAAGATTTGATCTGGGACCGCGGGATGGATTACTAGCCATTATTCCCGTTGATCCGGTGGGCTGGAATGCAGTTCTCTCCGAGAGCCTGGACATGTTTTCCCGTGAGGTAGCCACAACGATATCCAAGTCCGGCCTACTTCGATCTTGGACAGTTAAGGTCTTCAAAGACGAGGCGAAACTAAAATGGCTAGCCACATCGACGGTCGAAACCGGTGTTCAAAACCCATCGCTGGCAAAGGGCAACTCCATACGCAAGATTGCGCTAGTCGATGAAGCCAGGACAGAATTGACTATCTGGGATTCGAAGTCGCCGCAGCTGGAGTTTAGGAAGCTGTCCGCAAATGGCGAAGTTATACGGGATTTGGACTGGACATCGACACCGCAGAGTCAGTCTATCCTCGCGGTGGGATTCCCGCATCGAGTGGTGTTGCTTTGTCAACTGCGATACGACTACTTAAATGCCGGGCCCGCTTGGGCTCCATTCAGGGAAATCGGCATTGAAGCTATGACGCCACATCCGATCGGTGATTCCGTATGGCTCCAAGACGGTGCGCTAGTCATCGGTGCCGGAAACCAGCTATTCCTCTATCCTAAGAAGATAGAGGGTGAAGACAAAATCCTGGACTCGTTGCATCTGACTTCGCATAACAGCAAGTTTGACAACATCTTCGATATCGTCTCGCAGCTAAATGGACCGCTACCGGTGTATCATCCACAGTTCCTGCAGCAATGCATTCTGGCTGGAAAGTCGAAGCTTGTCGAGATGATACTTGTCAAGCTGTACAAGGAACTGAGAAATTATCATGAGGAAATTGGTCTGGATCCGTTTTTGGATTTGCCAATTGATACGTTACTCGCGAGAGATCAGGTATTTGTTGCACTGGTCTTTCTTGGAGGTAATCTGACGATATGCCTGTAGCCTCCGATGCTGAATAGACGGGCAAGTACATACTCGCCGTTCTTCGACTCCTTCCAGGAAGATGAGGATCTTTCCACCGTCGACGAAACACTAGCAGAAAAGCTCCGCGAACTCCTCACGAATATTCCCATTCCGCACATGACCGGGCCAGAACAAATCAACCTCGCAGTGATCGCCGAATCGGTAGCGCAAGTCAACAAGCACCGACGTTCCATGGACGAGCACGGAGCGCAATACCTACTGTTCTTCCGCCAGAACAATTTCCGCCGCGAGCAAGCGGAGCACGAAATGTCATGGCGAGAGATCACTTGGGCGTTTCATAGCGCCTCGCAGGAGATCCTCGTGGATCTTGTCAATGGGAATTGTCAGGGGCGAATGATGTGGCAACAAGCAAGACAATCGGGTATCTTTATGTGGCTGAAGGACTCTGAGGCAATCAAGAGGCAGTTTGAGGCAATCGCTAGGAATCACTATACCAGTACCGACGAGAAGAATCCTGTTGACTGCTCTCTCTACTACCTTGCGCTCAAGAAGAAGAATGTCCTGACGGGGCTGTGGAGGATGGCGAGTTGGCACAAGGAGCAGACGTCTACGTTGCGCTTCCTGTCGAACAATTTCAACGAGCCAAAGTGGAAAACGGCGGCGCTGAAGAATGCGTACGCACTGCTAGGGAAGCACCGGTTTGGTAAGACCCATTCCTAACTTCAGATGTTTCCCGTGGCTGACGAAATCAAACAGAATACGCGGCCGCCTTTTTCCTTCTCGCCGACTCTCCCAAGGACGCTGTCTCCGTCATATTCTCCTCCCTTAAAGATCCCCAACTTGCCATCACCATTGCCCGCGTCTACGAAGGCAACGATTCGGGTCCTGTCCTCCGCAACCTCCTCGAGAACAAGATCCTCCCCAACGCCGTGGCCGAAGGCAATCGCTGGCTAGCCTCATGGACCTTCTGGATGCTACAGCGCAGAGACATGGCCGTCCGCGCGCTTCTCTCCCCGCTCTCAACCATCCACGCTCCCATCACGGCCCCTCAAAACCCCGACAGCCGCCTCTTCCTCCTCAACGACCCTGCGCTCATCATTTTCTACAAGCACATCCGCTCGCGCACCACCACAACCCTCAAAGGCGCACATGAAATCACCCCAGCGATGGAATGGGGCTTCGTCGTCGCCACAGCCTGCGTCTATGACCGCATGGGCTGTGACTTCCTCGCGCTGGATCTCGTCAAGAACTGGGAGTTCCTACATATCGAACGCAACGTCCTCACCACCAACCCGAACTCACGCTCCCACGCTAGGAATCTGCTGCGAAAGGCGAGGAGGAACTCGACCATTATTGCCGATGATATCCTGGAGTTCAGGGAGGAGAAGAAGGATACGGCGACGGCGGTGGTGACCGAGAAGGCCCCCGCATGGAAGGAGGGCCTGGTTAAGCCGCCCGCGGCGGTGTGGGAGGAGCCGGATATGAGCTGGGCTTTTTAGGTAGATCATCTGCGCTGGAGGATGGCGTTGGAGCATGTTTTGCGTTTCGTTTGTATATGGTACGATGTTGGAGACTTTGTTCTTATAATACGACACAGTTGCTACGATATGGATAGGATCTGGTTGTGTTGATGATATCTGCGTGACTTTCGTACACATCAACACGTGATAGAATATGTGAGATGAGTTTCTGATAGTATCGTAACCATGTCACTCGCTCGACGAGGAATATACGGTGGGATAATGACTGTCGAGGGCCTCCCGAGGAGCAACTAAGATTGTAGACTACGATGATACAGCTCGATATCCCCTTATGTTGCAAGATTTAGGTGAATGGTTAGTTGCAAAGCCCCGCGGACAGCGTTTCCAGGTCCTGCTTCTACTACAACCAGTCCACAACCAGTCCACAACTAATAAGACAAAGCCAGGGTTTGACATTCTCCACAGTGCACAGTGCACACCTAGGTACTCCAGGATATCTGGCTAGACATTCACACAGATCTCTTCGAAGTGGATGGTACATGATTACGATACACCGCAAAACCCCACTAACTCTGTAAGCACGGGATGTTATGTTATTTAAATTTCAATCGTGGCGTTGATGTCCTCTGCTAGTTACCTATCCCCTACATATAGTACCTACATGACCGGACGCTTGTAAAGTTTTTGCACTGCACTATTTGGACCGATGCAGAAATGTCAGAAACGAGTGATATCCAAAGCATTCAGCGAGTAGATTCCGCAGAGAGCAATTTGAGTAAGTTATGTTATGTATGAAGTAGAAATTCAGACTCTCTATCATTATGTATGATGTATGTATCTTGAAGCACAGAACCCGTTTCCATCTCCACTTCCTCTTCAAGCTTTCATAAACAAGTGACAGAAAAAATAAAACAAAAAACAAAAACAAAAACAAAAACAAAAAAAAGGCCAACGGATGGTCTTTAGAGGCAGCCCGTGAGTCCTGAGATAGTTGATCTCAAAACCCATCCTACGGCGATGCCCTGGCTACAGTCGAGCAACAGGGCATCCAGCGGGATGAGTGATTGATTGAGTGAGTGATTGAGTGAGTGATTGAGTGATTGAGTGAGTGGCCCTCGGTGGCAGTCAGAGCAGCACCACACGGTTCGTCGGAGCCATCGGCGATGTCGAGAGCCAACGCAAATTGCTTGCGCTGGTGTTTGCGCTCTTGAACGGCGCACCGTCAATCGTCGCAGGCTTCCGCACGGCAGACCTCCCCTGCGACTTGCGGGGCTCGGTTGCTTATTATGATCGGCTTATGAACTCCCCAATACGAGAAGCGTTGGTGTCTTCCTCGCACTTGTTCTCGTCATCGTCGCACATGTTCTCGTCTTCTTCGCTGCGAACAAATGGTTCGCAGTGGCCCCGTTTAGGCAGTCAGCCCGCAGGCCCTTCCCCATCGTGGGAGGGAAAAGAAGAAGTGGTTGTGCCGTGACGGTGGACGCCACACCAGCGCAAGCCCAGTGGTTCTTCTTGACGACCGACTTGAGCTAAATCTTGCCGTGCTTTGCAGCAGGGCTCTTCCGCCAGCGGAGGAATTTCTCTCCAAACAAGTCAGTGACGGTCGACACACGAATAACTCTGATGTAGATGAAGAAAACCTACTCCTTGTCGGTTCCGAACTTTTTCGTGGGTGAAATACACCCACGAATGATTCGTTCAAATTCAAACTTGATGTCTTCGAAATGATCACGGCACTGAATCCCATTAAGTTAGAGATGATTTTCATAACTGACCTGTGAAGACTTTACCTGAAGGAAACAAGGTTCGTTCTTGTCGTTCTTGTTGTTTTTGTTGTGATTGTAACATGAGTCGTGACGCGGGAAGATACTTCCAACGCTCGACTAATGCTTTGCGGATCGCCTCTGGCAAATTTGTCTCCGTGAGCTGAGATTGATATTGTAGGTAGATTGTGTTGTAGAATGATTGTGTTGTAGGATGAAGGAAAGAAGAGGCAGTTGGTGTTGTTGTCGCTGTCTTTATACTTCTTGTGGGTCTTGGAATATTCGGCTAAAAACCGATAACGTAAACGCAGCTCCGATCGCATCTGATTAAAGTATGTAGAGTCTCCTCATCGTATAGTTCGAATACGAGTTGAACAACTCGCATCAATTGTACTTCTACTTCTCTTGGAGAGCCGTACGTTGTGCGCATGTATTTTTGATTGAAACCTTGTTGCATCATTGGTGCCTGTACGAGAATATGTGAGTGAGCATGGGTGACTGTGTTGCTGGCTGGCTGCCGTGTGTAGCCATCACCAAGCCCGACGGATTGATGCCGAGAAAGCGCACCTAATAGAGTAACAGCGACCTGAGGGAGATTGTTCACTCCTTCGACTCGTGTCTCTCTCATACGTCTGTGGACAACGCAGCTCGACCCATCAGGTTTAAAAGTGGGCCTGAATTCGTTTCCAGCACAGCTTCCCAGGAGCTTCTCTATACTTTCATCTAGGGTTCGATCACCATGACTACGCTCGATCATCGCAGGACGTCTCTCTTCATGTGTGCGAGCGGGGGGGAGATTGGTCAGCACGGGGTTTACGCTCGTTACTCCCGTTGACCCCGGCCCTATGCATAAGCAGTCACTCGTGAGTCTCAACCCTCTTGCTTGCTGGACTTTTTCTCGACACAGGTCGGATTTCGAATGGGACCTGGAGCACGTAAGGCATCATCTACGGTAAATACACACGTCAAAGGATTATGACGAAGCAGATACAACGGAATCCAAGAGGGCCCGGCGGAGCTTAAATCCCGGGTGGCTGTATGAGCCCTTGGTACGTAGGTATATCGGATTCAGAAGGAGCGCGCCTACGCGGAGTATATGGATGAGTTACGAATGCTATGTTCGCAGTAATAGATGACGAGGACCCACTACGGGCCATTATGCGAGTATGTAATAACCCTTTCCGGGCAGCTTACTCATCCGCAAAGCCACAGTGCTGACGCACCGCGACGACAACTTTGTGATCCACGAGTCCACGTCGACATCGCGACCATGACTCCGGCGGTACATAGCATGCGAAGTCCAGCGGTGTCCGAACTCGAGCGACGAGTGGCTGCCGTCCACGACGCCTCGGATCCTACGGGAATCAATGTCTCCATACGTGGCTCAGGGATGTGACGAAGAGAGTGCCTGCCTACCAGTGCGAGTAATCACCACGAACGAATAGGCGCAATTCCACAGACGCCGTATATACACGTGGCCGCCTTCTGTACCGTGACCAGCTACCTAGACCGCTGCTGCTACTCCTCATGGTGAAAATCGCTGAAGACATCGCTGAAGACGGGCCGACGGCGGGGCTCTACCCCGGGATTTTAACTCCATGACTCCATCACATCCATGATGTGTTCCTGATGCTCCGCAGTATCTATTTCCGACGTCGAGTCACACTGCTCTCCGCGGGGTCCCTGGTAGTCGACCGGAAGAGTCCACGCCGGCCCATCACTCGTCGAGTGACGAGTGACGAGCCATGGCGGTATGCATACCTACCTGACTTGACTGGGCAGGAAAGGAGTGCGACGGTTCGCCATAGTCTAGATAGGCTGTATGTGAAATAAACTGAAGATCTCTCTTTCTCTACCTGACTTGAACTGGACCCACGGGCAGCGAGCCGTCGTGACTCGTTCGCAGTCATCGTAGCTATAGTAGCCAGCAACTCCATTGTCTACCTACATCCTACCATAGTGCTCGATAACTACTTAGTTGTGGATGTCCGAGTCGAATGTAGGTAGGTAAATGACATGGTACATACACTCATGATCATATCAGATCGATGAGTCAGAGGAGGAGTCGGAGCGGCTAATATGCCCGCATTCCGGCGGCCTCGCTCGCATGCGCTTCGAACTTCCCGTCGTAACTACATTTCGAGCGAATCAAGACGGGCCGGAGGATGTTTACACGTCGACGCGCATTTGTTTTTTTGTTCTTAGGTATTGCCCGAGCGAATGTGAGAGAACACCAATTTGTTGTCGCATACCTACGGCCCGTCCAGACTGGCGACTAAACGCGCATGCCCAATCACCCATGCCAACAACCCAGCTAGTAACAAAACAGCGAGTGCTCTACCGTGACCACTCCCGCCACGACCACCAGTCCACCACCACCACCACCACGACGCCGACAAGACAGCAAATGCCACATCGCAGCTTCCGTTGACTCATAGCCCACCTTCTTCTTTTCTTTTCTCTTCTCTTCTTTGCTTGCGTACGCGTACGGTATTCCAACCACTGCAAGCTGTAGAGTAACTACCATTCCCATTACCAAACATCCCGACGCCTCAACAAACCCAGGGGCGCCACCAAAGCGCACGTGATCGCAGCCATCCGACGCCACAGCCACAGCACCCCTGGTCCCTGGACCGCACACGCACACACACACAACACCCAGGATCCACCACCCAACAGAATGGAAAACACATGTGATTGCGAACGCCGTGCTGTCCAGACTCACAATCCGGGGCTGGGGCTGTGCAGTTTGCGATCTTAATTAGTGCTGGGCCATGGTCTGGGGAGGGCGGGCAGGTCACAGGGCGAGTATACTAGGTGGGTACGGTCCCGGTATGGTATGTCTGTATGTATGTGGGTACCATCCATACTACTGTCGACACGCAAGCCACTCTCCGGGGCCAGCAGCAGCAGGCAGCCTACCTACCTGTCTACGTCTACCGCCCCGTGCAAAGCCCCCCGCAGGTATGTATAAGGTAGGTATGCACTCTCGATAGGGCGTAACAGCCAGCATCCTCACACGCACCATCCGAAAACGCATACGAATCCGGCCGGGGCGTCCCCCTCCCCCTCCCCCGGTTCCGGCCAGTACCTAGGTATATCGGTGATGAGCTGTCAGACATCGTTAACGTTCGCCCCCTCCGATCCTCCGATTCCCCTCCTCCTCCGATAGCCGTGTAGGGCAGCCCTCCCCCCTCGCCCGCAAAAGTGCCGCTTGCCGTGGTCGATCGTTCCTTTTCTCGTGCTGTTTGTTCCCTTCCTTTCCGGTTCCCCGTATGTGTGTGGGTGTGTGTGTATGTTGTTGCTTGAACTCCACCATCGCCATCGATAGATGGGATGGGCGCAAGCGAGTGATATAGTGTGCAGCGTAGTGAGTGCACTGACGATTTCCGCACTCTCAACGGAAAACAGGGCTGTGCATAGCGGCAGCCCCACACCTGCACACCCGCACATCCGCAACAAATCATGGCAATTGACAGCGCAGAAGGGATGGGATGGGATAGGGATGGGAAAAGTCGGCTTCCCTGTTCTGTTGCGATCCCTTTTCTGGAATCAGGATATTTTCCGGAGGTGATCGGCAGGACGGGGGTGTGGCCCGGACCCGGGGTGGGTGGTTGTGGTGGATGTGGCTTGGCGGGGGGATCGGCGAGCCTTAACGAGCCTGCTTCTGGCCGCCCCCAGCCGGTCGGAGGTCGACTCGGATTCGTCATGATCCGCGGGCGGAGAGGAGGATGAGAAAGAGGAGGAGGAGGAGCGACGGCACAGCTTCCCAGGCACAGGAGATGGCCAGTGCCAAAGCGCGATTCTCTTTTTTTTTTGGCGGTGTCGCTCCGTCAGTGACGGAAATGTGAAGAGATGCTGTCGTCGCGGTTGTGTCACGACGTCGCTCGCTCGGCCAGGAACAGGAATTGAGTTTTTTTAGTCATCGCCTTAGTCAACAACTGGGTAGTTGGCGCCGGACGAGACGAGACGATGCGAGACGATCTCCTGCGACTACATACTCTACTTCGCACATACCGGTACCTAGTTCCAGCACCTATCCACGGGCCTCGTCTGACATGACATCCGATAAGCGTCTCTGCGCGCACTCAGCGCAGCGACGTAACATGCCATTTTCTTTGTTGCTTTAGCTACAAAGTACGGCACGGGGACGGGGTGCAACCGTGCAACAGCCTCTTGACGTCGGTGGATGTTGGAAGTGGCCTGTCGCAGCAAGCATCGCTCGTCATGCAGGGCTGGCAGCAGCAAGACCCTGAACCAAATTTAAACTTTTCTTTACCTTTTTCTTCTCCACGGAACGTAGTTACGCACGCATGCACAGTGATGTCATGCACGCCTAGAGTACACAAGCGAGCACACACTACCACCACCACGTCTGCACCAAGCGCCAAGGATGATGGATGATGCTAGTCATGCTATGCTATTTCGGCACACTCGATGATGCTCACTCACACTGCTCAGATGCTGCTGCTGCCGTCAGCATACAACGCCGAAACTGCGGATTCCCCCCAACCCACCACACCCCGTCGGAGCCGGCCGAAGAGAAGGTCGAAGATGCGCACCGAAGTGTGGTGGGCTGGGTTCCGAACGTGTTTGCGCAGACAAAAGTTTTATGGCTGCTGAGATTGATGATGATGATGCTCGATTACCTACGTACGTAGAGTACGTAGCGATTATCTACACAGCCCCACAGCATCACAGCATCACATGGAACGTATTGTACATACCTCGGCATCGGCATTCGATGTCCGTGCCGGGGGCATTCATTTGTCATTCTCGGGCATCAGCCACACCCCCACCATCCAGTCATGCGCATTTCTCGGATTATTCCCAACCGTCCAGCACCCCCCCCACCCCACCCCAACAAGCAAGAATCGCACTTAGCCCCCCGGAGCCGGGGATATCCGCCCAAACCCGGCACCGGCGCCGACGCCGACAAACACCGTCCGCCCAACAATGGCCAAGAACCCACCCAATTGCAATCGCCGAGTCGGTCTCGAGCGTGACTGAACGGCCGCGTGCTCAAACAGTGTAGGAGGAGGAGTAGAGAGAGAGAGAGAGAGAGAGAGAGAGAGAGAGAGAGAGAGACTCCGCCCTGTTGGTGAGTCACAGGGCACGCCTCGATCGCGGCCGCCAACACGTCTTTCCATGAATCGAAGTCCGCTCGACACTCGACACAGTGTCCAATCACGTGGATGCACTTTCGCTTCAAGTGTCAGCCCAACACCCCTGTACTACAGGCTGTGGCTAACCCAGTACTAACTATACCTACCTAGGCCGGGTCACACACCAGCGACGAAAAACCATGATCAGCTCACTTCCGCCATCCGTCGCCCTACAATCTGCTGGTCAGGCAATTGCACCCAGCTACGCACCAGCTATGTACGGATAACCCATGACGAAAGTGAGCTGTGCTCGTTCGTTCGCTTCTTTCGCGATAAGGCAGACGCCGACAGACTGACGGACTGACGGACAGATGGACAGATGGACAGACGGACTGACAGGTTGACAAAGAAAGAAGGAAAGAAAGGAAAGAAAGAAAGAAAGAAGGAAGGAAGCTGAACGGACCAAAGGATCCGAAATGGACGGGGGAGGGGAGGTCCAGGACTCCAAGTGTGAATGTGAACGTGAACGTGAATGTGAATTGGTTTAGATATTTTCTTTTGGTTACCCACCAGCCACACTTTGGCACTTTACTTCCTGGCACTTTACTTCCTGGCACTTTACTTCCCTGCCGCCTTGGATCCCTGAGCACGATCATCTCGTAAGTCAGATCGGATACATGGAGTGCCGTATGTATCTATGATCCATCCACGCATAGCTGCCGTCGCGAAATACTAAGCTCGCATTCGTCTTCGGACCCGGAAGGCTGGAAGGCCGGAAGGCCGGACCTGCGCCGACAGGGGGCGACCGCCGACCGGCTGTTCCGAGGTTAACGGGCTTTGCACGCACCGATCTGATTGACCCGCACCGCGGCGCAGACGGATAAGGCATCAGCTCGTCCGGAACGGATCAGATAAGCGAAGACTCGCAGCGGCGTCGGGCTTGAACGCAACGCACCGTATGTTGAGTACGGTAGGAAGCACGTATGATGGTTTCGAGGGCGGTTCTCACCATCATCGTCATCGGGAAATGCGTCGACGCTTGAAACTGTGCCCAAACGAATACCTACGCTACGTACTTACATAACGCCCGGCCAATGAGCTGCCACAAGCAGGAAGTGGCAAACATGTCTACCTCGATTGAACGAGAATGCAGATTCGAAGCGGAAGCCGCGCGTTGTGTTCGTTGTCCGTTCGTTTGGACGCTCTCGTTTTTCCAAGTGGGCGTGTCTACCCGTGAGCATTCGAGGTGATGCAGGTCAACACAAAAGCTATCATGGTCGAGGTCAAGGTCGCTCGCTCCCCACCCTCCCCGAATCCCCGAGTCCCCGAGTCCCCAAGTCCCCGCTGGGTGCGTGCGTGTGTTCGTGCGCTCGTGCGTGCGGTGGTGCTCACGAAGGCCGATGTGCTGCAGTAGAGATGCGTCATCTCCTTCCTACGGCATCCGACGACAGCGTGTGGGGGAAGGTGGATGGGTGGATGGGTGTATGGGTGGGTAGGTTTACCGTTTACGTTTCGAACCGAAAAGGGAGTTTCGGATCATTGTTTGAACTTTCTTTGCCCCGCTGATCTCCCCGAGCATAGGCTGAGCTGGGCTGGGATCGTAATGGGGACTGGGGAGGGGACGGGGGGCGTCCTCGAAATGTTGCCGGATGGTAACTTCTTACTCTAAGGATCTCAAACATGGTACACCTGTGCATAGGCTAGGCACGGTAGGTATGGCACGGTACCTGCTCTGCTCGCATGCGTCCCATGTAATGTCTGTCACCCACGTGTACGGTAAGTCGGTAGCTAAGTACGGCCAGATCTCTCGTCTGGGTCGTCTCGTCTCGAATAACCTTGTATGGGTGATCCGGCTGAGCGGGAGCGTACCGTAGGCCAGTACGCTGGGTAAGCCATGGTAAGCCATGGTACGGATGGAAATTATTCCCTGAAACGTCGGCGACTCGGCGGGCTTGATGAGGCAAGAGTAAGAGCAGGAGCGAGAGTAAGAGCCCTCCGGTCGTCCCGATGCTGTACATACCGTACTCTGCTATTCAGCCTCCTTCAGTAGCTACTTCAACCCAGCCGTATTGGAAATTGGACGAAAGCAATAGATCCCACCGCTATTACTCTATGGACGGCTGGATACCTACCGTAGAGTAACAATCGTTGAGGTCTTTTGCTTTTCGTGAGTGAGGAGAAGTTATCGCCACCGGCCCAGCGCTGGCTACATTGTATGGTATGCATAGGTAACTCATGTATCGTTGAGTTTCTTTTTGCATTGCATTTGCCCTTCGTCGGCAGAACATTTTCGCCACCGCCCCCCGCCGCGCCGGGGGCTCAACTGCGTTCAAGGTTCCGGTTCGCGGATGTGGTTCCGAACGCATCGATACTTATCTTGCCGAGGTGTCCGCACCTTCTTCTTTTTGTTCTTCTTCTAGAGTATGTTTTTAGGTATGTAGATTACCGATCCCCCGTTACTCGATTTCGTTCGTCGTTCGTTCGTCGTGTTGTTTGTTGCTGTCGTTGTTGTTGTTGCACGTGGTCGTCGTCGTCGTCGTCGTGGCCTTCGCGTTCTATTGCCATCACCAGTCCGCGCGCGCTCTCCTACACCCACATACCACAGCACCAATGCGATCGAATTCAAGTCCAATCCGGATTGATCGAGCGGAATAATTCGTCGTTTCTTACTTGGGGCCAGGGGTGCCGGGGGGGGGGCCGGGGGGGGGGGGGGGGGTGGGAGCTCGCGTGGACTAGAGTCGCCAGGATCCACGTTTATTTTTCGGGCGTTGCCGTGCGTGGATGGATGGAGGATTCGGGGAGGGGGGGAGCTAAGCATCCGCGATCTAGACGTGACGCTAATTGGGTAGCACGCTGCCACCCACGCTCGGCTGTCGCTCACCGTTGCAGTTGCGTCCGAGCAACACCTGACTGGGCCCTTCACTCCACTCGGGACAGGACAGGACAGGACAGGACAGGACAGGACAGGACAGGACATCCATGTCTCATCCGTCGTCATGCCTCGCTACAGCTTTCAGCGTTGAGCGCGGGTCCGAAGGGGATCATGGGCGGGCGGGCGCAGCGGTATCCACGGAAATCGCTCCCGGCCGCGGGGAAGGGGGGAGGTTTGGCGAGACACACAGATGCTGCTGCTGCTCGCAGATCTGTCATCTCGTTCCGAGAACACGGGAAAACTCGCAACACGGTGATCGGTCGGTACTCTAGCTACATGGTACGGGCTCCACCGGGTGTAGAGTAAACACAGATCGTCGTTTGGCCGTTCTCTTCCGCTGTGTGAGTTTGTGGTACGACTACCGGTAGTATGGGCAACCCGATCGCTCCCTTCACCGTCCCCATCCGTCCCCGTCCTCGTCCCCGACGCTCCCCCTCTTCGACGGATCTCCGTCCCGGCCGCGGGGACATTGGGTGAAGGAAAAGAAAAAGAAAAGAATATGACCGCGCAAAAAAAAAGACCTCTTTTTCTTTTCGTTTTTACAAAAGAATCAACTAACCGCGCTCGAGACCGCGGGAGAAAGAAAAAAGCTGCATGTGCATGTGCATCATCTGCATGTCTCGCCCAGCAGCACACCCACTCCGCTGGGAGAGCCATAGCTGCCATGGCATTGCAAGCCCTAGCATAGCACACAGCATAGCTCGTGGTTTTTTTTTCCCGCGACTCGGACGGAGGAGACTCAAATTTAGAAAAATCGATCCAGGGATTCCAGGGATACTTGGGTAATCTGCACCGGCTATTGGCCGACCGCGCACCGCCCGCTGCATGTCAAAGGGGTGGTGTGTGCTTGGTGTGTGTGTGTGTGGCGGAAGAATTCCCATTCGAAGCGGTCATAGCTTCCAGTCCCTCTTCCCTTTTTTTCTTCCTTCCTTTTTTCCTTCCTTCTCGTCGTAAACGTGGCAGACGAGAAACGGCCCCAGCTCCCACCCTATCATATGTAGAGCACATACCCTACCGTGCGACGCGCTCATGGGGGGACGGGGGGACGAAGGGGATCGAAGGTGACACAGGCACAGACGGAAAAAGTGGATCCCGTTAGGGGGTTCCGAGAGTTCGGGTGTGCGTGGTCTGGACTTTGTCTCGTTCTCGGGTATCTGTATAGCTGCACTGCCTGCAGCGGAAGGATGTGGGGGAGGATGTGTAAGAAGGGTAAGTAAGGGATGTAAGGTAGGGACTTGGGTAGGAAGGAAGGTAGGAAGGTATCGAATCGAAGACGAAGGGCTGGCCAGACGTACCGTACCGTACTCGCATCGAACGAACGAACGGCTGGCCTGGGCTGGCCAGACGTATGTACCGTACTCGCATCGAATCGCACCGCATCGCAGACGAGCGAGCGACCCGTCCCGTCCGCGTGGGACGTCCCCCTTGAGAAGTGTGCGCTCAACCTCCTGCTCCTTTGTTGCCCTCTCAGGATCCTATGTACATACGGCGACGGCGGGCATGAGAGGGCGGGCATGGCGGAGGGGGCATCCGTATGCTTATTCTCCACCATTCGCATGCCTCTTCTCGCGCACGCCGTAAAGGAGGGACGCAAAACCGTACAGGTTTACGTACTCTACGTACGAGCCTCGATCGCATCATCACCATCATCACCATCATCATCCTCCTACGAACCACCTCTACATACCACCAGCAAAAGCCTCCCTACCATTACCGCGGGCTACGGGCTGCGGGAGGCTCGCGGATGTGTGCTGGGTGTTGGGGGCGATCGATGGCATCGCAGGCCCTGGCGCGCTCCTGCCTGCTGCTCTCCCTCTCCCGGAGTCCCGGAGGACCGGTTTGACGTGAGTGGATTTTCCATGGCTAGCTGCCTAGCGCAGTTGATTCGGGCTCCAGCGAAGGAGAGTTGAAAGAGCGAAAGAGCGAAGAAAAAAAAGGAAAGGAAAGGAAAAGGGCGGAACCGGAACCGGATAAAGAAAAAGGAAAAAGAAAAAGGAAACCATAGCCACACTTGTTGCTGGTGCTGGTGATGGTGGTGACATAATATCCCATTTTGGGAGGATATAGTCGTCATAGTTGGGCTGTGCGAAGTGCGTGCAAGCCCAATAGGGAACAATTATGGGCGTTTGTGGGTGCTTTGGGTTTACTGCGGTGCTTAATCTATCAGGATATGGTGGTTTTTTCTTTCTTTTTTTTCCTTCTCTTTCTGAAAGACTTTGCAGGGGTTGCGTGAAAATTTCTCTGCCATGCAAGGGTTAGCCACACACACCCACACACACCCGCACCCACAGACACCCGCACTACACCTTATCGATAATCGGTTTGCGTGGGAGCTGGGGCTGGATCTTGCTTCCATCCTCTTCCCAGGCTGGCTGGCTGGAGCTCACGGATCTTACGGCAGCACGCTACACCGATGCCCTGCTGGGTGTTGGGCCCTGGGCCCTGGGCCCTGGCTGGCTGGCTGTCTGTCTGCGGAGCCGTTGTCGTGCCGGAGAAGTGCCGGGCGCGTGGGAGCCGGGGAGTGCGGGCACTTATCTGAATTGGATGAAGCAGGAGGAGGAGGGCTTCCTGCATGCCGCAGGCTTGGGTTCTTCTTCGTCTTCCCTCGCCGGTCCCTGAGTAAGTCCTTACCGGCTTCTTACTCGAGTACCTTAAATTCCGCGAACGGAAAGCGAACGGACCCGGAATCCGAGGATGACGGTCCCTCTTCTTTTCTTCTTTTTTTCCCTTCTTCTTCTTTTCTTCCTTTTATCCTTCTCGTTGTCGGGGCGTGATTTTCCGAGGGTTGCATCCTCTCTTCCGGATCTTATGCATCCCACATGCTTGGTAAGTGCGGGAATAAGTGATTGAGTTATTGAGTGAGTTGAGTGGGTGTATCTCGGTCGTTGGATCCGTCCCGCTGTGCTTACGGCCGGAGAAAGTCCGTCGGCGTTTAGCCGCGCCGTAGATGTTTACTCCATAGTTCCGAGCGCCGCACCCGGCAAGCTTACCCCCAGGACCGAACAGCCAGAGTTTGCTTGTGTGCGGACTCCATTTGTAAGGGATTAGTTAGGTATCGTGAGAAGCGGAACTGCGGTGTCGAAGTCTTCATCATCTCCAGCATCAGCATCAGCTTCGGCCGCCTGAAAGACGTGGTTACCGTACGTAGGCGCTTAAGTAACGGAACGGTCATGCTTACCCTTCGCTTCACTATTGCTGTGCAAGCGATGTGTAATTTCGTTCTCGCTCTCTCTTTCTCTCGCTCTCTCTTTCTCTCGCTCTCTCTTTCTCTCTTTCTCCCTTTCTCTCTTTCTTTCTTTCTTTCTTTCGGGGAGGGCGATGGGTGGGCGCGCATACGGTGGGAGGGAGGGAGGGGGCGGGGGTCGTGATCGGACAGCCGCTCGACACGTTCGGCGCGGTCGTTCGTCGCAGTCGTCGTCGTGGCCGTGGTCATCCCAACGTCGGCGTTCAACACGGAGCGATCGGTTGTGAGCAGCCTCAGCTCCTTACATATCGAAAAGGCATCGAGATGTTGGGTTGTTCCGGCCCGGAACGAACAAGGCCGCGCATTTCCCGACCGCACGCCCACCTCTTCACCTTCACTTCTACTGCAGGCCCACCTTCACCGCCCGTTGCCCTCCCCGAGCGCACAAACATTTTTCTTCTTATTTTTCATTTTATTTCCGGTGCCGCGCAGAGAGAGAGAGGGTGCAAGTGTCGGAAGTGCAGACCCTCGGTTTCTCCGCGGTTCGGGGACTGCGGGCGCGGTCGGCGTTCTGGGCCTCGTGGAGGTGTGCGTGCTCACTTGCGAGCGAGCTGGGTGGGTGTCGTTCGCCAATCTGGCAAGCGGGAGGGCTGTGCTGGACTATAAGCCACTAAAAGTCCGTGCCTTGCCCCATAGGGACGGCTATGCACAAGCGAGTTGTTCTGGAAGGAATTTCTGTTTTTCTAGCGCTCATGCGGTGCGGTGCTTTGGGATGTGGAACCGGCATGGTGCACAGCGGCCAGGGTGCCGTGCTTGTATGACAGGAATGGCTGTTGTGGTTGGCTTCGCTTTCTGGAGGTGCTGCTTCTCCCACTCTCGCTCGACCCTCTCTCATGTGCAGGGGTGTGCTGCCTGTTGGTCGCTGTCTCAATTCCAGTTCCACTCCCCACCCACCACACCACCACCACCACCCACCCCAGAGGTCGAGTCTGTCCTAGAGAGCTCAAGCCACATCCGTACCACCACCTACCACCACCGTGACATGCTCTGCTCCATACCTCATCCACATCCTTGTTCACATAGCCAAGTCGGCACACCACAACCCCATTCTCCACCACCCTGCCCACCCATCCGTCCCACATCCCAATCAACCCCAACAACCAAAATTGTCATGACGCACAGAAACTTTTCCCTTACATATAACTGCGTCCTCCGGGTCGTGGCAAATTCACTTCCCCCATTCAACATCCTCAAGCGAAAGAAAAAACAACAACCAGCTCGATCCCTCAGTACAGCTCCCTCCTCAGCTACCAGACCATCAGCATCCTACCTCTCCCCACCTATCGATAACACTCAATCCTATCCGAAATCCCCCACCACAGCTGGCCTACTGCTATCGTCGACCCGCCTGCGAATAATTTAGCTACCTGCTTCTGACTCTGCGAATCCTACCCTCCCTTCAGCATCGTCGCCAGCTCCCTCTACAGCTACAGTTCTTCTCCTGGAGTACGCTTCACACACCGATAGCTCTACGGGCTTCTAGCAGGTTCGCTTGACCCCCCTCTACGTTCGGCTTTTGGCGAGGACGAGGCGGAGCTATGCCTGAAGAAGGAAGCCCGTGCTCCGGCTCCCCACTGTGGCTGGTGCGCGATGGCAGGCTCGAGCTCTGGCCCGCGGATGTCCCTAAGCCTCTCGCGAAACTCTCTTGCTGACTGATTGTGACCCAGGTCAACGTCATAGACCCCCCAAAACACCCCACACCAAACAAAAAGAGATAGGTCCGCACACCGGACCTGCTCTAGTATTAGATACTATGCTCTCATCCTCCTCGCAACATCATCACCTCCCTCACTCCCACACTCAACCTCATCACTTCTCCACTTCACCTTCATCCACCCAGACCTCCTCCTACTACTACCCAGAAGACAACAACTACAACACATCGCCTTCCATCTACCACCCAGCTCCCACCCAGGCCTACCCACCTGCGAAGCGTGTCAAGGTCTACCCGAGCTTCGACTTCACAGAAATTCCCTCCACCTTTGACTGCCCTCCTCTGGTTTACTCTAGCGTCATGCCTCAGGCAGCTCCTCTCCCCAGGAACATCGCTCCTCAGATCAACCTTCACCGGGCATCCGAGCCGGCTTCTCCCGTTACCATCGCTACCACCCTGTCGACTCACTCTTCGCCATCGCCGTCGCCGTCGAGGGTGACGATCGTGTCGGACCACCACAATTCCGCCGACTTCCCTCTGTACGAGGAGAGCTACCCGTTGAAGGAGCATCAACTCAACAAGCAAAACGTCCTGCGCCCCCGGTTCGGTGCCAACACTTCGAATCCCTCGCCCACCTTTCACGATTCGCTGGTCGGTGAATTGGATCCGTCGTGGCCCCTTTGCACGCCGCAGTTGATGGACTACGCCAAGTTGCAGCGATCGCAGCAGCAGCAGCAGCAGCAGCAGCAGCAGCAGCAGCAGCAATACTACCAGAACCAGATGCCCGTCTTCCGCCACACTGAAGACGAAGACATTCCCGAGCTGTCTCCTTCGCGGTGTTCGGCATCCAGACCATCCATCTCCGAGCTCGACATGCCTACCACCCCCGGACACTCGCCCGTGCACAGGGAATCAAGCAGGTGTGCGCAGACACCGACAGCTCGTGAGCACGCCTTCATTGCGCATTGGATAGACGGCTGCTTACCCCTTCAATTAGAACACCACACTGGACCCAAGCTCATGCGCACCGTCTCCGACGCCGAACAGGATGAGCTCTTCAACCCCGGAATGGCCCCTGGTGCGACGCGCTCGCAACCGGAACGCATCGCGGACACGAATTCGCAGTTGCCGACTCTACTGCAGCAGGCGCAGAGCCAGCACATGGCACGCTCGACTCCGGTCAAGCCCACCATGATGGTTCGCGATCACTCGCCGTTCAGAGCCAATTCCCCCTTCCACCCCGCTCGCACACAACAGGAAATTATCCCGTCGCCCACCCGGACGACCGCTTTCCTGAACGTTGGTGCTTACACCACCGCACGGTCCCAGCGTGAGAAGAATATCGAGCGCGACGCGGAGGCTCTGAGGCAGCAGCTGCGAAAGGAGTACGAGGAGTTGCAGCAGACCCCCAAGACGATCTCGCCCAAGGATGCTTACCTCGAGTACGCCGAGCCCGAGAACAACAACGGCATCCAGGGCGGTCTCTTCAGCAGCAGCCAGAACGATGACGCCTACTCTCAGCACAGCATCAAGAGCGAGAGCGACAGCGGTAGCTTTCACGGCGATGACGATAACGAGCAGAGTTACGACGAAAGCTTGGCTCCCGGCAGCCGCAGGGACAGTGACGTGAACATGGACTACGGCATGCCGATCTACCACCACCACCACAACAACGAGAACACCCAGCAGCAGCAGCAGCAGCAGCAGCAGCAGTTCGGAGACCACCTCAACATTCCCGGTTACGGGTGGGGTGACGAATGCTCCAGCCAGGAAAGTTCGGAGGCTTCACGCCATTCCGACTCAAACCACGAGCTAACATCATCACCGCTCCGCAAACCGGCCGACACCATGGCCAATGACGGCGCCTACTCCTGTACCGTGCACGGCTGCAGCCTGCGCTTCCCAACAGCCAGCAAGATGTCCAAGCACCGACGAGAGGCACACAGGAACAACACGCCGTTGAGCCGTGATGCACCCATCAAGTCACTGCTCCAGGGACCATCCCGTTGCGAGCGGACAAACCCTACCACCGGCAAGCCCTGCAACACCATCTTCTCTCGGCCTTACGACCTCACTCGTCATGAAGACACCATCCACAACACCGCGCGCCAAAAGGTTCGGTGTGAGATCTGCAACGACGAGAAGACCTTTAGCCGACACGACGCACTGACCCGACACAAGAAGGTATGTTTCCTCCCCCGTCGCACGGACTTTTCCAATCATGAAGTCATCGACTAACGCGCAAAACAGGTTAAGCACGGTATCGACAAATAAATCATCGCGCCGGTGTTTTTTATTTTATTTATTTCCTTCTTTCTTTTGGCTCGTCCAGGTTTCGCAGCAAGGAAGGGGAGGGTTTCGTCGATCGGGGTAATGGTGCGCCCTCGAAGATGTGGAGTGATCCGCATCCGTCCTTCGCTAGTCTGCGGATCGGCGCCGACCGTTGCTCCCAACCACGCATGACGTCACCATCATCACACTCAAGTTGTGTGATGATCCACTCACGCAACCACACTTCCGATCGCCCGACTTTCCTTTCCTTCCACCTGCTTCTAGCAGTTTCTCGCACGGCTACACTACATCTCTTGTTGCATATTAGCTCCTGGCCTGGAAACACTGGTTTCTTTCCTATTAATCGGTTCACTCGCATAACGTTCCTATGTAAATTTTTCTGTTCTCTTTCTCTTTCTCTTTGTCTTTGCGTTTGGGTTGGGTTTTACCGGTTTCCTTTTTCTGCTGGCCTGCAGCTTTGATTTTACGCAGCGTGTCACAATAACTTGGCGTTTTGTTTTGATGGGATAATCTGTTTCGAACAAATTCTTTGCTCTTTTTCTTTTTTTCTTTTTTCTCTTCTCTTTGAAAAGACATGTTGGATCGGATGGGCGATGGTGATAGAATTTTCGGGGTCATCATTAGCTTATGGAGTACTTGTGTTTTACTGTATGATATGATATGATGTATGAATATGAAGGATGAAGGAACACTGAGTTTGCACGGTACGATATTTTGGCGGTGAATGGAGTGAAATTGGTGATGTATGGATATTGTTATGAAGGATGAAGAGATACCGAGTTTGCACGATACCATATGTTGGCGGTGAATGGAGTGGAATCTATGATGAGTTGCTCCTGTTTTGATGGCTTTTGTGATAGTGAATCGAACGGTGATTTTTGTTCAATCGTCATCGCATTCGACCTTGTTTGCTCATGGTAGTTGCGATTCTGAATGGTGATTTGACGAGTTTTTTTTTTGTTTAATCATTGATTGCATGCGACCTATCTAGATCATGGCAATATCACCCCGTTCACCCCCCCGTTTCCACGCCACTGTCCAACCCGGCTTGCACCGAGCGGCCCGATGCGGCTTTCCCTGCCCCCGCCCCGGCCTGTCCCAAAAAAGTAGATACACGGTAAAGACCGAAATGGGCCTGCATGCCCGCCTCTTCCCATCTCTCCTCTCTCCCCTACGGGCTGATTCGCCCGCTCTTCCCACCTGCCTTCCGTCCCTTCTTTTGAAGGTTTTCCAAATCCTTTAAATGGGCTTGCGTGCCTTTTTCGGCCTGGCGTTTTTGCTCCCGCCGATGAAGACGGTTACATATACGCCGCCCCTGCCGCGAGCAATATCAGCCCACGACGGGACGCTTCCCTCTCTTCCAAATCTCATCCCTCTCTTCTCCGCTTTCCCTTTCCGCTTCCTCTCAACCTTCTTCCATCCCTCATCCGTCTCAGTGTCACGAGGTGGAGGCGCTGCGGACACGGCAGATGCTGGTGGTTCAGGTCGTGTGGAGTCGGACTCCAATCCCCTATGCTCAGATTGCTCATGCGTCGGGGTGGGGGGGGGGGGGGGGGGGTTGGCTCTCGCCAGCTTCTCCGGTTGGTGCGGGGTGGGCGGCCCCGTCCGTTTCCGTTTCGGCCGCGGAGGTGTTGTCGACGGAGGAGGCGGTAGCGGCTGGGAAGCAGGCACTGCTTGCGCTTGCGCCCGGAGGTCCCGGTCCTCCTCTGTGAGCTTGTCGATTCGCTCACTCATCGTAGTAATAAGACCCTTAAGGTCCTTCACCTCGTCTGCTGTCGTATTTGCCACTGACAAATAGTATGTGATAGCTGCTAACCAAGCCCTGATGTCGGTCCGTACGATCGCAAGCTCGGAGCGAAAGTAAGACTGGATGTTGATCTCAAGAAATGCGAGGAGACTGGCGCGCGACCCTCTTCCTCCATAGGCTGTGATGCTGGTGGAGGGGAGGCGGTGCACTGGCGAGCCAGGTGCCCGGGCGCCCGCAATTGTGGCAGGTGCGCTGGGACATTCCAAGAGGGGTAGGAATGAAGCCGAATTTTTTTTCGCGATGTTAGAATCAGCGAATAGGAACACGGCACGCGCGTAGCGTCTTGGCGAAACTAGGATGCGAGAGGGCGGTTTGACGAGTGAGTTGAAACAACCAACTCAATGATCCAGTGATAGGTAGAGTGGGACGAGTGATACACGATGGATGAGAGACAGCACGAACGATTCCAACATGGACACCTTTCCATCGTTACCATTCTATTCCACAGCGCGGTAGTTGCTCTGGATGGCCAAATAATCCACTTCCGCTGTGACCCGCAGACCCAACTAGACACAGCCCTGAAGCTCCCCGCCTTGGGGTGGGGGGGGGCAGAGATACAGTCACGTGATTGCGCCGTTTGTGCGTTGGCTTGGACGTGGACGTTGACGTGGGCTTGGGCTTGGGCCTGGGCATAGGCTTGGAGAGGAGGCTGAGTGGGAATGAGTGGGTATGAGTCAGTGCCCGAGGCGCCACAGGGCGGGCAGGCAGGCAGGTGGCTGTGCTGGTGCTGGTGCTGGTGCTCCGGCTCGGCGGACTTGCGGCTGCCGGCGCGAATGGTTGTTCTTACGTTTGTATGTTTGTACATTCGTGCTGGTCTAGTCAGTGATATGTACTCTACCTATGGGGTATTGTCAGTGACTCTGAGTGATACGTCCGACGCACGCGTGGCAGCTCAGTGTCCAGTGGATGTGGGAACGAGTGTGTTCCTGTGAGTGAGTAGTCCACTGGCCATTGTAATTCGGAGGACCGGTGGTGGGTGCTTGGAATACCTATTCGGTGCGGTAGGGGGGTCCAAGTTTGGGTTTCTTTCTCTCTCTCTCTCTCTCTCTCTCTCTCTCTCTCTTGTACATACCTGTAGTTCCTAGACACGAACATACCACTTTTTTTTCACTCTATCTCCATCTCCATCGTTCCAGTGATCACCTCCACGGGTGCGTGTGCTGGCCGCGGTGCAAACGGGATTGGCTATCTACCCGGGTTGATCCGAAGACAGTCCTTCCCATGATGCCTTCATCTCGTCCGGCGCGCTCGGGCCTCCCCGGAGCGCCGATGGTGATGACGATGTCCTGGCAGTGAGTTGTGGATCGCCAAGGCCAGTCGCGGCATGTAGAGTATATAAACGGCCCGAGCGATCGTAACCCGGCCCGCCCGCTAGCCAAACGGTCAAGCTTTTTAAGCGCGCTTGGCGGGGTTGGCAATGGGTAGGTGCTCCGCTGTGGAGCTATGCGTCGTTGTGTCGTCATCGCTGTGTCGTCCGTGCAGCGTGATGGTCACTGATCAGTACCGGTATCAGTGTAATGTTACATACAGGTTGGAACTTGGGGGTGCAACTCCGTGCAAATCTGTGGAACTCTTCACGGAAGAACCCGAGAGTCCAGCTGTGGATCCGGTTGACCTTGAAAGTTGAGATCGGATTTTCTGGCTTTTTCGAGCTTGACCCGAGACCGGCCAGTTTCAGTCTCAGATGTGCACATTTTGTACTCTGTCGATTTCTCGAAGCTTCGCGAAACCCTCGTCATGGAATCGAGAATGTTTCTCACGGTGGGCTCAAACATCTCGTTCGTAGGTAGAGTACATCGGATGGCCGAGATCTCGTCATCGGTAACGGATGAATCATGAATACGGGAATACCCGACACTCGCAATGCCGGTACCTACAGACTACAGTCGATCTTGGGGCTACGGGCTACGGTACCTCCTCCGAGACGATTGGCGGGAAGGATCGCTATTACGTATGTACCGCCCCGCCATCCGCCGGCTATCGGAGCGGATCGCCCTCGAACCGGATTCCGGAAGATGAGCGAACTGGCTCGAGAGCTGGGAACGTACGTAAAACATGAAACCTCCGGTACATAATACCGTAACCCAGGCTGTGCCCGATCCATACGGTCATCGGCTGGCATTCGGTCCAGTTCCAGCACGGTACGGTAGCTGGTAGCATGGCCGCTTGCGTCGATCCCGATTGTACGCTCGGGACGCCGTGTTTTTAGGCTGCTTAGGCTGCTTAGGCTTCGCGAAGGTGTCTGGGCGCTTGTCATGGTATAGCAGTGTGTTTTGAGCGCGGCTACGATGTGTTCTTCCCGCTGGATGTCGTACATATCAGCGGAGGGACTTCTGCTCGGCGGATGATTGAGGTTTTGGCTTCGTATTGCGGTTTTCCCAGACAATAGTTAATCTGCCCACCGCACGGAAACCATTTCCTTGACCTTGGGTTTCAAGTTCTTTGCGATTTCTCATGTTGAGCGCAAGTACAGCCAGGAATCCGAGTGATCACATGTGCATGAGGAGCTACCCAAGACGACCACATCAGCGCCCTCCATGTGCTCATTCACCCTCACTATAAGCAGCCCCACAGGAGCTTGGAAAACAGTCAGTCCATTTATGATACTGGTCAAAGCTCTAAACCCCCTTGCATTAGGATGGTACCATAGAGTAGAAGCATAATTCTCGGGAAACACTAATTCCTAAATAGAAACCAACTCGCCAACACGGTGTCCTTCCGACTCGTATGTGAATAAGAACTCGGAGCGACTATGACAGCCTAGAACTGGGAAAGCACAGATTGCACCAGCAATTTTCTATTGAGGACTACATGTGTGCGGTTCCTCTCCATCTGCTCGAGGGATGATATCGGTAATCTAGAGCGAGTGATTGTAGCCAGGGTGGCAGTTTCAGTCGACTAGACAGTCTCAAAAACCCAAAGGCTCCGATGAGAGGGGCATACCCCGCTGTTGTCCGTAGTTCTCGTAACCACAAAGTGGACTTTCAAGCTGGTCTCCATTGGCTCAAGCATGATTTTGTCCGGATTAGCATTTGCGGTTCCAGACTGTAATGGAAGAGAGCGAGGGGGTATACATTACGGTAGTCAACGCACCTGTTGTGGTATGTAAAAGGTTTCTGCCGGCCAAAGGAGACAATGTGAAGCTTTCCCGTCATGGAGTGAATTAAGCTCAAGATCATCTTAGGTCGACAGCAACCATCCACATAGACTTTGCGACTCGACTGAACTCTAAGCATGCCAGATCTCCTTCCCAACGATCCGCACGTAGGCCGTAGCCAAATCTTACTGTGCGGGTGGGATATAAACCCCCCGGATTCCCCGTCCTTCCCTTTCTTCTCCATCACCCACAATGCCTTCC